GAGACCTAAACGTTCTCTTGTCAAGGGCAAGAAATCGGCGAAGTCATTCGATGCGCCAACAAACAACGGTTTGTCGGCCGCCGAATTCCAGGCAAAGGGTTTCTAAGATGCCAAAGATTCGGTGCCAGTGAAGCCTACTCCTCGTGCTACATCCAGTAGCAAGAAGAGAAAGCCTAATTGTGCTTAGCTTTTGGGTTCCATCGGTTGACTTTGGACATAATTGTGAACGAATGTTGGTTAAGAAACAAAAATTTGCTTTGGCTTGGTTCCTAAAGCCTGGTGCTGCATCCAGCAGTAAAAAGGTGGTGGAAACAAGAATATGGCTTCCAGGAAATCCCCAGACAGATAACTCAAGAATGACAATGGCTGTAGTCACCCCCTTTGACTCGTAAGCTTTTCTGCGTTGGTGCCGCTGACTCAGGGAAGGGTTGGGTAGGCAAAGAGGAACAAGCAAAGTACGCCACAGCGTAATTCAAGTCATGAACCGGCTCAAAAGTCTGCACATTAAGATGCGATTTGTACGCTTCACCAAGCGGACATCTTGTCGGTCGGTTGGCCCTGGAGCCAAGCCGATGCGGTCGGAACCAAAGGTCGATCCTGAAGCTTCTGGTAAGTTTTATGGTGACACTGGAATTCCCAGACCTTTCACAGTACTTTTCCTTGGAACTATCTGCGTGGTGATTCACGTTGGGTCTTTTGGTTAAGCTGTAAGGGTAGCCTCTTTTACGTTCGGTTCCTACTGCTTTCAGATTCAAAGGACTGGATTATCGTTTCCCTCTGGGATCGACACCATGCTCCGCCTGTTAGCTTGGTTCTGAGTCTTGGCTTGGCATAGACAGTATAAAGAGAAGGTAGATTGTGGAGGTCTACATATGAGTGTAACCTGTGGTGGTACTAGACTGGTTTTCAATCCTGTTTGCCTCTGGTATTTGCTGTTTGTATACATTCGAGGGTGGTGCTTGCACTACTGTAGGGTTGGCTTGAACCTTTTGTTCGTAGGGTTCTTGTTGACTTCCTCTCAGGTCTGAGGCCGAGATCTGTGAGTGGTGGTTTCTGTACGAGTAGGGCTTCCGGAGTCCTTGATTCTGGGTTGTTTTTGGGCCACGGTGGTCCTGTTGGCTGGTCTGGTCTGGTTGACTAGATTTCTGGTATCGTTCTGGTATCGTTCTGATCTCATTCTGGAAATCGCGGTTGTCTGGGTCTCTGGCCTGTTCTGTACCTGGGTTCAAGGCCTTTGTAGCTTGAGTTTTGTGCTTAAGCCAGGGAGAATGAATACTGTGGGGCACGGTATTCATTATGTAGTCATGTCTGACCGAATGGGTTTTGCTTCCTTGCCGGACTCTTTCTTGAAGTCCTTGGAAGGCTATCTTCAGTCTCCCCCTTTTTTTTTCTGGTGAGTTTTCGAAGATTCACTGGTAGGCTCGGGCAAGTCTTTTTGGACTTTGAGTTTGCTACACCATAGATTGTGGAAAATCTATTGCTGGGGGGTAGACAATCCCAAGAGGTTTCGGGAAAACGAGCCAAAAACACCTAGTTTCTACGCAATATTGGCGAGGTTTTCCCTCACAGACATGACGGTATATCAGTCATTATGATTGCTACCAGTCCTTGTGTCCGGACTCAAACGATGCGTACACATGCATGTCCAGACATCCGCAGCTATTTTGAGATGGCAAAACCAAAGTTCATCTGCACAAAAGGATATGCTTCAATGACTGATCAATTGGGTATCAGTGACTTTATCAGTTGAATCAACATAAACTGACTATACAAAAAAAAAGTCACTGAAGAGATAGCGTGGAATTCGCCGATGATTTCAAGCATCACGCAAAACCTGTGGTTAGAGTCCTAGCCACCCTCATTTGAGGAGGACTCTGATTAATATGGTCTGGTAAATGAACCAGACCAAGCAGGGTGAGCTAGAAATTGTCACAAAAAAAGCAGGTTACAGTTAGCAACTGGAAATGCGTATACTCAAGAAAACAAGACCCGAGTCGAAGGGCATTTACGCAAACTTTCAGCTGTGAAGGAGAAGCAAGGTTACTTTCGATGAACCTATCCAAACCAAGTCGAGACAACTGCATACAAGCCATGTATATATATATATACTTTTACGGAAAATTGGGTCCAATATCAAAGCAAATTTGAACATAAACATGAACATGAACATGAAAAAATGATATCAAGCATTCAAGTATCCAAGTATTCAAGAATATAAACCTTCAAGCACAACAAACCTAAGATCAAGTAAGCTGACCCAGAGTCTCGCCATCTCGCTGGGTTGGTCAAAAAGCACACGAAGAGTCTCGACTAGGATACGGTTACAACAAGAATAAATTCCTCATCATCATTCGAGACTATTGGCTCAGGACTGCAAAAAAGGTATTTGAGATGACCGGATTTATATTATGGGCCGAGAACACCAGCAAGGAACAAGTAGAGGCCGCCAGTAGTAAACAACAGAGCTCAAGGCGGAAAAAATGTGAGCCACAAAGCAAGCGATAAGGCAATTTTTCAAGGGTTGCTTCTGTCTCTAGACTTTTTCGTCAGAGACAATATCAACCATTGGTCCGTCCATCCAGAAGATAAGTACTATTTATACACAACATGTCTCGGTACTAATTATATGATATTTTGCTCTTCTTCTTCTTCTCAAGGTCGCCCTGTGACAGGGCTCACAATACTACAACCCTTTAGAGGATACCAGAGAGAGTTTGGGAGCGTTAGACTTTACCAAAAGGCAAAGCTGCTCGGTACGCTAGTCGTACCTTTTCTCCCCTCGAAATATTGTACATTGCATTGTATGCCTGTATATATTTAGGGTTCTTGGCGTGGTAAGCCAAGATCTGGTAGCTCCTCTGCCATTTGGTGGCCAAACCCTTTTGTGGTTGACCCCATCGCTGCAAGTTGGCACATTGTTTCTGCTGGAAGTTTGGTTGTTTACTGTTGGTGGTCTCGTATACCCCCTGCTGGTGGTCAAGGTCCATTCCGCCCGGTCATCGAAGAACATTTTGCAGTCCCGGGCCCGTCTCTTCAGATGATGTTACCTATTCCAAGCCAAGTTCCTTTCCTTACGAAACAAATTCTCTCAATTAAGGTATGTTATTTCAGTCATTCAAACCTGCCCTATATTTAAATATATTTCTCGTTTTCTCACTAATTTTCTTCTTTATCTTTTTAAGCCATATTCGGCCTTATCAACTCCAATAATGCGGCAAATTCAGAAGCCTGAATCCTGTGCAAGAATGACAGCAGCAAGAACCAAGTCAAGCAAGAAGAATACAAAAAGATACAAAAAAATACAAAAAAAGATACAAAAAAAAAATTCAAAAAAAAAGATGCAAAAAAAAGATGCAAAAAAGAAGCAAAAAAGAAGCAAAAAAAAATATATTCACAATTATCTCTCTATCTCAAGTGGAAACTCATAGACTAGCAGAATCCCTGAAATGGTCAAGCCACGGTTTGCTTTTATGTCCAAGTCCAATTCCGAGTCTTGTCCAAGTCAAAGTCCAAATGTCCAAAACTATCCAAGTGTTGGTATAGTACTAGTCCTAGCACACAGATATATACAAACAAGTAGAGAAGTACACAATTAGAGAAGTAGAAAAATACATACACACATACACACACACAAGCACACACAATTTCTATTCTTTATTTTTCTTTCTTATACACACACACACACAGACATACAAATAGTCATAGTCATATACATACACACATACATATACACACTCATATACATACATATACACATACATATATACATACAAAAGTAGAGGCGCATTTCTATCCAAGTCCAAAGTCTGGGTCGTACCTCCAAGTCTCAAAACCAAGTCGATTTCCAAGAAAGGGTCCAATGCAAAGTTCCAAAAGCAAGTTCCAAAAGAAAAATCAAAAACCAAAACCGAGGCCTATACTAAGTCCTGTAAAAAAAAACAGGCATATACTAAGTCCTCCTCTCCAAAAGGATCAAAAGAAATCCGAACCCGAGGCCTATACTAAGTCCTGTGCAAAAAAAAGGCAGGCATATACTAAGTCCTTCTCTCCAAAAGGATTAAAAGAAATCCGAACTCGAGGCATATACTAAGTCCTCCACTCCAAAAGGATCAAAAGAAATCCGAAACTAAGGCATATACTAAGTCCTTATCTCAAACAAAAATGATCAAATCCAAAAACCGAGGCGTAGACCAAAACCTATCAGAAATGATCAGGTACATATCAAGTCCTCCACTCAAACAAAAAAGGATCAAAAGAAATCCGAACCCGAGGCCTATAATAAGTCCTGTAAAAAAACAGGCATATACTAAGTCCTCCTCTAAAAAAAAACAAAAAATAACAAAAAAAAAAAAACAAAAAAAGAACAAAAAAAAACAAAAAAAAAGATGAACAAACCGGAAGAACTCTGCATTGGAACCTGGACCTGGACTGAAGCAAGGCTGCGAACTGAAACAAGACTCTGGATTAGGACAAGGTATGAAATCCCCTTATATACATGCAAAGCAAATGAAGTCTTTGAACAAAAACAAAAGAAATGCTCAAAAAAAAAGCTCAAAAAAAACAAAAAGAGCAAAAAGAGCAATACCAAAAACCCCTCCTCTTATTCTTTTCAATATCAAAACCTATTCTCATTACTATTCTGTGAAATTGACTGGACAAAAAAAATCAAAAAAAAAAATTCAAAATCAAAAAGTCCGAATTATCCCCTTTACTGTGTGCTGTGTTCGGACAAAAAAAAAGCAAAAAAAAAGCAAGAAAAAAAAAGTTCAAATCATCCTTTTATTCTTTTCAATACCAAAACTATTCCATTATTACTATTCCGTGAAATTGACTGGACAAAAAAAAAGGCTCAAAAAATCAACTGGACAAAAAAAATCAACTGGACTTGACTGGAATCGACTGGACTGGACTGAAGTAGCATGAACTTGACCATCTTATACTATATTACATTTACTTTATATTTATTTTATAAAAATCTTTGAATAATAAAATTTCCCTCATATGTCTTTGATGTAGAATACACTATCTAAATAGCCATGGACCCAAATTGAGAATATTTGTTAAATATTTTGCTCCATATTAACACATCTACTGTGAAATCAGATGCTGGGCCAAATATGTGTATTTGTATTATACAATTCCCATACTTTTTTATCCTCGATGCACAAAGTCTTAGAGTTCTTCTCTGATATAAACCGCTACACCTTTATTTTTCTCTTTTAAGACTCGTTACAAACCTCTCGCTTCTCTTGAGCTTTCTAACTCTACAAAATATCGTCAGAACTTCAGTACAATCATACTGCACTTCTTTATTAAACTCAAACCAATTCCAAAAAGAAATATTACAGACGAGTGCGGTGGTACCTAACACACACACTTTTTTTTTGAAAGAACGTCAATCGTCACTTGAACTACTTTAACGGAGTTGAATTTCACGAGTTCCTTTTCGGTGAAGAGGACCAAAGTAAATGGAGTCTTCTATCTACTTTACGCATCTCTTGCATCCTTTCATCGCTGACGTGTGCCCCTTCAAAAAAAATTAAGGGGAAAGATGCGTGACTATTCTCATATGCATGTGACTACTAGAGCTAAAGACGATGAAAAAAAAAGCAAAAAGTAAACAAAAAAGGACGCAAAAAACAGAAAAAGACGAGCGACAACGATGCGAAACCTTATTTACCATCAGAAACTACAATTCTGCTTATACGAATAGCTCATTAGCTTATATATAACTCTCATCATATCTTTGCAGAAATGAGTTTGTCAGAACATTGCGCATTAAAGATCAATTCCCTAGTTTTCTCATTCAGCCTGACGTCCGATGTTGATTTGCGCATCCTTTTAACAGCCACTCATGATAGAAAGCAAGAGTTTTTAGGGTAAAAAAACAAAAGGTACACGCGTTTAAAAACTGTTAAATTCTTGAAAGTACTTGGCATATATATGTACAGTCGATATCTGATTGATTTCTTAGAAATATAATAGAGTTTTGACTATTACAAGAATAATATCTTAATTCTTATATATGGTACTAAAAAGTGTGTATACTTTTTAATATTGAACAATACAAGATACAGAAAAACACAAGAGAAAGGTCTTTTGAAAGGTCTTTTAAAAAGGGTTGCTTTTATTTTATATGATTTAGTAAAGGCTTTTAGAAGGAAATCACGCTGTCAACATATCTATTTTACACGCTTGATAGCCATTTTCTTTCTTGAGCCTCGATCTCTCCAAGTTGTTTGAACGTCGGGGTTTATTATATTTTGCAGGAAAGCACTTTGGTTTAGGTTACCGTATGGAAATTATTCGCAGACCTTCAAAGCACAAAGATCCAAGAGAACACGTATACACACTGAATGGATCTAATATTTCTGTAATAACATTCACAGATCTTCAGAATATAATTATTTAAAAGCATTTTAAAAATAAAAAGGGTTTGTGTATGCAATGGCCCGAATAAACAGGTCTATCTTTTACGAGCTTCGAGATTGTATTGTGTGTTCATTGAAGGTTATAATAGTGTTCGGATCGCTCAAAGGTTAGTTAAATTGGTTTATATGATATAAATGCACATTGAATACTATTGAATTTACCGGTGAAATGAAAAGTGTAATAAAAAAAGGGCATTTTGATCAAAATGGCAAATCAAATCTTGAAATTCAGCTATAACTCTATATCGGTTAAGTCAAGCTACTTTTTATATATAAGCAACCTGGTGGAGTACATTATGATCCATCATTCAGATGTTGTTTGACATTGATTGCATAAATACCAGACAAAATATCCCATTTTTTCACTTTAAAAAAACAATTTACTAATAAGATTTTGAATATTTACACGATATAAGCATATTTGATCCAAAAGTTCTCTCAGGGTATTCACCTAAAAAAATCGGATATTTTTGTTTTTTTTTTGCTACCAAGTAAAATTGTTGAGCAAATTGATCCATGATCTCTAGTGTTTATTTGACTAGCAACAGACCAATATTCGTGGAGATATCAAGAAATGTAAAAATGGCAATTTCGATATTTACACCACGTAAGCGTGTTTGCTCCAAAAGTTACCCAGGACATACACCTAAAAAAATCAAATGGTTGTGTTTTTGTTTATTAAGTAAAGCTGTGCAGCAAATGGAGAGATAATGCTCAGTGTCTGTTTGACCAACAGCAGACCAATATTGATGAAGATATCGAAAGATGAAAAAATGACAATATTGATATTTACACCTTAAACGATATTTGTAAATGCCCGTCAATAAAAGGTTGGTGTATTCACAAAAAATGATTCGCAGTATGTGATGGACAGACTCTATAGTTTCTTTTGCACAGAACATTATCAATGATTTATTTTTATTTTAAAGTAAATATATATATATATATATAATAAATTGGATGATAATTCTTGGAAAGAATTGGTCGAGAATTAAGAGGCTGGCTGTAGTTGCTTAGATACTAATATCAGTTTAATGTATGTGTGTGTATATTATTTTTACTATAGACAATTTTATTTTGCTCAAGTTCCATTTACCAATACTGGTTTCACAATATTTATAGTGTAATATTGTACGTATGAGCTTAACAGGCACATATAAAGATATGTTACAGAAAAGACAAGTGTAACAAAAGATGTTCGAACAATAGAAATCTGTAATTATTAAAGCTGATCACCATTACTATTATCACTATCACTAATAAGAATAAGAGTAATAATAGCTGTAATCAGCTTTAATAAAGCCACTAAACATAAGTTGGTCTATCACTACTTATGGTGACATTGGTCCTGGAGTGACATTTCTTTTTTTTTTTTAAAAAAAATAAAAAAAAATAAAAAAAAAGGTAGCTTTGTGGCTGTACTTCTTGACTGTACCACAACAAGTTTGGCTTCTTTTTGGTACACCACACCCTAAACTCAGATTTAGTCCTTGACAGCCATAACCAAGAATACATGTGTATGTATGTATCTAGAGAATACAGTAAAGAATAATTTCCGTACAACACTAGAGTACAACAAGATGTGCTACTCTTAGTGTTTGAGAATAGATTCCGATAAGACACAGGCTTTGGTGATTTGTCTGGATGTCTTGTAAGTGGGAATTATGGAAATGGGAGGCGGGGATGCGGGGATGCGGAGGCGAGGACGGAGACGGGGGATGAGGATGAGTACAAGGGACGAGGGACGAGAACGGGAGAAAGAAATTTGATTGATACACGATAGTCAAGGTCTGGATGTTTCAAATCTAATGATCAAATTCACATCAAATTCACATGTTTATGCAAACCGATTCCTCATCCTCATTTGCATTTGAATTTGCACTTGCACTTGCACTTGCACTTGCATTTGAATCTGCATTTATATTTACATTTACATTCATATTTACATTCATATTCATATTCACATTTTTTAACCCCTTGATTTGTTCATGATACTTGCCTTGAGGAAGCAGGTGCCATGTTATCCCTTGATAAAGGCTGTATTATTTTCTTTATGTATATATGTTTGTGTGCGTGTTTGTGCAGATTCTTGGCAGGATGGTTTGTTGGCTTGGACTTGTTGCTTTTACAGCAAAGATAAAATCTTGTGAAACAACTAGGAGTGGCTGGTGAGAGTTGTTGCTGTAGTACTGACACAAAAATAAATAAACAAATGTAAGAGAGAGAGAGATGTGTGCATAATTTCTCTCTCTAAATACAAATACATATATTTTTTGGCTTATGGAACATTTTATAATCACTTGTATTCTGCAATTGCTGTATTTCCTGCCACTTCTTGGCTTCTTTCAAAGATAATAATCTCGGTGGATCGGAACATATATTACTAGCTATTTATTGTAGTAATTTGTTTTTGTGTGTTGGATTGAAACTGTTGTGGTACCTCGTTTCTTGTCTTTTTGATCTCTTTTTTTCTTAAAAATAAATAAATAAATAAATTCCTCCTGCATACAAAAAAGAAGAAGAGGTATATAGACTAATGGGTCCGGTAGACATTGTGTATAGTTTCACGTTCAAGTCAAACACAAAACCCATCTGCCCGGATTGTTTTTCTCCCCCAAGAATAACCCAAAAAAAGAAAGCCTTTAACCTGTCATAGTCTAGATACCCAAATTTTATATATAAAAGGATAGAAATAGTAATTACTTGTCAGATCTACATCACCATCTATTTCACACACACACAGAAAAATATATCACTTGTTGCTGCTGTTGTTGTTTGGGATATGTATATATATATATATATAATGTTTTTGATTATATTAATATATATTGCCAATAATCATGACCATAATAATGATCATAAAAACAATAATTTTTTTTTATTAAGATTCTGTTTTCTCCTCTTACCTTTTCTTATATAAAATAGGCTTCATTCTTATTTTTGGGGGTTATTTGTTGCTATGTTGCAGTTCTATTGACTGCGCACTAATAATAAAGCTAATAATACCAAATGTCAAACAAAATAGGGGGATTGCTAAGGAAAATCATAAATGAAAACAATTTATTATTTTGATTTTCGTGTTGATCCCAAGCCATTTTATATATATATTCTATATTTTATATAAATTGCGATTACCATGACGTGAGAAGAGATCAAATACATACAAATCATAAACAATTTCTGTTTTTATTACTTATAGTCTTTATAATTATATAGATAAAGAAGAGTAAAACAAGAGAGACATTATATACATATATAAATTGTAACCATTTATTGACCAGTTTGCATGACACAGGGCCTGTGCTTATTTATATACACCATAAATATATATATAGCATCATTTTTGATAACTAAAACTTATCTCACATGTTAACAAAACCACAAGAAAACAGGACAATTATTTTATATGTTTTTTTTTAATAAGACCATTTGAGGTTCTTGCTGTCACCCTTTCCGAGAATACGAGTCTTGCGATCCAATACCTCGGTGACCTTTTGCTTGACACCTTGCTTGCTTCGACGATCCTTCAAAAAGTATTCGACCACCTCGTCTCGGCTCAAGGCATAGTTTCCAACATCCGGTGCTTCTCCGGTCACCACACGCTTGATCTCTTCTTCGCTCGGCAACACAAACTTGCGATGGGGGTACTGCTTAAAGTCCTTGGTCGACAAAAGGTTGAGATGGATTTTTGAAGCCGTATCAAAGTACTCTTGGCGGATCTTGGCCTGGTCGACTGCCGCAAGATCTGGGGGGTTCCAGTTGGGTGGCGTGCGGGTCACGAGTGTCGAGTTCACACCCTCTTTGAAATCATGGCCCTCAAAGAACTTTTGGACCAGGTGGAATTCCATCTTGAATGACTGGCCAATCGACAGACTAGCCCCATTGCGTAGTTGCTGGAGTGTGACCTTTAGCGAGGTAGGTGACATTTTGTTCAGCAGTTTGAGAGTAGAAGCACCCCAAGCCGAATCTTCCTTTTCGAGAGCACCAATGATTTCCTCGACAGTATCATACTTGAAGCATCTTTTTATTTATTTATTTATTTATTTATTATTATAATGTGTATATTGGTGAATAATATGTATATATTTACCTGTCAATTGCAGCACGGACTTCACCTCCCATAGAAAAGTTGGGCTCTTGATCTAATTCAGCCGAAAACTCTTCAATGGCAGTGTTGACAATATCGTGTGTGGGATTCTCGATCTCGGATAAACGCTTTTCAAGGTCCTCGAGACGGGAAGAAGGAACGAAATGAGTAGCAATACCAGCATACCTAAGATTACATTGATTTATTGATTAATTTAATTTAATTTAATTTAATTTAATTTAATTTAATTTAATTTAATTTATGTTATATGTTCAACAGCTAAGATATACAGATGCTTACAATACATCGACAGCCTTGAGTCGGAACCCTGTCAGGCCAAGATAGGTACCAAGTTCACCATCAAGACGAGGTAAAAAGAAACTGCCTCCTACATCAGGCAGGAACCCAATGGCAGTTTCTGGCATGGCAAACAGGGTTTTCTCGGTAGCGATACGGAAAGGAGCATGTACAGAAAGTCCAACACCACCACCCACTTTATACAATAATGATCATTAGATCGATATAACTTTAACAGATCACTAAACTTACTGGTGATTCCATCCATAAGAGCCACAAATGGCTTGTTGAGAGTTGCGATAGAATGATCCAATTGGTACTCAACCTCGAAGAATGTTGCTGCAGACTCGTCCTTTGCATCAACCAGATCCACAACAGCTGAGAGAAATAATGTCACATTTGTTAAATTCTTTTGATATATATGTATATATGTGTATATATATATATTTACTTTTCACATCACCGCCTGCGCAAAACCCTTTTCCTCCAGAACTCTTGAGTAAAATGATCTTTGCCAAATCAGATTTTTCCCACGCCTGGAAAAAAGATTAAAATCAAAGAAATCAAAGAAATCAATGGATCAAGTAAATAAATAAATAAATAAATGTATGATTCTGTTCTGTCTAGTTACCTGGACTTTTGGGAGCATGGCTTGAACCATAGGCAGGTTGAGTGCATTGAGTTTCTTTTGTCTATTGAGAATGATATTACGCACGCCGAGATTTTTTTGAAAGAGAACCTCCTATAATACACAATTGATAGTTGGATTTTAGTCGCGAATACCAGCAACATATATATACAAAAAGGTCAATTCTATTTTACTTGAGCTTCTGTAGTTGCGACTCCGGACATCTAGAATGAACAATACAAGAAAGAAAGAATGTCAATGATGTCAATGTTGATGACTGTGTCTTTTTTTTTTTGAGACAATTATTGTTCCAACAGATATTTTACCCAACGTGTTGTTTGAGCCAAGCGACCGTTTGCACTCATAAGAGTGGATTGGATAGGGTTAACGAGACGTGTGACTGGACGCATAATAATAGTGATAGTGACAATGTATTATATTGTTGTTATTAATTTATTTATATAGCTAAATAAAGTATAATATATAATTATATATGTATAAGTATGGGATATAAGGGTAATAAAGCAAAGCAACAAAAAAGTATAATTTATGTATCTGTATATGTATACTTTATGTTTATAATACAAATATCCCAAGCTATGTGTCTATGTGTCTATGTGTTTTGATTGCTTAATCTATCTAGCTATCTAGTTATCTATCAATCTAAAGAAAGACAAGGAGGAAAGAAAGTGAAAGCAAGTGAGAAATAAAACCAAAAAAAAAAAAAAAAAATGATAGAATGCTGTGATGTCATAAAGTTTAAAAGATATATATATATTTAAAAATAAAAATAAGTCAAATGTATGTATTTATTTATATGTAATCACTGCAATAATTTGTTATAATATTTTATTATGATTGTATTTAGTGCAAAAAAAAAAAAAGTACTGAAGCTTATATATATATTATATATTATATATTATATTTATATATGAAAATGTGTATTGTGTAGTGTGTGCGTGAGTGTAGTGTGTGTAGTGCAGTGTATGTTTTTATGTGAGATTTGAAAAAGAAAAGAAAAGGATAATCTATACAAAGAAAAGGAGAAATGTACATTCATGGTTTTTTATATGTGAACTAAGAAGAGAGTAAAGAAAGGGATATTAAGAAATAAAGAGGTTGTTTAGATGCTCTGTTGTTTGGCAAATGCCTTTCGCATGTTTCTTTCGTTATCGTCCATCTCGTACAACTTGACGGTGCTACCGAGGGCTTCTTGGCCTTGTTGGATGAGTGATTGGACAGTCTCTTCTAGTCTGGCCATCGTTTCATCTGTTTCTTGCTCAGTCAACAACCGCAACTGGGTTCCACTGAGCGTGTTTGATGGCATGGACTTTGTTCTTCGCTTGTCTCGCTTTGTTTTCTGGTTGATATCCAGACGCTGGGGAAGTTGTTGGCTCTAATAAAAATAATAAAAAAGTGTCAATAAAATAAAACATATATATATATATATATATATATATATTTTGTCTCTTACTTTTCTGTGTTGTACTGCTTTTTCTAGTTTTGTACGAGTGCTGTGTTCAGAGACTGTCTCGGCCCATTGCTGTGTTCGTCTTCTTTTTACATCGTCCTCGGTATCTGCTGGGGTCTGTATCTCAAGACTAGGCTTTTTCTTAGGGTTGATGTGTGTGTTATTCTGGGGAGGTGGCGTAATTTGGACAGCGGCGGGGGGTGCATCGAGGGTTCCGGTGCAGTAGTTGTAGGCCGTGATTGCCATGGCAGAGGTGAATATCATGGCATCCAAGACGCGGGATATGACTAGTTTTGTAGTCGATAGGTTTCCGGACGTGTGATATTCTTCTTCTGAGCCAGGTGGTTGGAAGCGGCGATAGAGAAGATACATTCGGTCAGGGATGGCAATAGAGTTCCGTCGGTTGTGATAAGCACGAAATTGTCCATGACCACCACCATTATTATTATTATTATTATTATTACCAGCACCACTGGTGACAATGTTTCCTCCTCCATTTCTAGCACCTCTACCTCTACTTCCTGTTACTCCTCCTCCAGGCTCTGATCTACAGTCCAGTGTATCAAGAGGGCGTTTATCAACTACAGACATTTTCTTTTGTGTATTTATATATGTATTTTAAGAGATTGATTTGTTGGTTGCTTTGATTGGTTGCGTTGCGTTGATTGGTTGATTGGTTGGTTGGTTGGTTGGTTGGTTGGTTGGTTTATGTAGGTAATGTATACTTAAAAAAGAAAAGAGAAAAAAAGAAAGAAAGAAAGAAAGCTTGAAAGGATAAAGAGATTTGATATGTATATATATATATATATCTTTTTTCTTTTTTATTTTATCACGCGCCAAAAGTAACGGGGCTTGAATAATGAAAATAAGAAACTCTGCTTTGAGATTCTATTTTACTACAAGGCCTTGACTTTATTTATATTTATTTATTTATATATATAATTTATGTACATAATACATTTATACATATATTCTCCTCATCCTTTATCCTCAACCAACACCCCTTGATTCGTATATATAAAATATTTGCATTAAAAAAAAAGAAATCTATATTTTGTATTAATATTGAAGTATTTGATGTTTACTGACATGTGATACTTCTTTTCGGAAGGAGAGAGAAAGGGTAGTTTATTTTTGAAAGGGAAAACATCTTTGGATCAGATAGAGATTATTAGATTTCAAATTTCTATCTATAACTCAAAAAAAAACACCGCCTTTCTTTTTCTTTTTTGGTTACCTTGTGAGCGCGTCATCCTTTCCTATTTCCCTTTTACTTCCTCTTTATTTATTTATTTATTTATTTATTTATTTAAAAAAAAAAAGGGGGGGGGGGATTCAGTGATGGATGTCAATGAAACCAATTATTTCAACAAGGTTCTACAGACCTGCTCTTCATACCGTAGACACGCGCTGAACCATAACCACCGTCGTCGTCATGACTTTATGGCTCTTGCTGAACATCACAAAAAGTTGATTCCTCAAGTGCTCGACAAAATTAACCTTGTAGACGAAAAGATTCATGCCAACTCTCATTTTTTATCTTTGATGATTGATGGCTCTGATACACCTATTGTAATTGACAGTGTATGTTTACCAACCAAGTATTCAATCAATCAATCGATCAATCGAATATTTCTATTATAAATATACATATAAACCAATCATTGATTCCTTTTTATTTATTTATTTATTTATATGTTGTATGTATGTGGGTGGGTGTGTTTAGTCAGCTCCTCCTGTGTCGGCTGAAATGGATAAAGTCCGTAGCACGCTGAAACAGTTTGTGAGGGATTGGGCAGTACAAGTAAAGTGACCAACATAAATGAATGAATTAATGAATGAATGAATGGAACATATCGCATTCTCGTGTATCTTTCTCTGTGTAATGATCTTCAAACAAAGGTCCCTCATTTATTTTAACAGGGAAAACCTGAGCGTGAGGCAACTTATCGTCCGATACTCGACACACTCGAAGCACTCTACAGCAACACTAGTGTCACCGCAAGGTAATACACCTCTATACATTCATACCCTTAAAGCTTCTTTGAACGACTTTCCTAATTTACTTTCCTACTTGTTTATTTATATATCATTTAATCTTTTCTAGAGGGAATGTCCGTGTTCTTGTACCTGGTGCTGGTTTAGGCAGACTGGCGTTTGAGATTGCTAAGCAAGGTAAAAAATATATATAATTATATAATATAATATAATACAATATATATATATATATATACTTATATTGCTTTCACTAGGCTTTAGCTGTCAAGGTAAGCAAGAAAATTGATACCATTATCGACCTAAATGATAATAATATATTTAACGTCCTTGAATCTTAGGGAATGAATTTTCCTACTACATGGTAAACTCCCTTTTTGTGTTATTATTCTTTGGGTATGTGTGTTATTAATCCTATTCTATAACACATCTACACATATGCAGCTATTGGCATCCGAGTTTATACTAAACAGGTAAGCTATACTTGGTTGTATACACCCACTTGTCAAATATATATATATATATATATATATATGATGATTAATTATGTAATATATCTTGCAAAGGTCAACTGCTGCTGAACAATATGAGCTCTACCCTTTTATTCATTCGTTCTCAAACATAAAGTCAAGCAACCAACAGCTCACTCCCATTCGTGTACCCGATGTGGTTCCTGGAGACTTGCCTCCGAATGCCGACTTTTCGATGGTTGCTGGAGACTTTTTAGAAGTCTACAAAGACGACAATAGTAAGTCAAGTCAATCAACAACAAAAGCACCATCCGACTAAGCAATAGTATGATAGTATGATAAACTGACTTAACTGATAAAACATATGCATATAGATTCATGGGATGTGATTGTGACATGTTTCTTTATTGACACTGCAAAGAATATCCTTGAATACATCGAGACTATCCACAGAATACTAAAGCAGGGTGGTACTTGGATTAACATTGGCCCACTACTCTATCATTTTGAGGATTCGATCGATGAATCTTCAGTGGAACTTTCGCTCGAAGAACTCAGACAAGTAGTTCAATCCATGGGATTTACTTTCAAGGTAATTTTAAAATATTATAGAATAGAATATAGATTGGTTGATAGAAAACACTTTCCCCATTCCTATACTTGTACTTGTACTCATTCATCTTGTTCTTTGAACAGGAGGAGAAAATGATACCTACTGCTTACACTGGTAATCCAGATGGCATGCTTAGTTATGTATATGACTGTGCCTTTTGGACAGCGGTCAAGAACCCTTGCTAAAATAATAAATATATAATATATATATATATATATATATATAGTGTGTGTGCGTGTATTTTTCTTTCTTTCTTTTGAACTACAACAGCTGTGGTAGGACCAGTAGCTAAAACAAGAGTCAATCATATGCTTTTCTCTTGCGTGGGTAAAGTCCAGCCTACGCAATACAGGTGACAAAATGAGCATCACTGTTTTTTTATATTTATTTATTTGACACATCGGCAGTTCTTTGAGGTCCCAGATCCTTATGATCTTACGACATCTCAAGAAAGAAATAGCGAAAACAAATCAAGCTGTTCAATACATAGTTCATACTTATCCACATTAAATATATACTTTTTTATTATTATAATCTTATGTATAGATTCTATTTAGCCATTAATTGTGTGTACGAGATCAAGTCAAAGTGTCACAACCGGATCGCCTTATCTCTTTCTTGAAATTCCCCATCACACACACTTACTGCCCGGGTACGGATGTTCTCTCTATAGAGGTTCCGCTCTTATATATATATATATTTGCGTGGAATGAGAGTGGTAAAAAAAAAAAAAAGAATAGATATTATGGAAATTGTTTATAAAGAAGGGTGATCGCTATACATCAAGTAACTCGGTCGATCTCAAGTTATGTTGGTAATTAGGAATTACCTTGTACAAAGTAGTATTGGTAGCATAACATAAATTGACCCTTCTCTTATAATACAATCTACCATTTCAAGGTCTTTATAGGTGTCTTGTTCTTTTTGTGATCTTTGGTGCAAATTACTCGGTTTGTCAGCCTATTCGACATCTAATCCAGCATTGTAGTATCCGGCTTTTACTATATAGTTAAGGCTGATCGGACCCATTCCGAGTACCCGACAGATTTACCCTTATATTATATTTATATATTATTTCAGATAAAATATGTGTTGTGTACATTTAGATCCAATAAAACAACCTACCAACCAACCAACCAACCAAAATTACAAACATTATCTCGATAATAATAAAGACTTATCTTGGCTGTATATCATTTACATATATAAACCATAAAGAGAATAATATTCCTTTACTTTCAAAACATGGCTATAAATCTACTTTAAATAAATTCACATTACATACCTTTATATATTTTTTTAAATAAAAAATAAATAAATCAATCAATCAATCAATAAAACATGGATAATTGCCAAATTCAAGCAGGACTTAATCAACAAATTGCTATCTCACTGGTTGCGGTCACTCAATAATCATTAAATCTCATTAACCATGCACTCACACTAATACAACCCACTCTATAATTTTAACACACTAATTAATTAATGAATTTACAGAGTGACGTGAACCAGTAAGTGTAGTAATCCAATCCCAATTCCCAATTCCCATTTCTCTTTTTTTTTTCTTGGCTCTTCTTCTATTTTCTCTCTCTCTCTCGTTACCAAAACACAATATACATAATGTCGTTCCAAGCAACGGCATTTGCCTACTTGTTCCCAGGAACACCTATGGTTAACTCCATATTGGCTACTGCTTACATATCAATCTTTCCCAATCTTCTTCTCTACTTTGTTCCTCCTCAAATCAACACATCCGCCCTTAATATCCTAGTCAGTTTTGCAGTTGGTAAACTTTCATTAAAAACAATTACTTTAATAATAACCAATAACCAATAATCATTATACAACCAAACAAACAAACAAACAAAAAACTAAATTAAACTTATTTAATAATAAAAATATATAAGGTGGTCTATTGGGTGATGTGTTTTTGCATCTGTTGCCTCATGCATTTTCTGCTGGCCATGGTGCAGACCTTGGTCATCAGGCAGCCGAGCAAAAGAACGTCTTGCTTGGATTGGGTCTGTTTGGTGGATTCTTCTTCTTTTTTGCAATGGACAAGTTGATGCGTGTGTTTAACGGTGGTGGAGATGGTCATGGTCACTCCCATGGTGGACATTCCCACTCCCACTCTCACTCTGATTCTCATCAACACGACCACGAAGAAAAGAAGGATTCGGCCCCTGCTGGACCGTCAGACAGTGAATTACGCCAACGCGTCGTTTCCTCCAAAAAGGAAACCAAGGAAGGAGTCCAGGTGGAAAACAAGGATGAAAAGAATGCAAACAAAAAGGATGTCAAGCTGAGTGCCTACCTCAACCTGTTTGCGGATTTTACTCACAACATGACCGATGGTCTGGCCATGGCTGCCTCATTCTATGCTTCTCCTGGCGTTGGCGCCACTACTGCCGTTGCTGTCTTTTTCCATGAAATTCCCCACGAGGTTGGAGATTATGCGATCCTGATCCAGTCCGGATTCAGCAAAAAACGTGCCATGATGGCCCAATTCACCACCGCAATTGGAGCTTTCTTGGGTACAATAATTGGTATCATTATCGAAGAGGCTTCGCTTGCCGGAGAGTCGGTTGTCAACCCTCACATCCATGACCCTGCTTTTATTCACGCTCATGCTAACGCTCACGGACATGATCATGCCCACGCCCACGCCCACGCTCATGCTCATGCTCATGCTCACGGACACGGACACGCTCATGGACACTCTCATGGTGGTCTTGGTTTGATGGGAACTGGTCTCCGTTGGGGTGATTTGGTTATTCCTTTTACTGCCGGTGGATTTATTTACATCGCTACTGTTGGTGTGATCCCCGATTTACTGCAGGTTTCAGGAAACATGAGCAAGGATAGACGCCAGGCATTGACTGAATTCGCTGCCATGTTTGTTGGTTTGGGTTTGATGGCTGTTATTGCATGGAATGAGGCTTCTATGTAAAGGCGAGATATCAATATACATACATTGCTCATTGTATTCATAGACTATTGTTTCTTTCTTTCAATTACATTTTCAAGCCTTTACACAGCAATAATAACAACCAAAAAAAAACTACATTACATTACATTGCATTATACTACACTATATTGTTACAATTGTACACACTTATAATCGCATATTCACTCGGGCAAATTAATATATATGTCTATGACGATATATATACATGTATCAATATACTTATTTCCCAACTCTTGATCTTAAACTTGATATATATATTGTATTATAATATTTTATATATTTATATTGATTTATCTAATGCAGCGTTATCTACCCTTTCATCTCTCTCTCTGTGTGTGTATGTGTGTCTGTTGGTCCGGGCAATCCGGAAAGACGTTAAACTAATATAAATGTTAGATAAAGGAAGCCGAACCATAAAATTGTCCGGGATTCGGCTGACATAGATTTGGAATTCCGACAACGGAGGATGCCCTTCATAGGCAGAATGGCAAGGTAACCTGAGCTCGACCTCTTTTTTAACTTGATCAGAATGGTATGTAGGATGTAATTAATACCCATATAGCCATGATTGAAGGAAGAGAATCACGATCCACACATATACACAAAACATCAACGATTCCCGATGGAATTTTGCAGTCGATATATGCTCTACTTTTGTACAAGAAACGTTCACAGACACACAGACACACACATACACACGGATTATATATGGATGGATGATCAAGGATAATAGGATTCGATGGATGATAAATGCACAGATACACACGCACGCACATACACACACACACACACATACACACATTTATATATAAATATATAATGATTGATCCGACTTGACGACTGCGAACATCGACAGATCAAATTTACTCCCCCTTCATAATATGAAATCCGACGACGAAACCCTATCTACGATATATACGATTCAACACAGCATCAACCACATTCTCATTTCCAACTTTCTCCGCTCAACACCTACACACACATACACACATACACACATACATATGTGCATGCACTCATACATGCATACAAAAGGGAAAAAAGTTGATTGCATAACAGCGGTGACAATTTTACTTTAAATGACAAAGCAATAGCCATCGCATCATCATGAAAACATTATATAGTCTATCATCGAACAAGTCTGTGCATGTGAATGTGTTGGTGCATGAATGTGCTTGTGTGTCTGTGTGTTTGTTCACAAGTGTACATTCGTGGTCGTGATTCCCTTTTCTTCTTCTTTACAAAATCTCTTCAGTTTTCTATATCAACAAATACTCATTTATTCTTTCGTTTCTTTTCTTTTTTTTAAAAAAAAAAGGCCGACGCATCGACTGTCACCATCCGTACTCGCAAGTTCTTGACTAACCGTCTCCTCCAGCGCAAGCAGATGGTTGTGGATGTCATCCACCCCGGACTTGCCAACGTCTCCAAGGACGAGCTCCGTGAGAAGCTTGGTAAGCTCTACAAGGCCGAGAAGGAACGCGTCTCCGTCTTTGGTTTCAAGACCCACTTTGGTGGAGGAAAGACCACCGGTTTCGGTCTCGTCTACGACACCGTTGAGGCCTTGATGAAGTTCGAGCCCAAGTACCGTCTTGCCCGTATCGGTAAGGCTGAGGCTGGCAAGGGTGGCCGCAAGCAGCGCAAGGAGAAGAAGAACCGCGCCAAGAAGGTCCGTGGTACCAAGAAGGCCAAGGCTGCCAACGCTGGCAAGAAATAAATTTTTTGGAGATTCAATATCTTTGAATTACTTTCCAAATATCCAAAACAAAAACAAAAACAAAAAACATTGTCTGTCTTTAATTATTATTATTATTATTTTGTTGTTGTTTTGGTGCTTGTGCTAATGGGTATTGGTGTGTTAATGTGTGTTTATGGGTGTGTATATGAGACTTCTTTATTTCTTTTTACTCTTTACATATATATATATGTATATGTATAAATGAGGGTGGGCATCAAAATGTTATCCCCTTTTAAGACATATGAGTGATATTGTTAAAAGTCAATTTTTGAGAACATACTCTTTTTCTTTATTTGTTTTCATTTATTTTCTATTGGTCTGTTTCATTATTTCTATCAATATGTTCTAATGTTTTGAATTCCAAGAAAAAGAAGAAAAATAGAAGCTGTATCAGGTAACAACAACAAGGTTGATCAATTACATGTGAAAATCTTCTTGTCTTTTGTACAATCCAAAAAAAAGTATTTATGTAATCTGATACACAACTTTTTTTTTTTTATCTAAACCTCAAGGCCTAGACATCATGCTTTTCTTTATGTGTTTTGTGTTTCTTCCAAGCCCACTATTTCCCTGTCAAATGTATATCACACGTTTCATCTTTTAAAGAAAATAAAAATACAATCATGATAATTTATTGAAAATATTCAATCAAAAATATTGGTGGTCCATCATTGTCCATAACTAAATCCTAGGGAGCCGACGTTTTTCCTCTTCTTTCTTTCTTCCTTTCTTTTTACCAGACCACCTAAATATGACTTGTTATGCAAAGTCCAATAATTACATCTGGTCCCTAACGATTCATAACTTTTAAAAATAAAGTTACTTTAATAAAGAGGCCGTAGACTTGTGGCATTTCAGACCAAGTTTCTACAGGTCTACACTCTCTTTAGTACAAACTAATATAATACCTTTAACTAAGTGTAAAAAGTATCATATTGAGTATACAGTCTTATGCCACTACTATACATTATATAGTTCATGTATATTTGCATAATTAGATGAGAGAGACAGGTGTCTATACAGGGACTGTCTTGAGAAGAAACAACCGCGCCTGCAAAGATAGAAAAATGCCCGCCCAAGTTTATTTAAATATCTTAGTCATAAAATGAACATTTTTGGATCAAATAAAGTAGCAATAATAGAACCATAGTCGAGTTTTTCTTTCTTTATCTCATGCTTTGTATACTAATCCTCTAACATATTTACTATATATGTTTATTTTCTATACTGCTAGAAACTCAAGTATTCACTACCCGTTTGCACTACTTGCCAATGGTTGACTTTTATAAACCCTGATATTATTTCATAGCATTTAGTCCCTAACCTTACCAACTTTATTGTTTATCTCAGTTGGGCACATAGTTACCCCTCACATATAGCAGACAGCAATAACTGTATAAATATCAGTAGAGCTTGATTATAGAAAGATCAAGCGAAAAATAAAAAAGTTCTTTAATCACTATATATCTTATATTTCCTTACCCTTGCTCAGGTCTGTTACTGACATTAGGTATTCTTTCTCGGCATAAGAATAAAGACATGCTTTTATAGTGTATAATAGATGTAGTGTATTTAATAAGGACCATCTACATTCACCTGTATATTTATTTTAAAGGACCTGAATTCCCTGTTTGCTAATGAATTACGCTTTGAAAGGAGATTTGATCGCCAATAATGAATAAAAGGACAAAATTAAGGCTATAAAGCTCTGGTGATTTTTATCTATCTAATCAACTAACCATTGATCCACTTATTTATTTTATTTGCACTATAGATAATAATACTAATAATAAATTCAACCCTAAAAACAAAGATATGTAGTCTCCCCTTTTTGTATTTATATATGGTGTATGTATGATACAGGCGTATATGCGCTAAATTAGACGTATGGTTTATGTGGTGTGTAGGCGTATATTACGCTTAATTAAACATATAGTTTATGTAGTGTATATGGTGCATTTATAGCACATTTGTCTGTGATTGGTTTGTAAGTAAAGGCCAATAATAAGCTTATTCTTATTCTTATTCTTATTATTCTTATTTGTATGTGTAAGCGTCTGTGTTCATTTTCTATGCAATTTTTGGTGACCAATATATACATATTGATTTATTATTTGATATTTTATATTATGTTTTAGCATGTTAATGTTATATTATGGTATGTCAAGATTGTTTTTAGGTTGAATTTTATTTGATGCACAGGGCGTTTGGTGGTGTAGCCACACCTCCATGCTTATTAAGGGGTGCACTGGTAAAGAAATATTCGTATACACCATCCTTGGCCGAGTCATCTGCCAAAGCTTCCAAGAAGAACAACTCACCAATTGGCATACCCCATCCACCCAAGAAAATAGAGTCTAAAATGAGAGAAAGATTGTTTTATTTGGTAGAATGTATAATCAGTAAAATAAATTTGTACGCATGTGTTGTACTTACGACACGATGTCTCGAAATCAAATGGCATGGCCTCTAGCGCAATACTGTCAGATGCCAGTGCAGAAAAGTGATTGTTCCACACCCAGCTAAAGGTCTCTTCGCAGGCCTTGATACCCGCACAGACTGGCAGGTTTTCAACATCTCCCTTCAGATTAGGCAAGCCTTTGTTCGCTTTCTTGACTTCGTATGCAGCAGTCCATCCAGTGCGGATGAGGAGCACGTCACCTTCTTCAAACTTGACTTTTTGAGATGCAGCCACAGCTTCGAGCTGCTGGACTGTGATCTCATGACGCTTGAATGGGTCGAACTCAGGGGCGTTCTTGACGGCCCAGCGGCCAAAGTCAAGCAAGACAGCGCGGCCAGCAATACCACGGCGAGCCATGTGGTGGATACCCAGACGACCTTCTGAAGAGTCTGTGATGTCCGAGGCAGAAATGTTGTTATAGAACTTTCCGCTGCCAATGTGGCAGAAATGGCGAAGACCGTCCCATTGGGATGATGCCTGGGTATTGAAATTGTCGTAAACATCATCAAATGAAATGCCTCCACCAAGGGGTTTGATGCTGTGCTTTGGCTCATAGCGATCCAGCATACCAGAGTCGGGACATTCGAGTTTCCAGTTGAGTGAATATACTTCACCACGGCGGATCAACTTTCCAGCCTATAAAAAAAACAGATGTGTAAGAATTCTAGTTAATTCTAAAGCAAAGTATATGTAGCTCTGTATGTTTGTATGTCTATATGTACGCGTTCTATTTTCTTCTTCTTCTTTATTTATTCTTTATTGTTCCATACCCTTTCGACTTTCTCAGGAGTAAGCAAGTTCAATGTACCCAGATTGTCTTCTTTTCCCCACAAACCCCAAGCGGAATGTGGTGGTGCAGTAGAATCAACAGGCAGCTGATCGTAGGATGGAAGAGAACCCTTGCAGCAAGACATTTCTTTTTGATTATTTGATTAGAGTGTGGGAGCAAGAAAAAGAAGAGATTTGAAACAGAATTCATGTATTTATATAAATATAATAATATAAATATAATACCTCTAATATATATATCTCTCTCACACATACGCACACAAAAATAATGCGTGCATTACGCGTCGATGTGTGCTACCCTGATTATAATATATTTTATTTTGTATACCACGCTTTCATATATTATATCTTTATTTTTCTATTTTAAAGTATGTCATTATTGTAAGCATTTACTCGGTATAATTAGAATGCTATACCTAGTTCTCGGTCCTACCCATTAAGACCAGTAATAAAATAAAATAAAATAAAGAAAAAATAAAGATTGCTGTGTAATACTATGCTTGTTTCGACCAGGTAATTCTCAGGTTGTTATAGTAACCACTTGGACAATAAGCTTATAAAAACGGCATGCATATATTACCCAAAGACTTTTTGCTTTCTTGGTCATTTTTTATTTACACGCCTATACTTCTTTTTTTTTTTGCTTTTCTTTCACCAACATTTCTAAACTCTATCTAGCTCAAAATAAATTTTTTGCCCGCTTAGACTTACATATACGTTGTGAAATTTGGAATTCAATCAATGGACAACAAGGATAATTGGTGAAACAGTATATTAAGAACAATCGGTTCAAGCGATGCTTTAGTATTCTCTGTGACACAAACAATGTTTTCCCGTAAAGATATAATATATCTACGATTGGCTTTGTAGAATTTTTATACATTTTGTAAGGGTCTATTATATAAGTACTTGTATGTATACTTGTATGTATCTCGGTATGTTTTGTAAATAATAGCTTATCATCCAAACTATGTATAAATTCAGCACATCTAAATATCATATCTTCTTCATATTTTCCCTTTGTGTTTTAAGCTTGTCGCTATTAATTATAGCCAAATTGTTGAAAATGAAGTAGAATAAAATAAAATAAACTCAATATAATATAGTATCGTTGCACAAGTAAAAAAAGAGAGAGTTGTTCTTATTCAGGTACTTGGTTACACATCAACACTAGACCTGGTTACCAAAAATGCGCCTTGGATATTATACAATCAAAAAAAAGAGAAATTGTCTAGTACAAGAATAAAAGTTGTACCAAATGTCTTATTGTTTATGTAACAGGTGTCATTGAACATCATAAAAGCTTCTCTTCTTTATTATTTCTATTATTATTAGGAAAATTGTAAGTTCACCAACGTCTTAAATAAAGTACAGTCATTCCACCTTCAATTGTACTTCTTTTTTCTTTTTTGAACATTTATCAAATACACCCCATCAACAGTGAGAATACTCACTCAGTATAATGCAGATGTTTCTTTTCTTTCTTCTCTTTTTGTCTTGACCAAAGAAACTGATGAGATCCAAGATGGAGGTCGCAAGCGAGCCTTTGGAGATGATTTTGAGAACTTTTGACTTTGGCCGAGGTATCAAACGAGTTCTGCGTGATCCAAAAGCCCGAAGAAGGCATATCTTTTGGCCATAGGGCCTGGACTAAAAGTTATCGTGCTTAAATTTGTCCCACTCTGCTGTTAAAGAAGAGTCTATGTGTCACTGGTATATTCGAAATCAATACAGTCAAACTACTAGCAAACAACCAACCAACGTCTCGTTTCGTTCCATGAGAATTTTAGGCGCACTCTCGGTAGATGTGAAATGTCTAGGCTTATAAAGATGAGGAAATCAATCATCATAATTGAATTGGAAAACAAAGATAACAATTCAATGATCTATCGGCTGTCCCTTAAGGTCCGTAAGTTTTATTGAGCTTGTTTACCTGGTCTTATAGATTGCTGCAACCTATTTAGAGAGCTTGACTCTGACTGGATTTTTGTTTTGAATACATCGATTTTTTCTCTCTCTCTTAAACCTTTATTGGTGTTTAAGATTCCCAAGCCTTCACAACAGAATCTCTGGTACCCACTTTGTGGAATTAAAATTATTTACCTGCTGACATGCAGCAAGACGTACAGCTGACCAAAAACAAAAACAAAAGCAAAAGCAAAAGATTAACCAATACTCACTCGGAAACAACCCCAAAGTCCGTGCCTATTAGCAGCACATCACCATTTATTGGTATTTATGAAGGAGGTTAAATTGGATAATATGAAAGGGAACGATACGTTTTAGGAGAGTATTTTGTTTATTGAAGAAAGAACTTCACGGCTGTTTTATATAAACGTTTGCTTTCTTAATGTAAAGACTTTCGCTGGCTAATGGTTTATTGTCACTGAAGGTAATACTAAATGTATATGAGTGCTTGGTATATGAGTACGTGTGTTACGGCTCCTAAAATGGTGACCGTTCCAGGTAACTTCTTTAGCAATTATATGATTTACTCTAGTAATGGAGCTTGCATTAGATAATCCCTCTGTCCACCTGATTCCTTACTTTAATATACACACCATAATCGAGTAAGAAGAACTAACATGCGTAGATATAGAAGTCGTAAAGTGTTGGTTGTTGTTGCCTTTTGTTTTCATTGCCATCAAATGTCAAATATCAAGTTTATACAGTTAAAAACAACATTTATCGCCTACAATAAATTATCACTTTCCAAGTTTTTACATGAATAAGTATAGCTTATTATTATTATTATTATTAGTAGTAGTAAAAAAAAGTACTTCATACTTTAGATAACGAATGGCCCATAAGTTATTATTACTCTTACTATCATTCTAATCTATTGTGTTTATTTTGTGGTGAAAAAAAGCTCGGGTATTTATATATTAGAAAATATATGCTTCAATTAAACAACAAAGCAATGAACGCTTATTTAGTCCAAGACCTTTCCCCTCTCTTTCTTTCTTTATTTTGCTTAGCTTTTAATTTTTAGCTATAGTTACATTTATCAATACAAGATGTGTTAAATGACTTGCTGAAAGCTAGAAGCATAATAATAATGATAGTACAAAAGAAAAAGAAGCAATTACCACCAGTTTATTATTTATTTAATTTATAGTCTTTGTGAGTGATTTTGTTAGCCTCGGCATTAAAAGCAATATATGTATACACATGTAGGCCAAAGGGATATGAAAATATTATAATACTTTTATTTGATTGTGTGGTGAGAATCAAAGTTCTCGAGTGAGTCAATATATGTATTCTTTGTGTATATATAAATGCGAGTTTGGTAGTCAAGACAATGCTCCGATGCTCAAAAAGAAAGAAAGCAGTCCGAAGTTTGACCTGCCTGAACGTGTTGCTGCCCTGGGTATTCCAAAAGAGAATAAGACGACTTGACAATGAGTACATTAAAGCTAGGATCCTTGCTGATAAGGTACATTTGTTACAACCTTAAAAGTTTCATTAGAGTACTAAAAAAAACCGATAAAAACAAGAACGTTGGCCAAACCTGTGGCAACATCCATCAAAACACAGGCCAAACAACATCCAACATTTCGTGAATTCTGCATCAATGTTGCTCAGGTGAACTATCATTATCTTGCTGCTGTAGTTTGTACTTTGTAGAGCAATAGACCCACACCTCCAAATTCGGCCGGTTGGTCTTGTCTATTATTTATCTTATTACTATAATTAGTAGCTTACTCAATGTCTACATTGACACATTAAACAGCAATCCCACAAGTTGGAAATGACATTAAAAATGAAGTTCTTGGGTTACAAAAAAGAAGTCATTCGACCTCTTAATGATGCCAGGTAATAACATAAAGGATTTATCGTCTGATGAATATCTTTTAACATGACATAGAGCTATTGAGAGTGGAGCAAACTTCCTTAGTGAATCTTTTGTATTTTCGGTTGCTGCGACTATCATCATTGCCGAGAGCTGGCGGTAAAGAAAAATAAATAAATAAATAAATAAAAAAGAATAATAATAATACAAAGTAATGAGAATATATAAGATAGACCCGAGCCGCCTGTGTGGTAACTATCCATCTTTTTAGATCACATTCTTCTGCAAAACACCGAAGAAACTATGTGGACGATGCATTGGAAAACCTGGAATCTCAGACTGTTACCTTGAAAGAAGCACTGGAAGCAGTTCAAAAGGCGCACAGTACTACAGAGCAACAGCTGAAGCAGATTGAAGAAGATAACGCTCACTTGCGTAAACTTTTGGATGAGGTTAGATGTGGTGATCAAAATTGTACCTGGGAGCAAATGCTTATTTGTTTTCTGTGTTTAATTAGATCTTGTCTGTCAGCCTGGGTCTCAGACATCATACAGAATATGATAGACAACCCTCAGTTATCACTCTTCCTGGACTGAGTCAAGAAAATTAGCTACATTTAATAAATTCGATGACAATAGACAGTTTGATTTCTTTTAACACACTACCTACCCAGTAAATTACAAAACAATAAGAACAAAATAAGACCCAAACCTCATTTGCTATTACTACTACTGGTATTGCTGTGGTGTTATATATATATAGTCAGTATTAGTTGAATTGGTATATACCGATTTAAAACAAAAATAAAACAAAAATAACATGGTCAATTGGGCTGATAATTCAAATGAACTATCTTTAGCTCACATTAAATATAAATATTTATATATGTATGTATGTATGTATTTGTGTATGTATAATATATTATGCTTGGGTTATATGTACATGTTTGATAATTGTATAAAGAATTGTGCTGTTGCTACTTGAAATGCTATAATGATGGTGAGCTAGATTATATTGCCAGTTGAACAAGGCAATATGTACGTGTCTGGACTCGATATTCCTCCCTTACTTTGTCATGTAAATCTGCAGATAATAGTAATAATAATAGTAACAATCAAATGCGCTTTGGGCCTCATTTCAATGCGTGATGTACTAATGCCGAGGTGTACCACATATTCTGATCCATATCGAGCGACTTATTTACCAAATCCAAGCAGGAAGTTCCTCAGTCATGATATCAATTAGCCAAAAAAAAAGAAGAAGAAGAAGAATCCCTGGTCACCCTTGAAGCACTGTAAGAGTAATATTATATCTGGATAACGATACTATAATAATCATCAGGTCAGTCATATTATTTAATATGTACATATCAAATGAATGTAGGTATACATTAACTTGCTTACCAATCATGGTCTGTTCCGCTTGCCTTTCTAGCATTGTCAAGATCTTCGGCAGATATGGTGCAGTAGCTATATACAACTGCTGGATCGCGATAAATAAACAGGTTTTCTGTAGGGTCATAGCCAATCAAACATATAAAATGGCCTGTTTGAATAGAAAATGTTAGTAAAAAGAGAAGAAAGAAAGCACAGCCTAATTCCAGTGAATCTCATCGCTTACCTATGTAATCATATCCCTTCATCTTTTCAAAAAAGAAGTCAAATTGGCCACATACAGTCACAACACAGTTTCGCTGCTCCTGTGACAGTATTTAGAAACATTGCATTGCATTATATTTCCAGGCTAACCTACCCTGCATTTCTGGCACTTTAACAAACGGGCATTTACTAACACAACGATTACAAAGCGCTGGCAGTAAAGAAAGCGCTTAAAGTCATCCATAGGTAGCATCCTGATAGACAATGTCAATAGTATTCAACCGGGTTTATCTACAGGAAAGAAAGAAAAAAGAAAAAAAAGAAAACACACAACTTACATTCGCACTACATGAATGGATTTGCTTTTCGCGGACCCAAACAGCTTATTTACACGTCTTTCGTCTTCGTCAAAATCATCTTGATAGAACTTGTTTTCTTGATGTTCTCGACGACTTCCAAAATAGCTTGTGTAGTATGTAAAGTCTCCTTCGTAATTGTTACGCAAAAGAACTGCGAGATCGATGGTCCAGACACTTTCGACAGCACATTGCTCAGCAAGGCTGCGTAGACTACATCGTATGCCTAGACCTTGCAAAACCATGGCAATACATGCTATTCCACAATCCCAGTTTGAATTCTACTGAAGAAAAATAAAATAAAATAAGGTATTTATTTATGTAATTAATTAATAATTACTGTTTCCAAGAGGAGGTCATTTCGTTGAAAGTAATGCATTCATCTACATTCTCATGATTATAACATGCCTGTATGATGTGTGCTACACGATGATTAGCAAAGTGCTCATAGTTCTTTGGTTGGTCGCTTCCACTCTCGACCACAGCAACACTTTTGCCTCGAAGACCCATTTGAATGTCTTGATTTATTTTTATTTTTTTACTTCTGCGGTTAAAAAACGGATGAATGGGAAAATTGGTGATCGCTTTGGTTATTTTTAACCAAGGAGGACAAAAATCACGCCCGTTGTTTTGCGTTAGAGCTTTTCTCTCTCTCTCTCTATCTACAGCTACTTGCGCCAATTCAAATAAAATTTGCGCTCTACAAAAGTATAACTTGCGTCAGAAAAGAAGAATTAATTTGGACCCAATAAAAATTAAGATTAAAATTGAAACCAGACGAGACGAGATGAGACTTTTCTTAACTTAACACATATTTTATTTTATTAAAAGAAAAATTATAAGAGCAACAAAAGGGTGATTTATAACGTTGATAATATTGATATACCAGTATTATGAATATATGAATTAAAGTTAATTAGATACACCACCCTTGACAATAAAAGTATCAAGGACTGAGAGAATAGTCCATTTTCTGTTTTCTGCTTCAGTGAATACGAGTGATCGATCAGAGTAAAACACCTAAAACGCCATAGTTCAGAAGTCTGGTCAAAATTATCACTCTCAATCATTATGACACATAAAGTTTTTACCTCATCATCAACCTCCTCTTGCTTACGAGGTAAACAGTGCATAAATGCCCAATCAGGCTTGGCTCCAGCTCTCTTGGCCATTTCCATAGTGACCTGATATCCCTTGAATTCATTCAGTCGCCTAGCCTTTTCAGCTTCTTGTCCCATACTTATCCTATAATTATACAAATTAAAGTTGACTATCAGTACATAAAGAGCACACAGACTCCTATATATATATGTCCATTAGTACTTACCATGTATCGGTCACAATTACATCCGCATCCTTTACGGCCTCGTCTGGTTTGGTGGTAAATAAAATTTGGGCGCCTGTTTTTTTGGAGTCAGATTTTGCAATAGCAACGATATCTTCAGCGCAAGTGTATCCAGAAGGACAAGCAGCAGCAACACTTATGCCCAACTTAGGAAATGATACTAGCATTTCCTGGAGAATATTATTGGCATCACCCACCCAAGCAATACGCAGTCCGGGAAGCGTCTCGCGAGGGTGTTGCATATGAGCAGTGTACTGTCCTTTAGTTGCTGATTGACTACGATGGTGAATGTGCTCATGAAGTGTCATTAGATCAGCCAAGATCTGGGTAGGGTGGTATTTATCTGAAAGGGCATTTATAACTGGTACAGTAGACTCTTTGGCGAATGTCTATATTTTTTTTTAAAAAAAAACGATGGTTAGTATTAAGCCAAGATAAAATATAAAGGGATATAAATTCTTGCCTCTATTTGATCATGACCACCGGCACGGGCCATAATACCATCAACCATAGAGCTAACTACTCGAGATGTATCTAGCAAGGATTCATTTACACCGAGTTGAATGTCTTGAGACCCCAAAAACATCGAATGACCACCTTAATCATAGATTTGATTTTAGTCTTAACTTTTTTTTTAAAAAAAAAGGGAGGGGATAAGATACATTCATATAATATACTTTTTCTGTACCTAAATATGTCATTGCTGATTCGGTAGCTACACGAGTACGTGTGGATCTTTTGGAAAAAATAAGAGCTAGAGTCTTTCCTGTCAAAGGTTTATCTGTTGTCTTTTTCTCATATTTGGCTTCAATTTTAAATTGTATTGCTCTATTAACAAGTTCATAAAGCTGCTCTGCTGAGAAGTCTGCTGTGGTAAGAAAATGGTGTGGTTTTGTTTGATTTATAGGGTATTTGATAGTCGAATAAGCTCGCTGAAGCAATACATGTGTTTTTAAAGATGTCAAATTAAATATACGAGACGAGAATGGTTTTATAGTAGTAGCCATGATTGGATTTCTTGGTATGGTAGTAATTATATAAAAGTAGAAAAAAAGGCAATACAAGACAAGACAAGAAAAGAAAGGGTCCATGATAAAGCGTATTTTGTCCTCCAGAGTATGTGACTCACTCTCTCTCTCTCTCTCTCTTTCTCTCTCTTCATCCTGACTCATACTGCATATATCATTTTGGTCCCTTCCGACTTTCTTTGTGTATAATTTAGCCAGCCTTTTGCTCATTAACTTCTTGCTCCTCAAACTGATCCTGTTGTGTGATAACTCTCAAGACAGATTTCTTGCTTGTTTCTTGAAGCTCTCCTGCGATAATTAACTCATCTAGAATAAAATAGGCCTATATAAACCCGTTAGATCAGTGTTGAACAGTTGCTTTTAGATGTAGATAATAGTTGAATAGTAATTCACCTTTTGAAAGTTGAAAATCAAGTCCAATTCACACACCTACAGGATTTTTGTTATTATTTATTTTATTTTATTTTTTAAGAGAGAGAGAGAGAAAGAGAGAAACAGTTTATTCTATTTTTATTTTCAAGTAGCCTCATTTCACTTACATTTCCAAAGTAACGATCAAGAATCTCGACATAACGATGGATGATCTCTAAAGTAATAAGCTCGTTATCATCCTGGCTGATTCCTACTACAAAGAAAAGACTCGCATATCTATTGGATTGTGAGCAACCCCTCTGTATACACATCTCAAAATTTGTCAGTGTATAGATGTAATATACACATATCTCACCTTCGGTACACAATCTTCTGGTCTAGGATTTACAATCGAGATGTTGAGTTATTATGTACTAGATTCTTCTTCTTTTTTACAGAAAAAAAAACAATACCTTTGTATTCCAAGAAATTGCACATCTTGACTCTTCTGGCCAAAACGAGCTGGGTGGCATCCTTGACAATCTTTGCTTTTTCTTTTGGTGGAATGGTGACAAACCATTTGGTCAGACGAACCTTGCCTTGACGGCTCACGAGTAGGAGCCACTTGATCTAGAGACCAATATGGGGTGTCTCAGTCTTGTAGTAAAGGCTGTGGGTCTGTTGGTGTACTCACTGCCATTGTTGCTTGAAAAGAAACGCTTGTACTTCAAATGTCTATTACGTGGTTGGCTGTAGGTTGTATATCTATTTACACCTTTTGGGCCCCGCCTTTTGTTGCGTCATGGTCAGCAAATCTTACCAAGAGGCATACATTTTTTTAAAATGAAGGGTGTTTTTTTTTTGTTAAAAGATCATAATACACGCCAGCACAAATTTCTACCATATTCTATAAAAGCCAATAGATATTTCAACCAAAATAATAATAATATGCTTGCGTGCGTGCGTGCGTGCGTAATAAAAGCTCTATATATAATCCATAAAGAATACTAATAATAGGGTGCAAGAATGGCTAAAAAAGAATAGTGAATAAGAGGATTTTAAATTGACAAGTATTAAAATCCAAAAGAGATTTCTTTGATATTGTATGTATATTTAATAAATCTCTTTATTGGTAGTATTCAGTACGCACCTATTTTTATGTATATCAGATCTTTTTGAAGACGTTTGAACCATTGACTAACTTTGTATTTTCTAATAGAATTTTTTTTTGGTTGGGCAAACCCATGAGAATAGAATATTATATATAGATTCAGCGTTCAATTACAATATATATATAAACTCTTTAATAGTCTTAAGAATAATATGGAGAGGTGCTTTTCTTTTAATAAGCATAGTAAATTGAAACTGTAAGATTCTTCTCCAGAATATGGTTTGTTTTCAAGTACATGTTTTGGCGATGCAATGCAGGTACTTTTCTGGGTCAGAAGTCTTATTGGTAGGAATCGCACTTTCTATGATGTTGATGCTTCTCTTTCTTTAACTTGTTCAGTTCAGAACTGTACCTTGTTGAACTAGGCCTATGATAGTATTCCTTAGTGGTGCATCTTCGAACATCAAGGTCTAAATCAGCTACTGCACAAAAAACTGTTTTTCTTCCGGGGTCAACTGCTATTGGGAGATATGATTCTTCGACTTCTCGTCTACCAAAACCATCAAGTTTGAGATCAATTTGATTAACCTTGGTAGCCATTTCTTTTTGGTTGCTTCGTCTTTTGGAGAACAAAAAATCGACACTGAAGCCGTCCGATCTGACCAAGTTTCCAAACAGTTGCTTATTCTCTCCATTTGGCACTATACTTTCAATTCTGGAAGTATGTTTGCTTTAATTATTATGATATTGCGCTTTTTTTTTCACTTACGTTTGAATTCTCAATTCATGGAATTTTAATATCTTAAAAGTCGAAGTTGATCGTTGTAATCTCTTGGCAACTTTTCACCGGAAAGAAATGCGGATAATTCGTCTACAGACAAGGTTACGGAACGTCAGTACGATGAAGGAGTTGGGAACATACTAGATCTTTTTTGAAGAGGTAGTCTCCTCACGTCGTATTCGCGGTGGCTGTTTTGTTCAGATTCAATGGAAGAAAATAAGCGCGTCAGTAAAGGAGTGAATCTGCCTGGGGCTTCTGACAGAGTATTTAGTGTTACTCTGGCATTTATAATGTCCCTCAGAGACCGGAAGAGTGCAACAACTCTCTGTCTACTTATATTTTCGTTTATAGTGCTATTTGTTGGCCACACCGGATCCCCTTTGCAGATCAATTGATCAGTATTACTGCGGTTATACGGAAGAATGCTTAGAGCGAGAATTGGGATTCCGATGAGCCTGAGCTCACAGCACAATTTGTGATTTGCCAAAGTTATATGTGACCACAGTATAGCATGGCTCTGTGTTAGACGCGGAAGCTTATATTTCATAAGCGCGTCTTGCCAGAAGGCCCATTTCAAGGGACATGAGATCCAAAGACCCCAGCTGTCCTCTATACCAATGTCACATAGAATTCAATTTGGATAGAGTTCCCTCTCTCTTCAGATTTTTGTGTAATTTTCTATTTAAAAATTGCTCCTTGGTTTTCTCACATCAATACTTGGACACGTATATGTATTACATGAATATTTAAGCCGTCCTTGAGACAACGGTATGCATCTTAGGATCGCGTACCTTTGTTTATATTTTCCTATATCTGTGCATAATAAGCATTGACTCTCGACTCTATCTTTGCACATTTCCTTCTTTACAAACTACATGTCATGCTTTTTCTCATAAGTGATGGCGAAAAGCTAGCTCTTTCAACTTTGGTTACACGGTTAAATTGTATTTCCTTTTTGTTTTCAGCAAATTACATAATGACCCACCACCACCATTTATTTATTCTCACATACTCCATTGCATTATCAAATCACATTTGAACAGGTTTGTTTGTTTGTTTGTTTGTTTGTTTGTTGTTGTTTAATATACACGCATAAATGCCTTTTTTCTTAAAAGAAAATAAAAGTAACAAATACAATTCCAGATTGGATTTAAGCAAAGAGGGGGAGGTTGAAGCCGTAGCTGTCCATGTTGTTGAATCTGAGACCACGGTCAATGGTCTTGATCTGCTTATGGTCCTCGCTATCGAGGCTCCAGGAGGTGATATCGCGGTTAGACTGCATGCGCTCAACGTGCATGCTCTTGGGGATAACAGCAACGTTTCTGTCGAGGGACCAGCGGAGGAGAACCTGACCGGCGGTCTTTCCGTGCTTCTTAGCAATGGACTTGATAACCTCATGCTCCAACAGGGGCTGTGCGGACTTGCCATCCTCAGTCAACTGGATGAAAGAGGCAGGACCAAAGGAAGAGTAAGCAGTGATGTTGATACCCTGGGACTGGACCCACTCAACGAGGCGAGTCTGCTGGAGGTAAGGGTGGAGTTCGACTATTAAAGGCAATTTTGATTAATAAACGCGTCCTTTTTTTTGATATATCGCGTTTACACACACACACACACTTTTACGTGTTCAAATAATAGAGAAGAATAGAAAAACTTACTTTGGAGAACAGCAGGCTTGATGTTGGCATAAGTCAAGAGATCCAAGATCAACTGGACGTTGAAGTTGGAGATACCAATGTTCTTGGCCAGACCAGATTCGGCAATCTTCTCAAGCTCTCTCCAGCACTCGTGCATAGGGGAACGCTCGAACTCAATGGCGGTGGCACCGTTGGGAGCGTACCAGCCAGGGGGATAGGCAGCAGACTTCTCGACATTCTTCAAGGGAACGGGGACTATTGGTATAAGGTTAGGTTTTGATATTCTCACACTCGCGCTTGAGTATTTTGACAGAGATACTTACAGTGAATCAAGTAAAGATCGATGTACTCGAGACCCAAATCCTGGAGCTGTCTGTCGAATGAAGGACGGACGTTGGCCTTGTTGTGGTAGGTGTTCCACAGCTTGGTGACGACTTATGAACAAATAAAATATGTCTTGTTAGCCGTTTTGATTGCGACTTAATGACAAGAAAAAGACTTACCAAAGAGCTCTTCACGCTTGACAAGACCATCCTTGATAGCCTTGTTGATACCACGGCCAACCTCGACTTCGTTTCCGTAGTCAGCAGCACCATCGATGAGACGGTAACCAGTCTTGATGGCATCATAGATGGTGTTCTCAGCATCCTCAGGGGAGATCTTCCAGCAGCCGAAGCCAACGAGGGGCATCTTGTCGCCGGTGCGGCTAAGGGAAACGTATTCTGCAGAGGCCATAATGATGTGTAGTAGAGAAAAAGGTGATTTTGAAGAATATCTCGGGCTGAGATGAGAGCTATTTATTACTTCTATTGCGGGGGTTGTACGCCCGCCGGGAAAAAAAACGAACTGATGGGGAAAGTGAATTGGGAAGCTTTGCCAAATGGAGGAATTCATGGTTTTTATTTTTTATTTTTATATTTTACTTGTCACTGATGCCTAAAGGAGTATATATTTAACTCTTGTTTGGCGTAACCTTTCTGATATAAAACTTGGGCTTCGTACTTTTCCGCCAGTTACCAGGTCATTATTGATTTGTTTTATTTCTCCGGATAAATCCTGCTGATGTCATAAGAATTTTGTATAAAGGGAATTTTATTGCAATTTTCTTCTTCTTCTTCTTTTTAACAGCTGTGGCCTTTTTCTGTTTAGTACGCGATCCTGTTATATATATATATATATATATATTATGTATTATGGAATACCTAGTCCATTCATTTGTTTATACGTCTGTCTGTAAGCAAGTTTTAGTGGAGCGCTAGTGAGGAATAGAAATAGCTGAGACTATAAGGAAGTGCGGTAGATCAAAAAGCTGAATTCTCAGATTATATAAGAAAGTGGGGATTGACTTATTGAAAATCCCCTAGACTGATGATCTTCTTTAGGAAACCAAAAATCTCCTTTTGGACAGGAAATCCATAAAATAAAGCCAGGCACTTTAAACGTAAGGACATTTAAATATATCTTTATTAAACCGAAAAGAAGAGTTGGTAGTATTTATACATTTATAAATTGTATTTAAAATTAAAGAAGTGAATTATCTCTTGGTGTTTTCACCAGCCTGCTCAGTACTTTATATATAACCTACAGTTTGTACCAAAAGCTGCGCTTGACAACGCAGGAAGAAATCTAATCGTATAACCCATTCATACAATGTACTTTAATGTTTGATATTACTGCCTAGTATATTGATGTGGGGTCGTCCCCCACGCCGCGTATCGGCTGGGAGATAATATAGAATTTGGCCTTTCAGTTTCGGAGGGATTTGTTTAGCTGGCATTAGTGTTTAGGTTGAACAGATATAGCAAGTTAGAAAGTAAGTTTGAGGAGATGTGAGTTTGTGTAAAGAAATAAAGGTACATATAATAAATGGAAACATCTATATATCAAGTGGGAAAACTACTTTATGATATTATTTTAAGTTTTATGTTTTTTTTCCCGGGATAAAAGGTTTGATTGAGATTCGTTGGGGGGAAAGTGTGAGAGACACAATATCTCATAATATTATATTATATATTTAAAAAGCAACCTTATTACGAGATCTTTAAAAGACTTTCCGAGGTTTAAGGGTTGGCTTAAGATTCTTTTATTTTATGAAGCACCACTTTTCTTTCTTTGTCTTTTATTCTATAGGCTTCAATTTCAATTTTTCTTATTTCCTTGTTATTAATGTAATTCAAAAATAGCTACTTTTAAATATCACACCTTTAACCCACTACGTTTCTTTTTGCAATCAATACAAAGCACCTTTCTATTTCACCACCTCAAGGAAGTACATGAATCAATAAGAGAACAATTCGCTAAGACTTATTCAAAGAATGCGATAGCTTACCGAAAAGATGCCTTGGAGATCCCCGGACAATAAGTAGGTCGGAATATTTATATTCTTGGTCTTTTCAGTTTTTGTCTCACACAACAGTCATCCGGAACATCTTCTGGGAGTCTTATAATACTTCCAACTTGAATAACACGAGTGAATGTACCAGAAATTGTACCATCATGCCTTAATCGGTTAAGTATATATCTAAATTTCAAGAATAAGAAATATCTATTCCACAAACTGTGCTTTAAGAGCAACTGATCCATGTCCTCCAAAAAATTTGGATTGGTATATCTAAAATTATGTATAAGAATATTAATATCTTTTTTTTAAAAAAAAATGACTATTTGTAACATTTACCTTAGAATACCATGACAGGTTACATTCGGTATTCGAGAGGGGTGATATGAGTGATGACTGGGGACTTGCTTGAACTTTTGAAAATATGCCTGGAAAATATGAAGAACAGTGATTATACATACTAATTTTATCAAATACAAACATTGAATCCCTATTTTTAAAGTAAACGCATCATTCCTACATCTTCTATTGGATTATGATATCGGCTGTGAAATCCAGGCCAATCTCCCATTACCTAGACAAAATGTGGATCAAGGTCAACGTAAAGTTTACTTGCTAGAAGTCTATTGGTTTAGGCCTGATTAATGTATGAAAAGTAAATGTTATGGAATGAAAATTACTGGCTGGTTTGACCTTTAGCGTTTATGTAAAAAGAGCCGAGAATGAAAGAGCTTGCTGCTTTGACCAAAAGATGAAAAAAAATATGCATTCGTCCAGAAAAAAAACTAACATTGTCTGAATTTAAAGTAGAAAATGCTGTAATTATGAACATAAACAATATCCTCCAAACCAATTATGCTAGTCCTCCTTGGAAATGCGGTCAAATAAGTTCTGCCACCCACCCGGCTGCTTGTAATTATGTCTTGATAGTAAGAACTTAGAAGAGGATAAGTTCGTTCATTACATTTCAATACACAAATGACTAGAGATATGAAGTCTTGGATGTTGCTTTCAAAAGCACTTGTTAGTAGGGATGATACACCAAGAGATTGTGTCAGCGTATATACTACAAGTCAGTAAATTGAGTACTTATAAGAGTAATAGAAAAATGCTTGCAAAAATCAAACTTCTTCCTCTTTACTAATGTTGTATTTTATAGCACTTATATGTATGTATATAGATACATATAACATACATTTATTACATAATAATTTAATATATACTTAACTAGATAAATATAAAGGAGCGTCGTTTAAAGATACTAATCATTTATTATTATTATTATCCTGTAACTATATCAAAGCAATATTTAGACTCCTTGTATTTTTTCACCGTTTTATATTCTTTGCTTTGAATTTCATATATATATATCACTAAAATTAAACGTGAGTTAGGTGATACAAATTTTGAATCAAATGCTTGATGTGTAGCCTATTTTTTCTTCATTCTCTTAAAGATGTAATGCGACTTGTACGTCCAAATGATTCACCTTAAAATCTTACTCTGATTAAAGTGATAAAGTGTTCGAATTACACTTAAAATGTATAGATGGTTTAAGAGAGGTTACCTTTTTTTTTACTACTTTAACGCAAACACAGATAAATTAAGAAAAGGAGCAGACAGAAAACATAATTTTGACAATTCAAACAATTTTATTGATATATATATATTGATAAATATATGATAAGCTAACATAGTTGAAGTAGATGCTGTGTTTCTAAACAGTAAAGTAATATCAAAAATCCATAACTAAATACTATTCAATTTCAGTCTATACTATTAGCAGACTCTTTTAAAGAGTGGCTTCTTCATTCAAGAAAGAGTGGAAACTTTCAGCGAGAACATCAAGACGCTCGACCTTCAAGTCGTAGGTAGTGTTGTATGTCTCATCATAACGGTTCAAAAGTACAGTGCGCGAGCCTTGCTTTCTAGCAGCCTCAAGTACAAGAGGGTTGGAAGAAACAACGGCAAGCTGACCAGGATGCTCCAGGGCAAGGAACTCAGTAGTGCCAGATACAACAACTTCGGCAGTTGATCCGTCAGAAGTGGCAGCGAACATCTCGCTTGTGAACTGAGCATGCCAGCAGAGACATCCGTGACGGGCAAGGTCGACCATGGTACGAGTAGAGAATGTGGGGGAAATGGCAACGGCATCCATCTTGCTCTGTTTCTTGATGCTACGGACACTGGTCACAGTATCAGAGAAAAGATCCAGGCGGCTCCAGGCAGAACAGAGAGTCTTGACATCGTAATCAGTGAAGAGGTGTTCAATAGATCTCTCCTTCAAGAGGCGGATAAGAACAATGCGGAATACTTCATAGTCGGATGTGGATCTGCCGTAGATAGTTCTCTCTATGAGGTAAAGCTTGTACCAACGAATGATAAATGCTTGGGAATCAAATCCATAGAGGTGGGTACGCTTGGTAAGTGTTACAGTACGCCAGACCTTGAGAAGTGTTGTCAAGTAATCGACAGCAGTACCAGCAACATCGAATGCAAATGCACGGACTTCGCCGAACGAACGGGGAACTTCAAGAGTCTTGGTCCAGGTAATGGTCTTGCCCTGGAATGAGGCACCAATAGAGCTCTCAGTGGTACGATCCAACATGGTCTTGATCTGGTTCTTGGTACGGGTCACAGTAGAGGTCAACTTCTCGTCAATGACATCAAAGTTCGACAGATCGTCAGAGCTTGAAACTACATCTTCGATCACAACAACTCTGGAGTGAATGGTATCCTTAATGTTATCAAGGCAGTCAAGAGCCTCCTTTTGGGTCTTTGAAACCAAAGTTCTGATCTCCTCGGACTGGGATGGTGCTGACTTGTTGATAGTAATAAACTTGATCTTTGCATCCTGGACAAGCTGGGTAGCCTCTTCTTCGGCATTCTTTACAAGCAATGTAACTTCTTCTCTGCAGTTGTTTCCACCACGACGAATGATCTCTCTTGTAGAAACCAAAAGACCATCGAGCCATCCAGCAAGGTTGGTCTTCGTTTCATCTACTACGTGGACCATCTCTGTTCTTGTACGTTCTTCGACTTCTTCCTTTGTCTCATCGACAATGACAACAACGTTTACAATTGAGCCGTCCTGGGACACCTTGGTGACAGTCTGGGTGCTGGTGACAGTGGTCGGGGCTTCTTCATTCTTGATAGTCTTGACTGGTGTATGAATGGTAAGGGCATTGCCAACCTGCTGTCTAGCAACCATGGTAAAGTTATCGATTTGAGACTTTACGTCCACCTTGTTGGCTCCTTCGCTGACAATAGTCTTGATCTGGTTGACCTGGTTATTGGCGTTTGAACGGATCCATTCAAGTGTGGAATAGAAGTTCTTCTCAACCTTATCGCTTTCGGTCTGAGACACAGGGACTTCCTCGACGTTCTCTTCCTTGGCCTTAGTAATGGTTACTTCAAGTTCTTTCTGAGCGGACTCAGTAATCTTCTCGACATCTTCGGTAACATTCTCACCGCCTTGGCTAACACGATCGGTAATTCTCTTGGAAAGAGTTGTGTACCAGTCATAAACAGCATATTGGACTTGCTGAACCTTAGGAGCCTCAACGACTTGAATAACCTGCTCGGTCACCTTCTCCTCGACAACTTCAACAGTATCTTCAGGCTTTCTCTGGGATTTGGCTGTAGAGATAGCAGCAATGGTGGCAGCACCAGTCGCAACCTTTACGATAGCTTCATTGACCTCATCCTTAGTCTTCTTAACACCTCGAGTAATTGTACGGGTACCAGTCTCAATCTGGAACTTGGCATCTTCGACGCGGTCCTTGACAGTACGTTCAATGACATCGTTTCCGGACTCAACAACAGTGACGGTTGCCTTTTGAACAACATCAAAGTAGTTGGTAACTTGGTCATTTAGCTTGGTGTTAACAGCAGAAAGTTTATCCTTGACCGATTGCTTGTTGTCTTCAGTTGTGACAGTAACAACGGTAGACTTGACGGTCTTCAGCTGGTCATTAACAGATGTCTGAAGGTTTCCAAAGAACTCATCCAGTTTAAGGTCTGCGGTAGTCTGGTCGTCAGAATCAACAGTGTGTGACTTGGCGGTCTCCTTTAACTCAGCAATCTTGGTTGCGATTTCCTCTTCAGCCTCGGCAATAGCAATCTTGGTCTTGGAGTTAACTTGTTCACAATCATCATCAAGATCTAACAAGGAGCTGATCTTATCAGTAAGAATAGTGAACCAGCTTCGGACAGATTCAGTAGCATCTTGGGCGGTCTGGACAACAGCTACTTGCTCTTCAGTAATAGCTAAAAGTATATTTCGTTAGTATTAAAAAATAATAAAACATAGAAAAAAAAACTTTATACTTGCCTCTGACAATTTCTTTTGTAGTATCGACTTCATTAATATCATCTTTAACAATAATATGCTCTTCATCAACAACGACTATGTATAAAAACAAAACAAAAAATAAGCAAAACGTCTTTCCTAAAATTGAATTTTGCAGACACTTACCATCGACTTCTTCCAGAGTCACATCATCAACAACAATGGTTTCGGTAACAGTTACAAATACGGTATCTAACTCCTTCTTCGAATCTTCGCACACCTTCAACAGCTTCTCTGCAACCTCAGGGGAAGCATCGACTTCGATGGTCTCGATGGCTTTCTTAACAGCAGTGATTTGTTCTGTGATTGATTTTTTAACAGTAGAGATACCCTCGTTGACCTTAAAGTCAACAGTCTCACTCAAGTTAACGGGCTTCTTCTCCAAAATAGATTGGATTTCCTTTTCAGCAGTCTCAACAATATAGGTAACATCCTTAGCAACGTTTTCTCCACCTTGCTTGACGCGATCAGCAATTTTCTTAGTTACTATTGTGAACCAGCCGATAGTAGATTGTTTTGTATCTTCAATGATAGAAACCGCTACTTCGTTTTCTTTCTTCACCAATTCAATGTCCTGAGGCTTCTTGACCTTGGGCTGTTTCTTCGTCTCTTGCTCTGAAATCACGATAGTTTCTTCAACAATAACATCTTCCACGACGGAGATATCTCTTTGTTCGGGCTTTTCCACGGGTTTCTTCTCTTCGTGTAAAATAGTACCAGTAGCAATAGCAGTTGCACCTCCAATAGCAAGCGATGTTTTTACGATCTTTTCCAAAACATCCTCTTCGTCATTCTTGGGCTTCTCAGAAGTAGGCTTCACATCGCGGATAACAACGGTTTCGGTAACAACTTCAGTGACAGTTGGCTTCTCTGACTCAATAATCTCGACACGCTTGACATGATCGTCAGTAATGGTGTCCTTCACAGTCTCGTAATGAGTAGTGATATGTTCATGAGTCTTGTCAGTAATGGTCTGGAGCTTCTCCGTCACATCTTCAGGCTTGTCCTTGTGGGCGATGGTGGTTTCCTTGACTTCGGTAAGAGTGACCTTGGCAGTCTCCTTCATCGAGTCAATAGCACGGACAAGTTTGTCCTGCTCCTCCTTGGTGGGCTTCTGACCGGTGACCTTAGAAATTTGAGTGATAACCTTCTCCTTAGCTTCATCACAAATGCGGTCAAGCTCCTTCTCAGATGTAACAGTAACATGCTCGATGCTGCGCTCGGTAGTGGTCGTAGGCTTGTTATCTTCATCAGTGGGACTGGTGAATCGGGTAACCAAACCAGACAACCATCCGGAAACAGTTTTGTTTGTTTCTTCGACAATGCTGAGGCCGTGTTCGGTACCTTCGGGGATAACGACTTCCTTTGTGGGGACTTCGCGAGTCTTGGTTTCGGGCTTCTTCTCAACCACCTTGACACCTTCAACGACGACAGTCTCCTTTGTAACTTCTTCGATGACAGTTTCAATGTCCTTGACAGTGGGCTTGTCGGACACAGGCTTGACACCTTCAATGACAACAACGGTCTCTTCGGTGGTCTCCTTAACAACGACTGTGGGCTTCTTCTCGTCATCAACAGGCTGGACACCTTCAATGACGGTAACGCTAGTTGTGGTCTCCTCAATGGTCTTAACTACGTCTTCAACAGTCTCGGGCTTATCGGAAGTGGGCTTAACGCCACGAACAATGATGGTCTCGGTGACTTCCTCAGTGACAATGGGCTGGTCTTCGGTAACTTCAATACCTTCAACGATCACAAAGGTTTCTTCGATCTGCTTGACGACGGTGGTGATATCCTTGACAGTGGGCTTCTCGTGGATAACCTTGACACCTTCAACCACGATAATCTTACCCTTGTCGGTCTCCTTCACAACAAAAGTGGGCTTGTCACCAATGGTCTCGAGACCCTCCAAAACAATAGCAGTGGATTCGGTATCCTCGATAACAGTAGTAACATCCTCCACAACGGTAGGCTGCTCGTCAATGAACTCAACATCCTCGATCACAACAATGGTACCCTCCTCGGTCTCCTGTGTAACGATCTTGGGTTTCTTGCCAGTGATCTTGATACCCTCGACAATAACCGAAGTTTTCTCGATGGTTTCAAACACCTTCTTGATATCCTTGACAGTGGGCTTCTCGGTGGTGGGCTTGACACCTTCTACAACGACGACTGTACCCTCTGTGCTCTCTCTAACAACAACGGTAGGCTTCTCCTCGGTAACCTCGACACCTTCAATCACAGTGGTAGTTGTAGTCTTGGTAACGGTCTCACGAACATTATCAACCACTTCAGGCTGTTCGGCAGTGGGTTTGACACCTTCAACGACGATCACTTCCTTGGTCTCTCTAGTGACGGTTGGCTTCTCACCCTTGACAACCTCAATACCTTCAACAATGATAGACTCCTCGGTAACCTCTTCAATGACAGTGGTGATGTCCTTGACAGTTGGAACTTCTTCGGTCTTCTCAACACCTTCAACAATGAGAGTGGTCTTCTCAGTTGTCTCGGTAACCTCAGTGACTTCGGTTACAGAAGGCTTGTCTTCGGTGGGTTTAACACCTTCAATGACGATTAATTCAGTATCGGTCTCCTTGATGGTCTTGACAACATCTTCCACAATCTTGGGCTTTTCAGAAGTAGGCTTCACATCGCGGATAACAACGGTTTCGGTAACAACTTCAGTGACAGTTGGCTTCTCTGACTCAATAATCTCGACACGCTTGACATGATCGTCAGTAATGGTGTCCTTCACAGTCTCGTAATGAGTAGTGATATGTTCATGAGTCTTGTCAGTAATGGTCTGGAGCTTCTCCGTCACATCTTCAGGCTTGTCCTTGTGGGCGATGGTGGTTTCCTTGACTTCGGTAAGAGTGACCTTGGCAGTCTCCTTCATCGAGTCAATAGCACGGACAAGTTTGTCCTGCTCCTCCTTGGTGGGCTTCTGACCGGTGACCTTAGAAACTTGGGTGATAACCTTCTCCTTAGCTTCATCACAAATGCGGTCAAGCTCCTTCTCAGATGTGACAGTAACATGCTCGATGCTGCGCTCGGTAGTGGTCGTAGGCTTGTTATCTTCATCAGTGGGACTGGTGAATCGGGTAACCAAACCAGACAACCATCCGGAAACAGTTTTGTTTGTTTCTTCGACAATGCTGAGGCCGTGTTCGGTACCTTCGGGGATAACGACTTCCTTTGTGGGGACTTCGCGAGTCTTGGTTTCGGGCTTCTTCTCAACCACCTTGACACCTTCAACGACGACAGTCTCCTTTGTAACTTCTTCGATGACAGTTTCAATGTCCTTGACAGTGGGCTTGTCGGACACAGGCTTGACACCTTCAACGACAACAACGGTCTCTTCGGTGGTCTCCTTAACAACGACTGTGGGTTTCTTCTCGTCATCAACAGGCTTGACACCTTCAATGACGGTAACGCTAGTTGTGGTCTCCTCAATGGTCTTAACTACGTCTTCAACAGTCTCAGGCTTGTCGGAAGTGGGCTTAACGCCGCGTACAACGATGGTCTCGGTGACTTCCTCAGTGACAGTGGGTTGTTCTTCGGTAACTTCAATACCTTCGACGATCACAAAGGTTTCTTCGATCTGCTTGACGACGGTGGTGATATCCTTGACAGTGGGCTTCTCGTGGATAACCTTGACACCTTCAACCACGATAATCTTACCCTTGTCGGTCTCCTTCACAACAAAAGTGGGCTTGTCACCAATGGTCTCGAGACCCTCCAAAACAATAGCAGTGGATTCGGTATCCTCGATAACAGTAGTAACATCCTCCACAACGGTAGGCTGCTCGTCAATGAACTCAACATCCTCGATCACAACAATGGTACCTTCCTCGGTCTCCTGTGTAACGATCTTGGGTTTCTTGCCAGTGATCTTGATACCCTCGACAATAACCGAAGTTTTCTCGATGGTTTCAAACACCTTCTTGATATCCTTGACAGTGGGCTTCTCGGTGGTGGGCTTGACACCTTCTACAACGACGACTGTACCCTCTGTGGTCTCTCTAACAACAACGGTAGGCTTCTCCTCGGTAACCTCGACACCTTCAATCACAGTGGTAGTTGTAGTCTTGGTAACGGTCTCACGAACATTATCAACCACTTCAGGCTGTTCGGCAGTGGGTTTGACACCTTCAACGACGATCACTTCCTTGGTCTCTCTAGTGACGGTTGGCTTCTCACCCTTGACAACCTCAATACCTTCAACAACGATAGACTCCTCGGTAACCTCTTCAATGACAGTGGTGATGTCCTTGACAGTAGGAACTTCTTCGGTCTTCTCAACACCTTCAACAATGAGAGTGGTCTTCTCAGTTGTCTCGGTAACCTCAGTGACTTCGGTTACAGTAGGCTTGTCTTCGGTGGGTTTAACGCCTTCAATGACGATCAATTCAGTATCGGTCTCCTTGATGGTCTTGATAACATCTTCCACAATCTTGGGCTTATCTTCCGAGACTTCAACATCTTTGACAATAACTACTTCTCGGACAACCTCTTCAACAATGGTTGGCTTGTCACTGAGAGGCTTGAGCTCTTCAACCACCTTGATACCTTCAACAACGATAGTCTCCTTTGTCACTTCTTCGATGACAGTCTCAATGTCCTTGACAGTGGGCTTGTCGGACACAGGCTTGACATCTTCAACGACAACAACGGTCTCTTCGGTGGTCTCCTTAACAACGACTGTGGGTTTCTTCTCGTCATCAACAGGCTTGACACCTTCAATGACGGTAACGCTAGTTGTGGTCTCCTCAATGGTCTTAACTACGTCTTCAACAGTCTCAGGCTTGTCGGAAGTGGGCTTAACGCCGCGTACAACGATTGTCTCGGTGACTTCCTCAGTGACAGTGGGCTGGTCTTCGGTAACTTCAATACCTTCGACGATCACAAAGGTTTCTTCGATCTGCTTGACGACGGTGGTGATATCCTTGACAGTGGGCTTCTCGTGGATAACCTTGACACCTTCAACCACAATAATTTTACCCTTGTCGGTCTCCTTCACAACAAAAGTGGGCTTGTCACCAATGGTCTCGAGACCCTCCAAAACAATAGCAGTGGATTCGGTATCCTCGATAACAGTAGTAACATCCTCCACAACGGTAGGCTGCTCGTCAATGAACTCAACATCCTCGATCACAACAATGGTACCTTCCTCGGTCTCCTGTGTAACGATCTTGGGTTTCTTGCCAGTGATCTTGATACCCTCGACAATAACCGAAGTTTTCTCGATGGTTTCAAACACCTTCTTGATATCCTTGACAGTGGGCTTCTCGGTAGTGGGCTTGACACCTTCTACAACGACGACTGTACCCTCTGTGGTCTCTCTAACAACAACGGTAGGCTTCTCCTCGGTAACCTCGACACCTTCAATCACAGTGGTAGTTGTAGTCTTGGTAACGGTCTCACGAACATTATCAACCACTTCAGGCTGTTCGGCAGTGGGTTTGACACCTTCAACGACGATCACTTCCTTGGTCTCTCTAGTGACGGTTGGCTTCTCACCCTTGACAACCTCAATACCTTCAACAATGATAGACTCCTCGGTAACCTCTTCAATGACAGTGGTGATGTCCTTGACAGTAGGAACTTCTTCGGTCTTCTCAACACCTTCAACAATGAGAGTGGTCTTCTCAGTTGTCTCGGTAACCTCAGTGACTTCGGTTACAGTAGGCTTGTCTTCGGTGGGTTTAACGCCTTCAATGACGATCAATTCAGTATCGGTCTCCTTGATGGTCTTGATAACATCTTCCACAATCTTGGGCTTATCTTCCGAGACTTCAACATCTTTGACAATAACTACTTCTCGGACAACCTCTTCAACAATGGTTGGCTTGTCACTGAGAGGCTTGAGCTCTTCAACCACCTTGATACCTTCAACAACGATAGTCTCCTTTGTCACTTCTTCGATGACAGTCTCAATGTCCTTGACAGTGGGCTTGTCGGACACAGGCTTGACACCTTCAACGACAACAACGGTCTCTTCGGTGGTCTCCTTAACAACGACTGTGGGTTTCTTCTCGTCATCAACAGCCTTGACACCTTCAATGACGGTAACGCTAGTTGTGGTCTCCTCAATGGTCTTAACTACGTCTTCAACAGTCTCAGGCTTGTCGGAAGTGGGCTTAACGCCGCGTACAACGATGGTCTCGGTGACTTCCTCAGTGACAGTGGGTTGTTCTTCGGTAACTTCAATACCTTCGACGATCACAAAGGTTTCTTCGATCTGCTTGACGACGGTGGTGATATCCTTGACAGTGGGCTTCTCGTGGATAACCTTGACACCTTCAACCACGATAATCTTACCCTTGTCGGTTTCCTTCACAACAAAAGTGGGCTTGTCACCAATGGTCTCGAGACCCTCCAAAACAATAGCAGTGGATTCGGTATCCTCGATAACAGTAGTAACATCCTCCACAACGGTAGGCTGCTCGTCAATGAACTCAACATCCTCGATCACAACAATGGTACCCTCCTCGGTCTCCTGTGTAACGATCTTGGGTTTCTTGCCAGTGATCTTGATACCCTCGACAATAACCGAAGTTTTCTCGATGGTTTCAAACACCTTCTTGATATCCTTGACAGTGGGCTTCTCGGTAGTGGGCTTGACACCTTCTACAACGACGACTGTACCCTCTGTGCTCTCTCTAACAACAACGGTAGGCTTCTCCTCGGTAACCTCGACACCTTCAATCACAGTGGTAGTTGTAGTCTTGGTAACGGTCTCACGAACATTATCAACCACTTCAGGCTGTTCGGCAGTGGGTTTGACACCTTCAACGACGATCACTTCCTTGGTCTCTCTAGTGACGGTTGGCTTCTCACCCTTGACAACCTCAATACCTTCAACAACGATAGACTCCTCGGTAACCTCTTCAATGACAGTGGTGATGTCCTTGACAGTAGGAACTTCTTCGGTCTTCTCAACACCTTCAACAATGAGAGTGGTCTTCTCAGTTGTCTCGGTAACCTCAGTGACTTCGGTTACAGTAGGCTTGTCTTCGGTGGGTTTAACGCCTTCAATGACGATCAATTCAGTATCGGTCTCCTTGATGGTCTTGATAACATCTTCCACAATCTTGGGCTTATCTTCCGAGACTTCAACATCTTTGACAATAACTACTTCTCGGACAACCTCTTCAACAATGGTTGGCTTGTCACTGAGAGGCTTGAGCTCTTCAACCACCTTGACACCTTCAACAACGATAGTCTCCTTTGTCACTTCTTCGATGACAGTCTCAATGTCCTTGACAGTGGGCTTGTCGGACACAGGCTTGACACCTTCAACGACAACAACGGTCTTTTCCGTGGTCTCCTTAACAACGACTGTGGGCTTCTTCTCGTCATCAACAGGCTTGACACCTTCAATGACGGTAACGCTAGTTGTGGTCTCCTCAATGGTCTTAACTACGTCTTCAACAGTCTCAGGCTTGTCGGAAGTGGGCTTAACGCCGCGTACAACGATTGTCTCGGTGACTTCCTCAGTGACAGTGGGTTGTTCTTCGGTAACTTCAATACCTTCGACGATCACAAAGGTTTCTTCGATCTGCTTGACGACGGTGGTGATATCCTTGACAGTGGGCTTCTCGTGGATAACCTTGACACCTTCAACCACAATAATTTTACCCTTGTCGGTCTCCTTCACAACAAAAGTGGGCTTGTCACCAATGGTCTCGAGACCCTCCAAAACAATAGCAGTGGATTCGGTATCCTCGATAACAGTAGTAACATCCTCCACAACGGTAGGCTGCTCGTCAATGAACTCAACATCCTCGATCACAACAATGGTACCTTCCTCGGTCTCCTGTGTAACGATCTTGGGTTTCTTGCCAGTGATCTTGATACCCTCGACAATAACCGAAGTTTTCTCGATGGTTTCAAACACCTTCTTGATATCCTTGACAGTGGGCTTCTCGGTGGTGGGCTTGACACCTTCTACAACGACGACTGTACCCTCTGTGGTCTCTCTAACAACAACGGTAGGCTTCTCCTCGGTAACCTCGACACCTTCAATCACGGTGGTAGATGTGGTCTTGGTAACGGTCTCACGAACATTATCAACCACTTCAGGCTGTTCGGCAGTGGGTTTGACACCTTCAACGACGATCACTTCCTTGGTCTCTCTAGTGACGGTTGGCTTCTCACCCTTGACAACCTCAATACCTTCAACAACGATAGACTCCTCGGTAACCTCTTCAATGACAGTGGTGATGTCCTTGACAGTAGGAACTTCTTCGGTCTTCTCAACACCTTCAACAATGAGAGTGGTCTTCTCAGTCGTCTCGGTAACCTCAGTGACTTCTGTTACGGTAGGCTTGTCATCGGTTGGCTTAACACCTTCAATTACGATCAACTCAGTGTCAGTCTCCTTGATGGTCTTGACAACATCTTCCACAATCTTGGGCTTTTCAGAAGTAGGCTTCACATCGCGGATAACAACGGTTTCGGTAACAACTTCAGTGACAGTTGGCTTCTCTGACTCAATAATCTCGACACGCTTGACATGATCGTCAGTAATGGTGTCCTTCACAGTCTCGTAATGAGTAGTGATATGTTCATGAGTCTTGTCAGTAATGGTCTGGAGCTTCTCCGTCACATCTTCAGGCTTGTCCTTGTGGGCGATGGTGGTTTCCTTGACTTCGGTAAGAGTGACCTTGGCAGTCTCCTTCATCGAGTCAATAGCACGGACAAGTTTGTCCTGCTCCTCCTTGGTGGGCTTTTGACCGGTGACCTTGGAAACTTGGGTGACAACCTTCTCCTTAGCTTCATCACAAATGCGGTCAAGCTCCTTCTCAGATGTAACAGTAACATGCTCGATGCTGCGCTCGGTAGTGGTCGTAGGCTTGTTATCTTCATCAGTGGGACTGGTGAATCGGGTAACCAAACCAGACAACCATCCGGAAACAGTTTTGTTTGTTTCTTCGACAATGCTGAGGCCGTGTTCGGTACCTTCGGGGATAACGACTTCCTTTGTGGGGACTTCGCGAGTCTTGGTTTCGGGCTTCTTCTCAACCACCTTGACACCTTCAACGACGACAGTCTCCTTTGTAACTTCTTCGATGACAGTTTCAATGTCCTTGACAGTGGGCTTGTCGGACACAGGCTTGACACCTTCAATGACAACAACGGTCTCTTCGGTGGTCTCCTTAACAACGACTGTGGGCTTCTTCTCGTCATCAACAGGCTGGACACCTTCAATGACGGTAACGCTAGTTGTGGTCTCCTCAATGGTCTTAACTACGTCTTCAACAGTCTCGGGCTTATCGGAAGTGGGCTTAACGCCACGAACAATGATGGTCTCGGTGACTTCCTCAGTGACAATGGGCTGGTCTTCGGTAACTTCAATACCTTCGACGATCACAAAGGTTTCTTCGATCTGCTTGACGACGGTGGTGATATCCTTGACAGTGGGCTTCTCGTGGATAACCTTGACACCTTCAACCACGATAATCTTACCCTTGTCGGTCTCCTTCACAACAAAAGTGGGCTTGTCACCAATGGTCTCGAGACCCTCCAAAACAATAGCAGTGGATTCGGTATCCTCGATAACAGTAGTAACATCCTCCACAACGGTAGGCTGCTCGTCAATGAACTCAACATCCTCGATCACAACAATGGTACCCTCCTCGGTCTCCTGTGTAACGATCTTGGGTTTCTTGCCAGTGATCTTGATACCCTCGACAATAACCGAAGTTTTCTCGATGGTTTCAAACACCTTCTTGATATCCTTGACAGTGGGCTTCTCGGTAGTGGGCTTGACACCTTCTACAACGACGACTGTACCCTCTGTGCTCTCTCTAACAACAACGGTAGGCTTCTCCTCGGTAACCTCGACACCTTCAATCACAGTGGTAGTTGTAGTCTTGGTAACGGTCTCACGAACATTATCAACCACTTCAGGCTGTTCGGCAGTGGGTTTGACACCTTCAACGACGATCACTTCCTTGGTCTCTCTAGTGACGGTTGGCTTCTCACCCTTGACAACCTCAATACCTTCAACAATGATAGACTCCTCGGTAACCTCTTCAATGACAGTGGTGATGTCCTTGACAGTAGGAACTTCTTCGGTCTTCTCAACACCTTCAACAATGAGAGTGGTCTTCTCAGTTGTCTCGGTAACCTCAGTGACTTCGGTTACAGAAGGCTTGTCTTCGGTGGGTTTAACGCCTTCGATTACAATCAATTCAGTGTCGGTCTCCTTGATGGTCTTGACAACATCTTCCACAATCTTGGGCTTTTCAGAAGTAGGCTTTACATCGCGGATAACAACGGTTTCGGTAACAGCTTCAGTGACAGTTGGCTTCTCTGACTCAATAATCTCGACACGCTTGACATGATCGTCAGTAATGGTGTCCTTCACAGTCTCGTAGTGAGTATTGATATGTTCATGAGTCTTGTCAGTAATGGTCTGGAGCTTCTCCGTCACATCTTCAGGCTTGTCCTTGTGGGCGATGGTGGTTTCCTTGACTTCGGTAAGAGTGACCTTGGCAGTCTCCTTCATCGAGTCAATAGCACGGACAAGTTTGTCCTGCTCCTCCTTGGTGGGCTTCTGACCGGTGACCTTAGAAACTTGGGTGATAACCTTCTCCTTAGCTTCATCACAAATGCGGTCAAGCTCCTTCTCAGATGTGACAGTAACATGCTCGATGCTGCGCTCGGTAGTGGTCGTAGGCTTGTTATCTTCATCAGTGGGACTGGTGAATCGGGTAACCAAACCAGACAACCATCCGGAAACAGTTTTGTTTGTTTCTTCGACAATGCTGAGGCCGTGTTCGGTACCTTCGGGGATAACGACTTCCTTTGTGGGGACTTCGCGAGTCTTGGTTTCGGGCTTCTTCTCAACCACCTTGACACCTTCAACGACGACAGTCTCCTTTGTAACTTCTTCGATGACAGTTTCAATGTCCTTGACAGTGGGCTTATCGGACACAGGCTTGACACCTTCAACGACAACAACGGTCTCTTCGGTGGTCTCCTTAACAACGACTGTGGGTTTCTTCTTGTCATCAACAGGCTTGACACCTTCAATGACGGTAACGCTAGTTGTGGTCTCCTCAATGGTCTTAACTACGTCTTCAACAGTCTCAGGCTTGTCGGAAGTGGGCTTAACGCCGCGTACAACGATGGTCTCGGTGACTTCCTCAGTGACAGTGGGTTGTTCTTCGGTAACTTCAATACCTTCGACGATCACAAAGGTTTCTTCGATCTGCTTGACGACGGTGGTGATATCCTTGACAGTGGGCTTCTCGTGGATAACCTTGACACCTTCAACCACGATAATCTTACCCTTGTCGGTCTCCTTCACAACAAAAGTGGGCTTGTCACCAATGGTCTCGAGACCCTCCAAAACAATAGCAGTGGATTCGGTATCCTCGATAACAGTAGTAACATCCTCCACAACGGTAGGCTGCTCGTCAATGAACTCAACATCCTCGATCACAACAATGGTACCTTCCTCGGTCTCCTGTGTAACGATCTTGGGTTTCTTGCCAGTGATCTTGATACCCTCGACAATAACCGAAGTTTTCTCGATGGTTTCAAACACCTTCTTGATATCCTTGACAGTGGGCTTCTCGGTAGTGGGCTTGACACCTTCTACAACGACGACTGTACCCTCTGTGGTCTCTCTAACAACAACGGTAGGCTTCTCCTCGGTAACCTCGACACCTTCAATCACAGTGGTAGTTGTAGTCTTGGTAACGGTCTCACGAACATTATCAACCACTTCAGGCTGTTCGGCAGTGGGTTTGACACCTTCAACGACGATCACTTCCTTGGTCTCTCTAGTGACGGTTGGCTTCTCACCCTTGACAACCTCAATACCTTCAACAACGATAGACTCCTCGGTAACCTCTTCAATGACAGTGGTGATGTCCTTGACAGTAGGAACTTCTTCGGTCTTCTCAACACCTTCAACAATGAGAGTGGTCTTCTCAGTCGTCTCGGTAACCTCAGTGACTTCTGTTACGGTAGGCTTGTCATCGGTTGGCTTAACACCTTCAATTACGATCAACTCAGTGTCAGTCTCCTTGATGGTCTTGACAACATCTTCCACAATCTTGGGCTTTTCAGAAGTAGGCTTCACATCGCGGATAACAACGGTTTCGGTAACAACTTCAGTGACAGTTGGCTTCTCTGACTCAATAATCTCGACACGCTTGACATGATCGTCAGTAATGGTGTCCTTCACAGTCTCGTAATGAGTAGTGATATGTTCATGAGTCTTGTCAGTAATGGTCTGGAGCTTCTCCGTCACATCTTCAGGCTTGTCCTTGTGGGCGATGGTGGTTTCCTTGACTTCGGTAAGAGTGACCTTGGCAGTCTCCTTCATCGAGTCAATAGCACGGACAAGTTTGTCCTGCTCCTCCTTGGTGGGCTTCTGACCGGTGACCTTGGAAACTTGAGTGATAACCTTCTCCTTAGCTTCATCACAAATACGGTCAAGCTCCTTCTCAGATGTGACAGTAACATGCTCGATGCTGCGCTCGGTAGTGGTCGTAGGCTTGTTATCTTCATCAGTGGGACTGGTGAATCGGGTAACCAAACCAGACAACCATCCGGAAACAGTTTTGTTTGTTTCTTCGACAATGTTGAGGCCGTGTTCGGTACCTTCGGGGATAACGACTTCCTTTGTGGGGACTTCGCGAGTCTTGGTTTCGGGCTTCTTCTCAACCACCTTGACACCTTCAACGACGACAGTCTCCTTTGTAACTTCTTCGATGACAGTTTCAATGTCCTTGACAGTGGGCTTGTCGGACACAGGCTTGACACCTTCAATGACAACAACGGTCTCTTCGGTGGTCTCCTTAACAACGACTGTGGGCTTCTTCTCGTCATCAACAGGCTGGACACCTTCAATGACGGTAACGCTAGTTGTGGTCTCCTCAATGGTCTTAACTACGTCTTCAACAGTCTCGGGCTTATCGGAAGTGGGCTTAACGCCACGAACAATGATGGTCTCGGTGACTTCCTCAGTGACAATGGGCTGGTCTTCGGTAACTTCAATACCTTCGACGATCACAAAGGTTTCTTCGATCTGCTTGACGACGGTGGTGATATCCTTGACAGTGGGCTTCTCGTGGATAACCTTGACACCTTCAACCACAATAATTTTACCCTTGTCGGTCTCCTTCACAACAAAAGTGGGCTTGTCACCAATGGTCTCGAGACCCTCCAAAACAATAGCAGTGGATTCGGTATCCTCGATAACAGTAGTAACATCCTCCACAACGGTAGGCTGCTCGTCAATGAACTCAACATCCTCGATCACAACAATGGTACCTTCCTCGGTCTCCTGTGTAACGATCTTGGGTTTCTTGCCAGTGATCTTGATACCCTCGACAATAACCGAAGTTTTCTCGATGGTTTCAAACACCTTCTTGATATCCTTGACAGTGGGCTTCTCGGTGGTGGGCTTGACACCTTCTACAACGACGACTGTACCCTCTGTGGTCTCTCTAACAACAACGGTAGGCTTCTCCTCGGTAACCTCGACACCTTCAATCACAGTGGTAGTTGTGGTCTTGGTAACGGTCTCACGAACATTATCAACCACTTCAGGCTGTTCGGCAGTGGGTTTGACACCTTCAACGACGATCACTTCCTTGGTCTCTCTAGTGACGGTTGGCTTCTCACCCTTGACAACCTCAATACCTTCAACAACGATAGACTCCTCGGTAACCTCTTCAATGACAGTGGTAATATCCTTGACAGTAGGAACTTCTTCGGTCTTCTCAACACCTTCAACAATGAGAGTGGTCTTCTCAGTCGTCTCGGTAACCTCAGTGACTTCTGTTACGGTAGGCTTGTCATCGGTTGGCTTAACACCTTCAATTACGATCAACTCAGTGTCAGTCTCCTTGATGGTCTTGACAATATCTTCCACAATCTTGGGCTTTTCAGAAGTAGGCTTCACATCGCGGATAACAACGGTTTCGGTAACAACTTCAGTGACAGTTGGCTTCTCTGACTCAATAATCTCGACACGCTTGACATGATCGTCAGTAATGGTGTCCTTCACAGTCTCGTAGTGAGTATTGATATGTTCATGAGTCTTGTCAGTAATGGTCTGGAGCTTCTCCGTCACATCTTCAGGCTTGTCCTTGTGGGCGATGGTGGTTTCCTTGACTTCGGTAAGAGTGACCTTGGCAGTCTCCTTCATCGAGTCAATAGCACGGACAAGTTTGTCCTGCTCCTCCTTGGTGGGCTTCTGACCGGTGACCTTGGAAACTTGAGTGATAACCTTCTCCTTAGCTTCATCACAAATACGGTCAAGCTCCTTCTCAGATGTGACAGTAACATGCTCGATGCTGCGCTCGGTAGTGGTCGTAGGCTTGTTATCTTCATCAGTGGGACTGGTGAATCGGGTAACCAAACCAGACAACCATCCGGAAACAGTTTTGTTTGTTTCTTCGACAATGTTGAGGCCGTGTTCGGTACCTTCGGGGATAACGACTTCCTTTGTGGGGACTTCGCGAGTCTTGGTTTCGGGCTTCTTCTCAACCACCTTGACACCTTCAACGACGACAGTCTCCTTTGTAACTTCTTCGATGACAGTTTCAATGTCCTTGACAGTGGGCTTGTCGGACACAGGCTTGACACCTTCAACGACAACAACGGTCTCTTCGGTGGTCTCCTTAACAACGACTGTGGGCTTCTTCTCGTCATCAACAGGCTTGACACCTTCAATGACGGTAACGCTAGTTGTGGTCTCCTCAATGGTCTTAACTACGTCTTCAACAGTCTCAGGCTTATCGGAAGTGGGCTTAACGCCGCGTACAACGATGGTCTCGGTGACTTCCTCAGTGACAGTGGGTTGTTCTTCGGTAACTTCAATACCTTCGACGATCACAAAGGTTTCTTCGATCTGCTTGACGACGGTGGTGATATCCTTGACAGTGGGCTTCTCGTGGATAACCTTGACACCTTCAACCACGATAATCTTACCCTTGTCGGTTTCCTTCACAACAAAAGTGGGCTTGTCACCAATGGTCTCGAGACCCTCCAAAACAATAGCAGTGGATTCGGTATCCTCGATAACAGTAGTAACATCCTCCACAACGGTAGGCTGCTCGTCAATGAACTCAACATCCTCGATCACAACAATGGTACCTTCCTCGGTCTCCTGTGTAACGATCTTGGGTTTCTTGCCAGTGATCTTGATACCCTCGACAATAACCGAAGTTTTCTCGATGGTTTCAAACACCTTCTTGATATCCTTGACAGTGGGCTTCTCGGTAGTGGGCTTGACACCTTCTACAGCGACGACTGTACCCTCTGTGGTCTCTCTAACAACAACGGTAGGCTTCTCCTCGGTAACCTCGACACCTTCAATCACAGTGGTAGTTGTAGTCTTGGTAACGGTCTCACGAACATTATCAACCACTTCAGGCTGTTCGGCAGTGGGTTTGACACCTTCAACGACGATCACTTCCTTGGTCTCTCTAGTGACGGTTGGCTTCTCACCCTTGACAACCTCAATACCTTCAACAACGATAGACTCCTCGGTAACCTCTTCAATGACAGTGGTGATGTCCTTGACAGTAGGAACTTCTTCGGTCTTCTCAACACCTTCAACAATGAGAGTGGTCTTCTCAGTTGTCTCGGTAACCTCAGTGACTTCGGTTACAGTAGGCTTGTCTTCGGTGGGTTTAACGCCTTCAATGACGATCAATTCAGTATCGGTCTCCTTGATGGTCTTGATAACATCTTCCACAATCTTGGGCTTATCTTCCGAGACTTCAACATCTTTGACAATAACTACTTCTCGGACAACCTCTTCAACAATGGTTGGCTTGTCACTGAGAGGCTTGAGCTCTTCAACCACCTTGACACCTTCAACAACGATAGTCTCCTTTGTCACTTCTTCGATGACAGTCTCAATGTCCTTGACAGTGGGCTTGTCGGACACAGGCTTGACACCTTCAACGACAACAACGGTCTCTTCGGTGGTCTCCTTAACAACGACTGTGGGCTTCTTCTCGTCATCAACAGGCTTGACACCTTCAATGACGGTAACGCTAGTTGTGGTCTCCTCAATGGTCTTAACTACGTCTTCAACAGTCTCAGGCTTGTCGGAAGTGGGCTTAACGCCGCGTACAACGATTGTCTCGGTGACTTCCTCAGTGACAGTGGGTTGTTCTTCGGTAACTTCAATACCTTCGACGATCACAAAGGTTTCTTCGATCTGCTTGACGACGGTGGTGATATCCTTGACAGTGGGCTTCTCGTGGATAACCTTGACACCTTCAACCACGATAATCTTACCCTTGTCGGTCTCCTTCACAACAAAAGTGGGCTTGTCACCAATGGTCTCGAGACCCTCCAAAACAATAGCAGTGGATTCGGTATCCTCGATAACAGTAGTAACATCCTCCACAACGGTAGGCTGCTCGTCAATGAACTCAACATCCTCGATCACAACAATGGTACCCTCCTCGGTCTCCTGTGTAACGATCTTGGGTTTCTTGCCAGTGATCTTGATACCCTCGACAATAACCGAAGTTTTCTCGATGGTTTCAAACACCTTCTTGATATCCTTGACAGTGGGCTTCTCGGTGGTGGGCTTGACACCTTCTACAACGACGACTGTACCCTCTGTGCTCTCTCTAACAACAACGGTAGGCTTCTCCTCGGTAACCTCGACACCTTCAATCACGGTGGTAGTTGTGGTCTTGGTAACGGTCTCACGAACATTATCAACCACTTCAGGCTGTTCGGCAGTGGGTTTGACACCTTCAACGACGATCACTTCCTTGGTCTCTCTAGTGCCGGTTGGCTTCTCACCCTTGACAACCTCGATACCTTCAACAACGATAGAATCCTCGGTAACCTCTTCAATTAGAGTTGTAATCTCTTTTGAAATCTGTTGGTTGTGTGTCTCAGGCTTGACACCTTCGATCACGGTAACACTAGTTGTGGTCTCCTTGGTGGCCTTCTTGATGTCATCAACCTCTTTAGGCTTGTCGAATGTGGGTTTATCACCGTGGATAACAATGGTGTCGGTTATTTCCTCAGTTATAGTGGGCGTCTTTTTGGCGACTTGAATATCTTCGACTGTCACAATAGTTTTTTCGATTTCTCGTACAACTGTGGTTATATCTTTGACCGTGGGTTTTTCATGGATAATCTTGACGCCCTCAACAACAATGACCTTACCCTCGTCAGTCTCCTTCATAACGAAAGTGGGTCTTTCACCGATTGTCTCGATACCCTCCAAAACAATGGCTGTGGATTCAGTGTCCTTAATAGCAGTTGTAACATCTTCGACGATGGTGGGCTTTTCGCCAATGAACTCAACATCCTCAATCACAACAATGGTTCCCTCCTTAGTCTCTTTTGTGACAATTTTAGGCTTTTTTCCGGTAATCTTTATACCCTCCACAATGACGGTGCTCTTTTCAGTTTTGTTGAAAACCTCTTTCACCTCTTCCACAGTGGGTTTTTTCGAATGAGGCTTGGTTTCCTTCACAGATCTGTATGTTTTGGTAACCTCCTCAACAATTTCAGAGGGCTTGTCATCAGAAGACTTGCGAATAGTCTCTCTGTTAACCGGCTTGTCTTCAGTAGGCTTCAAGACACCCTCGGTAATAGTTGGTTTTTCAGTAACGAGAACGGGTATATCTTCAATGATCTTGATATCCTCACGCTCGACAACCTTAATGTCTTTCTTGGTAATTTCTTCTTTGTATATTTCAGGTGTGATTTTTTCTGTGACCAATACTGAAACATCTTCAGTGACTGTAAGATCTTCGCTGTTGATGATTGTGGTCTTTTCTTCCACAACAGTTTTAGGTTTTTCTTCACTGACTGCATATCCTTCCTTGGTAATGATTGTGAACTCTTCTGTTTCAATAACATCAACTTGGGTAGGCTTATCAGTAGTTGTTTTAGTAACGTTCTCGACGGTTTCAGTAACAGTTGTTGGCTGATCCTTAACAGATTCAGGTTTCTTGGGATAGGCATGTGTTGGGACACCGATCTTCGGCTTGTAAGGAGCGTCAGATGTATCGGGCTTTGAAGTCTCTTCAGTGATTACAGTTCTTGTGATCTGCTCAAGCTTCTTAGGTTTCTTGGTAGTCTGAATTGTCTCGACAACTGTATCTTCAGCAACGATCTCTTCGAAACTGTCTTCAAAGCTATCCTCACTGTCTGAGTCGGGCTTGCTTGTAGAAGTGACGACAGGGACACCGATCTTGGGTTGAAAAGGAGCTTCTTGCTTAACGAACTTCTTAGGCTTCTTGATCTGCTCGGTCACCTCTTCGATTTCTGTTACTACGGTCTTCTGAGCAGCAGGGCCGAAGCTGTAAGTAATATAACGACGAATATCCTTTGCTGGAGTAGTTTCATCCTTGAGGATTGTCTTGAATCGAATGATTCTGGTTAAAAGATTGGCTTTTGTAGACTCGAGATTGTACAAAATCTGGCGGCGCTGAACCCATGAAAGGTGGGGCATGCTGTCGTAGTAAGTGTTGACAGATGTAATAGTGTCGTCAATCTTGGTAACAATGTCGAGTTGAGCAGCGTCGATGACAGTGACTGCGTCATCCTTGCTTTCAGGTGTAGTCTCATCAAGGCAAGTAGTGATATCCTTGTCAATCTGAGTAAACCATTCGGTGATCTGCTCCTTGGTGTCATTGAGCTTTTCATTAACAACCTTCTTAGCGACTTCAGTTTCCTTGGCCTCAACGGCTGTTGTGGGTGTCTCATCAATCTCATCCTCTGAGTCTTCCTCGACACCAGAAATCTCTTGGGTGATGATGGTCTGGTAAGTCTTCAACTCAGTTGTGAGATCCTTATCGGTGTCTTCGACAATCTCGTCCAACTCTTCCTCAGTCTTGGGCTGTTTGTTCTTGTGGATAGTGTCGGTCTGCTTCTTAACAATTTCCTTGGTGCGTTTAATTGCAGAAACTACAGAGTCCTCAATGAGCTGGGTGTTGGTGTTAGGAACAACGTGAGATGACTTCTTGGTAGTAGTCTCCACAGCCTTGAGCTTCTTGTCGAGATCCTCGTTTGCTTCGTCAACGATCTTCTTGACTTCATCTTCTGATGCACCATTCTCAATAGCATGGTTGACTCTGCGGTAAAGAATGATGTACCAGTAACGGACGATTGTCTTGATTGTTTGGGTGGTAGCCAGTGTCTTTTGGGTACTGACGAGCTGGGTCTCCTTGACCTTGACATCCTCTTCCTCCTCATCTTCGACTTCTGTGATGATAGGTTTGGTATTCTCGGGTGCCTTGGTAGTAGTTCTCTTGGTTGTTGTGCTCTCGATGTGACGAGTTACAACATCATCAAGATGACGATCAACCTCTTCGGTGGTCTCCTTGATGGTCTTATCAAAGTCGAGCTCCTTGAGTGAGATCTTCTGGTTAGGCTTGTAACCCTTTACGATATCCAAATAATATTTGAATACGCGAGTGTTGTAAAGCTTCTTAATCTCCTCGACAGTCTCCTGGGGCTGAGTAGGCTGAGCTCCGGGAGCAGCTATAGTTTTGCTGTAATCGTCGAGACGCTTGTTGAGAATGCGACGCTGGTCCTCGATAACCTTGACAAATTCCTGCTGGTTCTTGCAACGGCGGAGACGCTGGATGAAAACAACGCGCCAGGCTCTAATGATAGAACGAGTCTCGGTGACAACAGTCTGGGTGGGCTTATATGTGGTGCGAACCAAGACATTATCAGTACGATCTTGCTTCTTGTGGAGTTTCTTGGCATCAGTGTGATGGAAGATAACATCCTTTGAACCTCTGCGGACATTGATAACCTCGCCAGTCTCTCTGGTCTTGGTTACAATATCTCCCTTGGGGCACACCTCCTTGATGGTATCGACAACCTTGACGGGGGCATGCTCGGTCTTGGTGATGACAGCACCTTGCTCGATAGCCTCGGTAATGCTTCCGATAGGAGCAGGGGCGGACGTTGAAGTTGTGGTGGTCTTCTTGCCAAAGATGGGAGTGGTGAATTTCCATCTGATAATTGAGCGAGTGGTGGTTGATTCGGTATCAGTTTCTTTGTTTGATAAAACAACTTCGGTATCGTCCTTGACAGTGGTTCCCTTGTGACCAAGTACAAGATCCTTGTGGCTCTCGAGGTAGATCTCGCCATCAACGTTCAAAGCCCACTTCTGGCTGCTCACACCAGCCTCGGATGACTGGATAAGACTGGCAGATGGCACAAGATCGCCTATTGTAATAATAATAATAATAATAATAATAATAATAATAATAATAATAATAATAATAATAATAATAATAATAATAATAATAATAATAATAATAATAATAATAATAATAATAATAATAATAATAATAATAATAATAATAATAATAATAATAATAATAATAATGTGTGTTAGTTATTTAGATTTTCTTCGTTGGTTTCTAATAACAGATAATAAAAAAGAAGAAGTTTTTGGGTACATACCCTTGACGTCAATAACAAGCTTGCTTCCATAGTTGATCAAGAGACCATCACGATAAGTCCAGAGCTGGCTCTGGAAGCTTCTAAGGTTGAGTTTTTTAACGACAAGCTTGGAATCAGCAGTCTCGGATTCCTTCTCGACGGCCAAAACGAGGTCTTCCTGCTCCTTGCGGTCGACCTTGATAAAGAACCAAGCAGAATCTGGGAAGAAAGCACGGCGGATGATAGTTGTAACAGTGGTAGTACGGCTGGGCTGACGAACAGATGTGACAACTGTAGTAGAAGCGTTATGACAATCCTTCTCAATCTCATTGTCAGAGAATATAGGGATATGCAACTGCATTACATAGCCATCACCAGACTCCTCAGTAGAAGCAATAAGCTCATATCTGTTAGAACGGCGGACAATGCGAAGGTAATAGATGATCTTCTGGATGCGAACAGTAATAACACCACGAGCAGAGATCTGGAAAGTCTGGTCATAAGAGTTGGACAAGATCCAGCGTTTGTCTAGTTTAAAAAGAAGTTTATATAAATGTTAATAGGTTGCTTGATAAGCATAAGTGTATATATACTTACTCTCGTTAAGAACAAGGCGGAGCAAGTACTTGTAGTTGACCAGATAGCCGTCGACGTAGATCCAAAGGAATCGCTTGTAATCATCATTGTCCTGGAGTTTGTAGACACCAACCTGCTTCTCCTCATCAGCAGCAAGGAAGTAGTCTTCGGCACCATATCTGATGAAGAACCACTTGTCAGTGCTAGGCCATTGGTTGGTTGAGGTGATCTTGTGAATGAAAGTCTCCTTGAGGCCTCTGAACGCAAGAAGAGCAGAGGCGGAGCTGGACACGGAAGAGACCTTTCCGGCCTCGACGATCTTGACACCACCATCGGCCTGAGCGACAGGAATAAGACTGGGAATAAGGATCTCCCATCTCTGCTCGCGGCGGGCACCTGCACCCTTACCCTTCTGATGGGTGTGGACCTTCTCCTCCATGACGTACACATCAATGTGGGTATAGTTCTCCGAGCGACGGAGCTCCTTGACGGAAAGAACCAAAGATCGCTTGGCTCTAAGGTTGATCAGACCCTCTTCAGAGTTGTGATCCCAGATACGGTCCTCGGGTCTGCCATCATCAGCGTGCTGAATAGAGAGATGGGCGCGCTCTCCGGAAATAATGGTCTGCTTGGCAGCATCCAACACCAAGGATGGGTTCTTGAGGTTGTAGATGAGGCCATCGCGGTAACACCAGAGCTGGCTAGAGAAATCAGTGACCTTGATACGAGTAAGGATCACATAGGCCTCGTCGACAGCATCTCCCTGGATATCCAAGACATAGCCGTGCAAGTGACTCTTGATCAGGAAATAGCCGGTAGGGAAGTTACCCTGGTGAGTCTTGTAGCGAACAACCTTCTCAAATCCGGTAGGAATGTAATCCTCGCTCAATTGGAACGAGTCTTTGCGACCTAGGCGAAGAGACTTGGAGGAGTTGGACTTCTTCAAGCTGGCCTCCTGCTTCTCGGCCACGGCAGGGATGGGCTTGGTAATAACTTCCTTCTCGGGAGCCTTTTCGGATACAACACCACGAGTGGTTGTGGTAGTGGTAGTGGTGGTGGTCTTTCCTTCGCCATCCTTGTTTACAGTTGTGGTGACGGTGTCGACGGCAGCAGAATTTGGTGCAGGTGACTCAGGGCTCAATTCTTCTTCGACTTCGTCCTCAGAATCCTCATCATTCTCCTCCTCTGAATCGGACTCCTCTCCCTCAGACTCGTTGACCTCCTGGACAGTCACTGGAATTTCCTCGACCTTGTCGAGTACTTCTTCAGTGGTCTCGGTGGTCTCGTTACCTACAGTCCGAGTGATGGTGCGAGTAGTGAAGAGAGGCTTGGAGAACATCCAGCGCAACCACTCCTCGGACTGCAGCTTTGATTCTTCTACATTGTTAGCATTAGTTTTCACAGTTCTTAATTGACGCAAACCAATCTGGGCTCCTTCGACGGTGGTACGCTCGGCACTCGACACGCCTGCAACAAGGCGTTCGTTCGACTTCTGGTGAATTTCTCCATTGGCACTCAGACCCCAGAACTGGGTTTCGGCTGAAGAAACTTCTCGGACACGCAACTGGGAACGCAGGCCAGACTCGACCATGGCATCCTTGACGGATCTAGAATCGAGGGCAAGGCCAGTCTGTACGTTGATAAGGTGACCATCCTGGTAGGTCCAGAACTGCCACTTGTAAGCCTTGAAGTTAATTGCCTGTAGGCTGACGGTGTATTCAGCACCGCCGGCGACCTGGGTCTTTGAGGACTCGACCACAGTAAGGGCAAGATGGTCTTTGCCGTTAAAGGCACGGACAAAGAAGGATCCGTCGGGGAATCGACCCCAGCGACGGATGATTGTGCGCTTGGTTATACGTTCGTAACGTTCAGCATCGGCGGTGGCAACCTCTTTAGGAACGCTGACGCCTTCGATGGTGAGTGTGGAATCTGTGCGAGAAATCTCGGATCCTGGTGAACGCTTTCCGAACTGCGGTGTGGCAAAATTCCATTGCTGGTATTTGAGATCAAGACCGCCGCGGGCACGGAGTTGGATTTCGGCACCTTCAGAGATCTTGTCTCCCTTGGGTCCCAAAACCAGGCCAGAGCGAGATTGGGGGTGGATGTGGCCTTCGACCGAGAGACCCCAGAGCTGGTTCTTACGCTGCTTCTTGAGGCTCTTCTCCTGCCACTGGATTACACTGCTGTTTGCGAGGAGTGCACCACCAGCAACGTCAATTACAAAGTCGGTGTCCATGTTGGACAGGCAACCATCGTCACGGTATTGCCACAGCTGGCGGCGGAAGATCTTGAAGTCCAACTTGGCCAGGATGATCTTTGTGCCTTGCTTTGTGTTTTCGATTGTGAGGACAAGTGATTCGTCTGCCTTTGAGCGAACGAAGAACCAGCCCTTGGGGAAGATGGCGTAGCGATGGGTAACCAACTGGCGGTTGGTTGTTGTGCGGGTGGTAAGGATCGTGAGAATGATTCTTCGGAATCCGATGAGAACAGATGACTCGTAGCGACCGTAAAGAACACTCCATGCGTAGTGTGTGCTAGATGCCTTGGTGCTGTCAGACAACTGGAGGAGCCATACGTTGCTCTTCTGGACAAGGCTAAAGCCGAGTTCATTCTGTGATTGGGAAACAATGGAGCCATCGGTCTTGATAACCCACTGCTGACGGGCGTTATTTGCTTCTTCTACAGACAGCTGGAGCAACTTGCCATGGGCCAATTCATCTATTGTTATAATATTTAGAGTAAAATAGACATGGAATTAGATTATGTTGTTGTTGTTGTTGTTTTTTTTTGCAGAAAACAAAAGTTACTTACCGACAGCTTCTAAGATAAGACCGGATGAGACATGAGTGATGCGTCCATTGCGGAAAGCCCATTGGAACTCGGAAGCATTGGAAACCTCGAGCTTACGAAGAGTAATTTCAGAGTAAGCTTCTGCGGTTTTGGGAACAACGGCCAGACCGTCATGGGCACGAATATAGAAAACGTCTTCAGGCCATGCGGCGACACTGTGGACTGTTTTTTGGATGGTCTGGCTGCCAGATCTGCGCCACTCCTTGAGGTAGTGGATGGTCCACTCCAGAAGAACCTGAGAACCGGCCTTGTAACCAAACTGGGGGATTAACAGACCCCATCTGTACTCCTGCTTGGAACCGTGAGCACCAAGAGAAAGTTTGTATTTGTCGCTTCCTTCTTCCTGAGGAATCAAAGCCATGGTGGGTTCTGAGTCCTGGATCAGGTAACCCTCAATTGAAAGAGACCAACGCTGGGATGCGATCTCCTGCTTCTTGTTCTGGATGAGACCTGCGCCTGCAACAATGGCTATGTAGGTTGATAATTTTTTAAAAAAATATATATAAAAAAGATAATTAATATTTGTGTATATTAAAAAATAAGGAAAGAAATTTTTATGTATATACTTACAGCTGACATCAATTGCCATATCAGTTTCGTAGTTGATAAGGCTTCCATTGGAGTAGCTCCAGAGCTGGTAACGCCATGACTCTCGGCTGAGACGAGCCAGGCGAATAGTCTGTGTGGATTTGTCTGAGGTAAGAACAAGAGGGTTTTCCTTGGTTGATCCGGTCTGGAAAGAACGAATGAAGAACCATCCAGTGGGGTATTGGGCATAGCGGTAGGTAATAGTCTTCTTGACAGTAGGTGTTGATGCGACTTCACGAACAGCTTATAAAGTTTTTTTAAAGAAAAAAAAAGAATTATGATTTTAGTATTCGCAGCAAAATAAATATATGGAAAGCTCTTTTTTTTGGTTTCTGGTTTTCTTACTTGTCTTCTTCTTGAAGACTGGGAGGACAAAGTTCCATCGCTGTTCCTTCTGATCTGTAGACTTGGTAGCCAAAAAGACATTGGACTTGCTCTTCTCGTTGGCATTGACGGAGAGGACAAGGTTACCGAATGACTTGATGTGGATGCAACCATCAGCAGTCAGACCCCACTGCTGGTTAGTGCTCTCTGGCTTTTCCTTGTATTGGCAGATCTCGGCGCCGCTTACAAGAGAGCCACCCTTGACGTCGAGGACCATTTCGGAAGCCTTGTTGACAAGAGTGCCGTTGTTGTATTTCCAAAGTTGGCGAGAGTAGTTTGCGGTGTCGAGCTTGACTGCGACGGCCTGTGCGGCCAGGGTTCCACTCTCGAGGACGGTGAGAACCAAGCCTTGGGCCTGACTCTTGACAAAGAACCATCCCTCGGGGAAGACACCAGAGTGTTCAACAGTGGTAATGGTCTCAGCCTTGTGTTTCTTGAAGACAGGTAAAACAACGCTGAAGCGCTGGAGCTGGTTGTTTTTGCTGCTTCTCTGGAGATGGAGGTGAGCACCCTCGCGGTTGCTGAACCAGCTGTCTTTGTATCCGAGCACCCAGGCGTTATCGTTTCGGAGGCAGATCTCGCCTTCGGGAGAGAGAGTCCATGCCTGGGTCTTGCCGCTATTTTCGAATGGTGCAGACTGGCATGCGTAGGCGTCTTCGGCGAGGGAGTTGCCTTCGATGCTGAGGACCAGGCCAGAGTGTTTGTTGACAATGCGGTGGGTTGTGGGGTCAAAGGTCCACAGCTGACTGTCATAGGCAGATTTGCGAAGAGAATCGATAGTCAGGCGAGTGCCTGACTTGGCGATTGAGCCAGCCTCGGTACCGATGTAGTAGCCATTTGTCTGGGACTTTAAGAAAAAGGCGGTCTCAGGGAATGTGCCGATGGGAATACGCTGGCTTTCTTCCTGATCGAGACTTGAGCTTGTAGAACGGATCGAGCGAGCGTCTGTGTAGAAATCCCAATTGATGAAGCGGATTTGAATAGGCCATAAGTTATAATGATTTACACAGAAAAATTAGAATAATTGAATATATTTTTATTATATTAAAAAGAAATAGCAAGGAATCTTACCGTCTTCTTTGATATTAGTAAGGTCACGGCCGAGAGGCTTGGTGGCTGTTTCGGCAGGGCCAACACTGGGTGCTCTCTTGAGAGAAGTGCTAGTGCTCACAGAGGTAAGTGTGGCTGAAGATGCAGTCTTGATGATCGGGACTATAAATTCCCAGCGCTGCTCTTTGCGCTCAAGATGACGCTTGTCCATGAGCTGGAGATGAACGTGGAGGCCTTCACGACGCGAGAAGAAGGATTCTTTGATGCCGAGAACCAAAGTGGGCTTCTGCTTGAGGTAGACGTGACCATCGACAGTTGTGCCAAATGTTTGATAGTTGTTTTCTGGCTTGCCAGTAGTTGACACAGTTTGTTGCACAATGTCAGATCCCGCTTTGGCGTTGCCTGATTTTTAAAAAAAAATATGGTGTATTTTTGAGTGAGTGTGAGTTGCTGCTGGAATTACAGCTACTACTTTGATAGTTGCTACTAATGAAGCACTTTTTTTTTCCTTTGCTTTTCTGTCGGGGTTGCTACACCAATAATCAAATGCGTGCTTCACTTTTCACTTTCATTTTTTTGTGCCTTGTTTTTTTTAACATTTGACATCCGCATTGCTCGGAAGCCCCCCGTCTAGGAGATTGTAATATTTTTTTTTCTCTTTACGCCCTGGTTGGTGTGTAGCAAAAGCCCACGACACAAAAGAAAATATATATATGGGACAAACTCAAATAAAGAAAGAAAATGTAATATAAAATTAAAGGTAGAGTGAAAGGAAATGTACCTTTAGCAACATCCATAACAAGACCAGTCTTTTTGTTGGTGAGATGGCCTTGTTCATTATAGTTCCAAAGCTGAGAATCAGCATCTTTAGTGCGAATAGATGAGATCACCACGGGCGATCCAGCATCGGGGGTGGGGTTTTCGACCATTAAGACATAGCCATTACTGAGGTTCTTGATGAAAAACCAGCCTTCTGGGAAATTATCGCTAGTAGACATATTTTTTTTATCTCTCTCTTATATTGATCGTGGGATTAATGATCAAGAAAATAGGGGTGGGCTGTTTTTTGTTTTAAAAAAAAGTTAAAGAAAGAGTGGTAAAGAAGTATTCGTTATAATGAAAAGTAAAATTTTTTTGAAAGTAAAAAAAGGGGGAAATGTACACTAAGTTTGTATATAAATTTTAAATTTTTTTGCAAAACTAAACAATATAAACAAGAAATGTATATAGTTTTGAATATGTAATAAGAATAATAATTTTCTTAGGTAAAGTAGTGTTTAGCTATATATATATATGTATATAACAATAAATGTTATATGTAAAGAAGCTGCTTCTTTTCAAAAGAAATTAATGAAAAAAGCGGTAAAGGGGAGGTAGAGAAGAAAGGGAAACAGACGAGAGGGCGCGCGAGTAAAAGTGAAATAGAAATGAGAATTTTTTTTTTGGTGTGGTTTGACAGGGTTTGACAAAAGAGCCCAATACATTAGACAACTCCCCAAGCGTTTGAGATGATCTTGGGTGGAGGGGTACAAGACCACCAGAAATGGCTCTGATTGTGATACCTTCTGACTAGGATAATTTGTAGTGCTACAACACTTTTAAAAATATATATTTTTTTTTGTTTCGCTATTTTCGCTCAACGACCCTAGCTAGTCTTTTTTTTTTATTTTCTTTCCTTCCAGATGCCAATGCCGAGTATTGGTAACACTGACGTTTCTAAACGGGTTGCTTCTTTGTACAACTAGACTGTGAAACACATGGCTAGCCTGAGGGGCGTGTTGCGACATAAAGAAAAGGTAAAAAGAAGTGAAGTAAAGACATCTAGTAAAGATCTTTGAAGGACTGAGAGTTGGACATTAAACAAACTTTGGAGATCTGTTGACTAAATATTAGTATGTTTGCAAGTGCCGGTGCATACAAAAACTAGAGACACAATAATAACAAAGCATCCCACTCATGCAGGCCCACCATTGCACCCTCATCAATCAGCTCTTACTGTCTCACCAAAACATTGCCGTTGCACGGTCGTATTCTCCCTTTAGCTGCAGTGGAGATTATTTTTTTGTATTTTTATTTTATTTTGAACACCAGTTTTCCCTTTGAACCATTTATACACCTTTATATATAGCTATAGATAGATAGATGTGTACAGAACTTACCCTTGTCACTATATTAATTTACAAGTGAGCTATGTATATATGGGAACAGAGTCCCAACCTACCCTTACCCTTGACAAGTATTAAAATATTAATGTTAATAATAAAAAAATTAAAGGGTAAGGGGAGGTACCCATTAGGTGCTCAATTTCATAGTGCTTTGATATGTGTATCACCTTTGTTATTTGAAAGAGTATGGCAAATAACCTTAAAATATTGCGTTGACTGACTAGCCTGATCCTTTGTTCAATTTTCTTTCTTTCTTTTACTTTATTTTATTTTATTGATCAATCAAATGATACTGAAGGATATAAAATAGTTACTGTATATGAGTACCATCTGGTTGTACTTGAGGGTTCTTTATAGCAGATAAGCGTGATTATTATCGGGACCTTGCTGTTTTATATATCATTTTACAATATTATTTTATTTTGATCGATTCAGCCATCACCTTTTTTTTTGGTTTTTTTGAAACTGGCATAGAATAAGCCAAAAAGGTTTATATGTTTAGTACACAGTTCTGTTACCATGCTCAGACATTTCCGTACAACCTTTGGTCTTTATTTGGCCAACCTCTATTTTATATATTTTTGTGTATGAGTCTAGACCAGGTGATTTTCTCTTTCTTGATTCTTGTGTATTGATGATCGTAAATAAAATAATATAATATAATATAATATAATACATCTTTCTTGGTTGAATACCCCCCCCCCCAAATTAATTTATACTTTTCATATAATTTATAATGATAATAATAATAATAATTGTAACTGTAATTATCATAGACAGATATTTTGACCATTTCAGCCTTCTTCTACAATAAATCCGAGTAAAGTAATGTACATTAGAACTATATATTGGTATGCATTTAGTCTTATTTATTGCTCTAAACAAGAAATCCTGGGAAATCAAAGAAAGGAATCATATAGATCTATAGCTTGATTTAGTGCGTAGAACTTTAATGGACTCTTTGGCTCTATTTTATTTTATTTTATTAATGTATATATAGAAAATATATATATTAGGTGCTGAATTGGATACCGTATCACAATCTGTGGTAGTTTTTCATTCAAGTTGCACCTTAATATATACAGCCAATTCTATTTTCTGCTGTGAGGCCGCAAAGAATTGCCATTTTTGATTAGACGTCTAAAGAGATTCAAAGGCAAAACACAAGAAAAAAAGTATATCAAATTTTGTATTATGTTATGTATATATTTATTTCTTGAGATATTTTATAATACAAAATAGTACGAATTAAAGTGTTTTTTTTGTATTCATATTACACTATACCATAATATTCTCTCTTTCCTTCATTCTTTGTCATTTCTTTACCTCAAGCTATTTTGCATGTCTATATTCAATAAAGACATTTAGTATTTTGTATGATCGGATAGCATGGTATTTAACATGCATTTTATAGGCTTTAAATGAACAAACAAACAAACAAAAAATGTAGGTATTTTTGATTTATACATTTATTTTTTGACATAATTGATATATTTGAGTAAATTATCAAGTATATAATATTAAAGCCACCAAAAAAAAATAGGTGAATTGGAACAGATCTCACCGGATCACGGAAAGGATACAATAACTCAAAAATCCGAATAAAGCTATGTGTGATACTTTATTATATATACATATATATATATTACTATCGATCTCGGTTTTCGGCTTTTATAAACAAGTACTGTGTCCACTTTGTCTGTCAACGCCCAAAAATGCACGGAGCAAATACCCGTAATGCTGATATCGATAATTATGAATATAGTATACATTCATATATATATACATCAAAGCATCAATTAGGCTGCTTTAATTCTGTTTAGGTGAAACCAGTTTCAATAAAAGCTCATGTCATTTTGAAATCACATACACGTATATTTTTATTTGTATGATTTCATTAATGAATTCTTGATAATACGTAAGTATTGACCTTGCAATGTATCTATCTACAGTTAGCATATTTAATACTAGTCTCTTGCTTGCTCTAGATCAGCACCATTATTATATACGTATGAATTGCTCTTTGACCAGCCAATTGAGAATAGAGTATATAAAGTGTGATACAATTAATAGTCTATCCTTTCTTTTATGCTATCATATTTTCAACTTTGTTTAGCATGAAATAACGTGAGTTCGGCCTTGAACACAGAATCGGCTCAAATAAAATTCGAAATATAATAGTTTTTTCTTATTTTATTTTATTTTTTGAACAATGGCTTAATCCTCTATCAGCTGTTTAGTGTAGGCGTAATCACTTGAATAAGATACCAAGTGCAAATAACAACAACAACAACAACAACAACAGCAACAGAGATAGAAAAAGAGGAAAAAATAACAGTATTAAGAATGTTTGGGTTAAATGGAATGTTTCTGTTTTTTTTTTTCAGAGAAAGAAACAGAGAGCTCATGACCCTGCAAAATAAGACAGTAATATACAGATAGATAGATAAATAGATAGATAGGTAGATAGGTAAATAGTACGATGAAATAGGGTTCTTTATTTTTACTTTCTATATCTGAAATATTATTATTATTTGAACATTTTGATTATCCAAATTCTTTAAGAAAAAGTACAGTAACTAGCATTATATGTAGACATAATTTGTAACACTGATCTACAGCCATAAAGACTTGTGGTAGATACTTGATTATATATATAACAAAAAAAACAAGAGATGTAAATGAATGCTACATGTCAAAATATGAATAGGTTTTGGGACTACATATAAATGGCTTGTGAAAGCTGAGCACAAGAAGTATGAAAAATAAACATTTTGATCAGCCCTTCTTCTTCTTCTTTCTTTTTCTTTCTTTTTCTTACTATTATTTTTGACAACAGCTTCTAGACACAATACCAGCTATAAAAGGAATACAAAGTATACAAGAAAATACAAGAAAAATTCTAGGTGTTTCATACACAAGAACAAAAAAGCCTTACCCCCCAAAAAAAAGCTATTTGTTTCTATTATTACAATAATTAGCATTTTAGATTTGAAACGCCAACCTTCATTTTAAACTAATTCACTTGTAAAGACATTTTTTTTAGAGTTATCCATTTCAATATTTGGTTGCCTGGATATACAAATCCCCTTTTCTCCCTTGTCTCTTTATTTATTTTATTTTTTGCGTTTTTTTTATTCCTTTGGTTTATCTCATATTCTTAAATTACTAGATATATATCTTATAATTTACCCTTTTTTTTTTTCTTTTTGAAATTTATGTAGAAATTTGCGAATTTATTCAATACATAAAATCCATAAAATTTCAAAGACATATCGTATTTTCCATCTTCTTGTTCTTCTTCATGACCTGTATCCAGCAGCTGGTCAGGGAGCTATTCTGGCAAGAGTTACGGGATACAAGACAATTGTATTTATTCCGATACCAAAAGAAAGAAAATAATATAATATAATATAATTATAATTATGTACTTGTCATACGACTAAGGATCAAACTGGTTGTGGGTCCTACCCACGGCATAATATGAAAATTATAATAGGCTCAAATGAGTACCAGGCTTACAAATCTGTTGTATCTCTCTCTCTCTTTACATTTTACTTTTTTTTTCACGTTAGTAAAAAAAGGCCCATTACTTGTGTGCCACAGTTAATAGATCAACATTCATATTCTTCTTCAGTATACAAAGTCTATTTGAGTAAAACAAATCCTAAGTGCATTTACACTTCTTCCTTTTCTTTCTTTCCTTCTTTTCTTTACAGCTACGGGGGTTTTTTTGCTTTTTTTGTTTGTTTGTTTGTTTTTCTTCTCATTTGAAGTATAAGACATACATATAAGTTTGGTTAAATCTATAGCTGTAACTCGTAGGACAATTATTCGTACAATGAAGTACATTCATTTCCATATATAGTTCGACTCAGGGACCACAGTTATATATATATATATATATATATTATTTATTTATATTTATAATATTCTGGCTCATAATCACTCTGTCTTTTACCTGTGTGTGTTTGTGGGTACAATATCCATGTGGCTTGCGTACACAATACTTTGAAAGCTTTTTCCTGAATAAAATAAAGAGTAATAAATAATATGGTATATCATGCTATGCTATGCTATGCTATGCTATGCTATGCTATGGGATATATGTGGCTTTGGGTATGTAATAGAAAGTCGTATCACTTTTTTCTTTTACTTTTGCTTTTGCTTATTATATATATATATATATATGTGTGTGTGTGTGTGTGTGCGTATCTTTCTATTTGGACACTGACCTTTACAATTACTAGATTGTATAAGTCTAGAATAATAAAGTAATATGTGGCTCTACCTGTAGTTGTGTGATTTGATTATTATTGTTTTTAATTTTTGGGCGTCTCTTTGGCTAGTATTACACAGTAGGTACACTCATCTGCGTCTCTGTCGATCATTAGTTTTCCCAGTGCACGAGCCTAGGCATGTATGTAAGTGCACGTATGCAAAGATGCATAGATGTGGTCTCTCGCCTGGGCCTCTGGAATACCTTAAACAGACATTTAATGGGTATGCACCTATATATGATATGATAATAATTTAATATGCTTTAATAAGTCGTATATATTAAAAGTAAAATAAAAATCATCCCACTTTCACATCAGTGCACAATCACAATTTTATACATACAATAAGTAAAAGTTTCATGTTTAGGTGTGTGAATACTGTATAGATTTTGTGGGTCTATATTTTCTGGGCTGTTGAAAATATCAAGTCTAATATCATTATTTTAATTGCTAAACAAGTCAAAATGCCTATCATTTGTTAGGTGAATAGTATCCGGCTCAAAATATTTACAGCAAATGAATCATTTACATTGTCTGCCATGTATGTTTTATTGGATCTTGATGCAAATTATCCAAATATAAAAAGAATACGATGGTTTAAATAATAATAATAATATATATATATATCGATATAGTTATACTGGATGTGGAGTGGGGGGAATGTGGGAAAGTTTTTGGAATCGTATCATTTCTTAATGAAGACTAGAAAATGCATAATTGTATGCAAGGTACAAGATGCAAAATTAACAAAAGAATAGCTTTGTGTAGGTATTTTGAATACTTCGCGCACACACACACACTCTCTCTCTCACTCTCTCTATTTTTTTCTTATAAGTAAAAGTAAAACTCAATGGTATTAGTATTATATATACATATGTGTATGTGTGTGTGTGTGTATTGGAAGTAATCTATTATATAATTTGATTGAGTCAAATTGAATTGTAGAAATAATACTGTTAAATGGACAAAGTATTGTATTTACGCTTATGGCTATTCAAGAAAGCCAGGCTTGCGGTATACTCCTTTGTATTATTATTATTATTATTATAAAGAATCAATACGAATATATAAATAATACGAATATCATTATTGTTACCTTGTGCAAGTGATACCATTAATTTTGAGAGGGAGCCCAAAAAATACTGTATATATATATTATTTATATATACTTGTTGCCTTTGCCAGTGGCCATGAAATACAACAATACATATCATCTCAGATTAAGTATGTACTAGATACATGTATATATATATATATATATATAATAGATATCTATGACTAAAATACAAGAAAAATTGAATATCCAATAGTATTATTACATCTGTAGTAGGGTAATAGGATTACTCCAGTGCTTAACTAAGTGCCTTTTGGTACTCAATCTTTTTTTTTCTTGGTAAATGGTAAATATAATATCCGTATACCCACACTGGTGCTCATACTCATACTCGTACTTACACTTACACTTACACTTACACCCATACAATCAATTTTAGGTATGTATATATAGAGGAAAATAAAAAGTAAAGGGTTATTTTGAGCTCACTTATATTGGAGAAAATCTCGCCAAGTATTAAAGTCCAAACATTAATAAAATGAATTACATTAATTGACTCTATTGAGTGTGCAAATATGCCCAGTCATTTCGTTTTCTGTTTATATTATAAATCATAGTACGAGAAGCCGTAGCAACACTAAGGAAGAGTGAGAGTCAAATTGAAGGAGTGGAAGAATTACTAGAAAAATACGTTAAAAATAAGATTCATCTTCACATACCTATTTTGGAATATACGTATAATTTATTTTAAAAAAAAAACAAAAAAAGTTTAAATTTTGAAACAATAAAGAGAGATAGAAATATATATATATAAAACAAATAAATAAAGAAATTGGTTCAAATCGGCAGTTCAACAAGTTTTCTCAGTGGCTCTTTGATGTAATTTATTCTTATTCTTATTTTTTATTTTACTTTATTTTTCGTAAGATTTGTAAAGTGCTTTGTTACTCTCACACAAAACCCACACTTACCGATGTCTTATTGTTGTTATTGTCGTTATCATTGGTATTGTCACTGCCGTTGTCGTAATAGTCGTTGTTTCTTTTTTCTCTTTTAGCTTTTTTTATTTTAATTCTTAACTTTTTCTAAGTCCATTAGCTTGTCAAAAACCCCTTTTAAGCGGTCTACCTAAATACTTCTTTGTGCACTTTTATTTTTATTTATTTTTCTGAAAAAATATATTATATATTTTTGAATTTTGTGTGTGTATGTGTTTGCTAAGCAATGTAGTAAATATGCAAATTATTATATACCGCTTTATTTTATTCTGCCTATAGTTACCACACTTCTCTCAGAAGATACGTTCTATTTTTTCAGAAAAAAAAAATTACTGTATTCATTTACTATGACTTTCCAAAAAGTTTCAATAATCAAGGAGGAGGTGATGAGCTCTCGTGACTCTTGATACATAAGTAGACAATAAAATGGTATTCTATTAAAACTGTTATAAAGTATGTATATGTACTTATCCTGGTTCTGATTACACCCGAATTAGCACAAAATCAGAACACCCGAATAGTTGAATACTAACAAGGAGGAACTATTTCAACTAGTATATATCAGTCGTTTAAGTATATAGGCAGATTCTTACTATATATATTTATATACTGACACTTTAATGCTGGGTGTCATTATGGAGCAGCTAAATAACCAGCTTGGAAAAATTGTAATTGAGAAAGCCGCACTATATATAACCTTCAATTGAGTTAATAAGGTAAGGAGAGCAGCTAGGAATTGCTTCAGATGTAATATAAAAAAACAGCTCATGATACTGTAAAGGTGTCTTTACCTACTTCTTTACTCTCCCGTGCTCAATCCAGTGTAATAGCTTGGGTCGGTTTGTGTGAGTAAATTGAAGAGGAAAAACTCTTAAAATGAATAAAGAAAGAAAGAAAAACTTGGTAACAAGGATAGGAAATGTAGGCAATTATATCTCCTTTTCTAGTTTCCAAAAGTCTGATTTTGTGGTTTTCTTGATCGCAAATCTATTAAAACACACATACTACTCGGTCGTATTTATCGTATATGTGATTTCAATGTGTCAATAAAAGTATGGAAATACTTTGAAGAAGCGGTATATATCTCGGTATATTACTGTTACAAGGGTTATCGTCTCTGAATTTCTTGATATATGTATATATCTTATGTATGGCTGGAGTATATAGGAGGAATGTATAAAAGTATAATAATAAATCTTGTGCAATAGCAATACAATAGATGTATGATGAGGAAAGAAAAAAAAAGAAATCATTGACAGCATATCTAATCTTTAATACCAATCGATCAAAAAGCCTGATACCGTACTATAGATTCTCAAATAAGAAATATTTAGCAGACAAGGCTAACAGTATATTTGGAGATTCTGGGTAGCTTTACGCACCTTGTGCAGCATTTTAATTTGTTAAATGAAAAGGTCTTTCTTGTGTAATTTATACAACAAGATGGAACTTTAAGTTATAATACATGATCGATCACAATTTCTTGTATCATGTTGTATATGTTCTAAAGCTTAAATTAGTACAAGTGTACCTTTTGAAATTCACACCCCAGAAAGAGGGACATCTTCGGCTGTCATATGTTCAAAAATCATACCAAATAGAACATCTAAACGCAAAACCTAGAACTTCAATGGTATTATAAGCTTCATAAACCTGGGTGTATATGCATTTATGTGCTTGTAATATATAGATATAAGAAATAGAACCTGCAGGAATACAAGCTCACTTTTTACATTTTTTGCAAGTAGCCAGAGTTGGCAATAGAAGGTTTAATAACTTGACTTAAAAAAAAATGAAAGTATTCAAAAGTTCTTGGCTCAAGGATTTTTTTATGCTCTTTTATTGATTTCGACTAATCATATACTGTAATGTAAGTGTAGATGCTAATTCAAACGCAAAAAGCTCCAAGTCTAATAGGTTCTCTATAATATTGTTAAGCCACTCCATGTCGATCATTACGTTGATACTGGCAATGAATTATATACGAACAGAACTATAAAACAGTTAAATGACATGCCTATTATCAACGCCCTTTATTCAAAAATAATAATAGAAACGTATGAAGGAATGGACACTTTCGGAAATTCTCATGTTAGCAACATAAAGGTGAACACCATAAAAGCACTTGGGTATTAAAATGCTAGTAAAATTCATCATAAGTTCCAAAAAAAAAAAAGAGGATATTATTATTAAGCTTCGTAATTTTTACATAAAAAAGACATGTCGGCTTAACATGAACAGTTCACATATTGAACCGGATGAATCAAATGACTAGAAGATATCAATATAAAAAATAAGGTTCGTTGTGCAAAATTGACTAAAGATAGCTCAGGCGAGAGAAGACGCAAAAGCGCAAAGGAGATAATACAGTGTTTCTACTTGAGATTGAGACAAATTAAGAAATGTTTTATACAAATCAAGATGTAATTGTAGACAAAGAGAAATTAATTTTCAAAATAGATGTTTATTTAGATATTTTAACAGTTAGATTTGGAACCTTCTGTAAACCATTGCAGTAAAAATTAGGTTATCTTATTGATACTCATCAATTATATCGTTCTGTCATTTTTTAAATAATAGCGTAATTTCACCATGCGGTCTCTCTTATAGCCGGTGTTTGTTTCTTACGCTTGTTACCATTTGTTGTGAATAAACATTATTTATAGCTAAATGTTATAGTACTCCTAAAGAATTGCATGATTTATTATTGGTTATTTTAGTAGAATATTACTTACGTTACTGTTATTTATCTGCGTACTTATTTTTAAAAATAAAAAGACGACATCATCGACAAAAAAGCACGGCTTAATTCTTGAATAGCGACAATTTTGAAAATTGCGATTTTTACTTCTGGAGTGATTGTAACTTGAATCGGTAAAGCGCTACGTACTATAATAAATGGCTGCCTGGTCCAACACGAACATTATCTAGGAGATATGTAGTCTAAGACCCTGTCTATCATAACATTCTCTTTTTTCTTGGGAGTCCAGAAATTAGGTCGAATAATAAATAAATGTGTTCAAAAAAAAATTCGTATACATACCCTTCGCATAGAATATTTGCGTATTAACCCTCAGGTCAAATATTATATTATAGTATTATTAGAATATGGTTAGCCATTTACAAACTATAGAATTTTACAGGCACAAAACTGAATAAACAGAACGAAACAAAGCAAAAAAACAGGAAGACTCTGTTAGATAACAAAAGACAAATAGAAAGAGAAAGGGAGATAATGAGAAAGAAGTGAGCGAATATTGTATGATGAACGCTTGATACTACTTTCCACTCCGGATTACACATTCACTCTCAGATAAAGACTGTGCACATTGGATTTTCTTACAATTTCTACTAATTTCTACAGAACTATATAAATTACATATAAATTATACAAGATAATTATTTGTGTTAGATCGTCTGTGTCTGTGTCTGTATGTATGTATGCATTCAAAGAAGGTGCTTAGAATAATGTCCAATACAGAAAATACATTATATTTGAACAAAAATATTCTGTATAAGTTTGCTAAATGAGCTCAGCCATGCCTTTTTATTGTTATCATTTTGGTACTTTACAAATATTACATCAGCTTACCTGTATTCCAACTATGTAGATAACTGACAGTAATGAATGCCTCTTGCGAATGTATAGAATACAGAACTATATGCATTTTATACAAAGGTGATACTTTCTATATATTTAAGGGTAATATTGCTTTACATAACTTTTTGTACAACATCACGCACAAATATGGTGTTTTTTTTTTGGATTTTGCAAAATCTCAATGTTACTCGTCAAAGTACCTGATCTGGTCAAAATTACTGTTTCTGTGTATACAGATATACATTTTTTTAAGTTTCAATACCCGCCGTTGTCGAAGTTTATCAAACTACTTGAAAAAAAAAGGAACTGAATTCCAAGTTCATCACGCTTCATCATCTTCCTCATCATGCTCAAGTCTCCTTTGTGGCTACTCATTTTCTTCCTCACCTTGGTCTTGGCAGATCAGAAAGCGAAGGCTCCTTTACCACCACCGACTAAACTTCTTGGAGGTAAATGAGCATTCTGTTTTGTTTTCTTTTACTATCATTCTCATTCTCATTCGTTCTCATAAACCAAATAAATATGTACTGTTACTTATGCAGGTACTATCAGAGCCGCTCCAAACTGTGACAGAAAGATTGGTGCCAATGCACGTATCACTGTTCACTATAAAGCAAGCGTCTGGGGTGTAAAGGAACTCTTTGAAAACACATACAAAAAAGAACCCATTGTCTACAGACTCGGTAAGGGAAAAAATGGTCGAATATGTATATACATATATATTATACAAAAGATAACTAATTCATATATTAAATACAACTCTTTAGGTCGCGATAAGATGCTCAAGGGTAAGAGAGAAAGAGAGATAGAGATTGTGTAAAACAAATTTACATATGTAGTAGAAGAAGAATGTTATTAATGTTGGGGTATGTACTTTAAGGACTTGAACAAGGCATTGAGGGTATGTGTGTTGGTGAGATTCGCCGTCTGTTGATCCCCGCTGATCTTGGTAAGCCTACCTCCTCTTGTTTTCATTTTATTTTGAAAGAAAGCTATGGCTTTGAATACAAAGTCATCACACAATAGGATTACTGACAATTATCATCTTTATTACAGCCTATGGTGAACTTGGTGTACCTGGAGTTGTTCCTCGTAAGTTTAATATACTGGTGTTTTATTGATGTTGCTGCTGAAATAAAAAAAAAGGAAAGAAAGAAGAGAAAATAAATTATATGATAAACTTATTCATTCTTTTCTTTGTATAGCCAACAGCGCCCTTGTTTACGAAGTTGAGTTGATCGATAGTCTTCCTCCCTGGAAGTAAGTATAACATTTCTTTTAAAGAGCAACTTGAAGGACTTTATCATCTTCTGTTTACTTATACAAATATTTTGTCTTTTTTAGAAACCCTTGGTTCTGGATCGGTATTGCTGGTTTTGCTAGCGCATACTACATCGTTGACAAGAAAACAAAAGGCAAAGATGAAATAAAAGCCTCCAAGTTCTTGGAATCCAAGCTTGCTGCTGGTAAGGAGGGAGTTGCCGTTGATAATGTTGCTGCTGCTACTGTCACAGAGGGAGAGAAAGAGGATTCCGCTCCAGTTAAGGAAAAGTCGACATAAAAAAAACAGATTCCTTTCTTTTTATTTATTTTGTTTATCTATTCATTTATTTTCTTATATAACCCTTTATACACTTTTGTAATTTTTTGGTCTCGATATATTGTTTTGTTTCCTATTTAATAAATAGACCACTCTAATTTTGCTCACTTACTTTATCTTCCTCTTTTTTCAGCATTATAAATGAATTCATGTATTTCCAATTTGTTCAGCTTTATTGCTTCTATTAAAATTAAATATTTAACCTTTCTGTTTTAAAAAAAAACAACCAAGAAATTATTTTTTGGACTATAAAAATAATAGTCGCGGTTGTCATGAAAAGATAAAAGTATGGCTATAGCAATGCCTTTTACTTAATTGCTACTATTCATACCATTAATAAATGGATAGAAAGGCGGATTTAGTTGGAAAGCATATGGTAATGTAAAGAAAACGTGGCCATCCTTTAAAACATATTTTACAAGGAATCTAAATAAAATATGATATGATGTCTGTTTAAAAGGGATAATATACAAGCTCATTATTTACGTAAACCATATTGACGTTACATTTTGTAAAGTGATATAATATATCATGGCTAATAGAAACGTAAACTAGTTAGCACATCATTGTGAACCTATATTAAAAGGAGATAGGAATTATATATTTAGCTTTATGAATTTCTAGCCGCAATGTTAACTTTGCTAGTGTATCGAGAAATAACTTGTATCAAAAATGACAAATATGGTCTTTGATTTGGGATTATTTTTCACTACTAAAGCACATCATATATTAGTCAACCCTACTGAAGGATTATAAGCGAGAATAAAAAGATAGATAACTTTTCTAAAGCTACTCAGCAACTATAATTTTTTTTCGGACTCTATTCGACCTTTGTTAAGTTATATGTTTTCTAATTCATTTGTGAACAAAAAGGAATCACATTGGTTGTTGTTTTCGAGAACTCTGTATAGTTAGCATCTTAATTGGCCAAAAATAAATCTTGTACTACACAAACAATCAAGCAAGTAAAATATTTCGACAACTGCAGGATTTGAACCTGCGCGGGCAAAGCCCATATGATTTCGAGTCATACTCCTTAACCACTCGGACAAGTTGTCAAACTTTAATTGTCCGATTGTGCTATAACTATAGTCCACAATATTAAACAGTAGAAAATAGTATAGAAATATAAGTAAATATATAGAAAAGAAGTAATAGATAATAAGGAGTTAAGCAGTAAATATACTATAATAATAATCAAATATAACAAAAGAAAAAAACCTTGAAAATTTAAGATATAATAATAAGAGCAGATTGTATTTTCTTATAAAAAAGACACCTTTTATTTATGAATAAATTATAGCTGATATATAGTCTTAAAGTATTTTTATATTTTTTTTTATAGTATTTCTTGTGGTATTTCAGGTACGAAACAATAGAAAAATAAAATATTTGATAATAGAGACGTATAGAAATACTTTGAGACTGTATATAAGTTGTCTTTATTCATAAATAAAAAGTGTCCCTTTTTATAAGAAAACACAATCTGCTCTTGTCATTACGTCTTAGTTTCTTAAGGCTTTCTTCCTTTACTATATTTGGTTATTAGAGTGTATTTACTGCTTAACTAGTGTCGGTGTTACAATTATGACATCAAGTCATAAATCGTACTTCTTTAGCTCTTAGCTATTCCTTTCTCTTTTATACTAGAGCTTTAGGACTTCCTACTAAATTAGCTCCATATCGATCTGACACAGTTTACCCGGCAGTATGATATAATTATCTTAACAATCTTTAAGATATTATCTACAGTACTAACTGTAATAATTATTGGGCTGATTACTTAATCGTTTATATATATTTTATACTGACAAGATGATAGCTACTATGCTATCCCAATATGAATATGTTCTTATATGTGATAAATCCAACATCCGAGTGTCTGGATCACCACATTTCTGGTACAAAACAATAGAAAATAATAAATTTGATAATAGAAATGTATAGAAATACTTTGAGACTGTATATAAGTTGTCTTTTATTTATAAATAAAAAGTGTTCCTTTTTATAAGAAAACATAATTTGCTCTTATCATTATGTCTTAGTTTCTTAAGGCTTTCTTTCTTTACTATATTTAGTTATTAAAGTGTATTTACTACTTAATTAGTGTTGGTGTTACAATTATAGCATCAAGTCATAAATCATATTTATTTAGCTCTTAGCTATTTTTTTCTCTTTTATACTAGAGTTTTAGGACTTTCTACTAAATTAGCTCCATATCACTCTAACACAGTTTATCCAGCAATATGATATAATTATTGTATCCAACATAATCATAGATTCAAATAGAGCGCACAGACAATAAGACAAAAACATATTGAATAAACGACCAGTATCAATTATACATTATTTCTCACACTATCATTAAATAAAGAATATACTAATAACAAGGTCACACACCTTAGTCAACATCACTAATCACTCAAACAAGAGTGTATATAATAACTTAACTGTTGTGAATGAGTATTGATTACTGCTGAATCTGAGAGTAAGACTGAAGGATAAAATAATATCCTCAGCTATTCCAGTCAAACGGATCTCCCTTTATGATTGTTGTATCCAACATAATCGTAGATTTAAATTAAAAGTACAGACACTCAATAAATACGTACATTGAGTTACCGACAACTAGTAACGATACTAAAAGATATACCTTCCCTTATACAAGGAAATTATGTAAAGAACATACTAAGACAAATACTAAGACTCTAGTCAATAACACTAAAAACATAAGAACTAAATCATAGAAGATAATGGTAGAGAAACAGACATTACATGATATCATCATATCATTACCAAGCTAAATACAATGTCTATATAAACGCACAATACTAATAGCAATAGAACAGCATCTCTTTTCTGATTCTTGCACTTCTTCTAATAAAACAAAGTCTCACCGTACTCTCGTCTGCACTCGTTTTATTTTATATCTTATTTTTACCTCATACATAACAATGATATTATCTAATACACAGATCATCATACACATAATTGATTATTTATTATTATCACCATGACATGGGATATACAAATACATATACATTATATATATGGCATCATTATATTTCATCTACATATTTCTTTTATTATACAAATACTTAATTGAGAGACTACAACTACAACTATCTAATATTATGAAACATTACCCGAGTATCTGGGTCGGAATACTAAAATATTACCAATAGCATAAATGCTCTTCTTTACCAAAACTCTTGGACTGATCTGACTGGAGAAGTATCATATCAATTGGTCTTTCCGAATCTTTCCAGAAGAACAATACTCCTGGAAGATGACTCATCGTGATAAAGATTACTTAAGCACACACTGAATTACAAATTAGAAAAACATATAAATATCAGTAGATAGTTCCGTGTAGAAAGACAATCGAATTTTATCATTCTTTACTTTTCTTTTGAAATAAACAACCTACACAAGTTCTCACGAATTCTTTCGTCTATATTATATTTTGCTTTATTTTCTCCCCACAACATTAACAATATATTATCTATGATATAAGAAAACAAAAATCACATGATATACTCATATCATTATCCTAAATACATATGCAATGTCTATATAAACTCACATAGCAAATAGCAATAGAAGATCATCTCTGTTGTGGTGGTTGAAGTTGAAGAAGTTTTTAAGAGGAAGAATTGAAGATTTGAAATTAGGAACGAAGATTCGTGAGAACTTGTGTAGGTTTTGTTTATTGAGAAAGATTTTATATCAAAGTTTGACCAGGTTCCTACACTGAACTACTACTGCTATTTATATTATTTTGGATCGGGAAAATTATATGACTGGGGTCAGGTAATCGATCCTATCTGAGCCTTAATCAGAGCAACGTGATCTTGGGATAATTAATGTATGATTAATTATATAAATGTATGTAGTCCCAATGAAGTATTAACATCGAAAGTAAATGTGTTTATGAGTTATAATTATGCTTATAATAATCCACTGATGTATCCCATATTATGGTGATATCATCATATGAAATATAATCACTATCATGCATGCTAAACCTGTGTGTTAAATAATAAAGTAATCGGTAGACACCTTTGACTGGAATAGCTGAGGCCTTATATTATTTCCTTCAGACTTATTCTCAATTACAGCAGTAGTCAATACTCATTTACAACACTAACTATAATAATTATTGGCCCAATTACTTCATTGTTTATATACATTTTATACAGATAAGATGATATAGTCAAAGCTCGATTTAGTAATACTTTTGGGAGAAGCCAAATTGTATTACTATTACTAAATCAAATATATTCTTTCTTACTCTGCATATGTTTTTTAGTAATATTGCAGATTTGCTCTATGTAACTACAAATAAAAGTGCTGAAAAAATATTACTAAATCACGATTATTACTAAATCAAATGTTACTAAATTGAGTTTTGACTGTAGCTACTATGTTATCCCAATATGAATATATTTTTATATGTGATAAATTCAACATCCAAGTGTCTGGATCACCACATCTATTTTTAAGTTTATAATTTTTCTATTACTTTATATCTAAGATACCATAATTTCTTTTCAATATAATTCTGTTAGAGATACTGATATATTTAAAAAATGAAATCAAAATAAAATAAAATAAAAAATTAAAATAAAGTATATGAATGAATATATAAGAATTGATGACTAAGTAAGAAAAAATAAATAAAAAAGTTCAATAATAAAGCATTTAATATTATAGTTTCTTTTTATGATTAGTTCAATAATAATAATATTTTTATATTTTATATTTATTCATAAACTAATTACAGAATATATATATAAAGCCAATATATACATCACATATACTATATATAAAGAGAAAAAGAAAACTGTATGTTTTTAAAACTTTAAGATTAAATTTATTACTGTTATTTATAGTAGAAATAAATAAATATATAAATTTAAACTATAAAAATATATTTATTTTAATACTTTTCTTTATCTCAAAACTTCTCATTCAAATTATTATATGTCTCATCAAATTAATAAAAAGCTTCTTATAAAACAAAAGCAGCTCTCTCAGGTTATAAAAAAGAACTAATAATTAGTGATATTATTATAAATATACTACTTGCTGATATTTCTGAGAGGAAATATATATGTTTACAAATATTATATATATCAAAAGTAAAATATAAAGTAATACTAGAGCATATTTTACTGAGAAGTAAAAAGAAAAATCTAAAATAATAAATGAGCAAGATCAATACACTTTAATCAATAAATAATACTTAGTTAGATTGATTGATCAAATTATAAATTCAGAAGGCAATATTATCAGTCTATAATTATAATAGCAATAATTAAAATTTGTCTGTTATTTTTTTCAAAAATCAAATTTTGATCAAATTTTGATTAAAAAATACACAGCTCTCTGACTGACTGAATCCTTACTTTTTTATATACAATATAATACTGTTTTTATCTTTCTTCTTAATAGACCATTGCTACTTTTAGAAGGATAACATTTCCTAGTGGAAGACAATAATTTGATTCTATCAGGCCACAATATAATAATCTTTTTGCCAGCATAAAATAATTATATTTATTTTCTAAGAACACATAATATTCATATAAAGATTTTCTTTTATGACTTGCAAAAAGTGTCAATAGGGATTACTTACCAGCTGGTGCTGTCGAACTCTGAACATATTTAGATGAAAGAAAGAAAAAAATACAATATACATAAGAAGGCTAATATATAATAAAATATTTAACGAGATCGTGTCATACTCTAATGACAATAACTCTTTATGATCTTCTTCATGACTGACTATTGATATAGTGTATTTGTGACTAATTACTATCTCTTTGTTATAAACTCTAAATTTATGATGCAAACAGCTATTGATTGACTATAAAAGATTTGTTTTTTATATGATACAATATTTCATTATTAAGTTGCCAAAATACAGACTGTGGTATACACATCACAATTAAGTGAAATACAAACTCCACAATCTAGAACGGATACTACAATTGCTAATGAACTTGGCAGGGTCACATCTCAGGAACGTAACACACACCAGGCACTCGTACACTTCACACTGCTTCAGTGATAACCAACCATTAACCAACGGAGATCTTAAATTAGGGAACCAAATGTCTATATAAACAGTTATAATCTTCTTTCTTAAATAAACAACACTCCCACAGTACCTATTGTTCCCTTTCTAAATTTATTCGTATACCTCACAGACTTTAACCCTTAAAAGAATGAGAGTTAGATATCTGTAGAAAGATAGATTAACACAAAATGTGGTGACGAAGTAGTAAGCTAATGTATATAATAAATAAATCGCGTTTTTCCAGATCACGCCATTTTGCCTTGAAGGATTAGAGAAAGATACCAGAACTCAGACAGGTAGCCACAATTAACTAGTCTGGTGATGTAGAAATGTCATATCCCATCAAGAAACGCTGTCCCCATAAGATTACTGCTTAGAAGTAATTGAAAAGGAAGTTAATTTAAAGTTGGATCATATAGCTGCTGTGAAGGAGCTTGAGCAAACCCTTAAAGTCAATAGAAAACATACACAAGGTTGACGATGTATTACCGGAACTTGAGTCAAAGGAAAGAACACTTGACTTCTTCGAGAGTCTAGGTGCATATAGATTCAAAGAAGAAATCAGAATATACAAAAGCTTATTCTATGAATTTTGTACGAATTTTGTACTTTTGTCTTTTGGTGTCTTCAACTACAAATTGATATCATTGGCCAAAATTCACACAAGAATTTGATCGATCAATTTGGCCGAGTACCCCCAACGACATTAAGGTGAATCGCGAGACAAAACTTGAGGTTTTACTACCTTCATGTCCATCATCCTAGAACATTCAATCTCCAAGTCTACCATTTGTCGAACTTCTTATAAAGATGAAATGTCTTCTTGCAGAGTTGTGCCCAAGCCACTGCTACCAAAAGCGCACAAGAAGAAGCGATTGGCCTTTGGTAATCATTCTAGGGATAATAATCGGAGATGCGATTGCGATTGCGTCAGCTGAAGTGTTAAGTCGAGGTTTATGCTTTTCAACAAAGATAAAAATATCAGATTATGGCGTTATTTCTCAGAAAGATACATATAATGCTGTGTTATACTAAGATTGCAGTGTGATGGAGGTTCAATCATGGCTTGGGGTTGTATGTGGGCAGATGAAGTTAATCCATTGGAGACCATAAAAAAAAATACATTTGACTAATGTACATTCTTGGACCCAATATAAAAAAAGGCTTATTCTATTTATGCGATCTTTCAGTGAGAACTGCTACGGAGTTTATATACCAGGAAGACAATGCTCCCTCCCATAGGTCTAATCTTGAAGAAGAGTGGAAAAGACGCCAGAACTTGGCAATGATAGTATGCCCACCCAACAGCCCAGTTATCAGCCCCTTAGAAAATTTATGGACACATCTTGCCAGAAAAGTAAAGGCAAGAGTCCCTTCTCCAAAAAATAAAATCTTAAGGAATTGGAGATGCTATTCATGTAAAGTAGGATAATATCCAAGTTTAAGTTTGCAAGGCATATTGCATGTCAATGCCTAATCGCATATACAAGACGAAGAAGGCTCGTGGAAGGTCAATACACTATTATTATGATTTATTAACTTTACTTTTTATATTTTTTCCAGAGCTATATATTTGTACCTATATGTTTTCAGATATGTGTGATAAAGTGAAAGTAGATAAACGAAAATAATCAAGTGAAAGAGGGCATACCCTTGATTTTGCAGAATTTACAGCTACCTTAGTACTGATATAAATATGTAGTAATAGTAAAAGTATATTTTGCCTATGAGATTACTGTTTATCTGAATCTTATTATATGCCTACCGGATTTCTATAAATACTATATATAGCAGCAACCATAGATATGTTTTTTAGAAACAAAGGAGAGCAAAATAAAAATAATGATATTAATAATATTAGGATAAAGTTTCACCAGAATTTCCTTTTAGATGAGCAAAAAAAAAAGAAAAGGAGTTATAAAGAAACTGACCGTATTAGAGGGAACCTTCCTGCTTTCTTTACTACCGGTGAAATTTTACAGGTCGAGATTGGCTCGTTTAAGTGTATAGGCAAGAGTACTTATTATTTTTATTGGCGAGCTGGTACCTGTTACTTTACAACACTATAGATCACCTAGACGCGCTTAAGAATAGTTTAATAGATACATCAATACCCCATAAATACCAAGAAACATAAAAGAAGTATAAATCAGAAGAAAATAAAATAAAGTAAGACGAAATAAAAGTCAAAGCGATACATTTATACTAGAGACTTCCATTGTAAAATATTGAAAAAGAATAGGTAAAGAAGAAGAAGAAGAAGAAGAAGAAGCAGAAGAAAGCCTCTAATGGGAATCGTTAAAGTTTTTAATACTGTAATATTAAGCTAGATTCGCGTCTTACTTTAGAGAAAGTCTAATTATACCTGAGCCAGAAAATGAGCAAATTATTCTATAGTTTTTCCAGGGAAGTGAGTACAAATATGTTCCGGTACATTGTGCCTCCAACGCACGCAAGGATTGACTGTTTAGGGAGTAAATGAAAGCATGCGTCTAGTAATCAGGCCTATTTTCACTTGCAATGGTTGTATGTCTACCTCAAGGCATGTGTTATAGGTTCCGATAAATGTATACACTTTTTGATTGAAGTGTTTAGGTCACCCCATCCTTGTATATTCTTTTGTTCTTTGTCTCTCTTTTCTTTTTTGTGCTATGGAGTAGTATGTTCTCCCAACTTGTGAGATTATTGCGTTATAATTGCGCAACTTTAATTTCTTGTACGCGTCGATGCAGACACATGATTAGTTCGATAAAAGTGTAAAAACTTCTACGACCAAAAATTAAAGATAAAAATAAAAGTTCTTTATATAGAATGGAAGAAATGGGTTCTAATGGTTCTAATGGTTCTTCTATATATTTTCCCTTATTTTTGGCTACACAACCGGATCATGTTTCTATTGGTAAAGAATACACGAACAATTTAAATTTTTCTATTTTTCTTTTTGATATTCGTTAACATTTGCAATCACATTGGTTCCCAATTCTTATCTCACATGTACACATAGAGCACATATTTATATTTCTATTTATTGTCATAATCATTATTAAATAGGCATAGAACAAATATATATATATATGCGTGTATGTGAGCAAGTGAGATATTAGATATGTTTTACTCAGTAATTATAAACCATTACATAATATTTTAGTAATTTAGTAAGCTAGTATGACACATCCGAAATCGTGGCAGAAATGATTAATAGGTTAGAATGTGACCGATAATTATTGTGATGCTGATTATGATGCTGATTATGATGAGCTGGTAGTAGCCAAAAGAAGAAGATACTTTTCTTTTTTCAGGTCGTATGATTTAAAGTACTAATTAGAGACAAAAGATATATACATATAGAAAAATATTACCTAAATTTTTCTGATTGGGTCTATGGAAGAGTATCTGATAATAGTATAGTCTGTACTGATGTACTGATATATACATACTGATAAGTAGGTGCGTAGAGTGACTGAAGAAGTAATAGTCATACCTGCAACCATTTTGTGTGTATGTAGCCCAGATATATATATTGGTATTTATGGTACTTCATACAGTCTACTGGAAGCAACATCAAGTAAATAAATAAGAATGAGAGACGTTTACTGTAGCAAGAAAGCAAGTAGTATGCTCTAGTATATTCTCAATAGATCCATAATAGAAAAATTGTTATTATTATCCTACCGATTAGGATAATTTTTGCTGTAAATACCAGACATATTCACCATCACTATTATCTTTACTATTGCTTTTACTGCTGTTAAAAATACGGGCGAATAAGGGTGAATAAGATATTTATATATCTATATATAAATGTGTTGTTTGCACACACAAGATAATCCTATTTACTTGTAGCTATGTGAAAATAGAAAATAAGCAATTTATCGGAGGATTATAAATAAGGCGAAGGAATCATGGCAGACTTGAATCTATTGACACGGTACCATATTGATATTTTATATGTACATATTAAATACGGTCTTTTTGGGTATCTTTCTATCATTAATATTAGAAAAGGTAGGTTTTTTTTATTAAACGTTTAAAGCAAATTTTAGATCAAGGAGTATGTAAAAAGAGAGAGAAAGAAAGAAAGAAAGAAATAAGATTTCATCCATTCTCCAACCAAAGTATGTCACTCTCACGATGTACTTCTTTCATTTCCATATCCATTTCCTTTTCCTTTTACTTTTTGCGTGTGTAGACTACAGTCATGATATACACACCTACATAATTAAATAAGCGAATAAATGAGTGAGGGAGCGAGTGTAAATGCAACTTTGAATACTGTAATCAATTGCCTGTAAAGTATTACCTTTTATAATTCCAAATTCTGATATGTGATTTCGTGTCAATGCAAGATAGTCGAGTCTCTAATGCATCTCTATCTCTGTCCTTCTCTCCCTCCCTCAATCCCTCTTTCTCTTTCTCTCTTTTACTTTTTCTATTCTCTGCCTTGTAAACTCTCACTAACAACTGTAGACATTCATTATCTTAACCCTCCTTCTCTCTCACTCTGAATTGTCATCTTTTACACATACACACTATAAGTTGAATCCTTTGGCTTATTAATATTACAAGTACATTCACACACCAATTCGCACAAGCAGATACCTATATACCTATATATCATTGGCATTCTCTCTGTTTCTGCGATCATCTACTGCTTGTCTTGTTTCAACCCAATCTAAAAAAAAAGAGAGAGAAAGAAAGAATACAATTATAACATACAGAACACGCACGTAAACACTCATACAGACAAACGGATATATATATATACATATAAGAGATAATGTCAGCATTGAAGTCGGGGAAACCCATTTGTACCACAGGAAAGAATTTAGCAGGTCTCTGGAGACCTTCGTTTGTTAAAGTTAACCACCAACTATTCGTCTTTGGAGGAGGTGGAAACGTGACCGACAATTTACATGCTCTCGATTTATACACTATGCGCTGGGATGCAGTTCAAGTAAGATTTATTTCATTACTACATTTTACATTGAATCATTGGTTCATTGATTTATCATTAATGTTAGTATTAATACATAACATCTCTTTATTTTTATTTTTTTTTATTTTTGACTATATTTATAATAGGCATTAAAAGGCAAAGCACCCTCTAAAAGATATGGTCACACAGCAACACGATGGAATGATTCCATCGTAATATTTGGTAAGAATTATATTCGGCACAATACGAATCAACCAAATGAATAGAATAGAATAGAATAGAATAAAATAAAATAAAATAAAACCCCCAGAAAAAAGAAGAGAGAAAAAATATTAAACAGTAGTTTTACTATCTTACAACACAAACACAAGGTGGCTGTAATGAATTCCAAGAGTATTGCAATGATGTTTATATATTTAATCTCCACACCTTAACATGGACAAGTCCGGAAGTGTCGAATATTGTACCGGCAAGATATCTACACAGTGCAATGGCCTACGATGACAAGTTATTTGTGTATGGTGGATTTGCAAAGAGTATGGAGTGTAAGTTGAGCTTATTATTATTATATATATATTATCTACGTACACACGCGTGCATATAAATGAATATATTAAATATATTAAATATATATACAATAGGTACATATGTATTAGATGAATTAAACGTATTGGACTTACAAACAATGATATGGACAAAGTACCAAGACGTTCCTCCACGCTATAATCACTCGGCTACACTAATTGGTCAAAAGATGTACATCTACGGAGGAAAAGACGAACACGGAAGTACGGTGTCGGATCTTTACATGATCAATCTCCTTGTGCCGCCTTATACCCCACACCTTGTTCTGAGCGGAGAGCAGTCATCGACAAGTTCAAAAATGGTACTGTTGAAGAGTCAGCATTTTTGTGATGCGGTATGCGGAAAGTTGCTGGTCTTTGGACGATACCTTTCCAAAAACCAGGAAACCAATCACAGTAGCAGTGGAATTAGTGGCAGTAGCAATAGTAGTAATAGCAGCAGCAGCAGCAGCAGCAGCAGTAGCGGCAGTGGTAGCAGCAGCAGTGGCAGCAGCAGCAGTGGTAATGGTATCCCAGAGGCGTCTTACAGTTTATGGATGCTAGATCTTGATACGCTAGAATGGGAAAGGCAAGAATGCAACATACATTTTGAAGTGGGCGGGTGGAATTATTTTACAGCCTTCAAGGAACAAATGATGCCCGGGACAGAAGACGACGATCAATCGGTAGCCACTGTGAATAGTCTCTTGTTCCTAGGAAATACAGACACATACCGGCCTCAAGGATATGATCATTTCAGGTAATATATCCTATATAATAAAGTTAAAGTTAAAGGAAAAGAATCTAAACCGACAAGACTTTATGTTTCGTTTATTGTTACTGCCGTTTCTCTTTATTTTTTTTCTTTCTTTTTGGTAGGGATGCGCTGATAATTAATAGTGAAACTCTTGGACTGTATGACATTGGACCTCCTTGTTGCCTAAACCAATTGTCTCGGCTACTGACAAACCCTGAGCTTTCCGATTTTGTGATTGTGGTGTCTGGTGGACAAGAGATCCAAGTTCACCAAGTGATTTTAATTACCCGCTGGCCGCATTTTAGAAATATGTACAATTCCGGGATGACTGAGGCTTTGGAACGACGGCTAGAAATACCTGAGCCTTATGAGGTAGTGATGGTCCTTCTAAAATACCTTTATAGCGACCGGCTAGACGAAACTGAATCCTGGGATGTCCTATGCCAAGTATTGGTGGTCGCGAATATGTACCTGTTGAGCAGACTGAAGAAGATGTGCTGCGAGCAACTCTATCGCCGTCATATGTCTGTCGAGAGTTGTGGTGCCATCTTTGAAAAGGCAATATTGACTGACGAAGTTGGCCTAAAGATGCTTACGCTTGACTTTATATTCCGTAATTATGGATCTGTTCTCAAGTCAAGCACTCTTATGCACATGCCACTGTTGGTCCACCAAGAGTTTTTAGAGGCAATACCAGATGAAGCAGTCTTGGATATTGGGCAAATGCGGGCAAGTAATACGACCAAGCCAATCGGGGGAAAGGCTTCTGGGCTGTCCAAGACATATTCAACGCCAAGCCTTGCTTATTCTTCATCTGATAACATATACCACACCCAGACTTATACTTCTGTTAATATAGTCAGAGTTTCAACAGACAATCCAGTGGGTGCGACAGATGTAATTATTGGTATATAGAAGAGATTCCCTTTTTTTTCTTTCTTTATCGTTTTCAATAATATCTACTTTTTACTATTAATATTAATATTAATATTAATATTATTTTTGTACACACACAGATATATATATACTTTTTTACTCACTCAATTATAAAGACATACTTATATAGATAAAAGAAAATATTTTCTCTTGATCTTTAAATTTGTTTCTTACTGAAAATTGATTCACCAAAAAAAAAAACCACAAGTTGAAATGAGGTGTAAAAATACTTCAAAAAGCCAAGCCAATTGTAAATTATTTTTTTCTTTAACCAATTTGAATCATAGACAGTGTCTGTCTCCTAATATACTACTGGAGCCATGACGATTTCCTTCAAAGAGATTGAATTAAGACAATTGTTCTAATGCTCATACTAATTGCTGTAATTTCAATAGCAATTGGTGTTAACCTTTATGGATGGCTAGGATGTTGTGTACATATTTTTATATATAAAACTATTAAAAATAAATGAAAAATATATATATATATCAATTTATATTATAAATCTGAAAAAGAACCAGCAAATCAATGAATTTGAATATTTTCTCCCTCCTTCCTATTTTGGTTTGGTGTAAAAATAAAATGGTATAGAATTATAAATATATTTATAATAGATTATATTTTATATATATTTATATATATATCCCAAAACTTGGGTTTTTTTTTCTTTCTTTAACGAACTATAGCCATTTCTGGTGTAAAAATAGTACAACCTTTATTGGTGACCTGTGATTGGACACCGATTTTAGTTTCCAATCACATAAAGAGTCTTAATTTGTACAATAGCATCATTTCTATAAATAACCCCTAAAAATTTTCGATTCACATTGTATATAAAGGATCGATTTCGTTTTCCTTCATTCTGTTCATGCAATTATTCCCTCCCCACACACAACCAACATACCTACAGATAAAATACCCTGATATGCACAACATCAATCTTAACATGAACATGAACATGGACCTGAGCATGGGCCTGAGCATGGGCCTGAAAAACCCGACCAAAAAGAGAGTTACATTTAGCCCTTTTGAGACGATCGAATACACATATAGTGCAGCAGAGTACGATCGATCTCGTTTTGCAGTCTATCCACCCACAACCATATCTTCATTCCGCCCTCCAGTTCCCGTACCAGCCCTGTCTATTTTGTCGTCTATGCAGTCTACCCAGCCTATCACACCAGCCAAGCGCCCCTGTGTTGCGCCACTCAATCTTTCAATGATCCCAAACGGTTCTCGCCGTTCACTTACAGCCAACCTTGACTTGCCACCATTGGCTAAAAAAATTACCCAAAAACCAAAGTTATTTGTCGACACGAAATCAATCAGTACCAATGGTCCCCTGTTCTTCACCAAATTATCCACCCACTACAAAAGTCTTTCTGCTTACCCTGACGACGACGACGAAGATAATAACTACATACCTTTGACAGCTGTACAGCAATCGGCAATGCTTGTAATTGGTTAATCATATTCCAAACTCCACATTCTTTTGTAATCTATTCTTGACCAGAAAAAAAAAACTAAAAAAAAAACTCTCCTTTCTTTCCCTTCCTTATACTGTATTTCTTGAACATATTCTACACTACACTACCTTTCCTTTCTATATCCAAAAAATCATAATTAGCTATTCCCACCCCTTTCCTTCTTTACTTGCTTGTTTATACGTACATATACCAATTTTTACTTAATTTTTTTTTTCTTATTCATATTATTCGCTTTTCAGACCTGTTGATTTCATTTTTACATATTGTATATTTATATTGATCATTATGAATAAATAAAGAAAAATCAATCACTCAATCAGTAGACAGTGTCTACCTATATAAATCTGGCCACTTTAAAGATTAGCCATTAATTTATCGTACGACCTTCCCTTTTATATATATATTAAAAAGCTTTATCGTTGTTGTTGTTGTTGTTGTTATTGTTATTGTTATTGTTGCTATGCTTTTATGTATATAAAAATGTGTGTGCGTGTGTATCAGAAAAGATTCCTAAAAGAAAAATAAGAAATCATTAATTCAAAGTGCACAGGGCTGAAAATAATAACAATAATAATAATCTATAGTAATACAAAATAAACAATTTTTTTTGATCTTTAACTTTTTTAAGTAAAAGTGCTTCTTTTTTACTCAAACTTCAAAGCTTAGCCTCACCAAAGTTTCTTTATACTTTTTTATGTTTATTTTTGGTGGTATTATACCCTAATTTAGATGAGGCTGGAGATTACACATAAACACACCCGCATACGCATACGCATACAAAATATACTCCTAGATATATTCTTATTTTTAGTTTATTCTCAAAAGCACAGAATATATATATAAAGATAGAGAGAGAGACAGAGAGGCTACACACAAACAAGGAGTGGACGAGGGGGAGATCCTTGTGATTGTTGTACAATAAATGTTATTTTTATACGCTTGGTACTCCAACCTATTTTGTTTTCTTTGCTAGTACACACACACAAATATGTATAAATGTGGATTTGTTACAATGAAATCTAATGCTAACTTGATCTGCCACCTATAAATTTATACGTCTTTATAAGTCTATCTATAGATCTATAATGTATTCTTGGCACAATGGACAAAACAAACAAATAATTGATGAGCATTTTGTATCATTTATAGTATTTATAATGAGAATCTTACCAGGAGAATTGTGTTTTTAGCCAAGACATTCCAAACCAGAATATTATAATCTTGTACGTGTTTATTAGTCTGCATATCAGGTATAATTTTTCTTAATACAAAAAAAAAATAGTGCCGCAGAATACCATTACTGTTACCCGCCAAGTATTATTACTATTACTACTAAATATTGATAGTAATACTATTAATCTTAAACACAAGCCTCAAAATGCTTGGCTTTCTTGTCATTTCTTATTTTATTAATTAAATCTATCAACCCACTGACTAATATATATATATTTCATTATCTTGAGCTACCATTCTGTACTACTACTATAGTATAATATCTTGATAATCAATATATCCATTTATGTACATGTACATGTATACAAAAACCAAATTTCTCTATGTTTCTCTATGCTTCTTTATGTTTCTACACACTACACACACAATAGATATTATATATAAATATAAATATGTAATTAAAAAAGTTACCAATTTGCAAAGGGGGGAGGTGGGAAAAAAATAAACCAGAATTATATATATATATATTATATACATAACATAACATAACATAAAAGAAAAAATAAAATAAAATAAAATAAAATAAAATAAAAAATCTCTCTACTTTTGCGTCCGTGTTTTCTTTATCCGAGGGTTAATAATAATTTTTTTGGGGCTGTTCAAGGACAATGCCTTGCTGCCTCCTTTGTCTGATCGTGAGGTAAACGCATCCTCATCATCGTCATCTTCATCCTCCGAAGCCTTTCTTCGTTTGAGAAATCCAGCAGAAGGAGAAGAAGGAGAAGGGGAAGAAGGGGAAGAGGAAGAAGAAGAAGAAGATGTGGGAGAAGAAGTAGAAGATTTAGCCGCCAATTTTGATTCTGTATCCTCATTATCAATTGACGGTCCTTTCATCTTCTTGTTTGAGCCTGTTTCATTTGACTTTTCATCTGCTGTACTGGAATCATGTTTACCAAATGGTCTCTTGGTATCTGATTTTGATTTTGATGGCTTTTCCTTTTCTTTGTCTTTTTCATCATCATCATCGTTCTCATCAGTATCATCATCATCTTCCTCTTCTTCATCGTCGTCTTCATAATCAACAAGGGCCTTCTTCTTGGTTTCAGTCTGGGAGATCAAAGTCAATGGCTGCGGCTGAGACAACGTGTTGTTGATACTAATCGAATCTTCTTCCTCTTCCTCTTCCGAACCATTAAAATATTCTTCTTCGGCATCGTCCATAGTCGATGAAAGCCACCCGCCATCTTTGGGGGCTTTTACTCTGCACAGCCAAGAAAACATTAATAAACATCTACACACCCTTCTCTGTCTTTCTGTAACCTATAATGGATGTATGATGTGTAGTGTGCAGCATATACGTATTACGCACCCATTTGTAGTCGAACTAAGAATATCTTCCATTCCAGGTTGTTCCGAATTCTGCTCATGTCTCAGACGAAGCTTCTCGCATGTGTCGACATATGTGATAGTGTCCAGCACTGAACCAAATTGTGTTTCCAAATGATTCACCAGGATTTTACAGTTTTCCTAAAAGGTACAATATCTTGAGTACACGCTGATTTTATATTAAGTAATAAAACATATAAAATACTCACTTTCCTGATAAAATCAAACAACTCCAAGCATGCTGAGTTGAGGAGATTGTCACGCCCGTCTGTATCCAGTAGAACCCGAATGATAGGTTCAAATATATTGTGCTTTACCAAGTGGCGGTTATAAAACTCATCTTTGAGTCCTACACATGCTCTCACCAGCCTTAAAGCGGCTATTTTATATAGGTACATATAAAAGATCAATTTGTCAGTATTATATATATATATATATATGTACACGCAATAGGTACCTAATTTCATATGTGCATCACGGCATCTAAAGAGCTGAGCAACCTTTCCAAAGCAATCGGATGACAAGACCAAAAATTTGCTACGGAAAGTGTGAAGTTTGACCACAGACGTCAAGAGTTCGGATATGTACAGAATCAATTCAGATTGGTCGTGGGTCAATAACAGAATCTCCACAGGCCCTATAGATTAGTTTTGTTTTTTTTTCATTGACTGATTATTATCCCATTATCCCATTATCCCATTATCCCATTATCCAAACTCTTCCTTTCTTTGTTTTTTTTTAAAGATACACACATAAACTTATATGCGTATATGCGTATGTGTATATATTTGTATGTTTGTATGTTTGTATATATTATCTTTTACCTGTCAGCTTTATTGGTTTTGCGTCAATGTCCTGAATAGGTTGGAGTAGAGATGGTGCATACTTTTCGTAAAATAATGTCAAGAATTCATCGGTTTCTGGATCTTGCTTATTTAATGTCTATTGAATAATAAATGTTTTTTTTTTTTAAAAAAAAGAGATTAGTGTCAAGAATAAAATACATTGATATCTATATCTTGAAAATAAACCCTCATTCTTGTCTGGTCTAAGAAAGAAGAAATCAAATGAATAGAGAAAAATACTTACTTCTGGCGTTAATGCTGTTCCAAACGAAGGTCCACCACTCGAATCTAACAAGGTTCTGATCACCTCAGCATATTGGCATTTCAAGATGTGGTCTTTATCTGCAGTGAACTGTTCCACAATGACTTCCAATAGTGACTTTTTGGTAGTTTCCTCTTTTGATTGTTTAATCATGTAACCTCGCACAAGACAGGCATTGAGTTCAACAATAGAAGCCAACATGTCCAGACCAGCAGTACGCATTGAAATATCCTCATCTGTCAAGGCAATATCAAAAATATCGAATAATCCATAGGGAGCAAGCGATCTTTGTTTTTTTGTATATATATATATACATATACATATATACATATATAAAATCAAATCATTACACGTATATTCTTTTATAATAATTATAATTATGATAAAAACAGAATCAATTGACTGAAATATTATATTACCTGTAAAGACTAGCGCGAGAAGATGCCTGGAATGGTTTGGTAATCGAACAGAGGCTCTGGACGTATAGTACAGCATCTCTCTTCTTTTTGTCGCTTGCTTTCTCGTCTTTCAATATCCCAAACAATTCAGTCAAGAGTTCATTGTTGTTTTGAACGTAGGTTAGAATGTCGACGTGATTGTAAAACACAGCCGATCGCAGTGCAGATGCCATGGATTCGTCCATTGAATTTTCCAGAATGACATCTTTGAGGTATTGTATACGGAATGTTTGGTGAATCTTTGACATTGTTGCTTCGTCTTTAATGGTTACAACCTAATTGTATCAATTGAAGACAGGTTTTTTTTCATCATCAAATATTATCGTTTAGTGTATTTGATTAAATGATAATAATTATGATATATATATTTTTTACATTGAGAGTATCAATTGATCTCTTTCTTTACCTGTTCTACTTTGGAGTGTTTGGTAAGAAATTCTCTATGCTTTGCCTTCATGTTTGGCGTTTCGGGATCATCTAAATAAAAGATATATAATAAACATAAACCACAAAAAAATTGTGAATTGATTGAGTACGATTCTTCAATTGATTTCAATAGCACACCTACACTCCAGCATTCCCATGACTCCAAGTACGATCTCATCTCGGATAATGTAGTCAATGATCGTGGTATCATTTAACAGGATTATGGTTTTCATGATAGTGAATAGAGTATGGAGATCGTCAATGCTTTCCAGATCTTCACATGTTTTAAATACTGGCAGCAACTTGTCAATGTAATTCTAAAATCGCAATCGCAATTACACACACAAATAATGTTTTTGGGTTGGTTTGATTTGGGTTGGTTGGTTTGATTGATAGGTATATATACGTAAGTGTGTAAAGATGTGTAAATAATTACTTCGTTCAATATGTAAGCACTCAGGCGTTCTTTCTCTTTGGGCGATCTGGCACTGGTTACAATTGAAGCAATCCTTGATAAATTCGATAGTTCTGGTGCTGGAGGAAAGAGAATTTCTGGGGCCTCTCGCTGGAAGTCAAAGTTGTTGCCGTTTGTATCTACCTCGAAACCAGTCATACCTGGGTTTGACCTGTGTTTATCTCCTGTCTTGAGATCTCCATCCTGACCTAAAGTGTTAGGTCTCGAAGAGTCGTCGTCAGGTTTGATTCGTAACCTAAAACATATAAAAGAAAACGTAAAAACACACACAAACTATAAGAATTCAAGTTTTCTTTGGAATAATAAATGTAGAAAATCAAAAGATCTTCCTTCCCTTCCATTTTTATCTCTCTCTTTCTCTCTTTCTCCAGAATCACTCTATATTTTATACGTGCCATATCTCATCGCAGCCTTCGGGTTCCTGGAAGCTTAATGCCAAGTCTTGGCAAGTATCTTCACTCCAAACAATCAGAGTTTCTAAAAAAAATTTTTTTTAACAAAAATCATTCCAAAATATACATGTGTAAAAACGAGAGAATTGTAAAGAAGGAAAGAATGAGATAGCAAAGATACTTTCAGCCAGTTCCCAATTCCCACTTCTTCCTTCTTCATTATTACATGCTCCAAAAATAATATAAAGAAGTAAAAGCTTGAAGCATTGCAAAACTCTTTTCTCCTTCCCTTCTCCCTTCTCTCTCTCTCTTTGCCCCCTTTCTTTTGTCCTTTTTTTTTTTACCTTGCTGTCTATGGTATCTTCTTCGATTCTGTACCTTGGAACTTAATAAGGTTGAGGAATTTTCGTCAGAGCGCACCCAGAGCTCATCAAGCTCTCCTTCAGAACCCTAGATTCACTTTGACATGAGCACAGGTATGAAAGAAAAAAAAAAGAAAAAAAAAGAAAGGAATGAAAAGAAACACAGAAAAGTAAAGTAAAAAGCAGAATACAGTAAATAGGCATCTCTCATTTATATGCTGCAATCTGTGCCCCTCTTTTCCTCTTTCTCTTTTTCATTCTGTTATAATATAATAAACCAAATCAAATGAAACATCCGGTAATAATCCAAAAAAAGAAGATCATCATCATCAACAACAACAACAACAACAACAACAACATCATCTTGATTCCTTCCTCTGTATCTATTTCTCTTTCTCTCTCTCTTTTTCTCTTTATATGTTTGTTTTTCTTGTCTTGCTAATGTGATTGTGATTGTTGTTTTTGGTGATATTGTTGTTGTTGGTTTACCATCAAGGAACATTTTTTTAAAGAAAGGTAATAATTCCAAGGAAAAAGAAGAAGAAGGGATGGTAATAGTAGTAGCAATAATAATGAGAGGGTAATTACCGCTACGTAAACACAGTGACCTGTGCCTTTGTCTTCCCATACGCTGTCCACGTTCAGTTTGTATACCTTTACACGATAAGGTGCTGAAGGTGGTGCTGGGTGGCTTACGTTGCTCTTTACTTCGACTTCTTCTGTCATTGTCGAAAATTCTAGACTCTTCTTTATATCTTTGTTATTAAAGTGCTGACAATGAAGGTGTTTTGATGATCGAGATAATGCAAAAAAAAAGGTTGTAAACAATGTAAAAAAAAAAAGAAAAAAAAAGAAAAGAGAGAGAAAGAGAGAGAGCCGATCGGCAGTTTAAATCTCAACGTTGGAATCAAGGCAGACCAGACCAAACCAAACCAAACCAGACCAAACCAAACCAAACCAGACCAAACCAAACCAGACCAAACCAGACTAAACAAAATATCGTGTATATAAAATAAATAGAATACAAAAGTCAAATAAAGATTAAGAAAATAAAGCATTGGCCATAAAAAGGCACCAATTGTCTGTGTCTACAAAGATGAGTTGTCAATCATGGTAGCAGTAACAAAAAAAAAAGTATATAATCAACGTAATTGGGATAGTTATTGTGGTAATGATTTACAGTGAAATATATACACAGTTTTTTGTGCTAAATAAATGCATATACTCATAATTTGTCAGAATCATTCAATTGAAGCCGTGCGATACACGCAGCTCATCCACAGACAGGCACACGCAAGACACACCTATATGCACGAATATATAGATGCCTCTAGGATCAAGACCATAAGTGTGAATATGTGAAACCGTTTATCAGATATTTCAAGTTTCACAGTAATTAATTTGTTTCGATCTTATAAAAACGTATTCTAACAAGCTTAAAGAGACTTCCTCTCATTAGTGTGTCTAGACAAATATATATATAAGCAAATAGTAATGTATGTATAATTCTAAACCCTCGCACACCATCATACTTCTGAGAAACAAATATACCGTTCCTCTGGGAGATTGTATCTTTAAAAAAAATAACCTGGTGAGATTCAGTCAATTTATATATATATATTTGAAAAAGTTAAACCAGAACGTGTCAGTGCCATTGATTCTAAGGACACGATGTTTTCTGTAAGTCCGGTTTTTGCACCGTTCTTCGGACAGTCGAGACGTGGCTTCAAATTTGGCAATTGATTATTGCGTCTGGTCCCTAACAATAGGGTAGTCAATTATTATATTTCTAAAAAAAAAAAAGAAAACTCGAACCAAGATCAGAAAGACTTCCAACCAATAAAATGAAGCCAAAATTGTTCCCTTTGTTTTGAAAAAGAAAAAAAAAAGTTCAAATTTTTATCTAAAAAAATAAATAAAATAAATAAAAGTATAAGGTCCGAAATAAATGATTTACCGCTTATTATTTTTTTCTATTTACACTTTTACTCAACACTTTTACTACTTAATCAGAGACAATTTAAACATATTCTTTATCAAAATTGCATTTTCTTTCTTTTATAAAAACAATAATTGAGCCTTAAAGAGTCATTCTTTTGTATCGTATTTCAATAGCCACTGTATACATTTGATCATAAATTTGAGATTGTGACATACTCCTTCACCATTTACGGCGGACATTGGAGTAGGGAAAAATGTCTTTGGGACCATAGTTTAAATATATAGGGTAAATTAGGCATTTTTATTTAGTATTGTCCTTTTTCATTAATAATCAATTCCTTATGCTATAGCGCATCAGCATAGATTCTTGTTTTATATATAATTTTATTGATATTTAGCAGTATTGTTATCATTATCATAAGAAATATACACACTATGGCACTCTGAAATCGAACATTGACCTGTATTTGCTTTTATGATAATAACCGGAGAAAATGGGGACACTTCACTATATCGGATAGCTTGTGTGATCTATGAGCTGGGACTCATGTTCATTTGTAATACGTTTAGGAGTACTGCATTGTATTTTTCTCTGTGCAGATATCTCGATTTCTCGACTTGGCTCAACATAATTTTACTAAAGGAGTTTTCGTACTAAAGACGTAATTTCCAGATACATTATTACCTAATATTTTAACACATCAGTACCATCATCAAATCCATTTTGAGGAATTGATAGTAAGATTTTTATATTCTCGCTTAGCCCATATTGATACACCTTATTCATATTAAAAGGAACTCTGTGTGGTCAGGTAAATAAGCCTAAGATCAGCGCATAATTGCTACCTCTTCCTAGTGTTAATTTTATTTACAACAGATTGTACACTTGTACAAGTTTTTTCTTTTCACCAGTATTCTTATTATACAGATAGTAACAAGGATATGCTTGATATTCTACTTCTTTTACAAGTTGATCTTACTTTATACTTATCCAAAATTGTACTTACCTAAAACTTATTGTGTTCAAGTATCACGTATTTTCCTTGCATTTTTTTTTTCTCTACGAAATAATTAATAGATATAGGCTGTCCAATTGTTTTCGTTATGTTTTTTCCCCTAAAGTATATAAAGTAAAACTCTAGTCCAGTAATATTTATGAATTTATGATATTCGTTTGAACTTTTTTTTTTTTAAAAAAAATTGATCTCCCTCCCCTTCCTTATTCTTTAGAAGGAATTGTTCAACGGAGGCATTGGCCGGATTACCAGTCACTTATTATGCTTCCGGTTGTAACAAGATATGTGAAACGTCATGTTCCACCAAGAAACGTCATGTAACCTACATTCGCCAAGATGATAACAGTCACCAAACTGCTATCTGAGTTACCCTATCAACTGTTTGTCCGCGCACGCGCACGCACACGCGTGCATATGCGTGTGTGTATCTCATTGCAACAAAATCTATTGACCAAATAAATATATATTTAGATCAATATGATTAGATATTTATTCTTACAAAGCCCTGAATAAATCAATTGGACGCATTTGGGAATTTTGGTTGAGCCTAGCAAACATATGTGTATATGTGTTTTTGTATCTTGGTATAAACACCACTTGTGGAACGCATGAAAAGGAACAAAGGCTTTTATTACATATTTAAATATTTTCTTGTGTGTGTGTGTAAGGTATACATATGTGTAATATGTTCATTAGTTTTCAACCAGCTTATATAGAAATAAAGTTCGTTGTTACAGCAATCTTCAGATCATTTTATTGCCTACACAGTAGATCACATTAATGTGTTGCTACCCACACACTTAAACCTCAGTAATAGATGTTAACTTCAATACGAACTAACTGTAATTACGGATCATAATTCAACCACAACAAAATAGTATACACACCTCTTGCTTTTTGGATCAAAAAAATAAATAATTACCGCCTCAAGATTAATAGTCATTGGATTTTCTTTTTATTTTCCCTTCTTTTCTGTATCACACCAATTAAATAAGATCTCCTTCTTGTGTTTCTGTTTTTCACTTTGATCTAAAAAAATGTATGTGTGTATCTTTGCGAAAGTACAGTGCCGATTTTAAGAAAAGTTGTTTTTATTAACCTTAAAATACACGGCTTATTAGTGGGTCATAAAGTATAGCCGAATATATTACCCAGCCACTAGAAATCAAGGAAAAATATTAATAATAAAATAAGAACGACTTCCTTAATATTATAAATATCAATATCAATATAAATATATTAAAGTAGGAGTCAATGAGCTTGAAGATATTTGAATGGTTGCCATGTAAAGTAAAGAAGTATCTAATAAAAATTCTTTTTGGCTGATTTTCTTCTAAAAAAAAACATCTTTGATAAATACTCAATGAAGCAATATTTGAGTTGGACATAGCTGAATTACTTTTGATTCATGCATGATTCTGAGTGAAACTGTCAATCGTAAATTTATCTTTTTCTATTTTGTAACTTTGTACATCTTGCTTGTGGACACGATATATAAACTCGTTTTTTTCCCTCAAAAATTCAATCTCTTTTTAAAATAGCTGGGGCAATATGAAGTTACATGTAGATTATTGAGGAAATCGAGTTATTAACATGATCAATATTTACACACAACACATAGTAGCCTGTATGTAATATACAATAGCCACCTTTTTCTATCACTGAACATTTACAGCCCGAAATTAAAACCATATTGGCTGGCGTTTTATGCCCCCCCCCCCAAGAGACTCCAGTCATGATTCGAGGCTTTGTATTTAACCGACGCTTGGTGAATCTGATCCAGTATATACTTATATATATATATACTTTAAAAAAAAGTATAAAATATGGAGGAGATAACGGAAACCCAGATCTTCTTCATCCTTTTTACCCATTACACGTCTACTTTTATTGTTTTATTTTACTCTATTTCTCAAAAATAACAATACTTATAAAATATGCTTCAATACGTAAAAGAGCTCGTCGACAGACTGGACAATAAGAAACTTGAGCAGATCAAGGAAGTAGCTACCTCAAAAGAAGGAGTAATTGGCATTACTGCATCTATTGTATTGGCAACTGCATACAGCTATCATAAACATACAACACGCCCAGTAAGAAAAAGAAATCCGTAAACTCGTTCTTGAACATGATGTTAATGATACATATCACCATTTCCCCCTTCTTCTTTAGGTCAGCAACGGATCTCCACTCGTTCCCTACACATTTCCACTTGTTGGATCTACTATGGAGTATCGAAAGAGTCCCGAAGCATTCTGCAGAAAATGGCACGAAAAGCTAGGTCCTGTATTCCGTGCCCATCTCTTTGGAAAGGTAAGTAGATCAGAATGAATATCTACTTACACCCGAGTAAAAAAAAGAAGAAAACGTTATATCTTATTTCTTCTTTTTCTTTTCTACATTATATTTGTATTCTTTAGGAAGTAACAGTTATTGGTGGACATGAGGTTAAGGAAGTGTTCCTGGACAAACATTTCGACTTTTTCGCTGCTTTAGATAAGGTAAGCTAAAAAAAACAAAACACATAGAAAAAGAATAACAAGAACACATACTGAGAGAAATGCGGAAATGTGTAAATGGCTAACTAAATAAAATAAAATAGACATTCAATCTAAGACTACTGACAGGCGGTGGAAGACCTGAAGATTTCAAGGCTGACCCAATCCGTAAGATTGTCACAAAGTACCTGACTCCAAACCTCGATTTCTATACCGACCGAGTAGTAAAAAGGGTAAATAGAGCAAATTTGGTCAATACGTATATATATATATATATATATATCATACAAAGAATCTAACACACAAATAACAACAATAAGTTTCAAGAAGGTGTTGACGATAACCTTAAAGGAGCAGGTAAGGAGAAAACTAGCTTATTATTATTTCTACTATTTGAAAAAAATAAAAGACATATACTTGAACTAAGTTGTGTGATTATAGATTCAAAAGAGTTTTTCAGTGTATACCCTTTGGTGCAGCACATGGTAGCCAAAGCAAGTGCTTCCATTTTTGTCGGAGAGAACTTGGCAAATAATGCACTTCTTATTGATTCTTTCAAAAACATGGTTATTGATGTTGGGTCAGAATTAATACCAATTCCATGGATCGAACCTTTCCCTACTCTGGTATATATTCGGATGTGGTAAGGCTTGTTAATAACATGATGATATATACACCTATAAAGGGTCCAGATCTTTACAAAAGAATATTAAATATATATTAGGTATTTCGGAAAGAACGCCCCAAGCACAAGACGACACAAGCAACAGCTGAGAGCCGCAATTGGGCCTGAATTGGAGGATCGTATTCATCAAATGAATACCAACCCAGAATGGAAGAGACCCGTAAGTATGAGAATTCACACAATATATAATGCTTTATACTTACATCATGTATGAACGTGTACACAGAACGATATCCTCCAGGATATTATTGAAAAGGAAGAACACCCCTCAGATATTCCTTATATCGACTTCATTATCACAATGATTACAGCTATAATCTTTGCCTCAATTCACACTACAAGTGAAGCCGCAACTACAGTACTCTATCGCATACTCGATAACCCTGAAGTTATCGAGGCTTTACGTGAAGAACAAGACCAAGTTTTCCGTAAAGAAGGAATTGACGAAAATGCTGGTGCCGAAGTATTCACACGCAGTATCATCAAGCAGTTTGTGAAGCTCGATAGTGTCTGTCGTGAATCATCCCGCCTAAAGAATGAATTCATTAAGCTTCCTCATGCATATGAAGGAACAACCCCACTTAAGCTGAGCAATGGCGCCATTATAAAGCCAGGTAAGGCAAATTAATCAAAGTATTTACATTGGGGTTATTTCACCAAGATATCTAATATTCCATATTTATACTATATAGGAGAGGAAGTATTGATTGATATATGGAAGAACCACAGAGACCCAGAAATTCAGAATGACTTGAAAGATGTTGAACAGTTCAAGCCTTTCCGCTTTGTAAGTTCCGAAAAGCAAGCAACAAAGGTTGGCGAAGATTTCCTTGTATTTGGCATGGGAAGACACGCATGCCCTGGTCGTTGGTTTGCCATGCAAGAAGTAGAGACCATTATATCAATGATTATTCGCGAATACGACATCAAGGCCACTACCCCGGTCACTTACCCCAAGTCCGAAAGAGGCATGCCTGGCGGAAAGTTCCGTTTGGAAAAGAGAAAGCTTTGAATACATATAATAAATATAATACTATCCAAAAACAAACAATAAACAATCAATTCCAGTACATTTACTTTCAATCGATCATGTATGTATTTCAAAAATGCTCGGGCAGCAAGGACCCGTACTTCCTATTGACATAAATAATCGCACCGAAAATATCTTAGTGTTCAAAATAGTCATATGCGTGAATACCAAGTTCCAAAAAGTAACTTGGGATTTCGAATCAAACTGTATTTTGGGGTATATAGAGCCATATTTGCTGAAGCTAGATATCTATCTATCAATTAGAATATATTCAACTTCATAATATTGTTCAGTTTATTTTTAATATAGTATCCTAAAAGCGCATGTGGAACACTTTAATTTAATATAGAAATCCGGCTATATGAATATTCATACAAAAGAAAAAGCCTTTGCAGAACGACCAAAATTGGATTTTTTTATTGTTTTTCATAACAAGGACACATTAATAAACACCTTGTGCTATCAATAGAGAAGCAATGAGAAAAAAGTACCTTTTTATAAGTTTTCAGAGATTTTACGTGGAGATATTTAGGAAATATTGGACATCCTTTATGCGATGATCATAAGTATAATCAATATATGGGAAGAAGCAGAAATATCTAACCAAAAGTCCAGGTTAGAGCATCCACAGCGGTCTGTGTAAATTTAACAAGAATGTTAATTTAGACAGGAAATTTAGATTTTTTCATCCCCAGCGGTTTGCTTAACTAAAAGTTTTAACTGAGTATTTCTCAATAATAATTCCCGGCTTTTTAAATTTAACAATTCACAAAAACATCCAGGGCTTTTTTACATACACTGCTAATTTTACCCAGACCGCTGTGGATGGTCTTAGGGAGACCAAAAAAACCGATCGCCACTAATAAAAGTTCCCTTTGTTTAAGTGTGAGAAGCAATTCATTTGAGAGGTGTGGGTAACACCAAAGTAATTCGGTACATGGTTTTATAAGCGTTTGTCGAGAGATGACTATTAGCCATCTTCATGCAAGCTTATTCGGCTCTTACTACCAGTAACTCGACCAAATCTAACAGCTCAACAAACAAAGAATATGCTGAATCAGGCAAGAGCCAGAGACAGAGCCGGTATAACAGTTGAAGACTGGAGCAGAGTGGTGTGGTCAGATGAGTCCACATTTACGGTAAAGAGCAATACTTCTGACCCGCCTGTAAGCCTTAATATTAGAGAACATTTCCAGTAAAGACATATAGCACAAACAGTGAAGTTTTGATTTTTATTGGTGGTGGTATGGGGGTCTTTTTGGGGCAAAGGATTTGTATCTTTTATTGTTCTTGAAGGCTCTGTCGATCAAGATATTTATGTCGACTGTTTTTTTTTTCAAATATTTTAATTCCTGATGTCAGAAATTGAATAAAGAGTATGGTATCATGTCTACCTTCCAAGAAGACTACCTCGACTGTTATACTAGCTCATATAAAACATGGTGGAAGAAACGTTAGCAATTCAAGCAATCTGACTACTGACCTTCCCAATGCCCTGCTTTTAACCCAAATAAATATGTACGGAAGGCTATACGACTTATGTTGCAAAGAAAAAAATTGCACAACTAACACCGATTACCTTTGGGCCTGTATTGCTAAGGAATAGGAGCAAATGAATACAAAATTTGGAGCTGATCTTGCTGCTTGTGGTGAAAACACAAGATATTAAACTCCAATTGTTTTTTTTCTTTCTTTCATAAAATATATAATTCTAAACCTTTACGGTTAACAGCCCAAGAGATATTCGTTAAAGAATATGATATGTATATTATTGGGGGTGATAAAGTACTATAATTTTATGAAGACTTTATTTTTGTATGAGTGTATTACATTATAGTAAAAAAAGTGCAATTTTAGTAGGAGAGTTTAAGAGTAGTATTAGGACAGTTTTGATTGAGCAATACTTTTCCTTTATTTTCTATGCTTCAATTTTAATTTTTCTTATTCCTGTGTTATTAAGGGTGTTCAATCATTGACGTATGTATGATTTAAAGATATTCATTAGCTGATAATATTGGTCCATAATTAATGACCTCCAATATTAGTGTAAATCAAGGATATTTATTTGTAAAAAAAAAAAAAAACTCACAAATCATCAATGATCCTTGTTTGTTACAAGTCAAAGATACTGCATCTAATTTTATTAAAAACTTTTCCAGGACATATGTGCTTATTCAAGCTCTAAATTATCGTTCAAGACGCCGCGAACTAAGCAGTTAAAAACTCTTAATATAACAGGTCATGGAAAGATTATATATATAAGATGACTAATATATCTCGAGATACTTTACCAGTAAAGAACCCAACAAGATCCAACCGATGTTAAGCTGGAGCAGAATGAAACAAGTGTACTACATAGAAAATTAAACAAATGTTCTATTGCAGTACACCTTGTTGTTGAGTTCATCTTATTCTCCCTTATTTTTAGATAATATAAAAAAATGCCTTCCGCTGAATACTTCTAATTGATAAGATCTTGCAAATAAGACATATATGGCTTACAAGGAACCGTTTCTTTAAAAATAAGATATTGCGCTTATATTATACTAATATGTTACTGATATAAAAAATTAATAAATTTTATATAAAAGATACTTGCCTTTACAGCTTTTGATATTTACACCTTTCCAGCTATGTAAACTTTTGGCCTATCACACATACATGTATATATATATATCTTTAAACAAAAAGCCGTAATAGGACACTGCTCAGATAATAATATCTTAGAGAAAATATGAATAATAATATAGCTTATACCTCTCTATATTCATATATAATTGGTACATAAACGCCATTTAGACTTGTTCTCATTTTATTTCACTAATTCTTGATGTTGTGTATCCATTCTTTTGCCTTTGTTCCCAGTAGTGCTACCTTTGTCAGGATTTGTCCCCCCATTAAATCGAGATTTTATATACACACATATAAAAATATTGTGGGGTGTTTGAGAGAAAAATATAGCAATTTAATCTTTCCTTTCATCATGTCAGCAGCCGAATTACCATTCGAAATCCTTGCTCACATTGCAAGATTTCTCACCTCTAATGAAAAACTGTGCTGTGCTACTATTTGCAAAGCTTGGAAACAGCCATTTCTGGAATCTCTGTGGATCATCATACGTCTTAATAACTACAGAAATGTCGAATATATTTGTGACATGCTCACTTCCCAGCCAAATATCTTTGAAAAGGACACCCATCGGACGCGGACCTTATTTCTGGGGAAAGGTCTGAGTATGAGTGAGAAACAGCTTGGAATTATTCAGCAGCATTTCCAATACGTGGAAACCCTTGGGGTTACCGAACAAAGCTTAGGAAGTTCCGAGTTTGGAGAATTTGCAGACTGGAGCCAATGGAAATCGCTAAAGAACATGGACTTTTGCGTGGAAGGACTGACCTTATACAACCAAATGAAGGAGTTTCTCAGGATTTTGTCTTTTTTGCCTTGCCTCCGACATCTGGAGACTAATAAGACGACAGATGTTCCTTCAGTGGTCTATAAACTGGGGGATTTTGAGACTATACATTTATACCTGCCAAAACTAGAGTATATGTCAATACTTGGAAATATCGAAGACTTCACCACAGAAGATCTAGTACGGATTAAGACTGTGGTCCCAGCACACAAATTAACTGTAGCAAAGTTCCGCATATTCGATCTCGACCTGCGATGGCTGTGTTATTTCTCTCGCAAGTACCCTAATCTTCATACCCTCGAGCTTGTTTGTTTTCCTATACCAGAAAAGGCAAGCTTGTTTCGAAAGGAAGCAATAGCAATGATCCCGTCACTTTCCAATTCATTCCAGCGTTTAACGAAAGTTACTATTAACTGTACACTTGGAATGGGATGGGGGTTTACTGCGTTCTGGGATATGCTTCGTCAGTTCGGTGTATCTATTAAACATCTCGAATATCGTCTAATTGGATGTCACAGTGACATAAACCAATCAATAATGACGATTAGCAAATGTACACGCTCTTGCTCAGAAACCCTCGAATTACTCTTTATGTCCAATACACTACGCTGTGATAATCCATCTACAATACCAAACACACTTGGATCATTACCACGACTAGTTGATCTGTGTATAATCATGGAAGGTGTTCACATCGCAATTGATGCCTTGTTAGATAACTGTACGGCCCTCAGGAAGTTACGACTAACGGTCAAGACGATCAGTATAAATAGCAATGACACTTCAGACATTACAATGCACGACTTACGTTCACTAGAGCTTACCAAGGCAACCACTGGCACCGATGTATTCAATTATCTTTCACACCGGTGCCCACAACTGAACTCAATGCGTTTGGCTAGTATGAAGGTGGTCGGGCCCGTGTCTAAAGATACTGGTGTACTTTATTTTGACATGTCATATACACATTTTGATTACCTTCACTTTACCAGCGTTTTCTTTTATGCGACAAACGATGGGACTGAGAATGACTACAGCTCGGTAAACTTGCTAAACTTTGGAACTTCTGACCCAGAAATGAATCCCGAAGGTGCAAGCGAGACAGTATTCAACTTGGGAGACATTGAAAATAAGATGCCTTTGGATGATCCTCTGTGGCTTCACGTTTATTGCAACATTGTTTCTTGCATGCAAATAGATGACTTGCGAATTCTAGATCAAGAAGAAAGCGACTTTACGCAAGAGTACTTTGAAGCGTACGAAAGCAATGTTGAATCATACTACCCAGACCACATACGGAGGTCTTGGTGGGGACAAGTTCCCAAGGAGAGCTGGAAAGATGATCTCCACAGAGGATATGTCAGGTTTTACTTTAATTATGTCGGAAGATATGTTATTAAAACATACGATGGATGCGAGGATATTCTTTGGAACAAATTGTATGCCACATTAAGCTAAGGTTTTATCCATCTTTTCTTGCAGATATGAATATAAAGATTAAATTACATTATAAACCTTAGTAGCTATAGAGAAAGTCGTATTTATTATCGTGGTCTATTCTAAGCTAATAGATGTGATTCGACTATCTGTCTTTATACATATATAAATCTTATTATTACCTCAATTTTTTTAAAAAATATATATTTAATTATAGTTATAGTGAAAGCCAAGACATTTATCTTCTATCATAAAAAGGTATGTGGATATTTTGAAATGGCTTGACTTTTTTACTAGTTCTTTTGCTATTATTCTTTACGTTACTATAATGAATGCTTTTGCACTTAAGCATAGATTTTGCTTTCGAACATATCTTTCACTTTTGATTGGCGGAATTCATCGATTTAAAATTTTTGTAGTCTGCGCGACTTGATATAAAAAGCCTGGCACTTTGTTTCTTCTTTGATCTACAAAACGATTCGAGATGAGTGACAATAAAGTTAAAGGAAAACAGGCTTCTAGTCGGCTATTAGGCATGAAGGTATAGAAAAGATTCAGATTCTACTTGCTCAAAGTAGGAAAATACTCATTTAATCTAAAGTTCATGCAAAGATCGATGGAAAAGGAATTGCAGGAAGAACATGAGAAAGAACGGAAGCGCGTAATTTCGGAAGCAGAATGGACAGTGGATTATGACACAGGAGAGCTTCAGAAGCCGTAAGTAGAATGGCAAAAAGTGAGATAAATATTGTAATGGGGAACTTATGATCAACAGAGCCATTCGTGTAGAGTATCAACCTAGTTTCCTCGCCTTCTCAACTACGACAACAACCGGAAGAAAGTCGTTTAAAGGATTCAACAAAGATATTGAGGTAAATATTATATATATATAAAGAAGTGGTTCTTATATTGTACTATATTCTAGGAAGGCGAAGTTGACATTGAAAAGACGGAACGTTTGAAACGTGAGGAAGCAGCAGAAGAAGCGCATTCGATGTCAGATAAACAGATGCTTAACAGCAAAACAACTATACGCTCTTTTATGCGACCTCCCAAGAGAAAGGACACATCTAAGGAATCTGCAGAGTCTGATAATGTTGACGGTGAAAAGAAAAAGAAGAAGAAGAAGGCAAAGCTGGAAAACCAGGGATTTATCAGACCTAAATAGATGTGGTTTGTGTGTACAGTCAACTTTCTTGAGTTTCAGTGTTATATTTTCTTGTTGTAAATTTATATATTTCTTATTCTTTACGAGCTAAAGACATGCCAAAGTATAGGCTGGTAGTCTGTAATCAAAATATGTTATGAAATATATTATATTTAGTGGCATTTGTCAATTAGAATGTAAATGATGAACAGCAATTATGCACGTATCTGTATTTAGCTTATACAACATTTACTGTCGTCTTTATTGACAATAAACTTTGAACGAATACTCTTTGTTTGGTCAAAGTGTATTGCTCATGAGCGAGTAGATTCAAATGCTTCTCGTTTATCATTGTGATTACAGAGATTCTAAAGCACAGTTCACTCAATATCATCTAGTTTTAATGATATCTAACATGTTTGTATGTAGGTTATGATGACATTGGCGTGGTTTAAAAGTTCAGGTAGGGACGACTGTTTGCATTGTAATTATCCATCATATCCCAGAACTGAGAAACAGCCGCTTTGTCCATATGGCGTTTATGTCTATGAATCTAGTTATATAATGTCAGTAAATTACGCTAAGATAAATATTCTTGAATTAATATCACACATACATTCAAGTCAGTGACAGCCCAGCTGGCAGCAGCACCTGCCGTTTTATCTGTGTTCCATTTGGGATAAATACCCTTGACTAGTACAATATTTAATATGAAATCTTAGTACACATACAGTATCATCTTTCTCATTGCCTTTACCATGATTGAATAGCTCTACAGGTCGTTCCCACTTCCACCCCTTAAACTGCCATTGTTGTCCTGTCACGAATACACATGACACACGATCCCTATTAATTAAGGTTTAGTGAGATACCATTCATTCGTGGCTCTTCCTTATAGATACAGCCAGTTTTTACCAATCGCTTTGTTTGAATCCTGTAACAGAATCAACAACATAGTACGGCACAGTTTGTCCATTGGCCTTTTTTCTTTCCACTGTCACTTGTTCTGGTTTTTTGATACCAGACTCTCTAAGTTCCTGCGAATCTATATATCTAATAAATACACGCAGTTTATTTGTTTAGCTAGTTGTAAACCTCATAGTATAGCCATGAAGCAACATTTCAGTTACTTACACTTGATCTTCCAAGAATTGCTTAATGTTAAATAATGTGAATTTAGCAGTTGGTGCTGCTGGTACAATGATAATCGGGATTTTATCTATTTGATATTAACAGCATTATGATACAGTATTTAAAGTCAATGTACATGTACATGTTTATTTTTACCTCTGCTCGACAGCTTGGCGCCTTTAGCACGAATTGAATTGAGTTTTGTAGGTACAGGTATTTTGGAAATAGCTGAGGGTTGCGAAACGAGACGAGCTTTTTTTTATTAAAAAAAAGATGAAAGTTTTTAGCAATTATTTAATTTTTACTAAAATAATAATAATATAAATATCAAAAATGCTCTTACCTCCAGGTTTCGCTGATCCCACAGAATTAGGATGAACAGGTTCTTTACCGAGAATTAAAGTCTGCGCCAATATAACTACATGGTCAAAGTTCTAATAGAGAAGAAATATATCAGTTCCCTATTGAAAATTCTTGATATAATATACAAGCAAAGTTAGACCGTATTCTTTTTTTTTATTTTACCTTTTTTCCTCGAAGAATTGAAGATCTGGTTACACACTCTCGCTCTCGCGCAACAACCTTCTTTACAAACTCTTCGTCATCAATGGCTCTCATTTTCTTGTTAGGATTTGTATCTGCTGTCTCTACCCGAGCACGCTTTTCTATGAATACACAAGAGCATTATTTTTGTTTAATAAGAATTTCGAAAGAAATTGGCCCAAGATAAGTGTTTACCAGTCTTATTATCCTCCACATTAGGGAGAGTATCAAGTCTACCAGTAAGGTAATCAAGAATCTTTTTTTTATCAATGATCGAGATGTGTTCAATGTTACGTAGACGGCCCTCCGTAATATATGCACTATTATCTAATTGGGCATTCTGGATCAGGAAGATGAGGGTGTCAAGTGTGTAGGTTTCGTCACTGTTTACGCTCTTTTTAAGATTCGTGGGTACTTGGCGTGGAAAGGAATGATCTCCAAACTGAACAGTGGCGGCATCAGCTACACTACTGACTACTTGGCCGGAGGAATCGAGAAGTACAACCGACTTGTTGTTCCGTGTATAGTCACGTAATAATGATAAAGGCTGCTGTAATTCGGTAGCCATGGTTTGATGAAATCGTTGTGACAAGAAGAGGTACAGAATAACCTCAGACTAGAGCCGCTAATGGCAAGGCGTCACTGACAGTCACGTATATTCTCTGCCAAAACCAAGAAAACAGAGGTTTTGAATGTTGACTTTAAGCAGACCCTTTAGCTGATTAGCAAACCCGTGGATGCTTTTATAATTATTAACATTAATATTAGATTTAGAACCTGATTATGAAAATTAATTAGATCTTTTTGAGCCAGCTTTATTAATATTTGATAATGCCCAAGTTAATCCGGCTTAAAAAGATTGAAATTTGGGTCATAAGAATAAGATGAACACTCTTTCTGGAATTCTATTTTCTCTTTAAGTTTATCATTATATTTCTGTGTGAAATAACTCGGTATATACTCATTTTTCTTAACATTTTAAAAAGGCTCTGTTAATTTTATTTATATGAAAGGCGATATACACAAGGCCAGGAAAATGGTCGTGAGTTGAATAGTACGGTTATAATGCATCAGTTAAATTATGGGATACCAAAGTAGTAGGTTAAGTGTTTATGAACTTCTCAAATTCTTCTTTGTAATATAATAGTAAGAATTTTGGAGTCGGATCTTGTGTATTTATCATACTCCAATAAGAAATATATTTAAAAGTAGTTCAGGATTGTGATTTAAATTGCATTAAAGTTCGATCTAATAAAAAATCTACAAAATAGTATGTAAATTGGCTGTTTGATCTAATGCACAATAATCACTTAACAAATTTAAAGTATTGATAATACTAAAGATCTTTACAAGAAGTGCAGGTCAAGTTGAGCCTGTAGAGATTCTTAGACATCCATTTATTCATATCTCACTTTTTCTTTGGTTTCATAATTATTGGTACATAATCTTGATTAGCTTACGCGCATGATCCACCTATGATATCAACCCCACCATTGGATTGAAAAGAAGTAAATGCATTGACATGGAAGAGATCTACACTCAACAAATAGGGCGGCGCTATTTTTCTCTTTTGAATTTTTCTAGGTGGCTCATAGCAAATCCTTGACCATCGGCCCTAGATTCCCAGTGCGAAATAATGCATATCAATCACTTTCCCGCTTTGCGTTGTTTGTATTCTGACAGGGTTTGACAAATTATACAGTAGCATATATACGACAAACTTATATCACTTTAACAAGTGCCTTCTAATGGATATTCTTAGCCGTCATAGGAAGCATCGTCAGTAATTAGTATTTACAAGGGTCTCACTTAGAAATGAAACGCTCTATAGTTTCAATCTCATCCTGTCATCTATAAAATGCACTTACTAACCATGCGACTTATTGATTGTTCTCTTTCTTTTAATCAATTTGCCACTATAACTGTAATACTATTATAACTCATGATTTGCTTTGCAATTTCGACATTATTTGCCTCGTTATTTACGCTATTTGCGTTCATACTTGAATTGTTTGTCTTGATCGGTCAGTTATCAAACAAACCTTTGCTGCGCTCCCTCTACTTTGGACAAGCAATAAATGCATCTCAAGGAAAGACGCTTAACTTCAACTTATGGTAAATACTATACAGCCGGGTGGTGTAAATATTAATAAAAGTGATTGTTAATAAATAAAAAAAAAATGTTACTTTAATTAGGAACTATTGTACTGGAGATATACATGGTGCAGTGTCAGGATGTGCGAAACCTCGCCCGGCTTATAATTGGGCACAGACGCCAGGTATTAGCCAAGTAATGTCCCGCCAGGCAAACAGTACAGGTGTCAAGAGTCTATTTCTCGCTCTGTTTGTCATCATTTTTATCAGTTGCGGTTTAAGCTTGATTTTTTGGCTTATGAGTTTGCCAATCTGTTGCCTCCGTCGCCGTGGACTTGGATATTCGATGACTACACTTACTCTGATAAACTTCCTTCTGGCCCTCGTTGCAATGATCATCGGTCTTGTTGTCACTATACACGGTGGAAAAATGCTTACTGGTGCTGATCCTGGATGGTTGGGTACACCTGGAAATTCTTTGTGGTGCTTGATTGGTTCAGTGGTCTCTTTGTTCTTCGCATTATTGCTGTACTCCGTAGGTTCATGCTGTTGCAAGGGATCCAAGGAAGGAAGACAGCGCGTTCGTCCTGGAAAGACAGATTCTCTTGCAAGTGACAATCACCAGAGATTTAACAGTGGTCCTTACCCTCCTCCCCATGCCAACAATAATGGGTACTACTCTCAGCAAGGTCCCTCTCCTAACAGTTTTGTCAACCAAGGTCCTGCTATGTCGTCTCCTCAGCAGCCTTCCCCCATGCCACCAGCAAGCCCTTATGTTGCATCCCAAGAGCAGCGACCCTATGAGACCCCTACTTTCCAGCACACCCCTTTGGGACAATCACCTAATATTCACTCTGAACAGCAGCAACAGCATGAGGTCAATCAATTCAAACACATGCCTTTCCCAGGTCAAAATAATAATGTTCAACACCTCTAATATTTAACAAAAAATCTCTTCCCTTTAATTCTTTATTTCTCTTATCCCATACTTTATTTAATTACTTATCCTTTATAATGTACTATTACTTATATATAATAAAATAACATGTTTTTTAATGACTACGACAAATTTATGATTTAATTCTCGAATATTTGTTCAATTTGTAAATTTTTCTAGTAAAATACCCACAAAGATAGGCAATTAGTAACAACATTGGTAAATTTCTCTGCATGAACACAAAGATTATTCGAGTATGCAGGATTGTTGTGACACCGTTTGTTTGAAACAATTCACAGCACATTTTAGTTAGTTGAAGAACACTTGCGTCATCCCTATTAGGCTATAATATGCCTACTACGTACCCTCCATCAGTAGATTCATGGGAAATATCTTACTAGACTGATGATAAAATATATTGACCATTACATATGTACTTTATTTATATATTGCAAGGATTAACTCCGAGATAAAAGTATTTTTATTAAGTGATTGATTGATTGATTGATTGATTGTTTGTTTGAATATGAATGTGAATGAAAATGTTGTATATGTGGTATGAACATTAAGATATATATCATACAATGGAAATGTCAAGGGCCACGTCCATGTCTTGTCCTTCATGATCAGTATGCGTCTTGTAAGTATAAACCTTGACACAACCATCTATTGAAACATGAATAAGATTTGGAAAGCCAGCTACAAAATATATTCACAACATACCATCACCGGATGAAAATACAAGAGGACGGTATGGATGGAAGATTACATCTCGTACTTCGATATCTGTTACAAATTGTGAGATATCTATACATTTATTTAATAACTGCTTACCTTCGTGATCTTTGAGTATCGCCGTCAATTGTCCCGTCAAGATATTGAAGACGAATATCTGACCATAAATTGTGGGTGCAAGAATATATCTTCCATTTGAGGTTATCTTTACTAACCAAGAGTTTGCGTGGTAGCTAATGAAATTTAAGAAATTAGATATTACCTTTAAAAAAAATCCAAGTAGTTTGTGAATCAAGTTTTTAACCATTAACTTACTCTTCATGCTTGTATTTCTTGACTTCCTCCAGTCTAAAAGCTCCTCCTGGTTGAGTAGGATAAACCAACTTATGCAATGTACATGTATTTGGCTTAGAAGCTATAATACAACAAAAAGAATAAGTCGGCAATAAATAAATTAAAACAAGAGCTATAAACGGAGGATTCCGTTAACTTACAGACACCATCACCAACATCGCACATCTCTGCACCTCTACTAATGAACCATGCATAATTCTCTGGTGTTCCATCTTCTTCCATAATATCTACTTCTATCTTTTCTTCCTTAATGTCATCCTCCTGTGTAAGTTTCTTTTGTTGGGCTGTATATATAGGTTCATCCAACCATTTGATAAATTTGCCACAGTCGCAATAAGAAGAATAAATGTCTTCAAAAGTTTGTAATAACTATATAATTGTTTAATCATTTTACAGCATAATTAAAAATAACATTACTTACTTGTGATTCTTCAAAATCATATAATCGAAGGTGCTCATCACATGCTGCCAAGAAGTATTTGTTTCCAGTATTGGGTACAAATGATACTGTAAAAGCCATACATGTTGCGCCATCCTCCATATGAGTCGCGTCAATAAGAGTACTGGATAAAGGTGGGTGTCAGTAATATGTAATATATATATATGTGTGTGTGTGTGGGTGTGTGGATAAGTTGACATGTGGGTAACATACGTCCAGTCGCTGTCCATATTCCATTTGAATATATAACCATCTTGACTGGTGGATATGTAGTAGTTTTTCCCATTGAAAGTAAGAGATTTTATACACAAAATCTCTTCGCTGTGGCCTGCCAATTTCCCTACAATTTTGCACTCTTCAATATCAAATATCTACATGACCCAAACCAACGATATTAGTTATTTCATATCACTTTATATTTCGTATTTCACAATCACTGACCTTGATAGAGCATGGTAGGATATGATTGTCTTCATCTTCCACTGACCATCTGTGTCTATCCTTTAACTTTCCTCCAGTAACCAAAAGATTCTGAGAATCTGATACAAACTGTCCACAATAGAATTCGTCAATGTGTTTTTCCTCAGTATCACGTAATTTTCGAATCAGATTAAAATCATCTGCGATATCCCAAATCTTCACAGCACCAATATTTGAAAAGGTTGCAAGTAGTGTACCATCGGGTGATAAACACATACTTGTAATTGCGGCTAATCAATATATGTATATACACATATATATGATTTAAGTCAATATAATATCTAGTGATGCCTATGATTTGTTTGAAGTTTTTCTTTTATTTTACCCTGATCACTGATATTGCAAGGTACTGCTTCCAATTGGTTATTCTCATTGATGTTATCAATCATTTGGTACTCTCTGTCTGCATGATATTGCCAATATGTATCAGGATTTACTTTTCTCAGCTCTTCGACATGATTTGGATCAAATACCGCCTTTTTGACCTATACACCAAGATCAACGCCTTTTCTTTTTTCTTTTTCTTTTATTTACCCACTTCCTTTTTTTACAGTGTAATTATACACATATAACTTCTTTTTGCTTACTTTTTTCCCTTTATCCAATTTCATTGCTAGATCTGTTTTTTCTTTTCCTTTTTTGACAGTTGTTTTGCGTTTTGTATATCCAGTCTTTCGTTTGGGTGCCTCAGAGCCACTATCCCCTCCATCCATATCCATATCTTCTGTACTTTTTGGTTTTCTACCACGCCCTCTGCCAGAGGTGATTACACTACGTGTCCGAGAAGTGGCCTTTGGCTTGCGTTTAGAACCCTTACGGGATGGCAATACAATCTCGGCTTCTTCGAGTAGATCATCGGTGTCAATGTCGTCAATGTCGTCTCTTTGAATGTCTTCTGTTTCTGAGATTTCCTCGTCTAATACAGCATTTTCGGTGAAAGGTGTAATTTCGATTGCTGGAGGGTCGTCTTTAATTGTCATTTCACTCAAATGTAGAGGAGAATCCCCATCGATATTGATATCTTGTTCACTCTGATCTGACATTACTGAATATTCTCTTTCTTTGAAATTATTTTTTTAAGAGAATAAAATAAGACCTTGACAAGAACTAGAGAAAAATGGTCTAATGGTATAAAATGGACAACTCAAGAAATGTAAAATGTGATCCACCGAAAACGAAAAAAAAGGTACCCGCGTTTTGACGCGGCTTACTTTCGGTCACAATCGACAGACAAACTATCCTACGTCTTATGACGTAGGCAAACTGCAGTGATTTCGTACTGTCCTTAGTATTGAAACTTTAAGTCTGCGACAGTTGATTTTCATTTACAAACATGCACTGGCATTATTGTATATAAAAGAAATAATTAATCAGTAGAATAGTATAAAAGTAGTACAAGGCAATACTACTTTAAGATATACAGCAAGAATCTTTTATAAAATTAATAGAATGTCTTTCTAATTAGATACTCAAAGTTAATTCCCAGTATTGCTAATATATATAAAAAGGTTTAGCGAAGTTGATTGTCCAAAAGAGATTAATACTTTCATTTACAAGCTATATTCATTTTCTCTAAAGATGATTGTTTAGTAAAGACCTAACAAGAAACCTATAACTTATAGCTCTGGATAGATTTAAAAGCATCCTGTCAAATAAACTATATCAACTCAAGATGCTTTTTAGCCTATTTTTTTTAGAAGGATGAACTATGATTATTCTAGATATGTTGATAACATGCATGGCTCAATATTCTAAATGCACAGAAATTCCTCTATATCAGTAAATATGTCTGTCAGTAATAGTGACACAAATATTTAATATATAAATTGAAAATACTTTTTCTTTAGCTTAATATTCCTATACCAAGAGCCTTATCTTTTAGACAACAACCGTGTTGATTAAATGTCTGCCAAATAATTCGCGGTAATTTTAAGAATGATTATATAAAATAAAAAGAACAGTATAAACAATTGCTATAATCCATTTACACAGTGCCAGTGCCACACATTGGATGTCATCAGCTATATGTTCTCATATAAATATGAAAGTGGTCTTTTTAGATCCTAAAGGCTTTCTGTTTTTAATATAAAGCGGATATTACATGTTCTATATCCAATTATATTCCAAGCGTATATATATCATAGTTAACAATGTGTGTCGCAGCCTTTGATAATAAAAAGTTTTTGGGTATCAAAGTTCCTTATTTCTAATTTTGGGATCAACTCTAATTGTGTGTAGATATACAGCTTGGATTTCATAATATAACAGTTCTTTCAATTTCACACACACAAAAAGAAAAGCTATCCATTTTAGTTCATATCTTTCTTTCTTTCTTTCTTTTCCTCAATAAGAAACCCATTTTGCCTTTATGATATTACCTTTCGAAATATTACTACAAATTGCTCAGTTGGTTCCACTCAAGGATCTGTCAGCTTGTATATCTGTCTGTCAGGCTTGGAAAGATCCATTTAAGCAGGTCTTGTGGAGAACCATTTCGGTTAATACACAACGTTTCCGATATCTCCAAAGATACCCAGAAAATCACCATCTAATTCAGGCACTTTATATACGTTTGGGTCCCGATGCAAAACCGGGAACATTAACCTACATCCAAAATCAGCTGGGCTCATTAAAGCGCATGACTCTCTCTATTGCTACCGACATTTCTTCATTTGACATGGGAATTAGATGGACTACATTACGATGGCTCACATTTAGAATGCCTGAAATGTCAGCGTGTCATCCTACTCGTACTTTGGTCCGACTTGTAAAAGGTTTACCATGCCTCGAACGACTTGAATGTTCTTCAAGTGTAATGCTGACCATTCGATCATTCTCGATAAGCGATCTCGAGAAAATACATGCTTATGCGCCAAAACTAAAGCATCTTGCTGTTACTCTAAGCCTTGACATTCTTTCAACGAAAGCGCTTGAAATACTCGAAAATATTGAATCGTCTAATCTCGAGATCCTGGACATCTCCATCCTTAGTGGAGATTTACGTTGGTTCGTTTACTTTGCAAGAAAGTATTCCCATCTACACACTCTCCGCCTCGTCACTTCGCATTTTAGTTCGATTCAAACCACATTTTTATCAGAAACCATTACCATGATGACTAGCTTACCGACTGTTTTTCCTCTTCTACGTAACGTATGCGTGATAGGAAATGATGAAGCAGCTGAAGGAATGCGATGTAGTCTTTGGCGACTATGCCGAAATTTTAAAATTCCAGTCAAGCGTTTGATGAATGTAATTGGGAGCGACCATGATAACCCCCGACTTTCTGAAGAGACTCTCGAGGAGTGCCTTGCTGTATGTGGGCCTACAATAGAGAGACTTGTGATCCCAAGTACTACACTCGCCAATAATCCCAGTCATTTCCCTATTATATTAAGTCAATGCACTTCTCTAGTGGATTTACGTCTGGTAGATCTACACTCAAACCCGTGCTATGGTTCAATATCCCTTCATTCCTTGCTAGATAACTGTCCTTTGTTAAAAAGATTAGTAGTACAAGTTCCTCCTTTGATGGAGTTTGATAAAAACAGGAATCAAAATCAACATGGACTACAGGATTTGGTGATCGCTTGCATCAAAACTACCACAGAACTCCTACACCATATATCTCTACGTTGTCGGAACTTAAGATACCTCCATCTCAAAGATTTAATACTTACTGGACCATTGATTAATGGTTGCATGGAATGCGACATGTCCCAAATAAACCTTTCCGTTCTTAGAATTAACGGAGCCAGTTTTTATGAAGATTGCGACAGACTGAAACAACGTAGAATCAATCTTTGCTATATCACATGTCCTGAACCGATATGGTACCATCGTTATCTAGTGGTAAAGAATGGCTATTCATCTGGTGCCATCCGTAATCTCGCGGACACTGAGGCTGATCAAGTCCTCTCGTATCACACATCTCCATACAGTCATCCCGATAAACTTCGAGATAGGAATTCATCCCTTGACTTTGTATCTCAAAGAGATTGGCATCAAGACATTCCAATAGGCTATGTTAAGTTTCATTTTGGGTCCGTATCCAGGATAAATATGACCAGTCCCATGCATGGTGACTCGCTTGAGGATCCAGAAATAAGTATTGTTGGTACTATGGAAGCAGACATATTCACCCGTAGTATGTCTATTTGTTAAGACGATAGATCAAACTACTATTCCTGACAATTCATTGGTCCAACTGTAAATAAAATCGAAGAATTTTTTTAGAAGCACACATAATCACATGTATGAATGTAAAGAGGTGCGTTAATGCTCCTCTGTGGAACAGGATTTGTATGTGTGTGTATACAATGCTTATATAGCATTGCATTCCCGCATTTTGCTGGGAAATTTGCTTATATTAACTGTGACATTGCTAATAGAATTATATCCTAAAAAAATACCTGCTATAATATTCTTTATACTTTTTAAAGTAATTATTTTCACTATCGAATTGAGGAAATAAAACATCCCCTGATTGATTTTGGAGATTTATTGACAGTTAAGTTTTAGAGAATGGGCAGGTGTCATTATATAGCTTGTATACTTACACAAATAAAGCTTTCAGACTAGACAATATTGGATTAGCGGTCTCGCAAGCACTCTATAACTATAAAGAGAATGTTCACATTATATATATACTAGCTAAGCAAAACAAAAATGCGAGGGAAAGTAAACTATGCTACCATCTTGCACTCTACCTCTTTCTGTCTAAGAAGCCTGGATTTTTACACTGAACCGAACTGTCATTGTTACTAGGGTAAAATCACAAAAAAATAGATATCTACAAAAGCTTGGTTTAAATTGCTATGATATTAAGCCTTGGGCTTATACTATAGTCCACAATAGTCTAAATAGTAGGTTCATAAATTTCTTCATTTATTAGCTGATTTAGATTTAAATATTCTTTTAATCTCTTTCGTTAAGATATCCTGTTGCTCTTTGTGCTTTCAATTTTTTTAATAGATAATTAATGAACCTACTCAATTATACACATTTTGTATTTTACATATTATATGCTAATTTCTGCACAGCCACATGTATTATATTATAAAATTATGTGCTTCTGAACAAAAGCAATTTAAGTAAGGTGAAATACTTCTACAATTGTGCGCGAAGAGTTTAAAGAAAATATGGACAATATTTGAGCAAATAAGATAAGAAGTAGTAGTTTTTCTTGTAAATCACGCTCATGCAGGGTATGCTTTTTTGTTTTGTTTTGTTTTGCTTCTGTATACATATTGCTCGTAAATAGTTCCTCTGCGCTGATGTACTTACAATTTCTTAAAGCATTTCCCTACTTGACATATGCTCCTGGTTACATCTATTCAAAGGATTCTTTTGTATTATTTATTAGTAATCCCTAACGCGAGGGCTTACTTTATCAAAAACCCACTATATAAGAAATATTTATGCAGTTAACTGTTATAGCTTTGGTGCTGCATGTCCCATAAATACCTAGCAGTATTAAGGAGTGCATACTGGTCATGAACTATTCTAATGATTCTTGGTTCTCATTTTAACTAAACAGGTGAACCAAAATATCTATAAACTATTGCTCTTCAGTGGCAGGACGATTTTTTTTTTGCTTTCTTCTTCTTATTTATACATACTCAAGATTTTCCGAAATGCTGGCATCCGAATTGCCTTTTGAAATCTTATCCCAAATTGCAAGCTTTTTATCGAAACCAGACCAGTGTAATGCTAGCTCAGTTTGTCGTGCGTGGAAAAGGCCTTTTAATGAAGAGTTCTGGAGATGGACTGATATTGGATATGAGCCTGGTTTTGACCGATCGTGTTGTCTTTTATTGGATATACTTGGAAATGGCTCAAATTATGGACAAATGGTACGATCACTCAGCCTGGCAGAAGACATTGAAATACACTGTGATATATTATGGCAGTTACAAACCTATTTAACTGGACTCACATATATATCCTTGCCTGAAGCGAGTCTGACTACCTCTTGTTTTCACCACCTTAATCGTTGGCTTACATGGAGCACAACTTTGACACGTCTCCGATTTTGTATACATGGAATGGGTGTAGGAGTATCAGATTTCCTGGATTTGCTAGAATACTTGCCTCGGCTACAATGGCTTGAATACACGCCAGAAAGAGCTACACATTCGTTGTTTAGACTGGAAGATGTCGAGACCATCCATACACACTTGAAAAATCTCGATACACTTATTCTGGGCACCGAGTTGAGTTGTCTGTCTCCTCAGAATCTTGAGCTACTTAGTACAGTCCAGCCAGCCGTAGCTATGACTTTTGTGAAATTTTCAGTAAACCCAGTGGATTTAAGATGGCTTTATTATTGGGCTATCAAATATCCTCGTTTACGTACGCTTGAGTGGATAACCCGTCACGACTTTGACCCAGTGTACATGTTCAGAGATGAAACACTTTTGCTATTTAGTCAGCAAGACTCTCCATTTGAATACCTCCGAAATCTACGGCTTCTCGGTGGAATTTACTCGCGTATACTTGACAAGACTTTGATAGATTTGCTTTGTAACTTTAAAATTGCGTTAAAAAATATCAAATATGAGACCCAGGTTGGGCGCAACGATGCTCAGCCAACTCTTCAACTTATTGAAGATATAATGCGATCATCATCAAATACAATCGAAGATTTTAGCTTAAGTCTCCAACATCCAATTGCTAATCCACGCACAGTACCCATGACTTTCAGCGTATGTCCTCATCTAGTTAATCTCAAGATATGTGGGTGGACGACACACCTCGGACTGGATCTTCTACTGGATTATTGTGTTGCTGTCAAGAGACTTGATATTACTGTTGATACTCTTTCCATTGATTCGGAATCGTCTCTCGCTTTCTTTCAGTCTGTTCATAGTATGACATATTTTCGTTTGATTGCAAATTCGGTGCATGCTTCTGTGTTTAATTACTTATCTAAACGCTGTAAGAATCTTCAGCACATGGAACTGCTAAACGTGGACATTGTGGGCCCTCAGTCAGTGGAAAATGGAAGTATGTTGATCGACATGTCTTTCACTCACTTCAAGACCCTCCGACTCAACTGCACTAATTTTCATGGACATACAATTGATCTCGATACACCAAATACTCTCATAAATATTTTGAATGTTCAGGGCGTATCCGAAACTAGACATAATTGGTATCATATTCACAGTAATCCTAGTAACTATAAGTATACGATAGGAGATAGACATCGCCATCTACGCTTTACTAGAAATCTGGGTCAAAAACATTGCAAACTCGCTTCTACCTACTTTAATTCGCGCTATCGATTAATGCGAGAAGAGGCTATACAAAGAAATGGCCGTATCGAGTTTGAAACAAAATACGTGGATAAGAACAATTGGAAAATAGACCTTTTAAGAGGGTTTACTGTATTAAGTTGTGCCTCGATAGACCAGTTCGTATGGGAATGTACAGTTCCAACCTTTCCATTCCGATGTTGATTTTTCAAGGGGGGATATACTCGCTCACTTTAATCTCTATATATACATATGCCTTCTGCCTTTTATTTTATTTAAATTTTGTAGTCAGTGTTTTGCAATAATTTATTTTGAAACTTATAAAGAGATGCCAATGAAATATTCAAAGTGTTGATATCAATTATATGTTTTTTTTTTGTGTTTTTGATTAATAGAGAGTACGGAATAAAAAAAAATTGAAATGACTCAACGTAGCTGAGCGGTGTCTAAACTAAGGCTGTATGATGGCCTAGTCTTGTCTTCTTGTGTTTATGTGTGCCTGTTCTAGACCAAAGGCTTTTTAAGAGTAATGAAGGAGAGATCCTTGACCTTCAACAGATCTGGGAATACAAATGGTACACGTTCGCCAGTATTAACAAAACCGAGCTTGTAGTACCATTGGAGGAGGTCAGCTCTGTTTTCGATGACCTTCATTACAGCCACATTGAATCCCATAGTCTTCATTGTATCCAATGCAGCTCGGACCAACTTTCCACCAATTCCCTTAGACTGGTATTTAGGGTCAACTGAGAACAGACCAATTTCGGCTTCCCCGGGTGCCTTTACGATCGGTTGGATTTGAACTGTGCCAACTACTTGTTCGGTGCCGTTCTCGTTTGTCTCGAAAGCATACATTAAAGTATTTGGCTTACCCTGGTCACGCACTGACTGTGCTAAACCTTCGATTGTCTCCCGCTCGCCACCTACAAGATCCACCTCAGTTGTCCAACCCCCTTTTAACAAATTAAAATCATTAGTATATTCGTTTGGGAGTTAAATACATCAACTGAAGTCATATTTACCTGTGGAGCGATAGGCAGCATTAATTACAGAATGAGCTTTTTCATTATGCTTAAGATCTGCAATAGTAGTAAGTCGTACGTAGATTGATCTGACAGGAATAGGAGACATGACAAGAAGTAAAATGAAGAGGACGAGAGGATACTAATACGATAAACAAAAGGATGTCTTGGTGCGGTCGTTGTTTAACCATTTTTATATCGCTATTATTTTCTAAGTCATCGCGTTGTTTGAAACATGTATTTCGCGGTTTACATGTTTTAAATTACGTTTGGTCAATTCATCTGGTAAAAGCAATGGGAAAATAAAGTAGTATGGTATCAGGTTATGGAATAATCCCTGCTACTGATCAAGTTTGTTTTGTTTAGTTTTTATCCATTTTATATTCTATAATAATATTTATATTTTATAATAAGAAGCTATATATGGCAATAGGAATTTTTATAGGACGTTTAGAGGCTGATCCAATAATTCAGATAATATCAAGTCGATGGAAAGTGACTCAACAACTTTCATAATTTTAGCTTTCATTGGATAATTATTAAATTCCCATATAAAATACAATAAAATAAGATGTTAAACGGATCTTGAAACCCCAAATATTTAAACACTTGGTGTGGACAGATTAAAAGTTCAAAAAAAGGGGCAAAAAAAAGAGCAAAAATTTAAGTCATATCATTGGGCGAGAGTTTTAATTAATTTTGTCCCCTTTTTTGAACTTTTTTGAACTTTTAGTCTGTCCACACCAAGTGTTTTTACTTGGTTTTCGGACGTTTTCAAAAAGAAATCGGACCAAGTCAATTTTATTTTGAACAAAGTCATTTTCATTTTTAGACATAAATAAAAATGATTTGATCTGAAAATGAAATTTATTAAGACCAAGTCCTTGTTGTCTTTTGACAAGCTCACGATAAAAATTTCGAAAAAATACCCAAGTCCTCCAAATATTTAAACATAATGTAAGCTCATATAAGACATCAAAAAAGAAGACAGGTTTGATTACCATAATCGTTAGTTAGAAAAAAAAAATTAGCTTGGTCAAATGGGGAATTATAGAGTTTCTCTTTCAAATGCTTTTCGTAGCGTTGTATGGCTACTATATCGTTGGAAAAGACCTTCAGTCATGTCCTCGCTGTAGCAATTGTTCCAGTTGAAGCGTCCAGCATTGATTCTTCTCTTCTCCTTAACAAAAATTAAGTCTTCACTTTCTTGTTGTTCGCAGATACTTTCAATAGGGGTGACTGCACATTCATCCGTTGATGGTAGGCATTTACGTTCGAATTGGCGTACAAAATGTGCAACATCTTTGGCATATTTTAATTGTCGTTTGCTATCGTTTTCATTCAAAATCTTTTGAAATTGACATTCAACGGTATCGCAAAATGACTGTGTATCTGCGAACAGTTTTGCTATTTTGTCTGTGTCAATGGAGCAAATGTCAAGGGCAACCTTGTAAATAGCTTGTATGGAAGTATCATTATACTTTTTGAGAAGCATAATATTCTTTTCCTGCATAAAAAACATGGCACAGAGCAATCATTTTATCTAAAGGTTCTTTGTCCATGTGAATGGCAATAGACTCCGGGGTATAAAATTTGGTACTCTTTGCCCATGATTGGCAAGGGTGGGTGTAGAAAGGCTCATTTTCCTCTTTGTTGAATGTCGTATTGCGATATCGCTTGCTGGAGAAACCCGCGTTGGATATGACAACGAGATGGGGTATGAACCTGTGGCATCGAATACATTCAAAGAGTAGCGGATCACTCGACCAATAAAATCATTGTCGATTTTTTTTGGACCTCTACAATTACTGGAGCGAGGCTCTCTTTAAATTTATCAAGAGGCAGGTAAAGCATATCGAGGCGTCGGCCATCTCTCGGTTCAGTTGGTCCCAGAGTGTAGGCATCGCCCAATATGCCGTTTCTAACGAGGGATTTGATGACAATATCCCTGATTCCATCCGCACGTAATATTTCCTTGCTAAATACATCATAACCTGGCTGGGAAGGTAACGTTGTAGTGAGAAGATGCTAGTAGTTTTCAATATTCTCCTTTTGATCGTCTTGATCGTTGCCATTCGAGGGAGGTGAAAAATCTATTCGGTAACCATATTAATATTTCTAGTCTATATTAGCTGAACCTTTTTTCATACCGATGCAAGTATCAGAATAACTTTCTGATATTGTTGACATAGTTACAGTAAAGGTCTTCGCCAGCGTACTCTGTGTATTACGTGAAAACGCTAGGGTTGGTTTAATGGACAAATGTATATATTTTTGCTATTAATATGGTAATGATGTAACAATAAAAGTACCAATTGGGTATTCATCCGATCAAACCTTATAATTAAACTGAACCAAAGACATATAATAAATCGAGTTGATTCAATTCGCGGAGAGGTGATAAAGTAATACAAAAAGTAAAAGACACCAAATTCGGCTTCTAAGATAACTGGAGGTATACTGACTATTAGTATAAGATAATTTAAAGACTTCTTTGTATGTCATTTTAGTAATAAATACTTTAATACTAATATACCGTCTCATTAGTTCTGGAAAAGTAGAAAACATATAAATGAATACAAATCTCATCATGAAGAGGTTCCTAGGGTTCTGTATTTTTAGAACTATTGGTTCCTATAGACTCAAGCATCAGTGGCTCATTTTTTATTATATCTTAGTAAGAAAATAAAGAGAATCTGTAAGAGAAAAATAATTATGGATTGAAAGCATTCATAAAGCTGTTCACAAGAACAGCTCTTGTCCTTTTAGAAGTTGAACTTGGTATCTTTTACTTTTTGTATTACTTTATCACCTCTCCGCGAATTAAACCAACTCGGTTTATTATATGTCTTTGGTTCAGTTTAATTATAAGGTTTGATCAGATGAATACCCAATTGGTACTTTTATTGTTACATCATTACCATATTAATAGCAAAAATATATACATTTGTCCATTAAACCAACCCTAGCGTTTTAACGTAATACACATAGTACGCTGGCGAAGACATTAAAGGTAATCAAGAATGAAACAGTGAACCAGGATAAATACATTGATATCCTGGCACAAGCCTTTCATCCTTGATTCACAGCCATTACCAAAAGCCAAAGAAGATCTTTCATCCTTCAGGAGGATGGAGCAAGTTGCCACACAGGGGCATATGCTCAATGGTGGAAGAGAACCCACCAGATTGGTGGGTTTGACTTCTGGCCTGCCCAAAGCCCAGATTTAAATCCCATCGAGAATATATGGAGTACTCTTGAAAGGCGGATTGACAAGAGAAGAGTCTCCATCAACTCTTTGAACGATTTGGAGGTGGCTCTACAAGAAGAATGGGCCACATTGGATAGGGAGTCTGCGGGACGCTTGGTTGAGAGCATGCAGAGAAGATGCCAAGCTGTGATTGATGCCCATGGAGGTCCCACAGATTAATAGCAATCTATTTTTTTTATATATTTTTTAAAATAAACATCTCAACCTTTGCTCCTACAAAATTTACAGCTGCTAGCTACATTATGCATAGAGTAATTGCTTTTTGAATAATGATCATGTGTATTTGTAAATTTTATGTAATTTAATTTTATTTAATACGAGGCATTTTGGGGATCCTGCCTTGCGGCGGGATTTCTTATAGATAATAGAGAGTAAATTCAGATATTATACAAAGAATTCATTCAGTGTTGACAAGTAAAGTGGCAAAAACCTTCTTTAAAATGGCTCGGTATTTAAGAGATTACTTGATGACTTTTTAAAAGGCATGAATACAGTAGTTCACTGACTAATTTTTTTCTTCATTTGAGAAGAATCTAATGAAATTGTCTTAACAACATAGAAATTTAACGATTTTCTTATTTTTCCACTTTGTTTCTTTAATCACATCAACTAAGAAAAATGTATAATAATCATTGAAAATTAAATTGCTATTTAAACTTAAAAAAAATCAATGAAAAATTTATTTTTCTATTAAATAAAGCTTTGACTGTATCAAAAACATCAGATAATTCAAAGAATTTAGCAGTTTTGAAACCCTTGGAAACTTAACGAAATTTAGAGACTTCAAAGACATCAGAGATTTTAAATGATTCAATGATATTAGAAACATTCTTGTCATCATCATACACATATTATTATGCGTATACTATGTATAATATTAATTATGTGTCCAATTGAGATAAATAGTAGAGTAGTAGGTAAAGTTAGGGATCAAATGGCACACTATATAGCGATTAAATTTACACGAGAACTTTTATTTATCAAGACCGTTATAGAAATTTGATAGACTTTCATAAATTTAGACAAATGGGTAGGGAATGCTTAAACTGATAACAGTATAAAAAGTACATAAGAAACTTTAAAAAGACGTATTATCATAAATGTTAGAATATGAGTATATAGTGTATGAAATTAATAAGAAAGAAACTAACAGTACAAGTGTAATTATTGCTATTTTATTTGAACCAAGGTTTTCAATTTTTGCATGGATCATTTTCATTTATGTTTTAGTATCAAATCTTTATAAGAATAAAACATTTAAATAAACTTGGACAAACAGTCTTTTCTTTCTTATAATAGTATGGTATTACTTATTAAATTGTCTCAATGGACACAATCAGTCTACCTCGTAGTAAATATAAACTGTTCCTGGATAGCTATTTGCACTCTGGTAAAAAGCACCGGTCGTATACTTAAATTCTAAGTCTATACAGGCGTTCACTATTCAGAGATCACTGGTTTAGATTTTCTACTACGAGTACTATGAAGGAAAATCTGAGGAAGTTACGTACCTAACTTGCTTACATTTTTACCAGTAGAAATCTTACAAACTTTTATTGCTTAAAATTGTTGCCTATTTCTCCTTTTGGGCTTTCTAACTTCATAAACCATATGGAACGACAAAAAAAGGCGACTTTAGTATAGAAAACTTTCAAAATCCCACTTTTAGCCTATCATTTCTTTTTGCAATTAATGCAAAAAAAAACTCCGTCCCTTCCCTATACACTGCAAATAAGAATAGTAATAATACTTATTAAATTGTTCAAATAATTTAATGATTTGCCAAATGGTACCTTAGGGTATATGGACATAATCAGACTAGAAATATTATCCTCTTCTTCTCAGTAGTGTCATACTGGCACTTTTTCGCCTATCCCAATTGGCACTCTTAGTCTCACACGCCTCTGTTCCTTCCAAAATAGCTTCTCTTGAACTCACGATACTTTCAGCTTGATGAGCACAAGTGAGCCTCTCCGGGATCGTGCCATCATGTCGCAATTGGTGAATAATGCGTTATGGTATTAAGACATGAGGAAAATCTTGATTCCACAAAAAAGAGCAAAGTAAAACGAATCTATGTTTTCCAAAAAGTTTGGATTGACACATCTAGAATGATTTGTAAGAATAAGAATAAAAAATAGTTATTGGATGTAATATCACAAAAGTTCACGGCAGATTATATTTAATGCTTAAAAGCTATATTACAGGCGCTGATTGGGAGCTTGCTTGAACTTTTCAAAATATTGGCCTTGAATACTAACACCATAGAAAAAAATCGTGCCTTGGTGTGTATTTTAGCCTACTTTCCCCGCTTCATGCCCTTGAGCTTTAATAATATTCAAGTATTTTTGCTCTGGTAATTAGGATTTTATTTACATATCAACATAGTTTTCTTTTTATTATTATACTGAGAAGACGTATTTAATTTTGAGCTGCAATAAGAGCAAAAAATAAGGAAAAGGAGAGTTGAAACATATATATAAAAAGGGAAAATAGTGTTTAACCAAAAAAAAAGATCTGGGAAAGCAGTTGATAATATGCCTAATTTGTCATCTTAGTCTTGAAACTATCACAGAGTAAATTGTGTGGAGTACCCAATTTATGTAAATTACAGGTTTGTATGACAGACGCGATATATGGACATTTGATTTTGTTTGTCAGACAGATGCTTCCATATACACTCAGAAGCTCGGTCTGTGCGTCGCTTTTCCCCTCGTACAAGTAAATATGTCCGTTTCCCAAAGAACTTCGATTTGAACGGGGAACATACCCAAACACAACTTTTTGCAAGTTTATTTCGATAACATAAATATTATAGGAGAGAGACAGTTATTTACATCTAAATTATATCATCTATTTGATAACAAGGGCATTAGGAGGAGAAGCTACGCCACCAAATTTGTTGAGTGGTGCGCTGGAGAAGAAGAACTGGTATACACCGTCTTTGGCACAATCTTCGGCAAGAGCCTCAAGGAAGAACATTTCACCCAGAGGCATACCCCAACCGGACAGAAACATGGAATCTTCAAGTGTATTCACATAATAAGTAATCCATATTAACTAGCATCACCACATCTACTTTATTATACGTACGACATGTTCCAGCATAAGGGTTAATGAAGGGTAAAGCCTCAACACCAATGTTGTCCGAGGCAATTGCTGCAAAATGATGGTTCCACACCCATCTAAAGGTATCCTCACTAAATTTGAGACCAGCACTGTCAGGCAATTCACCTAAAGCGGCATTCAGAACAGGTAGGGTGTCTTCGGCTTTCTTCACTTCATAGCGAGCGGTCCATCCAGTACGCAGCAGTAAAATATCACCTTCTTCAAACGTGACACCTTGGTGTGCAGCAACAGCGTCAAGCTCTTCCACAGTAATTTCATAACGCGTGAATGCATCGTAATCAGGGACATTAACTTCGGCCCAACGAGCAAAGTCTAACAGTACAGCCCGACCAACAATACCGCGGCGAGCCATGTGATGGACACCAATTTTACCATTCTTAGGATCCTTGATTTCTTCAGCACTGGTGTTGTTATAGAATTGACCAGAGGTTGACAGACAGAAGTGACGAAGACCATCCCATTGAGATGAGGCTTGAGTGTTGAAGCCATCATAGACATCATCAAAAACCATATCACCGTGTATAGGCTTGATTATGTGGGTGCATGCATCACGGTTAAGCATGCCCATGTTAGGATTCTCGAGTTTCCAGTTAAGAGCAAATACATCACCGCGACTAACTAAGGAAGTAGCCTACACAGTAGAGTTAATTAAACTGAGATTAAATATGTGGATTGATTAAATGATTCAAACAAAGCTTGTCTGATAGTTATACCCATATATAGCTTTACTTTAAAGCAGAATTATAATGATGTGTCTTTACCTTGACAACCTTGTCAGGGGTCAATAAGTTCAGGGTACCGAGGTTATCATCCTCTCCCCAAAGTCCCCAAGCAGTATGAGGAGGGGCATTGGGATCAACTGGGAGTTCATCATATGTAGGAAGAGTAGACTCGGTAGACATCTGTGCGATTTAGAAAACAAGAGATGAAGGAGCATGAGTTGGGATGAAGCAGGTTTATTTAACATGAAGATTATTAAGGACCGACAAACACAGTCAACTTTGCGTAACTTGTCAAGGTTTGAAGTCAATTGATTCCTTTTCATTACAATACTAAAAGCTTGTACTTAAAAGAAATTGTACTCATTCTAAAAGAGAACCTTAATGGTCGTCTTCTTGTTCTCCTGGGCAATTCTCTTTTAGGTCTTCAGGGCTGTCGTAACGAGCACCGCACCAGAAGCAATACACATACTTATCGCGCAAATATGCGATAATACGATCGAGTTTATCAGTTGACTAAATACCAAAATTATACAAGTGTGTATGCGTGTGAGAATGTTAGTCAATAAAAAATAATGTCTAGTATGAGGAGAGAGTTGGAGTGGCCCGCGCCCACCCCTTGTTTTTTTCTTTTAGCAAATAAGAAGACGTACGGATAATTCTTTCAACGCTTTTAGAGCTTCAGCTGGGTAGAAATCCTCGTAAGTTTCTTCACTCTTGTCCTCCCCTTCTGTAACAGGCTTTGGAACCAGTGTCCATAGAATATTTGACTGGATATATATGGTGTTACATTCTACCTTTATTGCACTACCATTATATCTTTACTGCTTCTAAACGTTACCTCTACACCCTGGATGTATACACAAAAATCAGGATTCATTCGTATCAGGCATATTGTAAATCGTACATATGCATGTGAGCTCATAAGAATCATTGACACTTCCCACGGCTACAGAAAGCTAATCAAGTAAAACTTAACTGTTTCCTCATCTAACTTTTTACACAGACTTGCACAAGCCCCGATCCGACGTGTCAATTTTCCTTCCTTTGCTCGCTCGGCCATTGCCTCTCTATATGCCATTGGATCCAATGCTACTCTTTTAGATGCCTCTTGAGCCTCTTTGACCTCTTGGGCCTCTTGCTCATCTCTTGCACGCTTAACACTTGATTCCATCCCAAGACCTTGTCTGCCTAAAACCATCAAAGTGGTGAGATGATATTTTTGTTGTGCTTAACCATTTATTATGAATATTTGAAAGGCGCTGAATTGAAATTAAGAGGGTTTTATTTAGATCCCTCTTTCTCTTTGTAGGACTTGCCTTTCTTTACTTCTACACTGATAGGTTCATGGATTCCAGCTGTTGAACTCTTTCCAAGTGTCATTCCAGTTCTTCATCATAAGCAATAAGGTTGATGTAGTGCAAAAATTAACAACTGTCATACAATTACATTTATGACATTCCTATAATGTAAACATACTTGAATCCCATCTTCATCATTAACTTCATGCCTTTATTCTCTGAATCCATGGCTTTCTTTAACCCTTCCTCGCGAGCTTCTTGTTCCAGTTGAGCTCGTGGCTTAATGTAGGATTTTATCTGTTGATTATGCAAATGCTTTCGTCTTTTCTCGCTGTAAGTGAGTTGCTGGTTGGTTGCGTCTGCCTCCAAAAATTTGGTAGACATGTAATCATCTTCGTCCGAACTCATCAATTAATCAATGGTTTATAAATCAATAATATAATGTAAAATTATAAAGATCTTTTTTTTGTTGGCCTTGAACAGTACCAACATACTCCGCTGGGCTGTCTTTCCGATGAATTTATATACTATAAAATACAGCCAGCCACACTTTCCTGAACCTGAAAGAATTCGGCAGGTCCAGCACAAACTCGGTGTGGACAGACTAAAAATTCGAAAAAAAAGTTTCAAAAAAAGGGCAAAACGAGCTCATCTTGAACTTGGCCAATCAGACTAATTTATGACTGACCACACCTTTCTTTAAAAAAAGTTCAAAACTAGTTCAAGTACATATTAGATAAGATTGTGCTTATAAAGCCTTCCCTGTCATTACGTGAAACCCTATTTTGCGAGTTATTCTAGATATCCCATTCTATGGCACATTTTTTCTATAAAAATGCTCTTTTTCTCAATTCTAGTGGCAATGGAACAATTATAGCCAATCAGAGTCGTTTACAAACTGATCTTTTTTTTGCCCTTTTTTTACCCTTACTTTGCCCTTTTTTTTTACTCTTTTTTTAACTTGAAACTATCACAACTCGACACCTTTATTACACGTACTCCTTTATTAAACAACTTCTTCAATAAGCCGAATGTCATTTATACTGGGGCTCATATTCACCCAATATTCATCCAATATTCAGCTTGGCGAACAATTTATCAATTGATCGCAACTTTTGATTACATCAACCCCGTGAGCACTACCTCTTGGGTGTTTACCTCTTTGTTTTCTTTGTTTTCTTTTTTTTACCCTAAAGTATTTTGGAAAGCCGCATATTCACTGAGCTGGTAAGATTAGCTGTATAAATATAGAACGAATCCACATTGTGAATAAATATATAATAATTGAAATGTATAGTACAAACAAACGTCATATTCGCAAGTTTGAGAAAGAATAATCGAATGCGTCGGAAAAAAACGCCGCAAGGAACTTTTTACCAAGGAGTGAACACCTTGCCACCATCCTGTCTACAAAATAATACCAAACGAACCTTATCCGAAAGCTTTTCAGAAGAAAGTGTCAACAAAAGAAATCGTGTAGAAGGGCCGGTGAAAGACTTGGAGGAATGCTTCTTTAATTCGATGAGAGACCGCGTAGAAGAACTTGTCAAGCAAACTAAAACTCAAGATAAAACAAAAGAACTGAAAAACAAGCTCCTAAATGTAAAAACTCTACTGGCAGCAATAATAACGAACGCAGCACAACTTGCCAAGTGTGACAGAAAAGTAATGCGCTCACATATGGAGCACCGCCCTGGGCTAAGAAATGTTGAAGAATGGAAGAAGTTCGTATCTCAAAACCAACAAGATAGCTGAGGCTGCCGTAGGTTCGGTCGTAAAAGACACAGCTAAAGGATACTCTTCTGCCACTCCAACAAATAAACAGCCGTATGAAGAAATGAGAACGTGCACGGTCCAGATGAACAGCCTCTTCAGATCGGATCTCTCTCCTATTGTAAAGACATTCGTGTGTATTAGATTACAAGATACGATGGTTAGAGCATCTTCAGCAGTGAGAGAACTTTTAATTTATCTAAAGTTAAACACCACTACTTTAGCTAAAGAAAAGGTCAATTTTCCCAGCAGTTCGATTTATCTTTTTCTTTAAATAAATTTTGAGAGCGTTTTCATCAATTAATTTTATCTTCCTATTAAATTTAATAGGAAGATAAAGAAAAGGGACTGTCTTTTATATTTAAAGTGAATTTAATCGAACTGCTGGGAGGACAAACTTTAGCTAAATCTTTAAATTTAATGTAAAAGTGGAGATAAAGTGGACTGCTGAAGATGCTCTGAAGATGCTCTACGCCAAATGCTGAATGATAGAAAGGAAGCTTCTGTGGAACACAGGCTCGTTGTTCAGGATTTGAACATCGTGGAAGAACAGCAAGATTTTCTGGAAGAGGAGGGGACTTTGGATGATGATGTTCCGGAAAGGAGGTTGAATCAACCCAAGTCCATAATCAAACACTTGGTCTTCAGCAATGATACGCCTGTATATTTAGAAGATGTCAAACATCACTCCTGAGGCCACCACCACCGAGCAGTCAGTATGATTGTTGATCTGCAATACGTTGATGAAGTTCTTGCCTCCGAAAAAGCAATATCATGTAATTGCGTATCAGATGTATTTCTGTATCTTTGCAAACGACGTTCTTAAATATGCACTTTATACAAAGTTTACTCGCGCATTATGTCCTTCAAGATCATTCTCGTCATCAAGTGCACTACACCTGGATTCAGTTGCATTATATCAGCTATTGACCCAGAATATCGATCAAGAAAAGTCGGAAGAACCATCATTACATACCAACCAGCAAGAAAAGAAAGGGTATAGTAGAATGATACTCTATGGGTATAATAGGGATGAGCTGATAGGGTCTCAAGAAAAAGTGCGCCAAAACAAAGATGCCATATTTAACGCAGTATTTGATATTGGAGAGATTCAGAAAGCATGTGAATCGTATGGTCTATCTTTTGCACATCGGATAACATGTCTGCCAGGAATGAAGACAGTACGATTATTGGGATCGAGAATAAAAACCCACGGGAGCGTAACAGAGGAGACAGATCAGTCATATGAAGCACGGATCTTAAGAAACCCAAACGTTATACAAGAAGGACAAAAAACAAAGGATGTTCTTTTTTCTGAGCTTCAAAGCTTAACAGAAGTCAAGGCACTTGAATCTGTCTGTAAAATAGAGCTAGATCTTCTGAAAGACAGTAACTTCCAAAGGAAAATCAAGGAATGTAAATCAAATTGGGGGACAACAGATGACAAGGATCAGTTATACCGGACGATTGAAAAATATAAAGAATCGAGATATAAATCTTATTTGACGGTTAACAAGATCAGAAACGAACTCGCCGAAAAAAGACAACAGCTATATTTCCGACAGATGAAAATTCGTTTCAAATCAAAGCTCTATAATGTTAAAGATGTCCCTCAAGATAGCAGAGGTCAAATTGAGAAATGTGGTAAAGGTGTGACCAAGGTGGAGGACCGAACTGTTGTGAATCCTGGTGACTTTAACTATGCGGGTACTGACAATGGCCTGGTGAATATGCCAACATCAATACCGATGTCGTTACAAAGAATGAGATTTCACCTAAAGCTTTTCAACTATTACACCGCGTTAAGCAAGGACTCAAATGAAGACAAGTATCGGCTTGAATCTATCTAAAGAAGAAGAATCATTCCTACATTTGCCATCAGTTACGAATACGAAGGCTAGTGCTGTTGATGTTGACTGTGGGTATTTTCGGCAACGAAAATATTTAGAAAGACGAAAGAAGTATACGGATGAAGGGGAAAAGGTCCAGTTAATAGAAGATTCGATGAGAGAATTGGAGTCGGCCCCTGTTGCTTCTAATGACATGGCCATCGGAAAATTTCGTGCTAAATACGATCAACGACAAAGCCTGCGGGATTTCTACAATTCTCCAAAAATCATCAACAAAAAAAGACATGTAGAAATCCAACAGTATCGTTATCGGCATCTCCTCTGTCGGCGAGAGAGATTGGAATTGAAGCATTCAGAGAGTAATAATTTGTTACCAATATTAGTATTGTATTCGATTTTTATTAACACGCATTTTTTTTGGGGGCTCAACAGATAAGTCGTCTTCAAAAAAGCCCTTGATATTCTTCATTGGTGATTGAGGGACCGGTGCCGGTTCTCGAGTCAAAGGCTTTGGAAAGTATGGTGGTAAGTGGAAGCAGAATATACATGGGGAAGCAGTTAATGTCTGCATCACAAATGAGTGCAAGACCTCCCGAACGTGTATATTCTGCTTTTCGCCTTTAACCAATCCGAGGATTCCTGGCAAAAAGAAAAGAAGTTACAAAGTCAACAAAGGAACCTTCCTTTGTATCAATCCTCGGTGCATAACTGTCAACAATCGATGTGCAAGTAAGCCGAGAGATGGACTTTCAGCTCTCGCCATTGCGCTGGTAGGCCTAAGCTCAGTTATATTTGGTGCCGCGCCACCTCCTTTTTACAACGTCAGCCAAATAACTGCTGAACATTATACAAAAATAACATCTGACTTCTGTACACGAAGAGACGATTTTGCAGCTACATTGTAGCTCTGGAGGTAAATATCATTGTATAGTATCAATGCTTCTGAATTTTTAATTTATTAATTAATATTATCATTTCTTTTTAAAAAAAAACTGAATAGAAACCTGTGGCTTCAATCTATACCACAAGTGATATCACCAAGTGTTTATATATGTTTTCGTTAATCCTATGTAAAAAAAAGCATTTTCTAATGAAACAAGATATTTCATTTTAACTGTGCGTCTTAAAAATGCCTGGATTACCAAAAATTGCCCTCTTTCTCGTAGTGTTAGCAATCTATATTTGGATCTTAACGGTCTATGATAACAGCTATAATAAAGGAAATCACGTAAGTACAAATGAAATGTTTAAACTTAATATAAAAGCACTTTTCTGTAATTGACTATATATATATATATATGTACGTTAATGATATACAATATCCTGTTTGAGATGGTTGTGTTTCCAAGGTAAATGTAAAAATGGGAATTTGTATTTTTATACAAAATTTCTCTTCTTTTCATCATAGAGCTATCGATCGACAATACACAAAATATACACTACGTTAATTCACTAGCTTGTAAGAATTTATATAATTAAACTATAATCTATAGCATCCAGCAACAATATTCCTCATAAACGATTGATTATAGGCCTTCAAGGTAGACATAGAAATAAAATAATCGAAGTAATACAAATTTGGTCCAAATAGGCAAATTAAATATTAAAAATTGGCTATAAACCCAAATTAGTCGAGCATATTCTCTTTACATAGTTAATTAACTTGGTTGGCTATATTAATATCCACCGTGTAAACGTTGTTTGATAATAACTCCTCCAATATTGATCTAAATAGTTCATTTTGATCTTAAAGTTTCCTCATAACATACACCTAAAAACCAAATCGAAATTTTGTGTTTCTTCTACTACGTAAAGTTGGGTATGAAGTCAATCGACGACGTTAATTGCTTATTGGACGGATATGTGACAAATATACATTAAGATATCAACGTACAGTGTTTCTACTTGGGATTGAGAGGGGGGGTTGGATAAAAAGAAAATGATATCCAAACATTGATATTAGGTCTTTGAATTAAGTAAAAGCAATACTTAGATTTTACTTGTAAATATCTGGATCCCTTGGGAGGAGCGAAAAAAACTGTGTATGCGACAGCGACTCAATTTTGTCGAGGATGACAGAAAGGAATTGGGGGATCACCGCCGCAGAGCAAGCTAGCAGAAACGACTTTAATGTTTTTTGCAGCGTTTGGATTATGGCTCCATATCATCACACAGCTTTGGCAAGCTACGACACTAATCAGTCCGTAAACACAAAAGTCAAATCCTCCTATTGACAATAATGGTAGGCATATTCCGAAATATTAGCAGTCTGGTTCTACACAACCAAATGTGTTCAACTTTTACTTTTGATGTCTTGAATTCGTCAACGTAGAGAACCAACAGTCCACCTTCTTTTTCTCTTATTTTAAGCATTCTGAGCAAAGTTTCTGTCAACACTACTTGGTGGAATTTTAAGTTCACCGAGTATTTCCTTTTCATCCCATGCATCCCCATGCATCCCATTCCCAAAAACAATTATAGAAATCTTGCTTTTGGTGTATTTCGAATCCAAGGGTCTTCACTTATGAAATATAGATGTATCTATATGAGTTTTAGGCATTTGTGATAAGGATGAAGTATAGAGTATATTACATTTCTTTATTCTTTGTATTAACTTCTTTTCTTTCTTGTTTTGTCTCGGTTTTCTAGCCTTTCTTGCTTTTCTGTTATTTCTTGTATGTTTTCTTTTTTTTAAATATTGTACTTTCTTCCACAGTAAATCAGAATATTACTCATTTTGTTCTGCTCTCTCTGACGACTTTGATACAAATGGAAGCTTTTCTTTGCAGTGTCACTTTTGTAAAATTCAAAGTACGGTTGCAAATGTGATTTAACATAGTCAAGGTAATCTATATACTTTTGCAGTGAAAAGGTTTTTGGAATCGGTTTGTTTCTGAGTATTCCTAGCATGCCTTCCTTTTTAACTCTTCTTGTCAGGCCATATATTGTATTATATTCTTTTCGAGTAAATCTTCTCAATCGGTATCCTCTATTTCTGTCCCTTTATGATTATGTAAAGTTGGAAGAACGACCGGGGCCAATTTATGCTAGAGAAGATCTTTCGAGATCTTCATGTACCAGAAATTCTTGTGAATATTTTACCATGTAATAATAAAAGCCCAAACTATCGAATGGTTTTATCACTGACTTATATATTACATCGTCTGAATAGTAGCCGTTATTTCTTAAAAGGCTTGAAAACGCTTACGTATTTCATTTAACCCCTCTTGTTTGTTTCTCACTAAAGCTGTATATGTGTATACTAGTAGAATGAGTGTATATATTACTGCTTACACCGTACCTTTTTCAATCTTAACTTTGAAAATTCAAAAAACTTAAAAAAAAACATGTCTTGATCTTCAATGAAAGCCGTGGGCGCTTTTTAAAAGTCTCTTGTGAATACCTTTAACCCTGTAGGTCTTATAAGAAAATGACCTTAACTTAGAAGGCTCTACAGTTAAAGCAAGCAGCTTTGGTAAATATGTTTTGAGCTTTGTTTTTTGATTTTCTTTGTTGACTTTAGGTGCCTCATTTTATCCTACTGCTTCTTGATGGGATCTTTGTTCTTTGCCGTATTCTTGCTTATATTCTAACACGATATGCCTGAGTATTGGTACGTATCATCCGATAGAAGAAGACATACTTGACAGTGTGGCAGGTCTTAGAATATTAACTTGAAATGAGTCATCGTAAACGAGATTAATAACTCTGATATTCATCTGAAACTAGGGTTTTCAGGCTTGCCTAGTTGTAAGGGAGGCCACATACTTTCTGGTAGCAAAATTGCCCGACGATGTTCTTCTCGGCTATATTATACTAAATATGTAATAAAGAATTTAAGTCAGTGACAATACTTATGTTTGATTTCGTTGTGTCTATAATACCTCATTATCTTACGCACGTTAGGGATTAGTTTTGAAAACTTCAGGAGTATAAATGAAATTAACTGTTGCTGGAATAATTCGACAATGTGCTTAGTATATACTGTAACAGCTTCGGTACAAGCAGGCAATAAATACTGGCTATATATTTTTTGCCGACTCTGCCGCGTATTTGATATCATTATGTTCACTGAACTTTTCCAGGAATCTACTGTGTCGTCTGGTAGTGGCCATGTACTTGTAGCTTCTTTGCCAATTATTAAAAGAGTTGTGGTGTACCAGAAATTTTGAGAGACTACTTTTTTTGCTTACAGCTTTTTGATAATTTTTTTCTATAAAATAATAGCTTACAGACAGTTGAGAGCGAGACAATATCTGTCGAACTTGGCTTGATATGTCTATAAATGCTGTTATCAAAGCCTCCTTCTGATCCAGTCATTTTTTTCCAGTTTGACCTTTCGTATAACAAAGGTAAATGGTCCAATCAACGCAACAACCTGGTCTTCCTTTGGTTGTCTTTTTTTTTTGTTGCGGCAATAAGATGATCTTGCACTTACATGGCCCAACTCTTTACAACTTGCACAAGCGATTGTAGTAGGGACATTGTATGAAGACGTTGAGTTCTGTATATTCATTTTGGCAATTTTTCAATTTCTTTCATATCTGCTCGTTGTTTTTCTTTTTGCTCCATCTAAAAGCTATATCTAATTTATACTTTATGTAAATGGACAAAAAGTTTATGTATTAAGTTTTAAAAAAGAGTGTGCCTATTGAAGTAGACGCGGAAGAGTTGTTGTCGATGCCTGCATAAAAGGTTTTATTTTAAATGACCCTTCTGCCAAAAATATTTACACAATACATACATGTTAAAACGTGCAATTTAAGTCCAGTGATAAGGCGGCTTGGGTGAACACCAAAATATAATCTACTGTTGTACTTGGGATTCTTTTTTTTCGTGAATTGATTGCGGTATTTTATCATTAAGGAAAAGAAAAGTTGATAGAATTAAATAAGCCAAACATATTTTTTATTTAGTCAAATCGAAACTGCGGTAATGTGATTAAGTATTGAATTGCTTATTACATTAAGACACTTGAATATTATCACGAACACCTTCTACAAGGCAGTAATTTCATTTCATGGCTGTCTCTGAAGTATCTTGGACATATATAGATGATAGTTGTTGCTGCACTTTGCAAATCAGTGTATTTTAAATGGCTCATTGCTCTTGAAATATTTAGATTATTACAGGCAAGACATCTGAACAGTAACAAGGATTTCGTCTCAAAACTTGTATTTCACTGTCTGGATATTATTTTTTTGTCCAAAAAAGGTAAACAGATTTTCTGAGTTGTAATTTTGATTTGTCAAAAAAAAACTGACATCGACTCAATCTCAAGTAGAAACCCTGTATTTTCCAAATAAACAAATTTACAAGTTTACGCAAATATTTGTCGTACCTTCCTTACTCTCCTCTTCAACGACAACTTTTTTATCTTCCACCTCTCACAATTTTTTTTCGTAAACTATCATGAACATCAACACTGAATTCAATCCCATTATCTCGCCCTGTCGTCTTAATAACAATGCCTTGTCGCCCATTTCAGATGATGACTTGTTCGCAAACTTGAACAAACATGTACCACTTGCAGAGTCTACCCGCGGTCTTAGTTTCGCTTCTGTTTCTCGTTCCTTGGCTCCTAAGAAGATGGACACAGTTTTGTCTTGTACTGAAATGCTCGAAATGGAACTGGTTCAAAATTTAGAGGCTTTTAGTGCTGCTCACGCCATAAACGATGAGCAAGCAGCTGAAATAGCACTCAATAAAATCAAGCGCACCAAAGAAGCAATCCTAATTAGTAAAGAGTGCAGTGAGATTTTGTCTCCCTCTGTTAAGGTCATAGAGAGGGATAGTTACACTAAAAGGTTGACTCTTAATATAAGAGATCTTCCTAAGTTCCAGTTGTCAGACGATATGATTAGACCCTTCCCAAATGAAGAGGTATTTCAGTCAGTCGATCATTTCCTTTGTGCTTTTCAGAAGACTATAGATCTATATCTTTTAGACATTGAACAAGTTTGGAGAACAATCTTCCCGCTCTGCTTGCCTCATGATTATGATAGATGGGTAGAAATGGTTTTGAAGAAATGTGTAGATTGGAAGGCGGCCAAGAACTGCTTTACAGTAAGACATGAATTGCGGCTATTGATATCGCGATCAGTGAAAGAGGTGTTTACTATGGAGATGCAAAGCACCGAATCAATTGAAGATTACTCAAAGAAGTTCCTTCAGGCCGTATCCGATGCTGACCTTGCTAAAGACGATGCTCACATCGCTGATCGCTTTCTTACTTCCCTAACCGTACAAGTACAAACACTACTACGATTCATAATAAACCGCTTAGACCTTGGTGGTGAGCTAAAACGCGATTGGACTGTGGAGCAGCTGACACAGATTGGGAGAGGCATCCTTGGAGATGACAATCGGTTGCATGCTGAAGCTACCCAGCCCATTCCTGATAAAAATGTGCACACTGAGAATATAATGGAGAAGAGAACAGACAAGAAAATGGCGAGCTATTCTCGAAAGAAAGTAAACCACAACAGTGTCCAGCATCGTGTTAGCAAGCCGGAAAGATCGTTCTTCTGCTCGCACCATGGCAAGAACCACACGCATGAATCGAGTGAATGTTTCACCTTGGTCAACCGAAAGCCAAAAGTATCTATCTCCGACAGTTGTAACCCTTGCAGACGTTGTGGGGAAAATTACATCCGTGGCCATGTATGCAATGATAATGAGCTGGCCCTTATGATTACCCAGTAGACTACAAGGGAAAAGACTGAGAAAGGGCTCAAGCGCCTCCAAGATTGTACTGGTATCAAACTCGGAAACATATTATTTGACTGTAAGTACATACTTGATAAAATTAAGAAGATGATTTAAGCTGACGAATTATTTAATCAAATCATGTATATAAGTATAGAGAATCACAAACTATTTGGAATAGTTGACACTGGTAGCTCACATACATTTTTATGTTTAAGTTTTAAAATGACAGAAATAAATTTATTGATATATTCTTCCAATATTTTGTCAAAAAATAATAGTAATATGTGCATCTTCAGCAATGAGATAACTTTTAATTTATCTTGGAGTATTCGGGATTGATTTGTAGGTTTGTATCTTAATAATGAAAAAGTAGATATTTTGAGAGTTATTTATTAAAGAAACAAAATAATATTATTTAGATCTGTTACTATTAAAATCTCTGTAATTCAAATCTCTGTCATATAATAATTGGTTTACACTATATGAGTGTGATATATATATATGTCTAGTGTATATTAGTTCTGGAGATTGTTAACTTGTCAGGTTTATTAGTAAAAAACAACTAGTATTTGATTGTAGAGTCTGTTCTTCACTCAATTGTAATGTGTATATTATATCTTTTATTCTTTAATAAAGACAACCTACATATAATCTCAAAAGATTTTTATATATGTCTCTACTTCCTTTTCATTTTGATTTTTTATATTTAAAGCTTTACTAGTCTTTTACAAAGAGAATTCATTATATATTCATTATATATAATACTAAAATTAATATTTTGTTATAGCAATTGTTATATATGTGGGGAAAATAAGATAGAAAATAAAACAAGTGCAGACGAGAGTATAGTGAGACTTTGTTTTATTAGGAGAAGGGAAAGGATCAGAAAGGAGATGCTGTTCTATTGCTATATGTATTCTGCGTTTATATAGACATTGTATTTAACTTGGTGATGATATGATGATATCATGTAAGGTCTGTTTCTCTACCATTATCTTCTATGATTAAATTCTTATGTTTTTAGTGCTATCAACTAGAGTCTTAATATTTGTCTTAGTATGTTCTTTACATAATTTTCTTGTATAAGGTATATCTTTTAGTATTGTTACTAGTTATTAGTAACTTTATGTGTGTATTTATCGAGTGTCTGTACTTTTAATTTTAATCTACAATATGTTGGATACAATAGTAATTAATATGCTAAGAGCCAAAATGCTCTTTTGCACTAAAAAATTAGTTGAATAATTTATAATACACTTATACAAATTCTCAAATAAAGCATTCCTATAGTAACCCATTATGGATCCACCCCTTTGGGTGGCACATCAACAAGCTGGCAGATGGTCTCTAGATCTATTCACTGGTCATTCATCTCCTCTCAACCCAAAAATAAGACTGTCACTATCTTCTTGACACCTTGGAGTGAAATACTCTTCAATATAAATCTTGCTGTTGCTACTTGGGCTCGCAGTGTCTACCATGTCAGTGACATTTTCAACCTTGGCAAGACTGCCAACTCTACTCTGGTTGAGCAAATTTTCTTTTCTATCTTTGGTGCTACGGAGGCACTCTCAACTTGCCTCATCAGTGGCAAGGAACTTCTTACTGAGGTACTCTTCTCTGATGTGAAGATTTGTGAACAAGTCATCACCATAGGTTTTTTATATAACAACAAATGCATTGTTGGTACACCAGGTCTTCCTGTTAACAAAAATATTGTGAAAATTAATTTGTACAATATCCCTAATTGCTTCCCTGAGACCAATCTACAGGACCCACTTGTTGAGGCTCTGAAGTCTCATGGGAAGGTAGTTCATCTTAAAATCTACTGCTCACCCTTTGGGACCTTTTGAGGTGAGGCCATTATTATTCTGGACATCTCAGTCATTGAGAACCTTGTACCATTGACTAGTATATTTAAGCTCACTAGTTTCCTCTTGGGCGAAATTGAGCTTTGGGCTAAGAATATCTTGCCTATTTGTGCCTACTGTTGCAAGAAACGCCACTACCTATGCACATGCACTTGTCGTCCAGCCTGGGCAAAGTGTTGTTCTGACTGTAAGAAAACTGAACATAAATCTGGTGACTCATCCTGTGTGGCAGTCTAGGCCGGTGGGATCAGGCCTGCTACACCATCTATCACAGCTGTTGCTGTGCCAGCACAAACATCTCATACATCTGTTGTGACACCCTCTCCTCCCACTCCTACTCTACCAGCAGTAAACACAGAAGAAGACAAACTCGATGCCTACCTTACCGATTTCATTGCTACTGTTATTGTCAAAGATGCAGTTATAGATGAGAGTGCTTCCTTATCTGATATCAAACAGACTGCTTCTGGGAACACTGAGAGCAACTAGAGTGAGGAGGGTGACAATTCTGACAGAGATCTATACATATATGATAAGACTGGATATAGACTTCTTAGCAGCAAACACTCTCTCACTGCTCATGGTGCATATACAAGCTCTTACATCAAAGGTCATAGTGAAGTCATCACTCTAAATACTCTGCTAACTCTAGGCATAACTGAGCAGATACAGCTTGCATCGAATTTAACTACTGGGGGTAAGTCTCATGTAGTCTTATCTAGGAAACTCATAGTAATTGAGGACTTGGGAGCTATCCAGTCTAGTTCTCTCTCGTTCTTGTTGTAAATGAGTTGTTGTAAATAAGTATTGACTACTACTGTAATTAAGAATAAGTCTGAAGGAAATAATATAAGTCCTTAGCTATTCTAGTCAAAGGTGTCTATCAATTACTTTATTATTTAACACACAGATTTATCATGCATGATAGTGATTATATCTCATATGATGATATCACCATAATATGGGATATATCAGTGGATTATTATAAGTATAATTATAACTTATAAACACTGTTGTATCCAATATAATTGTAGATTTAAATTAAAAGTACAGACACTCAATAAATACGTACTGTTGTAAATGAGTATTGACTACTGCTGTAATTGAGAATAAGTCTGAAGGAAATAATATAAGGCCTCAGCTATTCTAATCAAAGGTGTCTACCGATTACTTTATTATTTAACACACAGGTTTAGCATGCATGATAGTGATTATATTTCATATGATGATATCACCATAATATGGGATACATCAGTGGATTATTATAAGCATAATTATAACTCATAAACACATTTACTTTCGATGTTAATACTTCATTGGGACTACACACATTTATATAATTAATCATACATTAATTATCCCAAGATCACGTTGCTCTGATTAAGGCTCAGATAGGATCGATTACCTGACCCTAGTCATATAATTTTCCTGATCCAAAATAATATAAATAGCAGTAGTAGTTCAGTGTAGGAACCTGGTCAAACTTTGATACAAAATCCTTTCTCAATAAACAAAACCTACATAAGTTCTCACGAATCTTCGTTCCTAATCTCAAATCTTCAATTCTTCCTCTTAAAAACTTCTTCAACTTCAACCACCACAACACGTACATTGAGTTACTAACAACTAGTAATGATACTAAAAGATATACCTTCCCTTATACAAGGAAATTATGTAAAGAACATACTAAGACAAATACTAAGACTCTAGTCAATAACACTAAAAACATAAGAGCTAAATCATAGAAGATAATAGTAGAGAAACAGACATTATATGATAGCATCATATTATCACCAAGCTAAATACAATGTCTATATAAATGCACAATACTAATATCAATAGAACAGTATTTCTTGTGGTATTTCAGGTACGAAACAATAGAAAAATAAAATATTTGATAATAGAGACGTATAGAAATACTTTGAGACTGTATATAAGTTGTCTTTATTCATAAATAAAAAGTGTCCCTTTTTATAAGAAAACACAATCTGCTCTTGTCATTACGTCTTAGTTTCTTAAGACTTTCTTCCTTTACTATATTTGGTTATTAGAGTGTATTTACTGCTTAACTAGTGTCGGTGTTACAATTATGACATCAAGTCATAAATCGTACTTTTTTAGCTCTTAGCTATTCTTTTCTCTTTTATACTAGAGCTTTAGGACTTCCTACTAAATTAGCTCCATATCGATCTGACATAGTTTACCTGGCAGTATGATATAATTATCTTAACAATCTTTAAGATATTATCTACAGTACTAACTGTAATAATTATTGGGCTGATTACTTAATTGTTTATATATATTTTATATTGACAAGATGATAGCTACTACATTATCCCAATATGAATATGTTCTTATATGTGATAAATCCAACATCCAAGTGTCTGAATCACCACAGCCAACAATTTTGACATTTTAGATTGCAAAAATGAAAAGTTGTCAGAATTAACTGAAATTTATTCTGCTGATAGATAAGGCAATAGTGGTAATGGATGCAATGTTTTTGACAATGGATATATCATTTTGAACAAGATGTAGGATGGATTGATGAAGCCTTTGTATGGATGCAACTACTTTTTCTGTTATGTCTTGTGTAATGGTAGCTTACGTGAAAGAGAGATAGGGGATGTAGCTCACATTAAAGATTATATTTTATTAAAGGAGATATTGCTGGCCATCTATAGATCATACAGTCTCCAAAGTACAAAAAGAAGATATAAAAAAGTCTCAAGGGATCACAAAAGACAAAAAAAAGAGAGAAGAAAGAGAAGATCAAATCATAATAGCTTCAATGGCTGAACCTGCTCTCCACTTTGCAGCTGTGAAAATAGTTGTAACAGTGAAAAGGAGAAAACAGAATTGCAGAACAAAGAACTTTTCAGACAGCAAAGAACAAAAGAGAAAGAAGAGAGATAAAGGGAGTAAAGAACAATGAAAAGTAGAGAGCTATAAAAGAAAAGAAAAAGTCTAAATTATATCCAAAGAGCACTATGTTCAGTCTCATGTGAATAGTCATCATCAGGATTACATATAACATCTATGTGCCAGAGAATAGTCATCAGTGGTATTTAGCATGCATTTAATAGTTTTTAAGATAATAAAGTCAAGGATTTGGGGATGTAGCTCAAATGGTAGAGCGCTCGCTTAGCATGCGAGAGGCACTGGGATCGACGCCCAGCTTCTCCAATTGAATCGAAATTTCACGTGAAATTTATAGTCTACGAACTTGATTTTTTTATTTTGCGTTGTCCGAATATAGTAATGTTTTTATATAATCACAGTTGTCGTTCCTGATCTAGGCTATCTTCCAATTCACTGTAAACGTAGCCGAATTGGTCAAGCTTTAATAACACAGGAGTAAGCAAATAAGAGAGAGGATAAAAGGATGATTTTTATTATTTGATTTGGGTTATCTTATATAGTTTTTGAAATGATTATTTATCTTTGACTACACTCAAGTAGTGTCTAGTAATATTACAAATTATTATAAACTGATTACAAATTTCTAAAATTACAAACTGATGAATAATCATTCTAATTCCTGCTTCTTTTGTAATAACAAGTCACTAGAACTTGTATCACAAAAATTAAGCACGACAGTTCCTTTCATCCTCAATGTGTATCTTTTTGTCAGGGATGTCATTGTAAATAGAAATACATGAGTCAGGTATCCGATCGGTTATCCCTTTTAATATATGTCCTTAATACTATACGGATTGGTTCCTCTTTTTGTTAACCGAGAAACATTATACTGCCTTCCATAAATATAAAGTCAATATGTCTTGGGTAAAAGAATTAGCTTTGATAGTTTCACTTTCAAATTGTGTATAAATACCGCAATATTTGTATTAATAAAAAACCATTCAATTATCTATATTCCTATTTATTCATAACGTTTTAGTTGGTGTTGATATATGATAAAACTTGTATAAATTGAGATAATTGAAAGATACACATAGTCGAGACTTGGTATTCTATTAAATATAATTATTGTCTATTTATACAAGATGATCAAGAATATTCAGTAATATACCTCCAAGTATACTGATCATCACAAATATAGGCAAAAAAACAATCAGAAAAAACAAGCTTTTTTATTCCAAAAATCACACTACTAATTGTTTCAATTTGATATTTTGTCTCATTTCTAGAGTTCATTTTTTTGAGATTTGAATGAAATATACTACACTCAATCTTACACTACATGATGATAATTATTTCCATTTATAGTTTCTTATCCTGGTGACATTCCCTTTACTATGACAAATCCAGAAAATAAAACCTAATAAATCAAGGAGACAATAAATTCAAGAGGATAAAATACAGTTTAATGGTTTAAAATGATTTGGTTTATGTTTTTCTAAGCTAATATTGTTCATTATTTCCGGTATTTCGTATACTCTGTTTTAAATAAAGAAACATTATACTGGGGTTAATACCCAGGAATATGCTATGTCACGTAGAGAAGTACTATAGTTAACTCTTTTCAGGTTTTAATAATTAAGTCTCAATTTACCACTAAAAAATAACCTTGTAGCATTAAAAGTACTGTATAGAGTATATCTTTCTTACGATCGAGTTTTGTTAAAAGACCCAAAATTCTATAATTTATTAGACATCGGTAATAAAAGTCAACCAACATTCATTTTATTTTTATAAAAAATCAATTTCTTTGTATAAGATAACACAGTCTTTTGGTATTTTAAACTTAAATACGCTTTTTTGTACATAATTTATAATCCGCAAGACACAGGGGTCTCACTTGTCATAGAAGGGACGATTGAAGTAGCACATCCTGCCAGCATTCCGTGCGACAGTGATAAACGCTTTTGAGTTTGATCCGCAAAAGGCGATAGTGCTTCTTTAGCATGTTGAATCTAGAAAAAAAGTAGTATAAATACATAAATACATCAGATTTCTTGAATTTACGCAATCGATCAAAATATTCACTTACCCTCTTTGCTAGGCGAGATATACAGTTGTCCGCCAACACAACCTCCCATGCAAATTCGACATCGTACATCAGCTCAATTGCATACACAACATGCCTTGACTCTGTTTCTCCCATACCCACAAACTCATCTGTGGAAGAGACAGGCATTAAGTCTGGGTTGCCACCAAGAGTATTCTGAATTAACTGAAGTAACGATCGTTCAACAGCGCCTATGTTGTGAATATCTGCGGGAGTAGGAGCTAAGAGCAAATGAGATGTATAATTCGTGATTAATTTGATTTTTTTTTAAAAATGGAGAACCAAAATAAGCATACCAATGATATCAAAAACAGTACTTCTGGCCATGACGTTATGTTTTCCATCGTGGTGATACCTGAATTCATAGGTACCAATATCCCACGGTAGCTTGGAACCTTTGAAGACAACTACCCCCTCTGTTTTGATCGGAGTATCTGGAGGGAAGAGTTGGTCTTCTATACTCGCCCCACCCTTATTTTCAACAGAATTGGTCCAATCCCATAATCCACGGGAGCTAATGTTTGTGATATGTGTACTCTGATTTGCTGTAACTTTGTAGACACCAATCCAGTCGCGTGCACCGTGATATTCGGGAGCCGTCCAACTTACTTCTACAGGCTGTCCCAATTGAAAAGTATACGTGGGTCCATTGGCTTGTGATGATTTTGTAGCAGATTTGTTTCGAATATTCACAGAGTAGAGGGTCAAATCGTAGGTACCAATGTCATTTGCAACGTTGGGAATCAATCGGGAGCGAGATGTTTCAAGGAGAGCCTTTGTTTCGTCCAACACTTCTTGAAGGCGAGGACGAGCTAGTATTGTCATCGATATTTAAGTACATTGATTGATCGCCATTATTTGTTTTAACAAAGAAGCAAACACAAGAAATGCACTAAACTAACCTGCTTCCATCATTTCCCCTACGGCACCCGCAGTTTCTTCTACTGCACGCTCAACCTTTTCGATTGCCTCTTTAAAAATGCGTTCCATGTTTTTAGTTGTCTTGACTGCAGCCTTGAGTTCAGCCTTTTCACGAATCAATTTGGAAACTTCTTGTTGGAGCTTGTCGGGAATGTTCTTTGGGATCGAAACAGCGGCAGATTTCAATGTCTTGGTCAAACCAGCCTCCTTGCGGATCTGATTTCCATATAACATGCGCATATGAGGTCTAAAAAACACCAACACGTATAAGGACCAGAAATACTTAAAATAAAATACTAATAATACTAATACTTACGCCTCAACATAGTGCAAGAACAAAAAGTTAGATATCTGTGAAAATAAGGCAAGAGCGTAGATGGTCCAGCTGTTAGCCATAAGAGTCATTCCCCAAAAGGCAGCATGTCCCATGATCTTTTCAGGATTGTTTAAAAATCTAAGTACAAAAAATTTAAGGCAAAATAAGTTAACTTTTCTGAGGTCATTCAATCAGTATAAGTGTGTTACCTGTAAATTCCTGTATACAACAGAGTTGAAGGATGGTCATCGAGGAAGAAATCTCCATAGAACCTATTGATATTTAGTCATATAGTCTTACTACACCCAAAATTTCATATCTATGTTATTTAAAACTACCATCCAAAATCGCCCAATACTTCATGGATTGAGGTGGAAGTCCAGATGTGAAGAGAAATGAAAGCCTTGAAATAAAAGCAGCAATAAAAAGAAAAACAGCTTTAATAGGCTTTTTTGAATTAGTAAATAGACCTGAGTAACTTACAACGCCAAGAGTATGTCTTAAGAGAGTTGTTCCATAAGTCCAATCTTCTGGAAGGGAATACATTTTCCAACAGGCCACAAAGAAAGTAATGTAGGTCATACAGAGCGATAAATTGTAAATACTAAAATATTCGATTTGGAAAGTTAGAAAATAAAGGCGTACCCGTATGAGATTTTACATGTCTATTTTCTTATGTATGTCGTGTACACACAAACCTTTTCCAGTTTTGGAATGCTTCCTGAACACCTCCACCCCATTTCACAAAGTGTCGAGTGAAAAATTTCTCAGTAGATTGAAGACGTAATAATGTACCAAGACCATACGAGTGAAAAATACGCCAGAAGAATGCCTGAGAAAGTGCAATAACAATACCGGACTTTCCAGGAACAAGAATCGGTGTAATAAAAGCGTAGATCATGACCATCAGTGATACAAGGTCAGTAGAGCGACATAGATCAAAGTTTTTGAAGACCATAAGGTCACGACGGAAATAACTTGTGTAGAATCGACCGGTGTCCTCATGCTTTTCACTACGCTTGCAATCAACATCACTAGTTTGGGAAGGTGTAGATGGTTGTCTCTTGGGAATAATGGGAGGGTTATAGGTCTTCTCGATATCTAGATAAACATAATTGCTATTAATATAGGGGGAGGTCAAATTTCATTTCTAGAGAGCTTACGAGGAGTTTCGACCAGAACAAGGAAAGCAAATTGGAGGGCATGTGCAGCAATACTGATGAACAGAACGGTGTAGCTTGCGCACATAAGAGATACACCATAATATCCAAAGTACCCGACCGAGTACATAGGATGAGGCGCCATCTCAAACACACCATCGAAAGTTAAAGACTGCTCGATTAAGAAAAAGAAGTCTCCCCAGTCTATTATTTAACTAATGGTTAGTGAACTGCGTTGCCGGATTAATGTTACACTCACACCAAGCAAAATCCTTGACCACCCGCTGAGCATCAATCTTGACCCAGATGTTGAATCCGACCAAGAACAGACCACCAAACCACCGGAAAGAATCGCCAAATATAAACGATGACTGAGGGGATGTGTTGAACCATGCGACAGCAAAGCACATGTAAGAAGTAAAATCATTCATCAAGATCAAATCTACCAATTGGCGATAGAGTAACCAAGTGTTGTATTCAATCGGGGCAGTCTACACGAGGTGAAATAATAGTAATATAAATCAAATAAATAAATAACGTAGTCAAGTATTTCTGAGAAATACCGCAATTGACTTACTGTAAAATCATAATCATCACCCATCTTCATACTCAACTGATATTTAAGCCAGTTGTATGCTTTTGGATTAGCTTCACGATCAAAGAGCTTGTATTGCTTGGCCAGTCTGACCAGACCACGACTATCACTTTGATATTTGAGAAGAACACCCAAGCCGGCATTATAAGCCAGACGCCAGAAAGAGAAGATCACGATGAACAGACCACGCTTGATCCAAAGAGGAAGAATGAACAAAAGGGCAATTTCGATAGCCATAATAGCCAAGGTTAGGATGTCAAAGAAGCTCTTTTGTTCTTTTGGGTTAAGTAGCGATGTAACCATCTCTCTAGTGGTAGGCACACGGAATACTATATGATTTGCGTAAGTGACTCTGGTATCCTTTTCCTCTTCTTCAGTAAGTTGCAGTTTTACCAGCGCCATCGGGAGTCTTGCCATACGATTGACCCCGGTCTTTCTTCATTGAAACATCTTCTGAAGCCATGGATTGTGTTGTGTTGTCACTATCGGTTGATTCTCTCCTTTTGAAAATTCCATCCGCCAACGCTTGCTGGCGAAGTGTTGCTTCTGTCATTTTTTTTCAGGTGGTTGATGAAGGAGAGAGAAAATTACTTGCTAGATAAACTTAGCTATCATAAAACTATCTGGGTTTAAATATTTTTTAATGTGTTCCCTCTGCGACCACGTGAAAATAGCAGTCATCATCGTTACCATGGCATTTTTGGGGCAGTGCCTTAAAATGGTGTTGTACTCACGGTTAAGTACAAAAGCACTTTTTTGCTTTATTTATTTATTTATTTATTTATAGTGTACAGAGTATTATTTAATTGGGTACCTATAGTAATATTTCTGGCTGTTGTAAGCTTTATTGATTTAATTCAAGGCTACTGTTTTTACTTATTCCTTTTATAAAACAAATCGTATATATTTTGGGGCCAAAGAATGTTCGAGCACATATATAAAAAGAAGTGCAAACGGTGTGACCAAGAAGCCGTGCTTATAAGAAAAAAATAGAGACTCAAAATGGGGTTAAATAAATAAGGATAGCAGTAAAGAGTGTTTATTAAATAATATTATTGTACAAAGAATGTGTGAGGTCGTCCATAAAGAGCTCGATCGGCTCCACCAGAAGATCCATAAATCCGGATAGGAATCTGGCAGTCAAAGGTGCTTACTTGTACATCCTGAAGAGCTTGGTAGTGGCGATGTCGTTCATCAATATTAATGGGGATAAATGGAGGCGCTAAAGGATTGCTACCATTGCTTGTGATAAACTCAAACTTGAGGTAATATTGTAATTTTACTTGTACCCCATTTTTTTTAAGGACTAATAAGTACATTGACAAAAAGCATAGCTTCCAACCTTTTATTACTATTATCATTATTTATTTGCTTTACCTCCTGTTGTTTGAAACTCTGGAGATGCTATGGCTGGAATAGGAAGAGAAAATGCAAGACGGCGATGTCCTAGGCAGAATGAATGGTGTTCTGCATGGCATTTTCGGGAGATACGTGCAATGTGTTGGGGTTGGCGGAGGGCAATCGAAGGTTCAACTATTTCACTACTTTCAAGCAAGATAGAGACCTACACTTTGATATTTAATATCGGCTGTTTCTACTTTTTTTTAGACAAGGTTACCTCAAATGTGGATAAAGCAGCACCTTGGAAGTCCAGTACGCCCATGACAGGTTCTCCCAAACGGTAGGCTGTCTTGATAAGATGAAGTTGTGCTACACGTTGATTATTCTTACAGATATCATACATGGCTACACATTGTACATATAAAGTATAAACCTTCACAAGAAAACTTGTCGCTATTTTCATGGGATCTTTCTAAAGTATACCTTTCCGACTGCCGTTTGTCACCCGTGAGACAATCTGTGCACACGTCTTTCCAGACATCCTTCTGGATTCTATTCCACCCTCTTCTTGATCTGTGCTTGGTTCATCATAAGCATCGCTCTCACGTCTAGTTATCTCATGTATAGACGCGTTTTTTGCACTATTTTCCAAGAGCTCATCCACATAATCCAAGAACGCTTCTCTGGCGTTGTCACCGGCTACCAAGGGTTAAAAATAAATAAAAACACGCAGAATTTTTCTCTGTCTCTAAAATTGTCACCCTTAATTTTTACCTTTTTTAGACCCTTTTGAAGATTTAATTTTATTCTTTTTTGAATCCTCATCAGAAATAGTGTCAACAATAGCCTCATCATTATAGATCACCACCGGGTTCATTAAATCATACACAGGACGTGAACCGTCCTCTAAAATGTATGAAAATTGAGTTTCTTGACTCTAAATCTTTTCACATGTACTTTACCAGACACATGGTTTAACACGCGAAATGGGATCTGGACCACTTGTACCTGCCCGGGAGTAAGTGAATTTAAGCGCTGGGTGCCCACAACAAGGTAGTAATTGAACCGTATTGCCTTTCCTCTGTGGGAAGGAGGAATGTCATTGGGTAACTTATGCTTATATGAAACTAAGTATATTTGACAATCATGAGAACCCTTTTTCTTAAAAAAAATTCTCGGAACTTACATTTCTTGGTTTCTCCGGGTGCAAGATCCAGATCAACAAATAGTACAGAAGGAGGCGTCGAGAACACAGGTGTTGTACGTGTATCTGCCCTGTCTCCGTCATTTTCCTTCATTTTTTTTGTCTTCTAATTTTTGCTTACAAAAACCACTTGTGCCTTACCTATCTTTGAGTGAGCTTCTGGTTTAGTTCCAAGTAGTCCTCCACCCCCAATCCCTCCACCATTAGGACGATACATTGTCCGGTGTTTTAATGAGGCAAATTCATTATTGTTTATAAGTGCAGGATCGACAACAAAGTTTCCTACAATTTGAGCGAATCCCCAGAGTATATGCTCGGGTTTTTTGTTGTGAGATGACTTGAGCAAGTTAGATAGTCGCTGTGCATTAAGATGTTGACGTTGATAAGCGGTAGAAGCGAGTGAGTCCATAGAACTACGACGACTGTCAATATTCTCTCTTAGGAGAATAGAATGCGTATCACTACTTGAGCGGGGAGTAGTACCGTCATGAGCATCGAGTTCAATGGAAATTGGATGATCATCTCGTTGTGTCTGGTCCATCAACCTTACCACAGACTCTTCTACTCCAGAGAGACCTCGGAAGTGATGTTAGCTGAATTGAGCCCAGGTAAAGGAAAAGGAGAGATGAAGTTAAACATCCTTTTTTTCTTGCTTACTGTGAGGCTCCCACGTTGGTTCGGGTCGTTCAGGTTCTTTTTGGGACGCGTATCCAGTGAGAAACGAAAATGTAGAACTTGCTAGGGAGCTCGCTTTAGCCGTTAGGCCGGCAAGTACAAGACCTTCTACATTACGTGAGGTGTTTTTCGGGACTTCTGCTTTCCCTAGTGCACCAAGTTCAGCTGATGAAAGTGATTGGGAGCGTGAGTGCCCAAGAGGTGATTTCGATCGGCTGTGTCGTGTGTGAGATGAGGATGAGGATGAAGTACTGGGCTGGGATGGCAAGGATGGTAGCGGATTACTGAATTGAATTGTGCATGACACAGTTTCGCCTGCATAAAAAACAGCTCCCTGTGAAAAAACAGTATTGACTAGAACGAAATGAGCTATGAGTCGACAATGAAAGTATTCTGCCTACCCAAGACGCTCATCGCAGAACCAACAAAGTACTAGTATATAGATAATAATAATAAAGAGAAAAAGCTGTTGCACAAGACAAGAAGGAATAGAGGCTTTCTGGAGATCAAGTCACCATTTTTTTATACGATTATTTTATATGGATAATATTATGTATATGTATATGTATTTATTATTTACTACTACTACTACTACTACTACTACTACTACTATTATTATTATTATTATTATTATTGGTGTTGTTCTTATTATTCATTAATTCAAGTTGGCATAACATTCAATTTTTTAGGCTTCCCGTATCTGGCTTGCGACCAAAAGCCCAGTAAACATTTAAAAATGCTTGGCTTTTGACGCATTCATTAAATCCTCTGTCTATATAGTCATTATAGAGTTCCGGGTCGAATTCACAATCAAAGCCTAGATTGTCCCACACCAACGGTCCCATATATCGAATGACATGCTCCATTACCTTTTGACAGATCAAATTAAGAGGTGAGGAATCAAGTAAGTTGAAATAACTAATATTTATTCCTTTGTTGAATTACCTCGTAGGTCGCCTTGCCTACAGCTCCCCCCCAGCATATTGGTATAGATTGGTAGTCTGAAAGGATATCTATGCAACCGATTTTTCCAAGTTTTTCCTTAAGAATTGGACCACAGAGAAGTTCTTTCTGGCGCTGATAGATATATTTCTCCACTACAAGTTACATTAGTTGCTAAGTATATGAAACATAGAGAACCTACTTACTATGCTCAAAGAGAACCTTGAATACGGGTCCTGTATTTTGTGGTGCTGTAGCACTCTAGAGTTGATAGTTTAGCTTACTTTTTTTATACATAGAATTAATACTAGCTTTTGGTATCTTGCTTTACCTCGACTAATTCAATCCAACCCCCAGGTTTAGTGACACGCATCATTTCCTTGAGAATACTATCAATCTGGTCTCCACAATAGACTCCTGACATGAGGCGTTGATGAACATAGTCGAATTTGTTATCAGGAAAAGGCAAGCCTTGAGTGGCATCATACTGAGTGATTATGCAGTTTGAGGGTACATTGTTGTAAGTGGATTCATCATTGGGTACAAATGGAACAATGTCAAAACCATGGAATGTAGTTGAAGGATAATCCACAGCAACATCTAGTGAATTTAGTAAATAAATTATTCTCCTATATAAAAGTTGCTGAACTTTCTTTTATACCTCTTAACCAGGTGGCTCTATCGCCACACCCAATATCAAGTACATGAGTGTCTTTTTCAAGCAGTTTTTCCCTTACTGGTGCAAATAAGTCTTTCTGGAAAACATTTTTTAAGAGATAATGTTGACCGTGTAATCTTACACCTTCTGAATCACTTTCCGAAAAGTAATATGTTTGGTGCGATTGTGGGTTACTGGGAATGGATGATGTTCCCAGGACATCCGAATGAGAAGGTGTAGATTCTGTAATTACGGAGCCCACACTCTTTTTTGAACTTTTTTTTGAACCTATATTACCCATCAAAGGAAGGGCAAGAAGAAAGTTGAATACCTACAAGACTATCTTCGATTTTCCGAAAAAAAGGGAAAAAAGCTAGCTTTGATTGAAGAGGTGCATTTGTGCCACACAAGTCCAAGTAGCGACACTACATGCACGAAATTGGAGTAAAGTATGGTATATACGAAAACCTAACTATCTGGGCAGCCATATACATATCTGTATTAGTGTATACGTTTTTTTTTATTTAAAAAAAACTAAATAATGATAGAATTCTGTGATTATGGTTGTATATAGTAAGAAGATGGAATTAAAAGTATATTTTATTGAAGAAAAAAAAAGATTGGTATTGGATAGTGACGTCTTTGGCCTGGTATAAAGGAATGGCGGGATAGCAAGAGGGGAGTAAGAGTAGATACGTGTCAGTTTTTGTTGCATACACCATGTTTGCTGAATTACGTCGCATGAATGTGCGCCAAGTAAGCAACCAATACACATAAATCGAGCAATTTAAAAACTCATCATCTTAAGAACAGGTTGCATTTCAAGTTTTAAACATCATTACCATCGTCGCATCTGCATTGATGATTTGGAAAGGGTTATCTGTCCTTACCAACACAGAAAGTCCTATTGTGGTAGTATTGAGGTAAAGAAAAAAGCAGAAGACCTTTAGATGACGGGACATCGTATTTAATACTAACGTTTGTACTAGTGAAAGCATGGAACCTGCATTCACAAGAGGTGACTTGCTACTGCTTGCCATGCCAAAGGATGACCTTGTAAATGTGAATGACATTTGTGTATTCAAATTACCTGGGCGTGAGATTCCAATCGTCCATCGAGTTATCAAACTCCACGATGAGTAAAGTGCTTTTGTTTTAATTAAATTGTATCATATCTCACCAACATACGTCAACATAGCGCCACCACAAGCCAACAGTACCTTTTAACTAAAGGAGACAATAACTCTGGCGATGACCGTGGCTTGTATGATCGTCGTCAAATGTGGATTCATCGAGAGCATGTTGTCGGAAAAGTTAAAGGGTATGTTTATAGTGAACAAGAATCTGTTTATTTATTTGTCTATATAGATTTGTGCCATATGTCGGTATGGTGACCATTATTATGAACGACTATCCCTGGATGAAATTTGCTCTATTGAGCGTTCTTGCTCTATTTGTCCTTGTCCATAGAGAATGAGGTGTGTGTGTGTGTGTGTGTGGGTGTATAATTGAGTAATGAGGCATAACTAATGAAAATAAACTAATGATAATGGTAATGATAATGATAATAATGATAATACAGACTATATATATATAAATGCGGACGACATAAAACAGATAGCATAGCTTCTCTCTCTTTCTCTCTCTTACAAATCGAAAATGAATCTAATATCATCGTTCAATCGGATGTTCTGTGGCCTGTGTTTGAGGCCAAAATGAACCCATGTTGGTCTGGGCCTGTTTAGCAGGAAGATTAGGAGTCCATGGTGAAGGTATAGTTGACTCTTGGTAATACTCGGTTGCTCCTAGCCATGTTTTCATGACCATATCTTGAGTCTCTAAATCTGACTGGGGTACAGTGCTAGGTATATCTCTTTGCATAAATGTATTGATAGCAAAATAGCCATACAAGGGGGTGGCGTGCATGGGAATAGGCGGCAACGCAGGTGCAACAATAAGGGGAGATGGCTCGAGAATAGATGGAGCAGATGTGGATCGGGTATGGTAGATAGATTCTTTGGAGAGACTCAGGTGATTAAGAGACCGTCTTAGGTCGGCAAGGCTCATATCATCTCTGTCTTCTTGTTGTGCACGTCTAGCTTTAAGAGATTCAGAGGATGTGTACTTGATATGACGTTTGAGCGCTTGTGCATCATCAACAGATGCCAATGTTTGGAGTGGAGAGTTGGTGTTTATAGTGGCATCATTGAGCATCATTGATCGGGATCGCCTGGTGTTGGTGGCTCCATTAGATTTTTCTTCTCGGCTGTTCTCAACTACTTTTACGGGCTTTCCACGAACGGAGGTGTGATATCTAATAGCACATGTGCTTTCTTTGGGTGGAGTTTGTTCTTCATCATGGCTAGTGTAAGCATCTTGAAATAAATGAATAGGGTATGCGTCGAATGAAGAGCCGAGTGCTATCATAGATATTTGCATATACATACATATAAGCCCGTGATTATAGTAAGGAATAAGGTTATTTTTACCTAAGTAGGAGGGATCATCGATAGGTTTGCAGCTTGCATTCCAATTACTGGGTTCGTTAGCCCAATTTTTGGACGGCTTTGATGATCTCGCGAGAACAGGAGCAACGCTGTTTGACTTTATATTGTGAGAAGGCTGTCTCTTACTGTGGCTTCCAAGGGAACGCCGAGGAACTAGCGGCTGTTTTCTTTTTATGGGCTTATCAGGCGTGCTCTGGTGTGCACCGAGACTTGTCATCCCACTTGTGTCGGTCAAAATGTCATCTGGAATAGGATCAATAGGAGGGGGAGTAAAATGAAGGTTGGGACCATACGTGACAAGCTCCTCGAGGGAGAGTCTCCATTGGTCTATCCATTGAACCTTTTCGAGTGAAAGTACTGGATGCTCTTTGAGTTTAAATGTTGAATTAAGAGGGAGATCGGGTAAAGAAGGCAGAACAGGCAAAGACCTACTTCTTGATTGACGATCAAGAGAGTGGTGAGGAGAATAAGGCGATTGCTCGCGCACAGACTGTGCAAATGTCCACATTTTTGTTAGCACAAACAACCAGCGCTCAAAGTCTTTTTGCTTCTGTGCCTTCATTACGTAGCCTTGGTTGTCGTAGGTTCGTATACAAAAACACCTCGATTTAGACTGCCCAAACGCAGATTTTAAGCCATGTTCTTGCTTTGATCGTTTGAGGACAGAGATGGCCGAGATGTTTGAAATCTCAATAGTGAATTTTATCTGTCTATTTTCTTCAGGCTGGTTGTGCTGTGTAGAGAGTGATCGGCGTTTTTGTTGTGAGCGAGGGAGGGTGGCGTTGAAGGAGGGCGAAAGTAAATGACGAAGACTATACTTTTCTTCGTGGTTTTCAACATTAGTTTGTGGAAGTTTTAACTTCCGAGAAGATAAACATGTAAATGAGGCACCATCGAATCGGAATTGTCTCCAACGCCATTGCTTATCTGTCAAGAGATAAAGATGACCTTCAAATACAGGCGCGGTTGCAGGTACTTCGTGAGTATCTTGGGACAAAAGTAAGGCGAGGGTCTGACTATGGTTATATTTGTTGTTATTGTTGTTGTTGTTGTTGTTGCTGGGCACCGCAGTAGTTTGGAACGTTTGACGGCGATACATTCTAGTGTAGTATTATGTAGCAGCAGCTAGATTAAATGTATTTGATAGTTGCCAAAAAAAAAAGAAAAGAAAAGAGAATAAATAGCAAGACAGTAAAATGAGAGGAAGAGGAAACGAAAATAGGAACGCTTTGATGTCTTGAACTATTGCCTTTTTATTGTGTTTGTCGTCATCAGAATACGCACACTCACACATATATAGATATATTGATAAAGAGAGTAGGAGCGTCCAAGCCTGTTTCTCTTGTGTCCTCGGCTTTCCTGCTTTCCTTTTCTTCTTTTTTAAATACTATTTATAAAATGCTATAACTTTCATCATCTCATTGTACAAAAGATCAGGTTCGTACCGGCTAAGCATATTCAGAAACTAGATGTCTATTGTAATCACAATAAATACAAAAAGGAGATTCTCTTGGGTTATTTTTATCCATGGTCGTATCTGACCTTCCTTTTCATCTCACTTTCTACCTCAACATCTATCCCTCTCTCTCTCTCTCTCTCTCTCTCTCTCGCTATCTATTTTTCAATCGCTCTCTCTTGGTTTTGCATGCCAAAATATCCATTCAGTTTCCGACAGAATAAAACAAATAACCATATTTCGTGCTTTCCATTATATGTGCTACACTACAGAATTCTTCGATTGATCTCTGTTCTTTCGCTACGTATTTTCACTTACTTGTTTATTAAAAGTTGATACTGCACCATACTGTAAGGCAGCCAAACACCAAATACAACTAAAATTCACCATGCGCATTTTAGTAGGGAATCCATACAGTATTTATAGGCTAAAGCTCGTTTGGCACCACCAATGACCTTGTACAACTCATGAGCGAGGCACAAGTAGACATTTTCAAACGTAATGTGGGAGCACGAGGAATACGATACTCCAGCCTTGCTAAGCTGTCTTGAAAAAATATATAACGCTGGCAAGATCAAACTCTTTGATCCATATATCAATTGAAATTTAACAAAAAGCATACAATAAATCTTTATATTAATATACGTCCTTTGATTTGCTGATACAAACAGAGGCACATTTCCTAATAGGAATAGAAGCACCAAAAATATCACCGTAGGAAAAAAAAAGTGAAAGTATTTTAAAAAAAATTGCACTTTTGCAAAAGCAGTGCACTTTTTTTTTAAAGTTCATATTGACCATACCTAATTTAGAGCTCACTAAACCTATTTAGACACATCGAGACTGATGTTGAAATGAAAACTTAACCCCAGAATATTCAAGAGATCATATTCATGGCTCTTTCGCACTTATCTAACCCTGGTCGGGGAAGATAGTGGGAAGAGTTAGTCAATATGTAACGGTCTCTCTATATGCTCCCAACCCAAGTTCCCCATAACATTGCCTTGGTGATGGTCATGATAATGAGAATATGATGACGCTTTTCTCCCATCGAAACTCGTCTTTTCGCGGTGCTCGAGAATGAGCGCACATCCCTCCCCCTCGATCAGTCTCTACTCTTTATCTATCTTCTCATCTTTTCTGCACTACATGTTGTCCGATCTATCTCTCAATTGTTTCCTTTTTGGCTTTAAATCACTCCCCCCCCTAGTAAAACCAAGAAGCCTTAAGATCTTCCCTACCTCTTTGAAAAGACACGGCTACGGGATGTGCTTTCTTGGGTTCTCGTCATTCACTTTAGAAATTGCAAAACAAAAGTTATGTTGCCATCTTTTAGTTCGTAGAAATATATGTTCACTAACTCTCTTGAGTACAAAGCTCCTTACAAACAAACAAGCAAACTTTTCATGTTTACTAATATGGCGGATTTATTAAAATGTAAGCATAATTTGTTTTAAATACAAGTATCTGAATAACAGTACTTTTCTTTGTGGCCTTTAGAAAACTACTATAGAAACTCAAATCCAAATCCACTTTACACGGATTCGAAACAACGACGAACACTATAATGTGCTGATAGCTACTTGGTTCGAGACATACATCACTTATGAAGATGCTATGAATAATCTGATAAGAAAGTTCAAAAAAGTATACAATGACTCTACAAAAGCAAATCACAAATCTAAAACAATCCCAGACTTGAGTTCCTTATTTACTCAATCCGGATTGCAAAAGTCAACTATGAAAAATAGAGAAAGAGAGTATTAAGTGAACCAATTAACACAGCAAAAACAAAATAATTTTAAGATTGAAATTGGCGCCGCAGGTATAGTGGACACCTTCAGGCACTCAAATTTGCAAAGCTGTATAGGATATTAACTAAATAAAGATTTTTTTTTGAAATTTCAATGGTTCCATAGAAAGACTTCTCATTACCTAAATACGATCTTTGACAATATTACTACTAAAATTACAGATAATAACTTATGCTATTGCCTTGACTAAACTTTTCGCTTCTCTTGACTGTAAGTTGTTTATAACTTCTATGTATTATTGGAATTTGTATTGCAGACTATTTATCCAAGTTATCTTTGATATATAATTAGAGAAAAAATGAGTATATAAATGTATAATCAAACTTTCTCAGTGCTAATATAAGTTAATATTTGAAACTTATATTTCTCTATATATTTTTGCTGTTTAAATAGCGTCAGCTTAGAGAGATAAATAAGATAAGATTAGTAGTCGCAAGTTTGAATAAGGTTTGACAAAAAATTTAACGAACCTTAATCAAATTTGGAGCCTAGTGGTGTTAGTGTTATGCGTTTTTTTTTTCATTTTTAAGGGACTTAGTTTTCTCACTAGACCGCAAATCCGAATGCCCAAAGGCCTATAGTATTACTCTGCAAGCATCATTATGCCTTTTTTAAGAAGTGCAGATTTTATTCGACATATCTTTTGCAGATTATGTTTGCTTTTATCAAAACTAATATATGTATATATAGACGTATAAAGTAAGGAAAATCGACTATACACTTTTATTATAGCTTAAATTTCAGTAACTAAGCTCAACGTTTTTTCCTAGACTCTTCTCCGTAATCGCTTTGATCTGAAGAACGCTTCTTCCCTTTGCGATCCTTTGATTCTTCCTGACGTTCTAATTGCATGTCTGCAGAACGCTTCTTCCCTTTGGAATCTTTTGATTCTTCCTGGCGTTCTAATTGCATTTTTGTGGTTTCTGGTGGAACAACACCTCTGTTACCAACACTAAGCACAACATGAGCTGCTCCCGATCTCTTTTGCCGCTCTAAGAGCGCACTCGCAAGATTCAAAGGTGTATCGGTACTGCTCATCATATTCAACTTCAACTCTTCTTCAATCTTCTGAAGGCGCTTCTCTGTCTTGGTCTTTCCAGAGGTCTTTCCATGGAATTTATGAGACATAAACCGGAAAGCCTACAAGAATTAAAGCTATAAGAATTTCTTGTTCTCTGATTTCTATTCTTTGTCCAGTTTACCTCTTTTGTGTTCATCTGTCTACCGTGCTCATCAACGTATTCTAGCTTTACACTGGGCTTATAGTTTGTCATTCGTTTTTCAAATTCACGAAGTCGTTCTTTTTCCTCAATCTCTTTTTCTCTTTCTCTTTCTCGCTCTCTTTCCTTGGCTCTCTCTCGATCGTGATCGCGTCCTCGGTTGGATTCACGATTGTGAAGTCTATCTCGTTCTTTGTCTCTTTCTCTTTCTCGCTCGCGCTGGTGCTCTCGTTTTTTCGCTTCGTTTTGCCATCTAATCTGCTCTGCGGCCTGTCGATCTCTTGCCAATTGACTCTCAGTTGGTTTTGTGATGAAACCCTTTTGACTGAGTAAAGAAAGTGTAGAAGCTAAACCGCGATTGATAAGAGGCTCTTCCATTACAGAATTATCCTCTTGGGTTTCGGCCTCAACTTCTATTTTATTTTCGCTCTCGCTCTCGGCCTCTATTAAAACCTCTTTTCTCACAGTTTTATTTTTCTTTTTCTCAATGTAGTCATCGTTATCATCATCGAAATTGTTATCAACATTGTTCTCTTCGTTGTCCTCTTCATCGTCGTCATCATCTTTCTTTTCGTCTGCAACATCATCCTCAGCTTGGGTATTACCATAGCCGTTGTTCTCTGCTGCCTTCTGAAGAGGTTCACGGATAAACGCAGGCATGTTACCGAGCGCATTCACAAACTCTGAGGTCTGAGATATCACAAGTCCTCCCTGATCTTCGTTTTCGTCGTCTTTTTCCTTTTCATTATCTCGGCTTTGAGCAATTTCACGAGCAATTTCCTCAGGAGTCATCTTTTTAGTTGTTTTTTGCCTTTGTTTTTTGGCTGCTCTTCTAGCTCTCGATAGAGCTTCCTGCAAATCATCGTCATCCACAAAATTGCTTTCGCTGATGTTTCTCGGCTCTTCTTTCTCTTTAACCTCCATTTGCTCTTCTGTGGTTTGAATTTCAATTGGTTCGTCATCTTCCTGCACTCTTCTTCTGGTCTTCTTCTTCTTCTTCTTGGGCTTTTTAAATGTCAGGTTGACTTCCTCTTGGGTATAATAATCTTTAATCTCCTGCGTCTTTTCGTAAGCAAGTGTTTGAGCCTTTAATTTTTCGGACACACTCATTCCTGCATCCTCATCCCTGTTGACGTCCACAGTGCCGCTAGCTCCAATGCTAAATCCCTGTCGCTTTACTTCATCTTCGTATTGTGGTAACACACTCTTTTTGATTCCACCCAGCAAAAATTCTTCGTCATCATAAGGGTTATATCCAGGTTTCTTTTTCTTATTATCCAAGTTTTTATGTAGGCGTTCTTTTTCTTCGACCTGAATATTGGTCAACTCGTCTTCTTCATTATCTTCTTCACCATCTTTACTGAGAATTCCTCTATCTTTAAGAGTCAGGATCATTTCAGTTCCTTCATTAAACTCTTCGAGATCGTGTCCGATCTTGAGACCGCTAAGGTGAGAAGCGTCGTAGGTAGACTTTCCAAAAGATTCATCCATTTCTGCTAGTTCTCGAGCTCGTTTTTCAGCTAATTCCTTTTCACGTTTTCGACTTTTTCTAATCCATCCTAATGCACTGTCATCGCCATCGTCTTCTCCAAGGCCTTTTCCTTGAAGTCTTTCGAGATTTTTCTTGCGGTTTTTGGATCTGAGAATGCATTGACATCGATTAATCTCTTGGGATTACATTTTAGTTTTTGCCTTACTTTTCGATTCTTTCTTTAATTTCTGCAGCCTTTGCTTCTCTTTTTTGATCTTCTTTTACTTTTTGGAAATTGTCGTATGCAACCTGATCGGGATCGATTGTGTCTTCTGCTTCTTCCCCAAGGACGGGTAAGCCAAGCTTGAGTCGTAAGGCACTAGTACAGGAATCATTAATATAACTGATCAATATGCTTTTGAAATATATTGAGCTTATATTTATGTATTGTCTTACTTTGTCTCCTCCAAAGAAATAGACTCTGCCATGCTGATTTTATTTTTGGTAGCCTTTACGATGAAAGAGAGAGTCGTTGTAGATATTTGTTCTTTTAACGTGACGTTTTTATACTCCGTCACCTGCTATTTCCTTGACTGGAGAATTCCTGACATGGAAAAAAAAAGTATTTGCAATAAGTTTGTATCATTAGAATTACAAATTCTCTTCGATTGAATAACTAATAGCTCACTCCAAAAAAGGAGGTTTAAGTAGATATTTTTTTAAGAATATAACAAAAACCTCAGGCATGAAAGCTCATATTATTATTTCTTTGAAATATAAAGTATATTATGTCAAGAGTAACATTGACAAAAGTATGTTTTGTTTTTTGTTTTTACTCATAAAGTTTCTTCTTATTCTGATATTAATGATATTAGTATTACTATTGATCTTTTTGATAGTAGGTTTTTTAAAATTAAATTATGTAAAGTACTAATAGAAAGGTTACATACTTTTGCTCTCTTTCATCGAAATATATGGTAAGTATCTAGCTTCAAATTTGGGATTATTAAATACTGTTTTTTGGTTATGGTTTTAGTTAGAAAGATATTTTTTACTTGCCAAAAAATCTAGTACCCCAATTCATTTAAAGACACAGCTAGGCAATTTCTTTATTATTATTATTGAGGGTACTCAGTCAGATTGATCGATCAAATTTTAAATTCAGGACGCAACATTATTGGATTACAATTGTAATAGCGACGATCAAAATTTGATCGTCTTTTTGAAAGATCAAATTTCGATCAAATTTCAATCAAATTCTGATCGAAAATCGTACGGCTCTCTGATTGGCTGAATCCTTACTTTTTTATATGCAATACGATACTGTTTTTATCTTTCTCCTTAATAGATCATAGAATTTATTGGCGACAAATTCATATAATACTTCTTTCTCTCCATCTTACATTCCAAAATATAGTACAAAGCAACAAACAATTGATGCCTTGAAGAAATCGCGTAAAATCAGTGAATTTATCGTGAAAAAAAACACTGGTAGAGTCTTTATAGCAAGTATAGACGAGCTTATTAAAAATATTTTAGAAGTAATCAAAAAGGAAGTTAACGTAAAGTTGGAGCAGATGGCTGCCGTGAAGGAGCTTGAAAAAAACCTTAAAGCCAATAAATACATACACAAGGTTGACAATGTATTGTCAGATCTTGAGTCAAAGGAAAGAACGCTTGGCTTCTTCGAGAGTCTAGGCATATATAGCTTCAAAGAAGAAATCAGAATGTGCAAAAGGTTGTTCTATATATGCTATAAAAATCTATGAATTTTGTACGAATTTTGTACTTTTGTCTTTTGGTGTCCTCAACTACAAATTGATATCATTGGCTAAGATTCACACAAGAATTTGATCGATCAATCTGGCTGAGTACCCCCATTTTCTTGGTAGCGCCATTTCTTTTTATATAACCGACATTTATTTTTTGGAAATCACCATTTATTTTTTCAGAACGGACAAAATTTACCAGCCGCATTGTACATCCTTTAGCTCTCCAATCTGTCGCACAGTGTCACCATATGTTGTTAAAAAAACCAATAAAAGTCGCTTTTTGTAAGCTTCCTGAGCCCAGCTAGAGAATATTTTGATTTATTGCATCTTACCTGGGCTTACGCGCAACGTTGCACTTGTATTATCCTTTTTAGTCTATGCCACCACAGCTGTTTTTTTGTATCTTTAAAATACTTTAGTATATAACTAGTTTTTACATAAAACGTCTGTTTATTTCTTTTATCTATATATTGAAAATTGTAGAAAGTAAAACGATTTAACCCCTCAAAAAAAAAAGCTCAAGATACCATGACCATCTCTGATTCCGATTCGATTAGAGACCACCAAACTAATGATACATCAGATCTCGTCATCTCAGCACTTGGTATCATAGGGACAGGAAAGTCAAGTTTATTAAATGCTATTGCCGGTGAGCATGTATTTGAGACCGGGAATGGTTCGGTAGGTTTATTTGATTTTATTTTATCTAGAAATGATAGTTAAACTCACCGTTTTTTTAGGCTACTACTCAAAGCGTGTCGGGTGAAATCCGACAGTGGAAGAGTGCACCCGCTATAAAAAGTGTTCGTCTTATAGATACCCCTGGCTTGTGCGATTGTTCTGCTCATGATAAAGAGACTGTTCATGAAATGGCTCGATACTTCAAGAGTGTAGCAAATGGAGTAACTGCATTTGTACTTGTTTTTAGTATCCATGACATTAGGTAAGAAAGTGATAGTAATAAACAAACAAACAAACAAACAAAAATAGGTTAAGTAAACGTGTTTTTCTTTATAGATTAGACGCATATACTCAAAGTATGCTTGACTTATTTCGCGTACTTCTTGGAAAGGACTTTTGGAACTATGTAATCATTGTGTTTACGCATGTTGAAGATGATGAGAAAGATGAACTTGAGGCAAACATAGAGGCTGTTCTAGATCCTGAAGGTAAACATAATTTGTGTACATTAAGGTTAAAGTCCTTCCAAGGTGTCTGTCTGACAGCTTGCTGCTCTTGAAACGTACAGATGGGTTTGTGGCACAGATCTGTGATATCTACAAACTTTCCAGAAGAACATTCGTGCCAAACATCGTGTTTGTATCCACACTAAACCCCCGGACAAGCAGCTACACAAAGAAGTGTATGAGACAACTTTACCAAGCTGTGAACGATTGTCATATTCGCAACCATAACAAGCAGTTTACTTCTAAGTGGCTCACACAGATAATACACATGCCAGAGGATCGAAAAGCAAACTTTATCACAGAAAGTATTCGAGAGGCCTGGAGTTCATTGACCTCAAACAAGTGTCAAATTCAATAACATATCAAATTTAAATTATTTTGAATTTTGTTAAATATATCAATCTCACAATATGTACGTATATTCATAAAGTAGTGCAATGACTAATGCCTCAACTGGGATAGGATGTCGAAAAAGTTTGATTCAATAGAGTCTAATTTAATTCTCTGATTTTCAATGTAGCAATATGATAAAAGCATAGTAAATCTTATATATAAATCTACACACACACGCACATCAGAAGTCTTTATAGCTTTAATTTTTGTTTAAGAATTAGGACTTTTATATATCTTCTCTAACTTTTGCGTGCCTTACAGATATTATAGATATAGTTTTAGACACAATATCTATACACTGCGCCATGTGCAAAAGATATACAAGGTGTATCAGAAAGACCATGTAAAGCATGTTTTGTTTTAGTATTTTTTTTGGTAGGCAGCATTTATGACCCTTTGTATTAGACTAAGATAAAAAATAGTTGATATTAGTGAAGGTGTATATCATTAGGATCGTACTCAATTCACTAAATAGTACTTCGTTTGATTTAACGATTGAAAAAGACAAAAGTATTATGCACAAAAATATATACTTGGACATATATGTAAACAAAAATATGAAAAAAGACATTTGAAAGAAAAATACTATTATGTACCACAAATCTCAATATTCAAAGTCTGGAAGAATATGGTAGCAGTCTATTTATATATGGCCAATTCCAAAGGATTATCATTCATTATCCAAGCCAAGTCTTGCTGCCTTAAAGCGCGACATCTTCTTTGGAGCAGCCTTTGTTTCCTTTTCCTTGGTCCCATGAGGTGTCGGAAGCTCTTCATCAATGACTTCAAATTCTGGTTTAGATTCAAACGATAGATTTCCCATTGCTGCCATCATTTCTTGGCGTTTGCGGTGATAGCTTGTTGTAATCTATTCCAAATTGCCGTTATTAGTATATCAATGGTAATATATACATAATCAAATAATGTTCTTACTTCGCGAATTTCCATATCCTCTTCTAGTTCATCCATATCTACAGGCTCTGTGTCTCTCTCCATAACTGCACCACGCATTGTATTTGTATCCATTTTCGAAGGACGCCCTATGGGTTCTTGTTCGGCTTTACTAAGTTCCATAGGTTCATCTGTAGATGGAATAAAAGGTATGGCCTCTTCATTGCCAACGCTTGCAGGTCTCCATAATACTTGGGATGTCGAACGCACAGAGTTTATAAGATCTTGTATATCCAACACCTTTGCCTCGTTCTCATCTATATTTTCTGCTTCATTCTCTAGAACGGGATAACCATCCTCATCTATAGGAACTAATGCTGCTTGTGTTTGTCGAATTACATTAAAAATATCTGCTGGGGATCTGATGTTTTGTCGAGGTTTAAAGGCATCCTGGGATTGTCCTTTCTTAACAGGCTCCGTATATCCTTCACCCATTCGGGTTGATGGCGAGTCTTCCCGAGCGTGTTCGTGTACCGTAGTCACATCATCCCACGTCACTTTACGTTTGGGTACCTCTTTTGATGCTCTTTCCACAGCAGGATTTGGTTCAGGTACATTTCCAGAGTTAGACACATGTAAAGATACCGGAGTTGGGGCAGAATCAAGTGCAGTTTTAGGTGTAGAATCTCTCTCCTGTTGTCTGGCCAACTTAAATTTGGACAACTTCTTTCCTTTGGCAGGAACAACCGCCGGGATATGTCTTTTTACTTCAAGTTCAGCCCTTTTTTTCATTAGGTACTCTTTTTCATCTTGTTCATCCTGGTGTTCTCTAGCAGCCATTTGCATACGCATCTCTAACGCTATCTCTTCATCATCTTCATCATCTTCATTTTCCTCTTGTACTATTCTTTTAGGAATGTTTTGTTGTTTCTGGATAGGTTTGGATTGTGTTTTAATGACAGGTGGTGTGTCACTTTTTGTGCTTGGTTCTTTTGGTGCATTATTTTTGCGACCCTTTTGTTGTGCTAATTTGAATTTAGATGGTTTTTTGCTAGACGTTGCTACAACAGGCGTAGATTCTAGACCTTCATCCTCATTAAGAATTCTGCCTTCTTTAGATTCATCTAGCCTTTGTTGGCGTGCTAATTTGAACTTTGATAATTTCTTTGGCGCTGCAGCAGGCTGTTCCAATATCGCCTGCTTTTCTACCGGAGACCTCTCAACGACATTCTTTATACTAGTAGACTCCTCCATTTCTCGTTCATTTTCAGCGTTTTTTTCTGGTGTTTGCTCTTCAGGGATGTCTTCCAAGACATGGAGTGAATCGGCCAATTCTGCCTGTGTCTCTTCTTCCAGATCCTCAGGGAAAATTGCTTTTGGATCATCGTGGTAAGTGAAGTTCTCGTGGTCAACAACACCCTCAATGCCGTATTCTTCATCATCATCGAAATGATCAAACATACTGTCGGCAACCTCGGTGTCATAATAATTATCCCAATCTTCTTCATCTTCTTTTTCCTGCTTTTCTTTCTGTTTCGCGATTTTTTCTTCTCTTAAGATTTCTTGGTTAATTTGATCCGGCGTTTTCTCTTTCGCTAATTCCTCTTCCTCTTCCTCTTCCAATTTACGAAGCATCTCAAATAATGCCTTGTTTTCCTCGTCGTCATTTACACGGTTCGAGTTATTTGGTGTGCTTGCTACATTGGCTGGAGCTGGATCGGAAGCTGGAGTACTATGCATGATGGCTTTACCCTTTCCTTTGTCTACCTTTGGCTTAGGTTTATCTTCCTTTGGTGGCAGTTCCTCACGAATCTCCATAATAGGTAATCCTTCTTCATTCAACTTAATTTATAAAGAATGTTGTTTTAAAGCATTAATATACTAAAGAGTTTCTAGATATATTTAAGCTAAATACCTCATTTGTATCCGATGGGAAAACACCAATATTACTATCCGATTTTGATTTTATCGCATTTAACTGTGCCTCTATTAGCCTATAGTTTTCCTCAACAGCTAAAGAGATGAAAACATACTATTTTAAGTATAAAAATTACAAGAAACTGGTTTAAAGTTATATTACCTTCCTTTCTACGCCGAACTATAGAAATCGCCTGTTTAGCCGACCGTTCTACATAATATTGGTCACCCAAAAGGACCATTATTTCGTTTGTATGAATAAATTTTCCGGGCATAAAGGCCAGTTTTCCCATTGGAATCTAACGATAGTTGCAAAAAAATAAAAATTTAGATCTACAAGAAAAAATATACTTATTCATTGATGAAAAAAAAACAAAACAAAAAAAGCCTTATCTTATTGTTAACCACTTACCATGGCACTACGAGTGGTCTCGTCGGGGAATGTTTTGAGCTGATTCTCCAATGCATCGTAATCCTCTTTAAAAGATTTCCATTGTTGAGCTTCTGCTTCAAGTTGCAATTGGCGCTCTCCAATACGCGCTGACCACTGGCTTATTTGGTCAGCTAGTTCCTTGGAATTATTGGTTGCGCTCATGGTAAAGAAGTGCTTTTTATTTTTATTTTGGAGCACCGATCCGTCGGTTTGCTCGTTTTCAAGTCACAAGCCACAGTTTTGCTTTAGAACCATTATGTTTTTTAGAAAACATATATTTGTTTCAATATATATATATATATATAGGGATAACTCCTTAATAAATACATTGTCTGTAGCTGATGGTTGTCTCTATATTATTTATATTAATATTTCGCAATTGATTGTCTTTTTATTTATTTATTCTAGCAAGCATACACTGCGACATAAAATAATTGCAGATGAAAATAGTCAGGGGTAGTTTAAATTGCTAATTCTCACTTTTGGTTTTACATATTTTACATGTCACAGGGCTAGAGTGAGTAAAGATGATAGCATATTAATCAAGCTATCGAGTACTTTAGGTGTAATTATTGTACGCATATAGCTATTCGGGACAAAGGAGTTACTGCAATAATTTTAAGTAAAGGCACATCTTCAAGTTGATCTTCTTATGAATGTCGTACTTGATAAGTAAGCTTAAACCTTATTAAAACAAAAATAAAATAATAAAATAAAAGGATGTTCCAGTTAATATCCCGAAAGATTCTTGGAGTAAAACCCCCACGAACCTTTTGCTTTGAAGAACGATGGAGATAATGCGATCCAATAGAGAAGAGGCGGCAAAAGACTTGAATTTCCGATCCTTGCAAACCCGAATCTCACGCGCACTGAAGGAGAATCTTGCTTCAATGAAACATATATGCAGATAAATTATGAGGTACACATAAGACACATACAAAGAAATCAATTTGATATTTATAGTTCTAGACACCTTGTTAGAAATAAAGGAAATAAAGGGAAATAAGACAAAGGACGCGTTTATAGAGTATTATTATTATTACTACTTGATCCCTTTGGTAAATGACCAAGCGATAACAAAGCGTCTGGGTAGTACAAGTGAAAAAAAAAGGTAGTTTCTGCTATACTTACATAGTCTAAAGATCTTCTACCTTTGATATACCCAGAAACTGGATATTTATTACTATTATCATTAGACCATGAATATATTCTTTATTTTCTAAAATTAAATCAACAATGATTCATATTTAGTTGGTATTCTGTTAAGTTGGCCGGTATGGATGTTGGGTGCATTCACACATATAGTGATATATACATTTATTTACTACATCTTCAAGAATTATCCAAGAATGATATAGCTATACTACTGGAAAATTAGGTTGTACGATGGGAAAAAAAAGCATGGCAGGTGTATGGTTGATAAGTTTTGGCCAATCTAATACTATACAAATCGGGTTACTGACAATGCGTCACAGACTACTCGGTCAAAAGGATTTAAATGCGATCAAAGCAGTCACAGAAGTATATTTTCAAGACCATATATAAAGACAACTCAACACCGTCTATTATCCAGCTATCTCTATTCTTTCCTAAATATGTCTTCTAAACTTCGCCAGGCCTTCCAAAATGCAAAGGCTCAGAGTAAGTCTTGTTATTATTGATAATGAGACATAAGCCGTTGTCTAATACCAATTCTCTATTAGACCGCCCAGCCTTCGTCGCTTTCTTGACTGCTGGTTTCCCCACTCCTAAGCACACCATCGAAATCATGCTTGCCATGCAGAGAGGTGGTGTTGATGTCCTCGAGTTGGGTAAGATATCTTGGATTAGGGAAGGTGTATAAAATAAATATTAACTAACAAACTTTTTTTTCTCATAGGCATTCCCTTCACTGACCCTTTGGCTGATGGTCCTACAATCCAAAATGCCAACGCTGTAAGTATCCCGCATTTATTTTCCTCAAAGTAATCAAACGAACTCACGTATTTGTCTCAGATTGCACTCAAGCATAACACCGATATCGTCCTCTGTCTTGAATTAGTACGCGAGGCACGCGCTCGTGGATTCCATCTCCCTATTGTCTTCATGGGTTACTACAATCCCGTTCTTGCCTACGGAGAGGAGAAGTTGGTTAAGGACTGCACTGAGGCAGGCGTCAACGGTTACATTCTCGTCGATCTTCCCCCGGAGGAGTCCCACGAATTTAGAAACATCTGTGTAAGCAACGGTCTCTCGCTCGTTCCCCTCATCGCACCCTCCACCACCGAGGATCGTATTGCCCTCCTCGCCACCATGGCTGACTCTTTCATGTATGTTGTCTCGCGTATGGGTGTCACTGGCGCCACCACCGAGGTCAACACCGAGCTCCCTGCCATGATCAAGAAGATCAAGAAGCACACTCAGATCCCTCTCGCCGTCGGTTTTGGTGTATCTACCCGCAGCCACTTTGAGCTTGTTGGCTCCCATGTCGAGGGTGTAGTTATCGGTTCCCGCTTCATTACCCTTGTTAAAGAAGCATTTGAAAAGAACGAAGACGTTGCCAAGGTCGTCGAGCAGTACGCCGCTGAGGTGTGCGGCCGTAAGCCTGCTGAATTGGCTGCCAGCACAAAGAGCCCCCAGGCCGATATTGAGATCAACGATGTTGCTGGGAAGGGTATCATTCTTAAGCAAGACAACCCTATCAAGAACTTTTACGAGCTTGAAACCCGATATGGCCAGTTTGGCGGTGCATATGTACCCGAAGCTCTCGTATCCTGTCTTTCCCAGCTCGAGCATGTCTTTATCGAAGCCTTGGCTGACCCTAGCTTCCGTGCCGAGTTCGAGTCTTACTATGATTACATGTCCCGTCCCTCCCAGCTCCAGTTCGCCAACCGTCTCACTGAGGATGCCGGTGGTGCCAAAATTTGGTTGAAGCGTGAAGATCTTAACCACACTGGTTCCCACAAGATCAACAACGCTGTTGGACAAATCTTGCTTGCCAAGCGTTTGGGCAAGAAACGTATTATTGCCGAGACCGGTGCTGGTCAGCATGGTGTCGCCACTGCCACAGTCTGCGCCAAGTTCAACATGGAGTGTGTTATTTATATGGGTGAAGAGGATTGTCGTCGTCAGGGTTTGAATGTGTTCCGTATGCGTATGTTGGGAGCCACTGTTGTTCCTGTCAAGGATGGTTCCAGAACTCTCAAGGATGCTATTAACGAAGCTATGCGTGACTGGGTTACCAATGTCGATACTACTCACTACCTTGTCGGCTCCGCAATCGGTCCTCATCCTTTCCCCATGATTGTACGTGAGTTCCAGTCTGTGATCGGTAGAGAGACCCGCTCTCAGATGTTGGAGAAGGCCGGAAAGCTTCCTGATGCTGTTGTTGCCTGTGTTGGTGGTGGCTCAAACGCCATTGGTATGTTCCATCCCTTTATCAATGACCCTACTGTCCGCATTGTTGGTGTTGAGGCTGGTGGTGATGGCATTGACTCCGAGTTCCACTCTGCTACCCTGACAAAGGGTTCCCCTGGTGTTTTCCACGGCACAAGAACCTACTTATTGCAGGATAAGAAGGGTCAAATCCTCAACACTCACTCTGTCAGTGCTGGTCTTGATTATCCCGGTGTTGGTCCTGAACATGCCCACTTGAAGGATTCCGGCAGAGCTGAATATGTTGTGGCTGACGATGCCAACGCACTTCTTGGTTTCCGCAAGATGACACAGCTTGAGGGTGTGATTCCCGCTCTTGAGACTTCCCATGCTATCTATGCCGCTTACAAATTGGCCAGCCAACTGCCCAAGGATCAGGATATTGTTATTTGCTTGTCTGGAAGAGGTGACAAGGACATGCACACAATTGTTGAGGTTCTTCCCAAGTTGGGTCCCAAGATTGATTGGGATTTGAGATTTTAAATAACTTTTTTTATTTATTTTCACTTACCCCCCTCCCTTATTTCTTGTATCATATATCCCATTCTTCCTTTGCTTTTATGCCATTCGAAACAAAACCATCATTTTCAAATAAATTGTAAAATATCAAATATCACAAATAAATCAACCAAAATATTAAGGAAAAAAAAAAGTCTTTAAAAAATATATACATGTTATTGTTTTGAATGCTTGTAAGGTTTATTTAAAGTGTATGATTGGACATTGGCTGTCTATTTATTTACAGTTGATGGTTTTATATATAATAATAATAATAACGTTGATTTTATCTAACAATTAATTGGAAGGACCAGACATCGTCTCCATATTTAAAGGTTCCACACGTGGGGCTTCTAATGCGGCTATTCTTGCTTTGCGCTGGGTTTCCGCCAAGCCAACCACCTTTTTATAAGCGTTTGGACCAAATGGAAAGGTATATCCTTCTCTTGCCCCTCGGTAAAGAGGCACTGTTAAGATACAAACGAAAAGAAAATCACAATAAATATTGATGTTTCTACCACTTGATAGGCTTATATATTTTCTCTCCTTACCAGGCCAACCCAAAGGGGATTTACCCATCACAATTTTCCAATTGTTAAGTTTTCCGATATCATAAAGTAGCTCTCTGTGATGAACATCCACAACTTCAAAGTTCATTCCGCTCCCATCAAAATCTACACGGACATCTTGTTTCCGACTAGAAAGGTGCTCTATAGTTGTCTTGTTATTCAATATGTAGGTCGTATGAACAAATGAGAAACCGAGAAGAACAAGACCAAACATAAATGCACTATGCGCAAGTAAACAAACAAAAGCCTATATGAGATCATTTGCTTGTCTTGATATTCTCACATACATAAACAATAAAACAACCCATTGGGCATCAAGTCCAAGTCCCTAGAAAATCGTAAAACGTCAATAAGTAAACCTTACCATACTTCAGAGATAGCTTCTTTTCTTTCTCTTTCTCTTTCTATATTACACCACGTCCAACATCACCCCAAATTTTCATTTTCATTTTCATTTTCATTTTCTCTTTATCTTCTGTTTCATTGTTGCAAGTTCAGTGCTATGATACGCACCAATCTCGCGACACCTGTGAATGGAGATCTCCAATATCTGTACCAGATATTCTCGCACAGATTCATAAACACGGTTACAAGTGTAACCAAATACCACTTGTACGCCTTCCAACACATCTCTAGAGTGACTAAGCCTACCTTGTGGTTTACTGCATCTACAACAAGTGGCGTAGCAGTTACAGCAACCCAGAGGGAGTAGAGACATGTGTAGACCACAAAGAGGTAAAAGAACTTGTAATTCCCTAGACCGACGCAGCCACTGACCCTACACAAAGAAACAATGAGAAGCGAATCTCTTTTTTTTTTAAAAAAAAGTCTGTAGTCTGTAGTCTGCAGTTGAAAATCTAACATTTGATATCAACTTACCAAGGACAATGACTAATGTTTAAAAGTTTACAGTAAGAAACATGTATGGATTTAATTTAAACACAAACACAAACACAAATATAAACTTACTGATCCATCTTTAATATACATGCGTTACAATCCTTACAGTGGTGCGATCGGTCTGGTTTAATACAATGACATACATCGCAGTATCTTTGATTACCGTCTGCGTATGATATAGAGACGATAGGAAATTGTGTAGGCGTTCTGTTGTCCGAGATTCTAGCCTGTAGCGTTTCGGGATCATATAGACTAGGAGAGTAGTAGTATATTGGTAGTCGTAAAGGGGTCTTGGTGTCTTCCAAAGGGGGTGTTTCCCTGGGAGAGCTAGGCCGTTTCTATGGAGATTTTGGGGTTGACCTTCTAGTTATTTTTTTTGTGGGGTTGGTTTGTTTATGTAGTCTGTATGTGTCTTTACATTAACAGGCTGCCCAGGCTGACTAAATAATACTCTTAAATAAGAGAAGAGACTAAAAAACCACAGTAAAGAGGCAATGACAATAAAGACGACTAAAGATGCCAAACTGTTAGAATGTCATTCGGATTTTGTTGTATACATTGTCTGTGCTAATTTTTCTTTCTACCTGCTTCAGCAACTGAATGAGAGAGATTCTTGAGTAATAGACTGACTGGATAGGTTGAATGTCAAAAACTGTGTTCCTGGGACTTGAAGTTGGTAAGCAACTCACCACAGACACGGAATACATATATATACCAAGTATATATAAGAAGACCTAATGTAACTATTGGCAGAATGATGCCTGCACAAGTTGCTCCTAGGCGAGATGACATTGAGATACCAGCATTCGCCATCGCAAAAGAAGAACCAAGTAAACCAAACGGTAAAAAAGGGCAGGAATCAATGATTTGAGAATGATGAACAATAAGAAAGTCCGCTGTTTCCATTTTAAGACCCACTCGTCGCAAAACGTCATTGTTGGTTTGTTACGAGCTTGGCACTATGAAATTAAAAATAAATAAATAAAACCCACAAGGTCAAGGTTATCAAGGTTAGATTGATTTGACTAATAAAGAAGATCAAATAATAATAATAAAAACAAGCCTCCAAAAAATAAAGCAAAGACGTGTGTCTTTTCTTGTGTTTATGCTTATGCTTGTGTTTGTGGCTGTATTTGTACTTGTAAGCTTGTATGCTTGTATGCTTGTATGCTTGTATGCTTGTATGCTTGTGTGCCTGTGTGCCTGTGTGCCTGTGTACCTGTGTGCAGCTGCCTAAAAGTGTACATCCCCATTATGGAAGATATTGTTTTCTTAAAGTAGGCTTTGAGCAAAATGCCGTTTTTTTAATAATAAGAAAAAAGTCACGCCCCATTTCTATATTTGCAATGTGATTTTTTTATTTTATTTTTTGTTTTAAGAATTACGATAAAGGTCTAAAGATTAAAGAAGTTTATTGAACACATTTAAGAATAATAATGGAATCAACATCGGCCAAGGTGTCCATATCTTCTTTATATATATATTATGGACCTCATTTATTAATAGGTCTGGTATATTATTATAATTCATAGAAATCAGCCATGCGTTATGCACATCCATCAAATGAAACTTATCCATGTATGTCAATGTCTTTAACTCATTACAATATTGAATGACTGAAATTTATTGATGCCAGACAACGTTAATGGCAGACCAAATATGCCTAGAAACTCATGTAGGAGATAACATTAGAGACTCATTACAAGAAAAGAAAGGAACTTATGAATAATCTTCAGTCGCTGCAAAGATCTATAAGCGAAATGCAATCTTTAGACCTGAAGAGCGAATAGAAACAGATTTGGATGATGATACAGTAAGCGAAATTGTTCCTAGACAACCTAGTCCTCCCCGTACTGTAAGACCCAGCCAAGGTGCATCAGAAGAGACTCGACTTTTACGTCAACAACTCATGAAAGCAAGTGTTTATATACATTATATATATATATATATATATGAATTTTATTTTAGTTTTGGAGAAAAAAAGACATCTATATATTATAAGAAATACAAGCTTATTTCAAATATATGTATATATGTATATGTATATATAGACAGAGAAAAACTTTGAGGATTTAGTTGCATTGAGATATACAGAGCCTGAAGAAAGGTTTAAAGAATTTGAAGAAATATTAGCAGCGCGCACTGAATGTGAGATATTCCAAAGGGTGTTGAAGTGAGATCTTATTATCTATGTGTGTAGCTACTGATGATATAATCAAGCACATGCAAGCCATGAATGATGAAAAATCAGCTAGAATCGAAGAGTTGGAGAAAGAGTTATTAGAGACTCGAAAGACAGGTAAAAGAGCCCAACTATAAGAAATTTTGTTTCCCAATTTACTTAACACCAGTACCCACAAAAGAAGACGAAGAAGAATCTATTGTTATTTACACATCTGTTTGTGGATAGTTGAAATGCTTGGAAAGGAACATGACAAGAAACTGAAAGATTCAAGTGAGCACACTACACTATAATACCTAACGTGTATTCTAATCGACTTCTTTATTGTAGAGGATCCATTTATTGAAATGTACAAGAGTTTGACTGGCTTAATATTTACGGATGTCAAGACCTCTAATACCGGAATAACCTACACATGTCGACAGGAAGGAAGCACTGGCAGTAAGAACACGTGTATAATAGCATGCAAATCTATAAGCTCATCAAATGTATATTAGAAATCCAATTTAAATTGACTCAGCCATCTGATACCAAGCAAGGAATGCATTATGAGCCGCAATTAAACGAACGGAAGGATGCTGGCCTCATCTCTATTCTTCCTGAACGTCTACAAAAGCAGATCGTGTTCCGGACGGACAATCTGCGTGCCTTTTACACAGTACTTCACAGTAGTCTTCAATTAAAGACAGAGGCTACAAAAGATGAGACTCGGAATGAAATTTAATACGACAGAGTTCTTCTTGGAAGTATACATCATATGCCATTAAACCAATTGCTTTGTAAATATCGGTTAAAATGACACAATTAGGCAATATATAATAATTACAATAAAAATAAAAATAAATGTCTTTTGGCTCGACCAACATTTCAATATCGAACCAAACAGTAAACTTCTCAGTAAAATTATGATTTATGCTCTTGTGAGAGTACTAAATTTATAGCAGCGTTGTAGTCTAGCCCACATGGTTATAACATATATATATTAGAATAAACAAATGACAGTATTAAAGGGTATATTTGTATTTACAGGATAATAATAAGGATAGTAGTATGATAAGTCATAGGTTTCTTTGGTATCTTACAGAGCATATTCATAATAATTAAAGATAAAGCAGCCATAGAATTTGAATCAGTGGCTACTGAGACACCGAAGATTTAAAAAGCTAAACAGGCCTTTCTGGACTGGCTTTTCTTCTTTGATCTCTATGACCTCTTTGATTTCTTTGATTTCCTTGGTGTAATGTTCGGCCTTTGTGTCATAAATCAGATCTTTTGCAGGTGCTTTATTTTCGTTGAACTCTTTCTTGATTTTCTTTTTTAGGCTTTTCTTGGCATCGTCATCGAGTTCCTTATTGCACTCTTTTTCTAGCTCTTTTATCAGCTCTAGCTTTACTTTTCTCTTGAACTCCTTCTTCAGTCCCTTTTCAAGCTGCTTCTTCCGTCCGCCTTTTGTTCTCTCTTTTATGGGCAGCTTTCCGGTAGGGATCAATATGACTGGGAGATGATCGTCTAAAGATGTCGATTCTGTGACGACTTGCTGCTCATTGTATCGGTTTAGCCAGTTATTTCTTGCTGACATAATACGCTCGGCTTGGGCCAATGGCATTCTTTCTTTGAGACACTTAAATAACGAGTCCTCGGATGAGTCGTCTTTGGAAATCTGGACCAGTTTGGTTGATTCGATTAGAGGAGTGTGTCCAGTTAGATCGTAATACCCAGTATCCTGCTCGTAGATATGGACTATTGGAGATTCCGTCGAGAAATTTACTCTGCGTATTCTTGTATCTTCTGCGTCCAACTGTTCTGCGGCAGCCTGTGCATTCTTACGCCCCAGATAAGCAGACAACTGCTGTCGGTAATAATTCTGAGCAATATTGTCGAATTCGCTGTCATTCTTATAGCTGTAGTCAGAGTACATTTGTATTAAAAGCCAACTGGTGAAATTTTGATTGATTGTTTGATTTATTTATTTTTTGGATTTTTAAATGAGTGTAAAGAAAGAGAGATACCAAAGAATAAAATAAAGCAATCTATTTATACGCAGCTCTTAGAATTAATATTGGCGGTTGACATGGGGACAGACTATATGAGGACTTCTTATTATTGGAGGCTAGTCAAGCCTCTAGTAAATCAAGGTACTGTGTACGTGCGGATAAGATGTTGTCAAACATGAGACCAAAAGGTACTATAGAGAAAGTCCACGAATACGATTCGTTATAAGATGCACATGTACAAATCTAAACGTTCGGGTTTGCCAAGACACCTTGAAGATCTGCACCTTCTTTCCAAACCTTCTGCGAATGTGTTCTGCTCTACTATCCTACGTGAGACATGATGGATGGGCGAGCATTGACGCGGACTAGACCGCATACATGGGGGTGTCAATTGATAAAGATTTTTTCACATTTCTTTTTTTTTACTCATCCAAAGATGATATCGTACAGGGCCAATTTATATCATATAATGACAAGCTATTGCCAATTGTTACATTATAAGAGCAGATTTGTTAAATAGTTGGGAATCAGGTAATTATTTTTAAAGAAATAAAATAAGAAAGTGATAGAGATGTTTCATAAGGATGCACTCTAATGGTGGCTCACGGAGTGAAGTGTCAATCGATTAATGATGTTTGCCAGCCTACGCGGTTAAATAGGAACCTTGGACACATCATATGAAACCAATTTAGACGGAGATTATGTTCTTTTTTTTTTTTTTTAAAAAAAAAAGGAAAAGTGTGTCTCAAAATCATATAAAATTTCAGCCAATAATTTCTTGATATTCTAAGCTGTTAAACTAATGATGTTAAAAGCTTGAAAGCAAGAAAGAAATATGGTTTGAAGTAAACTCAAAGAAGTTCTTATTACCCAAACATGGGCTGTTTGTTTTTATCTTCATTTACGCAAGCATATTGATTATATCAATAATAATCAACAGCCTTTGACTTTAATGTCTAGAGAATTAAACCAGTTATTACAGTTTTATGGCAAAAAGTAACAAACGTTGGATTACACTAATAATATGATTTTACGTTCTAAAGTTTAGTAAATAAACATGCCTGATCAGTAAAATATCACACATTCTGACGGTATACAGACGCGTTGGAGCTAAAACATGGAACCTTACAAAATGATATATTTGGTTAAAGTTCTTAATGTTGCAGCGTAGAGGCTCACTAATAAATCAGAGAATGACAATACAAAAAGAAAGTTAAATGTTTTAAAGAAAATTATACGGTGTTATCCGAGATTCCTAATGTGCAAAGTCTAGTCTTTCGAAGCAGTAATCCTACGGGGACGACATTTCTATCTACTAATTAATTTTAACTACTCGCCCAGGGCCAGATGTCTTTCTCTAATCCTTCAGGGCAAAACAGCGTGTCCTGAAAAAAAGTGCACTATATCAATAGACGTCTGCGCTTTAAATTTAAATGTGGCTATAAAAAATGAGTATTAGTCTCAAATATATTGTATAAATAGGCAATTGTGCAGAAGATTATAAGGTGCTGTTGTTATTAAAGTGTGACACAATCTTGTTGGATAGCTTACTATCAATTGGGCTTGTTACGCGTATAATGTCTATATTGTCAGAAAGTGGCTCACAATTTGTCATTGAAAAGCCATAAGCAAAGCTCCTTGTCATTTCCTTCAAAGGTATTGAGTCATACAATGACACCAGAGCTAGATATTGTAGAAAGGTGAGCATAACCTGTGGTCCAGGAGAATCAAAATGTCGTCTGCCACCAGAAGATGACGTGCCCTACCAGGAAACGTCGTCTATCTAAAATTAGCGATTTCAAAACTTACCTTTAAAGCACAACCACTAAAAGACCCAGAAGAAAACGATGAATTAAGAAAGAACAAATATGTTCTGGGTGCAAGAGGCCGCATTAACCTTCTCCAACTGAAACTCTAATGTGCCTCAATTTACAAACCGAAAAAAAAGGACTCGAAAGGAAAATTAACTACAATCACCAGCCATCCAAGTCAACTAAAAGCAAAGTATCATACCAAGACAAGGACAAACAACGTGCTACCACACCACCAGTACCTTGTTATCCGGAATTCTCTAACATAACATCAAATTATTCTAGATCAGCATTATCAGAGATAAGGCCCGAGCATAAATGCGAGGAAGGGAAAGCTTGGACCTTCCTTTGGAAGCCTATAATGGCATAGGAAGTAGGCTTCTTAATAAATAAATAAATAAAAAAAGAATCCAATGATTATGCATCCTGTTCTTTATTTTCACTTGAAAGTAATAGTTTCTACTCTACAAGAATTGTTAAAGATTATTATAAGTATTAAGAGTTTATTATGCAAAGCTTTAGTATTGGACTATTTACGTTGACATTTTTTTTTAATTATTTAGGCTGTATTGATTGTAGTGTAAATCCCTCAATAATGTTTTACACAAGGGCTAAATGTCATATTGTGTGAGTGGTGATCAAATGAGAGCTCAAGTATAAAAGCGTGAATGATGATGATGTTAAATGACAAGACATATGTATTGTTAATTCAAAAGACAACCCCCCAATTGATAATAGATCATGGTTCACTTGTGCCCCATAATTTATTTACATTGTAACATATGTGATTTCAAGTAAGCCAAGTTACTAATCCTTCGGGGCTAATACAAGACTCTGAAGAGACATGGCATCGGCTATGCACGAACGATCCTGATGTAGTCTTATTGTTAAAGACGTAAAACTAAATAAACGATCAAAATTATTTCTCTTACAAAGTCTCGCATTTGCTCCCAGATCAAGTTGAATCAACAATTGATCAGCCTAGCGCCACCTATTGTTCGACCAGTCGAACCACACGTCGCACAATCGTACAACCCGATTAATGGCCTAATATCAATTTTCCTCCAAGATTTTGCCCTGTCTTTATTCCACCCGATCGGGAAAAGGTCGCAGTAATGGAAGCATTGAGACCTTGGCGTGCCACATGAAACAATGTAGAGTTTCAATATACACGACGAATATTTAAGTTGCTCTTGTTTTATTACACACTTTTTTTCTGAAAATGGTTGTATGCGAAATATCCCAATATACTGTTCACTTTTTTTTTGTAATGCTTATCTCTTTTCTTCTCTCTCTCTACGATTGAAGTTATGATTAAAGCTTATTAAATATTTGAATTTTTCTCATTAGAAATGAAAATAACTGAGTTTTACTTGTTGAAGTGGCCGTCGTTTCTCCTTTGAAACCACAAGTATAATGGCAAAATAATAAACCCAAAGAGGTTGTGACAATTGGGATACCGCTTTGTTTCTACCACCATACTAGCATATATATATATTTGAAGAACGAAATGATTGTTGATAGAATCAGAGGTAATTCAGAAAGCTACACCTAAATATTGTCAAAGTTGGATAAGTTTCTGGGAAGATTAATTACAGAGTGTATGAGTACGGAAAGAATAGAACTTTAGAATCAATAGACTTGGTTTTGTTCGAACTGCTACAAGTTCTTTTGTTTTATTGTTTTTGTGATGTGATGTGTATACCTAGTCAAACATTTCAACCAATGGGCAAAACTTTCTACTGGTTGCCAAGAATTTCATCGGAATTTTAAAAATCCTAATGAATTCAGAAATTTCGATTTTTAAACGCAAAACACCTTATCAATGTTTGGACGGATTAGATTAATGGTTTTACCAGGTTTGGCTGTTTCAGGCACCCTATGAATGTATATATAATATTGCATATCAAGGATATAAAGGAACAAGAATGTTGATATTGATATTGATATTGATAGCGAATTAGCTTTGTGTTTGAAGATAGATATCGTCACATCAAAAGAGAATGATAACTACATCTAGGTACAGTTTTTTCTTTTATTTTTTGCATGGTCTCTGAATCTGACAATTCAATTAATACATTGACACTTCAAACAGCTTAGGGACTGGCAGGACTCCACCCCCTTACGAAAAGAAAGTAAATTAGGCATCTAGAAAACTATGCTAAATTTACTATTCCTACATACTGTAGTCGATTATTAAACGATAACATCAGTAATAATGATAACAATGGTAATGGTGATAGACTATTGCGAATAATATGGAGCTTGTACATAATTCATTTTTATCATGTAACAAATCCCATAAAAATTATACCATAAAAATTCCACAGATTTCATTAGAGTTACAATTTAATTTCTTGTTTAGATACACGTTTAAATCCTTGTCTGTTTGGCTATCTGTTTTACTTTTCCTATATCATTCGACTAATCTATATATCTTTATGAAATAGGGAAAATAATAAATTTGAACAAAACAGAAAACACTAAATAGAATTCAATTGTACAAAAGGTAAATATATATATTTGATCATCATTATTTTCCCCTCTTTTTTGTTCGTTTCTTCTTTCTTTCTTTACAATTTTTTTTGTATTCTTATTACATTTAAGCCAATATATTTTAATCGTCAAAATAATAGAAGAAGAAAAAAAAATGCTGAAAAAATAATAAGAGTAATACTTATTATATCTTTATGTGTATTTTTCAAATATAACATATATATATATATATATTAACTTTCAAAAAATAATAATACCCTTGCCCTGCATAGTAAGATGGTTACTAGGCACAGGTTTATATATTCAACTTTCGTAGTTTCTAGGGACCTGGTAAGCATGATTATGATTAGATACAAAAATAATAAAATATATATATATATATAATTCTATATTTGAGGACTTGATTTCGATTGATCGGGAATTAGTAGCGATAAATTCGATCTGTGTATATTACTTCAGATTTGTCTTGTAAGTTTATGGTAACCATCATTTCAGGAAATGAGCCTAGTAAAGAAGGATTTCTACCACATCAAGAATGGAATTATTAGGGAAAAAAATAGCATGGTTACTTTTTGTTTTATCCTTCATTTCATCCTTGGTTTGTATATACAAATTATAATAAGAATTCTCTATTATGTGCAAAAAAGAGAGAATGGGACATTTTGAAACAAGGATTTTTTTTTGTTATCTATAAAATATAGCCATTTTGTAAATCAAATGGGTGGCTAATATATATATATATACAAAAAGAAGAATTGGTAATTAGAAATGGAATATTTGTTAAAAAGAAAAACCACATGTTTGGTAATTAGCTATGGCAGTTTGCCACACTTTGAATTGCAGACAATGTAAAAACAGGCATCTTTAAATGACCCCCCTCGTGTTATACAAATTCTCCAACTACTCGGGAGCTACCCACTTGTTGAGAAGTAAGCCATGCCTTAAATTGTCAATAATCAAATCTGAGCTATTGAGGACAACCCCAAAACAGTCCACCCCTGTCTGGGCAGATCTGTCATTTCATATTATATATTCGATCCTAAAATAATACAAGCCACTGTGTATCATTACTATCTAACCTCCACTCCTTTTGTTTCCATGACTGTATTCTTTTTGAGCATATTGAGCCATGACAATCTCCGTTTGGTGGATACTGGTCTTCCCCTAAAGTATAGTTAAACGAGACCTGGACTGATCACACCCGCTAGTCTGATTGTATTTTTTTTTTCTGAAAAAAAATAATATAAAGATACTCCAAAAAAAAAGTCCTGAAGATTTTAACACGCTTTCTCGAGTACTTCCTTTAATATATATATATATATATATATATATATAATATACAAATATTCATTTACATTTACATTTACATACCTCTTGTACATTCATATATTCATAAAAGTATCCTTTCAATTTTCTTCATTATACAAGTTTAGACGTAATATATCATAATCCCTTTTAGTTTTTATTGTTCTTTATTCTTATTCTGATTCTGTACAGATGAATTCTGGTATCCCCTCTCGTCAATTGACAAACACATCCCAAGGCAGCCCCACAAGTTCAAGTAACCGCCCTCTGAATCCTTCTGAAGTCAATCTTGACAACCAATTCTCGATTTCCACTCATGCTTATACTGACACCCCCGGAAGTGAACCCCAGATGAAGAACAAGTTTATTCATGAATACTTTGGAAACGATACTGACTACATGAATGACTTGGACGACGAAGATGGCCAAATGCCTGTGCAACGAATAGGGTCTGACTTTAGAAAACGACGAAACTGGTCTGAACGCATTGTTGGTGATGTTGCAGGACTGCTACACATCTTGTCGCCGGTGGGGAAAATACTCTATTGTTCAGAATCCTGGATAGACTTGACCGGCCACTACCCACATGAGCTGGTTGGGCGGCCACTGACCGATTTTATGCATATCGACGATCTGGACGTATTCATCAGAGATTTCAATTTAGCATTCCATCGGCGCATACAAGTTAAAACGCACTTCCGGCTTAGGAAAAAGGATGATACATACATCTTACTAGAGTCTATTGGACAGCTAAAGTATCTATCGCCAGATAATTCTTCACAATCATTTTTTGCAGCCGCACATCCCTACTCCACCAAGAGCAATGTCCTGGTCGATTCGTTCTTGGAACTCAAGATGGAAAACGATTGGCTGAGGCAAAGGCTAAGAGAAATGTCTATATATGAGAATAAGCCTCCACCTCCACCTCCTCCACCGCCTCCTCATACTCTATCCATGCCCCGGATTATGGCCCCTCAGCCGCCGACCTTTGATCCCTCGGTGGCTAACTCTATGCCCTCCTACATGCTGCAAGAAGTACCCGAGAATATAACAGATGATGCGATATTCCAAGAGCCACGGCCATCCAGTCCATCCAAACGCACAAGCGATCCCGATGAATTATCCAAAGTACCCATAGAAATCTCCGATGAAGGACCCATGGAGTTCCGCAGCCCACCACCTGAACGCAAAGAGAAATGGAAACGACGCGTGAGTACTAAAATTGGAATATTAATGGATCTGAATATGTATATTTTATTTTATTTTATATATATAAAAATGTGTGCTATGTGATAAAGAAGTGCTGTAGTTAACAAGGACTGATTCTCAATATAATCCTCATTTAGAAAAAGCAAAGAAATGAAGACGATTATGTGTGTACCGATTGTGGTACAACAGCATCACCTGAATGGCGTAAGGGTCCTCAAGGATCAAAGACGTGAGTTCTATTTTTTTTTATTTATTTTTTTATTTATTTTATAAATTACAAGCCAATTTGTATGGTAGAATTTTGTAAATATTATGAGAGTTAGAAACAAACTAAAGTTAAAAATTGGCTTCTTCCATTGTCTGACCAATTGCTCTCTTTATCATGCCAATTCCAATTGAATAGACTATGCAACGCCTGTGGACTTCGATGGGCCAAAAAGAACAAGAAACATTTGAAAATGGACTGATATTTTGTGAGATCCTAGTGATCCCAATTCTCTCTTTCTCGGTCTACACACACACATACACACATACACACATACACACATACACATACGCACACAATATCAATAACTCCTCGCTGTATAATGATCATGACCCGAGGTTAAAAATGTCATTTATGTCTCTATTCTTCTTTTTTTATATATATTTTTTTTTCTAAATTACTCAATGCTTGTCTTTGCCTCACTATTATTTTTATTATTTTTATTACTATTGCCGCCATTACCACTGTTCTTATTACTATTATTACTAATATTACTACCACTACTGCTGTTATTGTTATTGTTATTGTTATTGTTACTGTTACTGTTACTGTTATTATTTGACTTTCATTTTTTTTCTTATGTTAAAAAAAATAGCTTATATGTCAATGTCCGATTTGAATGATGTTGTACCACCCTTTATATAAATATTTACACTCTTAATAATAATCACTATTGTTTCTCTCAAAATATATATTTAAATATTTAAATATCTAAATATCCAAGTATTTATATATAATTGTATACAACTGTATATAATTGTATAAATTTATATATACATATATACATAATATCTACATACAAAACACAGAGATCCCTTGTATCATCAACACATATTGGTTATTGAATTAATGACAGAAAATCACACAAACGGTCTATTAGACCTGCTACGAAGCCCAGTAAGCCCACAGTTTCTGTCCTACGTATCCAGACAGGCCTCTCTGGTGATTCCTTGTGATGACCAACCAGACCTGGATAGCGACAAAAACCCGCTTGTCCTACCCCACCTCCACACTTTTGTTTGCCTACTAATTAGGAGGTCTTCGATGCGATCTGGCACTATACTAGCCGCACTCGTCTTTCTGAATCGGCTCCAGAAACGTCTATCCCTGGTTGCAAGAGGAAGCTTCTGCACGTGCCATCGTATCTTTCTTGCCACCCTGATAATCACCGCAAAGTCTCTACACGACTCGTCTCCAAAGAACAAACACTGGGCAAGATATGCCATGTACTTCAACCTCCCTGAAGTCAATCTGATGGAAATCCAGCTTCTCGCTTTATTGGTACTATTCTTTAACATTATAGATTGGACAGAATAGCAGTAGTTGTAGTTTCTGTTTGATTCTTCTTGAATGTAGACATATGAACTCATTATTGGATTGATTATTAGGACTATGAGCTCATAATTGATATGGAAGAACTTCAGTCTGAATATGCTCGGTATTATCAGTCATCGCGACGTTCTTCTCTCTTGGAACTCTACCCTCAACCTAATCCTCCCCAATATTCACCGCAATCGCTTGAAAGCATAACCTCCTGCGGAGATCTCGGTCTAGTCCTCCATTATCAAACATTCCATCCAAACACATGCGAGAAACCACTGCCTGCTATGGTCCCTTCTATCAGTATCACACAAGAAAGTATCGCTACAGCCACAACTACAGTTCCATTGGATATTTATCCAATTAGACAAGGGTCAGCCTTTGTTACCAGCAACGAGCATCTACCGTCTCTGGCTTCATCGATAAGCTCCTCGACATCCTCAAACGATCTATCGATCGATGCTGATCATAGCCAGATCCTTAGTCACAGCGATGGCGGAATAAGGATGCTCACACCAGTTTATCCGGCTGCTCGTTTGCGCGATAGTACGCCGGAAGAGCCAATCCGGTACAAACATCACTCTGATGTCAACACCAGGGCAGACAAACAAGTCTTACCTCAGCTTCCAAAACCACACTTGGGTCACAGATTCTCGATAGATATGTTTGTTGAGTTGGGTCGTAATTCGAAATCAATGGGGTATACTCCCTCATGGTCACAAGAAGATGGGCCCAGGTTCTCCTATTCTCCTCGTATTGTGTAAACATAGCTAATATTTTTTTTCCCTTTGTAATAGTTCGATCGGGTAATCGAATATTTCTCTTTTTATATATATATATATATTTTACTTTAAAGTCTTGTACATTTTTCCTTAAAAAATAATCTTTCATTAATTAATAATATTAAAGCAAAGTCTTTAGAAAGAAAGAAAGAAAAAGGTTGTTTGGATTATACACATATGAATACATATACTTCTTCTATTGTTTGCTTTATTTTCATACATATATATATATATTTGTGTATTTGTGTATTTGACAAGTAGTGTTGTTTCTAATAGTAATAATTGGTATATACACCTTTAATGTGTTTATATTTTTTTGGGGATTTCTGTTGTATGATTTACAAAAGGCAGCAAGATCGCCTAGCTGCTTTTTATTATTATTCTTCTTGTTGTTGTTGTTGTTCTTTAAATGGATATTTGCATATTTAAGCCGAGGCAAAAAAAAAGAATTGCTTTTTTTAATTCATTCACCTTTAAAATAAGCAAGGGTTTAATAGACTATCGATTTGGTTTATGCATATTTATTTATTACCCACTTTGTGGTAAGCGACAAATAATATTATATATAACCAAATCGAATTAAAACAAAGTAAAGTAAAGTAAAGCAAAGCAAAGCAAAGAAAATCGATCGATCTTTGTTAGATATTCACAAAAAAAGAAAGAGAAATATGCATGATTGAATTGAATTCAAAGTACATTAGCACAATGGAAATAGCTCTTCACATTTTCGTCTTCTTTTTTCTAACAATCGATCCAATTGAGAACACTAAAAGCCCTTTTTTTTATATATACATATTTTGAATTACAACCGAGAACTAATATAGTCTATTCTATCGGAATTATTAAATGTAATGCTGATGCACGAAAATAAGCTTTACACGTGCAATAAAGAACTTCTTTAGATTCCTCTTCTTCTTATTTTGATGCTTCTTTTATTTATTTATTTATTGGAGAAACAGCAATAAAGATTGGGTATATAGCCTATTTTATAGCAATACTAGTAACAGTAAACGATCACCTCCTTTCATTTTATTATAATTATTATTTACTAAATTTAAACTAACCACAATTCCCTTCTTTGTGTAAACATTTGTATTCCACAAAGCAAACCACACCACATTACATTACATTGCATTGTCTATTCTTGCTACCTATCTTAATATCAGTAGCTTGAGGCTGTAAAGTATAATTACTGTTTCTTGAATATCATGGGAAAAATCACGAAAGAATCTTGAAATTTCTTTTTTAAAAATAATAATAAAATCAAGGTGGTAAATAAATTACAGTGCGTAACATTGGTTGGATTTTCGTTCTTATAAATTGAACAATCAAATTTTGGTAGAAAAGCATATTATAAAATAGTTTCATTTGACCCTTTTGTAATTGTACCCCACACCCTTAATTTCTTACACGTTTTACTGTTACATTTTCGACTCATTCTAAATTCACCCGCTTAATTCCCTGTATCTATATGTGTGGCCCTCGTGTCTTTCCGAAAATTGAATGTCTATGATTCTGTATGACGTGAAGACTTCTCCACTTGCATTTTTCTTATAAAAGAAAGTATATTATATTATATATATTTCACATGTTCTTTACACCCATAGTTAAACCAAATACACTTCTTCTTTTTGAAAGTAAAAAAAAAAATTATGATGATCATGATGAATATAATGATTATATTTTTATATATCTTTCAAAGATATTTTTTTTTATATAATTTATTAGAACAAAAAATAATGAATCGACATTTCATCATTTCTTGAATGTAGTATTTCAAAACTACATGATATTTACAGTTAAGAAGAAGAATAAAACACTGTATCTTTTAATCAAATCCTTATGGTTTCTTTTGTGCGGCGGCGACAGAAGCCTCAGTTTCAGCCTCTTTCTTGGACTTTGACTTGGGGTCAAAGTAAGGCTTCTCGGCTTGGGGGGTAACTCTCCATCCGTGGCGCTTGCCGATCTCAAGGTAATCAAAGATAGCACAATGATTGGTCACTCTGTTGTCCCAGACAGCCACACTGTTCTCGGTCCACTTGAAACGGACCTGGAAGTCATGGCCACCAGAGATGTGCTCGTACAAGAGCTTGAGGATAGTATCCGACTCGCGCTTGGACAGGCCAACGATATGGCTTACGAAACCAGGCTGGACAAAGAGTGCCTTCCATCCGGTGACTGGGTGGGTGCGGATGATAGGGTGAGTGGCCACTACATGGTTGCGACGAACGGTATGTTTTTGAGCCAAGGCCTGGTTAATCTGGCTCTGGCCAGTGTGGACAGCCTCAAGACCTTCGAGGAGCTTCTGGAGAGCAGGAGAAAGACGGTCGTAGGCAGCATAGCCAGAAGACCACATTGTGTCACCTCCGACGCTGGGCAAGGTGTCGATCTTGAGAAGAGTCAGACCAGCAGGCTGATCCTCATAGGTCACGTCCGAGTGCCAGCCATCAGAGGCGTTGCGGATGTAGTCAGCAAGATATTTCTTGCTACTGTTGGCAAGAAATACAGAAAGATATTAATACTTTTCTCTTCTTGTTGTGTGTATGTGTGTATGTGTGTATTTATGTATGCTTTAAGTTATCTTACCTTGTGTCAAAGTAAACAATATGAATCTCGGGAAGGTTCTCGGGGTGACCAAAGGTGTTGTGGATGTGGAGAGGGCCGAAATGTTTTCCAAACTCAATACCCTGGTAAACATCAATATCTTGGTCTCTGAAAAAGACCACACCACGCTCGGCAACCAAGAGAGCAAGATCATCCTTTTGGGTATCATTCAATTGGGAGAGCTGAAGACCTTCAATCTCGGTACCAATGTGAGGAGTAAGATCGTAAATCTTCTTGGCGTTGTTGAAGAGGGAGGCCTTTTTAGGGTCACCACGATGGGCAGGATCAACATGCTTGAAAGCCTTCAATTCTGGGTACTAAAAAAAATTCAATACACAATGATATGTAAGATGGATTATTCAAGGACATATGTATGTTCGTAAAATTAGTACCTTGGTCTCAGGATATACAATATAAGGACCCTTTTCGCGAGCCAACTTGGTCAAGTTAAGCTTAGCAAACTCCTGGGTAATAGATTCAACGTTTGGTGCCATTTTGTTGTTTTTTGTTGTTGTTGTTGTTGTTGTTGTTGTTCCTGTACTGTGTTTTGATACTTGTGATGATCAAAAAGACAATCAGTCTAGGTTGCTTTTGCTTTTGCTTTTATACTATTATTATTATTATTATTATTATTTATCTTAATTAATTATGGCGTGCTATAGACTATATATTCCTTTATTCCTTCTATTTTCCCTTTGGTTTTCGATTAGTACACGTATTTGATATTCAAAGGACATATTTTTCTTTGCAAATCCACCGTAGTATGGCGCAATCTAAAGTGACTAGCCAAACGCAACCTTGTACCATATACTTTTGTAAGGTCCAGGTCACCTATCTACCCACTGTTATCTTACATATTACTGTTTCGGTAAAGGAAAAAAGATGACGCGGGAATAATGCACCAAAAAAATATGAGAATTGCGCAAGATTCTACATCCATGATGCACTTTATGCCATAAGTTTTTAGTATGCGCCACCAGCTTGCGCGATTCTTAAGCTTTCTTGTGTATTTCCATGGGAAAATCTAATTGATAATCTCATTAAGATTTGGCATTTACAGCTGTAAAGCTTACCTATAAACCCAAAAAAAAAAATCCAATCTAGTCGTAGATAAGGCTAATAATCTTTAACCAATTATTTTTGCTTAACATAGTTTAACCGAGTTTATTAGCCAATCATATCCAAATATTTTTAAAATGAAGGAGCCAAGCAAAACCTATATTTTTCTCATGAATGTTTTTTTTTATTTTATTTTTTAAAAAAAAAGAAAGGTACTTTTCAATAGTTATTTTTCAACTCTTTGACTCTTTAGCTTTCTTTCTTTCTTTATTTCTTTTCTTTAGTAGATAAGTAACATTTACATGTACATTCATACATATACACATAAATATATTCTTGGTATTTTATATAATAATATTTATTTGACTTCCTGAAATTACTTTTAGCCTTCTCTTTTCTTTAAAATAATAATAATTATGATGATAAGGAGTAATGATAACAGTAGTAAAAGAGAGAGAGAGAGGTTTGGATAGATAGTATATGTGTATAATATTTAGGTTTTAGGCATACGCTATAAAAGTATGGGAGAGGAAGTGGAAATATACAAAGTATAATAATAACAATATAAATGTGAGAAAAAAGGCCGAAAAACTGAGGTGTAATGAACGGAGGATTTGATAGAGAAGAAGAGGAAATATAAGGTGGGAGAAAGGGACTGTAGAGAGCATGATTTCTTTGATCAACAAAAAAGGAGAAGGAAGGGGTTGGGTGGTGGTAGTGGGGATTGTGTGTGTGCGGGTGTTTTTGGCTTTTTGGCATAGTGAGTCTCAGATTTTGCCTTACTAACTTATTGGCTTCATTCCTGCTGCGGCGTACCATCTTGAAAAAGATGAATTTCGACGAGCGGCCAAGTATTCTGCTTTCCAGACAGCAAATTCTTTGTCTGTGGCTACACCGTATATTTCGTACAATATAGGTCTACAGCCATTGATACTTTCATCTATTATGTACATGAATTCTTTTGCTAGATGGGCCTTGGGGTTTCCTGTAATGAAATCGAGAGAATAAATATGTCATATTCTCCAACCTATATATCTATATGGATCTGAGATATAAGTTTAACTTACTCAAATCAATTTCTTTGAGTTCCTCTTGGATAACTGTATAACCAGAATCGGCAAGCAGTTTGCCCACTTGTTTGGCAATGTGGACGTCCAGATCATTGGCTGCCATCAATACTCTCACTAAAAATTTATATAAATATAAGTATATTTTGTTTGTGTAATAAAGTATTTACAAATAAAGAAAGTGCTTATATATATATATATATATTTGTATTTGTATTGGTTCAATGAAGCTAAACTTACGTTTATTTGTGTATACTGTCAAAAATTCATCTGTAGCTTCCTATTTAGGAAATATATTTATAAAAAGAAAAGTTAGTTAATTAATATTCAACAGCAAAGCAAAGCAAAGCAAAGCAAAGCAAAGCAAAGCAAAGCAAAGCAAAGCAAAGCAAAGCGAAGCAAAGGAATATGATATGATTTGTTTTATGTTATATTATATTCCATGAAGGACAAACAAATAAACAAAAGTTAATAAAATTGATATTTCCTACCTCAAATAAGCATTCTAAGAGCTGGACACATCCTCCTGGTCTCAAAACTCGATAGACCTCTTTGAGAACAATTGGCCAGTTTGTAAGCTGTAAACAGGCACCAAAGAGCCGCAGCTGAACAAAATCAAAATAATTGTCTTGGTAAGGAAGTCCATCGAGAATATCGAGGATTTGGAAAGTGACATTTGGAGGGCGGATCGCCTGAGGAAATATTGGCAGTTTATCTATGCCAATACAGGTTGCGTTTGGATTCTCGGTAGCTACGTCCTTTATATAGAAAACATCGGATATATGAATATAAATAGGAATTAAAATTAGAATAAGTGTAATAATAACAATAAGAATAAGAATAATTAGAACTGTCAAACTATGTATGATTTTGATACAATGAATTGCATTGAATGTCTATGTGTGTTTTATGTTATAATTACCATAATCCAGCTTCCTGTTCCAACTCCAAGGTCTAGGATTCGAGTGGGACTATCGAAATCAACGTACTTGTTTACATTTTTCAAGATATTTCTATATAAGAAAATAAAATAAAGATTATAAAATGGTGTGAGATAAATTTAATAAAATATATGTTATATATATATATATATAATTCATTCAATTTAATTTAATTTAATTTAATTTAAATTAATATAATAATTACTGTTGCAATTCCAATGATAATTATGATAATTATTATTAAATGGAGTACCTTACCCTTCGAACAAGGCTTTAAGACCAAAATGTTGCTGCAAATTTATACCATATAATAATAATCATATTAAAAAATTGTTTAAAGAAAAATTAATAATAACAATAATAATGATAGATATCCAATAAAGTTTTATAGATGAATTGGTCATAATAATAATAATAGAAAGGTTATTACCACACTCATGCGGTCACTGTCTCCGTTTCTATGAGGATCAAAGCATGCTAAAGGAGAGCTATATGCCTTTTCTGAGCCGCGCGAATCGTAGGTTTCTCTGGTATCCAGTGTTTCGATAGTACTGTGAGATGTAGGGTTACTATGATCACTCTTTCGTCCGCTGTGTCGTTTGAAAGAGTCTTTTGGTATCGACATGTGGGTTCCCATTGTAGAGTATGTGTGTGTGTGTGTGTGTGTGTGTGTGTGTGCGTATGCGTGTATGTGTAGGTATGTATTAAAGGCGTATCTTATATGTTTATTGTTGGTCTTTTTGCTGTTCTTGACGATGTTGGCAGTGCTTTATTTAATTATTTAATTGCTGTATATATATATATATAAGAATAAAATATAAAGTACTTGATTTCAGCTTAGAAAAAATATATAAAAGGAGAAAAGGAAGGAGAAGGAAGAATAATTGTCGAGAGATTCGCAAGATAATGTTTTGTCTAAAAAGACTATGCGTGTGTGGCTTGAAATGGAAAAGAATACACGGTTTCAGTTTCTGTGTTCCCTTCAACCGGGGGGTTTGTGTGTGTGAGGGAGATGGCCTCTTGGGAAATAATGTTTTTGACAAGGGAAATGGACAACCTTCTGAATGAAGAATGCTGCGACTAGATGCTACCTTCTAATTGGGACATTATCTCGCCTGTTGCACCGTAATGGATCACATCACAGCTGGTTGTACGGGATAGCATGGAGTTCGAGGCAAGACAAGGGAATTGAAGACCTTTCTTTTTTTTGTATTTTTTTTTTCGTTCGTATGGTTTGAAATCGAGAAACTTAAAGTGTATTTTATGTGAGAAAATCTACGTTTGGTTTTGTGCTCAGTTCACCGAAAAGAAGGACATAAAATAAATGTATATTTTGAATGAATAATCATTTGAGAATTCTATTTTTTTTTATATATTATGTTAATAACGGTAGTCTAGGATACAAACTTTTCTTTTTTAGCAAAGGCAAGTAAATTATAAGTTATTCCTATAGGTAAAACATGACCCAGGACTACAGCTTCACTTGTTTCTTTTACACATCTACACTGGTCACTTTGTGCTGAGGTTTGTGCTGCTTTCCATATTTGTTCATCTTTGTGACATCTTTATTCACCAACATCCCCTCCCCTCCCCCCTCTCTTCATCTTTCTCATCCACTCCCCCCAAAGTGTCACTAGTAAATCTTCAGCTATTTTATACTCTGCTTAACATTCCGCTTTAATAGCCCAAGATCAAGTGCACAAAGCGTACAAGTTTACAAATGGACAAGTATAAAGTATGCCTTTCTTTTCTTTAGAATCATTATAAAGAATAATATATATACACATATATATATAAGCGTATATGTTTATCAACGCAATCTCCTGTTTTCTCCGCCAAAAGACTTGTTGTACTCCAGCCTCATATGATGTTCTTGGGGGAAGTTTAATCTGCACGGTCCTTGTTGAGATTCAACGAGGTTCATTGCTTTAGTTCGATTGATCCTATTTACCTCCTCCACCACAGACATTTTATGGTGTAACCTGGGATTAAATTTAGGTTCTTTGTACGAAGGTGCTCAGTGTCGCTTTTTACGGAAAATCTATTTTAAACCATATTTATATTTATATATATTAACAGCAGACATCTCAGTGAGACAACGTTAGTTGGAGTCACGAATTGTGTAAACAGTAATCCACGCTTCTGACACCTATTCTCAGGTGCTCTTAAATGTCATTACTTGGTTAAATTAGAAAGAAAAGAAGACAAGAAAAAAAAGGAACGTAAACTAAATAGCATTGGCAGAAACGAACAAGCTAATATTAGTCCAACTTTGTAAACTGCGATCCTAAACAGTTTGTTGGACATTTTGAATCTGGTGCATTGCTCAATTACCACAAATCAAAGAAAATTCCTCCTTATTATCCTTATTAATTTGGTGACAATTCTGTTTGAATCAACTCATCTAATGTCCCAAGCTTTAATTTTTTTCTTCTTCTTGATTACTGTTGTTGATCACAAATTGTTATCACTTTCTTCGTCAGTAAACTAGACAAGTAAATTCACTTGAAACCACGGAACTGTGCGATGATGCACACTAGTAAACCGACTGCCTGCTGACCTTGTGCTGTGAGAATATTGTTTTGTTGGTAATATACATAAATAGGTATCATAATCCCTTGGTCTCTTTCTTTTTCTTCTTCTTTTTAATAGGGGTATATCAAGCCCAAAGTCAAGCTTTATAAAGTACCCAACAAATTTGAAAAGAATAAGAAGAAGAATAGACGACACAGATCCATTTGACAATTGTGTGTGTTTATGTGTATAATATAGCTTAAAGAAAAAGAAAAAACAAGAATGTATCTATAAAACTTGGGGTGGTTGTTTTATTAGCCTCACTGCAATACATTTAATTATCTCATTTCACTTATAAATTATATATCATAAATCACGAATGAATGAATGAATGAATGAATTTTCAAAGAGATATACTTCATTTGTCAAGAATACTAAATTTACATCAAAGAGCTAAAAAGCTGAACAAAAAAATGATCTGTGATTATCAGTTATGGCTTTAAATCACCTTCGTAATCAAACCATCTGATAAATTTGAAACATAATATCATTAGTGAATATATTACAAATACTTTGAAAAAGGGGGTATAGTAAAATATAGAGTCTTTGATTATACTAAGAAGCTAGGATATATTGTTATTTTGAACATTAATAATATAATCCTATAATTTTAGTATTGTACTTCTAGTAATCACACTCCTTTTACTTTAAAGGTCAAATGTATATATATAAATTGGGTGTTCTGTTCCTCACCCCCCAACAACCATTTAACTCGATAAAATATAAATAATTATATAAAAAAAAGGGTAGAAGAAAACCGTTTGAAATGGCGATATTGATTCCTTATGTCTGTGATGTTACTTTTTGAATACACTGTTTGTGTGGTATATTGAAAAATTTAGTTTGTGGTTGTACTATGATGGTCTGAGAGTACAGTGTCCTACGCTAAACCCCAGTGATGGTGCTTATTATTGCTATTTTTCTGAAATAAAATCACTCGAATTGAATTGAATTGAATCAAATCAAATCAAATCAGATCAAAAATCGTGGCCATAGTAGGTACACCTCTTTGATGTATATATATAAAAATATATTCGCGCGTGTGTGTGTGTAAGTATATACCTATGCACGCGCGATTGTAGCACGGACACTCTATTTCTTTGCTTTGATTTTTTTTTGACAGGAGTTGGCTAGTTATTAGTACGATTAATGAAAATGTATAAGAAAATAAAAGCTATAGTTATTAAGCAATTATTACATTTCAAGATGTTTAAATGATATGTGTGATAATCAAATAAGAGATATTTAGATCGTTTCTTTGTATATAATTGGATTTCACAATACATATTTAATTCTAATGATAGTGATAAATAACTTTACAGAAATAATAGGAAATTATTATTATATATATTTAGAAGACTTTGGTATACGGGAACTCCACATGCTATTTACAAATAAAGACAATCCTGAAACCCACAAATTCTACAAAAGAAGAACTTGGTGACATTTATCGAAAGATTAACCTTTTTCTTTATTTCTTTCTTTCTTTTATCTTTATATATCTATTCCTAAAAACAGCTCCGGCATAGTATCAATATTCTCCATTTAATCCCTTGACATGTCCACCTTTTCCTGAATAAGTGTCAGCTGTGAGAAATAAGAATACAAAGTAAAAAAAGTAAAAAAAAAGTAACTTTTTTTTTGGTATATCTTTGAGCCTTCAATAATTATTCACGTTTCTAGGTATATATATATAATTTAACCGTGTATTCCAAACGAACTCACAAAAGCTGAGTATTTTTCAAATAGGGTTCGGATACACGTTTCCAAGTGCCTCAGTTGATAGGGTTTCTTCTGTTTGTACCTCTAAGTGAGACAAAAAGACAAGCCGGCCTTGTTATACATGAAAACAGAAACAGAGAAGAAGAAAAGAAAGCCATAAGAAAAAATTCTAGTCATATTCCTTGTATGGCTTATTTCATGGCGATCACCCGCCTTTTGTACTTATTTCCCACATTAAACCTCTTAATTTCTCTTCTTATTAAGCCATTCGTTATAGGTATCTTCATTAGAATCTTACTCGTCGGATTAAATCGAAGCTAAAAAAAAGGCCACGGGAAACAAAAGAAGGGTGATTTCAAAGACGATAATAGCACTACAGGAAAATAATTGCTAACAATTTTAAGATAAAATACTAGCAATTATTATTTATTTATTTATTTTTAAAAAAAAGTCTCATGTTGATTTTATCAAATGTGAGATGTCTTGAGCCTAGTTTTGGTACCTTGAGACTGATATCTAAATAAAATAAAATCTTGTTTTTAATTCAGAAAAGTCATCTTGAGTGCAAAACTGAGGGCGAGCTGCTTATCAGGTTATGGTATTAAATAAAGGGAACAAATGCAGCCTATAGGCTACACCTATATCTTCAACTTGAATTTAAAGAAGTCTTTAACAGCTATGGAAGCTAGTCTTGATAAAAAATGGACATGTCTTTCTTACTTCTCAAGGAAAACACTATAAATTTTCTGGGAAATAATAATAATACAACACTACAAGCGATTAACAGTAGCCATTTATGTTTTTTGTTTTTATGTTTTTTGCTTTTGCTTTTGCTTTTGTATGATATAAAATTTATTGGTTAATATTACTTGTACGCTAATCAGATATCTCAATAGATTTGAAGGATCGCGATTGGGGGGTTTTTTTCGCTCATATTCTTTCCTTTCTACTTTATCAAAAAAAAAGACTAGTTCTAGTGATGAAAAAGCAAAACCTCGGATATACATTTTTTTATTTAATAAAAAGGAGTCAATTACTCGGTATAGTTACTCATAAATAGCGTAGTGCTTCAAAAAGATAAATATGTATGTATTCTTTTAGGTATGCAAGGTAAAATATAAAACATCGTTTTAAGCACAGAGCATATAGTTAGATTATAACCAGAATTTCTATCATATATAATAGGAAGGTACTTCTTCTGTACATACTTTATATTTTTTACACTATTTTTGATCCAATGGAAAATTAATAAAAGCCATAAATTTTACGGTATAAATCATTGTGAATTTGTTAAACTAGTTATAAGAAGAGAAATGGTCTAGATTTATCATATCTACTTGATAGAAAAAAAATGATCTAGAATCCCATAAATCGTCCCTGTTAAAAAGAAGTGACATTCTATTGGCCTAGACATAAAAAAAAAGGTACGGGTCTGGAGCTGTAAGCCAACCAATCTAATGGTTTTAAATACTTTTGTTAAATTAGTGGGTTGATTGCAGAATTTAATGCATTGGCCAAGAAACCATTCATTAAAGCTACATAAAAATCGAGTCTGTGCATGCACACACACACATATACACACACATACTTGAAATTGTTAAAATCCATTCAATTCAATATTCAATTTAAACCTTTTTTTTTTTAAAAAAAAACAAAGATTGGTGTAAAGTCTAGGATGATGTTTTGGTGACCAAACACATCATCTCATTATAATTCAATGTAAATGGTAATAAAAAAAACAAACGTTAAATATCATTTACACAAGTCTGTCGATTAGTAAAATCGTATGAGCTTATTTATGACATGACAAGCACCAAGAGCAAGAGCAAGATCGAGATCGACCAGCACAGCGTCAATTGTGTTCTTGTGTCAAAAAAAAACAATTGATTATATATATATATATATATTAAGTATTGTTCTTATGTTGAGCAAGAGCTCAAAAGGAATCGAGTACCTGGAATAACTGAGAGTGGGAAAATAAACGTGCAGTTAATTCTATCTAGATTTTTTTTACACAGTGACAAGTGACCCTGTCATTGATAGAAACCATAGAGCTTTAAGGGGAATATATGGTTACTCTTGTTAACAGGTGTACGAATTCTTGAAGTAGTATGTGCTACATGTCCGTTCTTGAGAATCTTTCTGTTTGGCGGGTTTTCTTTGGATGTCTAAGCCATATGGTTCAAGTGACACATTCCAGATGAGCTCCATGGAGGCAGAGGAGCGTTCTAACTCCAATTTAAGATTAAAGCAATCCCTAAAATCCAGTTTCTTTACGCACACACACACATATATATATATATATAAGTATAAAAATCTGATACACAAGAACTGCTCGTAAGGTATTTACGATAATCAAATTTATAAATAAAGTAGAAAAGAAAAAAAAAGAAGAGGTTTAGTTAATCCGATTGCTCACATTTTGTGTCGACTTTCTTGAAACACAACACAACAACAAAAAAGGTACTCCCCCCAAAGATATGTGTGTAGCTTCAACAAGACACAGTCTGTGTGCAAACCCATTTAAAGATATGTGCTGAGTTAATGTTCGATTCATGAGATACAGAAAAATCAAAGCAGATGTAAATACCACATCATTAGGAAAACCAAGCACAAAAGAAAACTAGGTGTGTTACTAGTAATATTTACACCTAAAGGAATTGGATTTTGAGATTTATGGTATATAATTCTCTTTCGGAATAAATTTATGGTAAAAAAAATCGAAACCAATATATGTAACCTAAATGTCCAAGGACCTGTATCAAAGGAAGATACTACATTGAACAATCAGGAATCTTCTTTTTTTTTTTGGTAACGCCTTATTTTGATTTTTGATTTTCCCGTGCCCAAGAAGCTTGTGATTCAATTTGAGGAGCACCACATATATATCTATAAAAATACACACACAAGGAGTGAGAGTGATAATATGTTATCGGCAAGAATGATAGTAATGACGTTAGAGATTCACACTATTCATCTCAGATAAATATAATTTTAATAAAAAAAAACCCCCCAAGGATAAGAATGTGCGACAATGTTTCTTTATGTTATTGAAGAACCGTTTATTATTGGGTAGGACTGACAAGTGTTGGGTTGGATTGTAAGTGCAACATTGTCGAGAATAAATGTGGTAGAGAGCTACCAACGAGTTCAAAGCGGAAAATATGAATAATATAAGAAAAAGAGTAAGATACTGTGATCACGCTCGAGACTATCCAACAGTGAGAATACTATTTGAAAATTTTAAGGAAACAGAAAGATATACCAAGAAGTATGCCTATGAGTATTGCGAAGAATTGTTATAAATCAGGGGATAAATAATTTTATGCGAATAGATACGGGAACAAAAGTATAAGTGGATCAAGATAAATAGCAAGATATGTTTTATTATTATTGTTTTTTTTTATATTAATAGATTTAGTACTATCTTACCATAGACTTCATAAAAGAAGTAGATTTATGAAATATTATGCGTAATAGTATACATTGAACAAGTATACTTGAATAGAAAGATAATTGCTCGCGTGGTTAACTTGGAGCATATACAACTATTGCTACGAATTGATCTAGTCGTTAATCGGTATGAAAGATATTGACGATAAGAGCTCTGTTTATCAGATAACATATGCGCGTGAGGAAGAGAAAAAAGAGGAGTTTTTTTTTAAAGAGAAAGATACTACACTACAGTGTAATCTCCATAGGTACATATGGGCCTGGAAGCATATTTTTATTGAATCAGATTGATTAGGGCGGGTATGTTTCTTGGAGAACAAGTAGAGGAATTGGGAATTTTTTTTTTGGTGATGCGTCCAGTCTCACCACAATTATAATACCTCGTAAAAAGTTTTGGTTGGGTCGGGTATATAACGTTAAAGTGTCTCTCCTTGCGTCAGTATCTTTAATATAAAGGCATAGATTTTGGCCGAGACTCAATCTTGCGGTTGCCAAAGGTACCAGACCAGATAGGTGGATTTCATCCATTAATATTTTTTTGTATCCCTCGTCGCAGTGAATTTTAGAAGTGTCATCGGCAGCTGTGGAAGTGACCCAAAGTAATTAAATAGATCCTTATATGTGCTCCCCGATAAAGTTTTTTCTTTACATTATTCCTATTTATTTTCTTGTCGCCAAGTTAGACATTTACGCCACATAGCTAACCCACCACCGTGTAATTAATACAGCCGGATGTGAGCAACTTTGCCGAAGAGATGAAAAGCATATTTAATAGGAGCCTGAATATCTGGGTTTGTGCGGCACAGAGTTTAGTGTGTTGTAAACGTGAACTCTAATGAGAAAGTTATCCTTCGAGATCCCAGGCGATGATTCTTATCATCTTGTTTTTTACGACGATTCCTTTGGTTATTGCTTTGAACCGACTCTAATGAGCACCTAAAAGTACCTAAAAAGAATTTTACTAGGTTCATATTTTTCTTGTGATCAGGCCCATTGTGCCCGAGGATTGCGATATAAAGATCATCTCAAGCTTATGAGTGTTGACGATTTCATGCAGGTTAATGACTATACATTCCGGGTTGAGAGAGGACATGCCAAAATTGTAGAAGTGTGGTATTGAGTTGACAGACCTATTGTATTCTAATGTAGTGAAAAGTGTTATTGAAATATTGTTGGGACATGGTTTCCCCATATTCAGGTGCAATTTCTTGCTGCTGTCGGGCTTGCCTAACTTTTATAACCTGTTTCTCGGTATGGGTTTACTGTCAGTAGTCGAAATTGTATAAATTCGAAAAAAGAGTTCAAAGTGTTTAATTGATTCGATTCAATTTTCCTTTTCCTTCTTATTTCTTTGACTCTAGTTCAAACGGGTGGTCAACAATGCCAAAGGTGGGCCAGATCAACAGACCCCACCCAATAAAGTTCTTGTTTTTAGCAATCATGATTTTTCTATTAGATAACACGTCTAATTTAAAACTTGTCTCAACCAAGCTCTGAGTTGGTTTTACTTTGATATTTTAGGCACAATCACTGATATTAATTAACTAACTAATTAATTAATAAAAAGAAGAAGAAAAGAAGAAGAAAAGAAGGAGAAAACAAAACATATATATAGTTTCCTTGGTATGAGCTAGTTATCTAGCTAACTATAAGAGAGTTGATTTTGGAAGTAGTGGTTTCGCTTATCTACTGATAACCACCAAATTGAGATCATGAATTCATTTCATTTAGAAATTAAAAGATAACGGTGAAATGAAATGCATAACCAATTTTCCAACAAGCACATTTCCCTTTATTTTTTGTGGAGTGGAGAGAGAGAGAGAGAGTATACTCGAAAAGTGAGTCACGCCAAAACACTTCCCACGTACTTTGTCAAGAAAAAATCCATCTTTTTTCATTTTGATTTCGTCACGTGAAATATCCACAGAATCTACCTTTCATTTTTTTTTTGCAAAGTATAAACCTGAACTCACTCAAAATCAACAATAGACCCCCATCATATTATCTTATCGCTTTAGTTGGCATTAATCCTCTTAAACCTTAAGCCTCTGCTCCCTCTCCCTGTCAAGATTTTTGTGATTTGTATGTATGTATATATATTTATAAGACTTTTTGTAATTTTTTGTTTGTTTTTACAAAACTGATATTGTACAAGAGATATGTTTAAGCAATCAAAGCCTTGAGCTGCTCCTCAAGCTTGGGGAGACTGGCACCAATAACCTCGCCGACCTTCTGGCCATCCTTGTAGAACAAGAAAGTGGGCATAGCGCGGATGTTGACATCGGAAGCGACATCGGGAACCTCCTCAACGTCAATCTTGGCAAAGACGATATCGGTGTAGGTGTCAGAAAGCTTCTCGAACTTGGGGCCGATAACCTTGCAGGGACCGCACCAGACGGCGTGGAAGTCAACAGCAACCTAATAGTGGTATTAATAGAATAGATATAGATTAGAATAGGTTTGGAAAATGTATTTATGAAATCTCATTTAACATTTTTCTTATCATTTTTATTCTCTATGTATGCGTGTATGGCTATAGCAAATACTTACGAGCTTGTTGTTCTTGATCAACTCGTTGTACTGGTCAAGGGAGGTGGGGTGTCCGGTAATAGCCATTTTTGTTGTTTAGATGAAAAATATATTAAGAAAAAGAAAGGAGGAACGCGACTTTAGATGGTATTTATATCATTTGGATTTAACTGAGAATACAAAGTGCTTAGTCAATATATCGGATATTTAAATATTATTTTATATACGCACACTTTTTATTATTATTATTATTATTATGATGATGATGACGATGATTCGATCTCATAAAAATACAGTTTACCTAGGAAATCACATCGGGTTAAATAAGGCATTTTTTTTATTAATATTAATATCATTACACTTTAGAAAATGCTCGGCTTTGTATTGAGATCCGGGAGGATTTCCATTAGAGTTTTAAGCTTATTTTATTTATATATATATATATGAAACATACAAGACTTGATAAAATTTAGCTTGATAACTAATCAATACATAAAAGTCAAAGCAAATTTACAATATAAAATATATACATATATATTGTTTAATATTTTGTTTTTATTAGACTATAATACATGTACTAAGCAAATATCAACCAGTCTGTTACTAATTCTTTACACAGCAAGATGTATATCAATATACTTCCTTGTCGTATCCCAATTCTTATTTTACTTTTGGCTCTAGGTCCTGAAAGAGAATCGTGACCAGAATTCCCTCTTCAGGTACGGTGGTGATCGTATCGCAAAAAATATAGAGAACTTGCGACATTGGCTATATTTTGACACAAACCTTATTTCAAATAGCTTAGATTGAATTTTTTTTTTTAAAAAAAAATGCAGAGTGTGATTGGTAATGTGACGTCGAAACACAAGCCTTGATGAGCTGAAGAAACCGATAATGACTGAATAATCTACTATGATTGGCCATGTGTGTTTAGAGTTGATTAGGCATCAAATAAAACTTTTGATTGGCCAAAATAAAAATAGCCATGTCAAGAAAACCAAACCGAAGCAAACCAGTGCTCATTCGCTTTGATTTGCTTTCCAATAAACTATACAAAAAAAAGGTGCTCATCCGCCACAATAACAAACGATTATCAATCCTCCGTTCCCACCAATCTTCCTTTTTTTTAAAAAATAAATAAATAAATAAATAAATAAAATAAAATATATAGTGATACACACAAAAATCCTCATACTCGTTACTCATAATCTCTCTGTCCATATCTTGCTATGACATGTTACCCTATCAAAGCTTGGTATATTTATATTTAGAAATAATCACAGTAGAAGAATGAGTAATCATTGAATAGCTTTATATAGTTTATAATTTTTTTATGTATATATTACTAAAAAGCTTACAAATCAGTGATTTTAACACACTTACTTCTTGATGATAATTGTATTAAGCCATGCACTCTACCAATCGTGCGTCTCATAGCTTTCAGTAAAAATACAATATCTAAACTTGTATTAATAATTGGTGTGGACAGACCAAAAGTCCAAAAAGGGCAAAAAAAGAGCAAAACTGTAAATCATATCATTGGTCGAGAGTTTTAATTAATTTTACCCTTTTTTTGCCCTTTTTTTTAAACCACCAAAAAAAAGGGCAAAAAAAGGGTAAATTTTTTAATCGACTCTAATTAGCTAGTTTTCTTCCATTGTCACTAGGATTGAGAAGAGAAGCATTTTTTATGAAGATGTGCCATATAATGAGAGGTCTAGAAAGACTCGCAATAAAAGGTTCTCACTTAATGATAGAGACGGGATTATATGCACAATTTTATCTAAATATGTATTTTGAACTTTTTTTGAACTTTTAGTCTGTCCACACCAATTAATATTAATAATAATTTCTTTTTATTAAACGACAAAAAAATAATAATCTAAATTTCCAAGGTTAAAATGGAAATGTAACTATAAAAATATCATAGTAATAATAATAATAATAATAATACTAATAACAATAAGCTTCTCTTTTATAAACACATCTTGATATTATGGGTAGGGTAAAAGATGTGGGTACAAGACTATTTTCTTTGTAGGAATATTCGTGTAATTTTTTTTTGATTTAAAGACGAGCTTTGGGATTCACGTTAACATCTTCGCAAAGTACTCTGAGGTCCCGCAGCGCCTGTCGGATGTTTTCTGCAAATTCCTTGGTTGACACACTCTTGGCACCACGTTTGGATTCAATACCGAATTTGATGAGTTTAGGAGCAGGCATGTAGTTGATGCCATAGCCATCAGGGTATACAGCACCAAATCCAGTACCCATGAGACGCACGCCGGCATGCAAGCTTGATGTACTCAACAACCAGGTCTGAGAGTTGGCATATGCAGGATCCTTAAATATGGGGTGCATTGGTACATCCTCAAACTTTCCGGATTTGGACAGCATCTGGTGGTCAGCGTTCAAAATACGGAGGGCCATCAGATGACGATCGCAACCGTAACCATCACTTGCGATCATGGTGTAGTCGCGATGGGCAACGGCAGCTTTTTGCAGAAGCTCATACTTGGTCTTGTTCTATTCAATAAACACAACATAATTTTAAAAGTTAGCGAATAAATAAATAAACTAAGCAACCAAATCTTTATCCATTTTTCTTTTTGTGTGTACAGGTGTGTGAAACTTACATCAACAGAAGGGTTAACAAATGCTTCGACAAAGCGTTTGCTGTCAGTGCTGCAGGATCTAATGGTTTCTGTGCGACCATGAAGGTATTTTCGAGTAGAACCAGACTCGTAGGTAGGTACGACAGTGTTGTGAGTACGGAAATAGGCCAATTGAAGAGCCATTTGGTAAAAAGCATCTGGAGGAACGCGTCCAACCTTCTTAACCCAGTCGTTACCAAATTCAGTAAATATAAGGACATCCGAGTCGGATTTTGAGGCAACGGCATCGGCTGCTATTTGAGCATCTGCCAGACATTGGATTAGTTTGGCGTCAGATTTCCAGCGAAGGTGGTTAACAGCGGACAAGTTGGCTGTTGCTGGTGTAGTAGCCTTGCTAATAACACTAGGATCGAATGGACCAGGACAGGTCTCCATGAGCATGTGATCAAATGTAAAGCTCACAGTCAACGCATCTGCAGGAGAGTGTTCTCCAGATACACCGCACTTTCCGCTGCTGTCGACAATAAGCAAAAATGATTTATCAAACCAACGGTTGTGTCCGTTTCCAATACCCTGGTTTCCACAGAACATAGAACGTGTGCGATCAGAAAGAGCGTCTCCGTGGCTGTAATCGTCGAGGGCAAGACCAAACAAACTAGTCTCAATTATCTGGGTGTTTACACGATGGGAAGGATCGATGGTCAACAAATGGTTTCGAGCCACAGCCCAGTTGTCACGGTCCCAGCTGGTCAACAGAGGAATAGCGGCATCCAGTTGCTGAAGGTTCTGTACATATGTAACAATGTTCAACAAATCCCTAAAGTGAAGTAGTGGGTGTAATAGTTTTTTTTAAGAAAAAAAGAAGCTTTGGTTAATACTGTTTCATGAATATATATATACATATATATATATTAGTGGTGGCCTTTCTATTAACCACAAAATTATCAACTCTTTCTTTCTATTTATCCATACTTCTCTAATGCATCAACAGATTTTGGACCGTTTTGATCATAAACTTCCAGGTTGAACAATTGGTCGCGAACAACGACTATGATGTGACGGAGCTTTGAAGCATCGCCTTGTAATACTGAATCACAGTGGGGAAGGGGTACACGCGTAACACCGAAGATACGACTGTACTGCCACATGCATTGCGCCTTGTTACCTTTCATCATCTCAACAGGAAGTTCCTGTCTAATCAGGCACAAGATGTTAGTTATAGTTCCTTCCCTTTCTTTCCTCCCTTTTTTTGCAAGGAGTAGTTTTTCTCATATATATATATATATATATTTACCTGTCAATAATTTCTTTGTAGTGAACACCGCGTAAAACCATGTGAGCAGCTCTGCGAATCTGGAAACGAGTGAATTCTCCAGGGGCAACCGACTTGGCGTTATTGGCCAATAATTCCTTGGGGTGGTTGGCGTCATCCTGACCAAGGATGTACCAGTTGCTGTTGACCATCACAGGTTCACGCCATTCAAGATATGCTGCACAAAAAAGAAAGAAGTATTTGATTAAGTTTTGCTGTTATTAATCTATTTGGCACTGATGGTACTGTAGATAGGTTTACCTTTGTTTAACCAGAAATTATCTTCAAGCCAGTTGTAAGGCGACTTTTGGTCGAGATCAACGAGTCGTTGTTGGAGGGATTGAGCAAGTTCACTGGTCTGGAACTCAGTTACGATGCGCTCTGTGTTAGCATACTCTTGGGGAGTGAGGAGAGGTACAAGAGTGCGGAGGTAAAGGTCACAACTGTTCTTGAGTGAGGGTATTGGGAGACGCGGAAGTGTGTCCTGAAAGGAATATGTAGCAGGAGCCATTGTGAAAATACAAAAAGGAAAGAGCAAGAAAAGGGGAGAAGAGGAGTGGGAATAAGGATTGTTGATATATTTAAAGGCTTGATAGATGCCCACAAATACAAATCACATTTCATGTGACAATCTCATGTTGTCAAACCCAAACCCCGCACTTTTCTTATGTTTTAGCTTTGGTTTTAGTTTTTCATTTCTATAATATGTATATATATGTACATACATATTAGTATAAATAGAATGACTAAAAAACGATGAACGAAAATGAAAAAAAAAGGTCAAGGACCCTTCAATTGTCTATCCACAAAAATGACCCTTTAACCCTTTTAAATGAAAGAGCCTCAAATTAAAACCCATAAAGAACTTTACATTAAGCTAAAATTTGACATGGACAGAATGCTTGTTCACAGTAAACCCACATTACAGCACACCGCAATGTAATATAATAAAATGCACCACAGACTAGCAAACAGCAAGTTAAATTACTATGTAGGCAAATGAAAATAGAGAAAGAGAAACCTATGTGTATTAGGAAATGCTACCAAAATTAAGGCTGTGATAGTTTGGCCGAGAAAATTTAAAAAAAAAATGGTTTGCACACCGTCACATTGTCTTGGTCAACATGCAGAATTTAACCCAAGCAAAAAAAGAAGGAAAAGAAGCTTTGTAAACATAAATAAATTAGATTTTCCGAATGAATTTTACCCACCGAATTTTATATTTTTATTATTATTCTTTAACCATCAGATAAAATATCGTCTTGGAATAATCTATCATTCAATTTCCTTGTCTCTTTTTCTAGCTTACTACATTAGAAATCCCAAGCCAAACTACTTGGTAATAAGCCTATGGAAGTTTAAGAACAACCATAACCAGATGTTGTATTTTGTAGGACATTCGGTCATACATAAAGTTCATTAACGTTTTTTTTTATATATCTCTTACAATATCTGGTTTAACATCCCAGCCTAGCATCTTGGTTTGGCATATTGGTTTAAAGAACAGGTTCAAAAGTATAGTACACTATTCCCATAGATCATTTGTTCCCTCTTAAAGCCATTTCAGTCTAGACAAATGTGCTCTATCAAGAACAATAATTCTAGGGAGCCGACATTTAAATTTTACCAAACTACCTAAAAATGACTTTTTTATGCAGAGTCCAATTATTATATTTGGTCATTAACGATCCATAAATATTATTTTTTATTATAATAAAATCATTTTAATAAAGAGAATGTGGACTTGTATTAGAACACGCAACCTCACGATCCAAAACCCTACACTATAAGCATTACGCTATAGTGACAAGATTTGGACTTGCATTAGTGTATACTCGTAGAAATTTGGTCTAAAATACTGACAAGGCATTTGATCTCATTTTAAATCATAACGCAAAAAAAGGAGCAAACAGAAATTTTATTGGACATCTTTATATTTTACGCGATTATTACTAGAAATTTCTTAGTCGCAAAAGAAAGAAAGAAAGAAAAAAAGTTGCTACGTGGCAGTTCAAAAATGGCCATGACTGCCCTCCATCTCGTAATTTTTTGGAACAAAAAGAAAACTGACCTTTTTTTTTACCCAAGCACTCGGCTCTCTCTTTTTTATTATTATTATTCATTAATTATTATTTCCTTTTCTTACCCAACCAACCACCTAACAAGAAGTTATATCATAATATAATATAAATACATATAGATACAGATATTAAGCCAATACAAACAAAGAGAGTGAAATGACATTTAAGGACCGTACAAACGAATTCCATGCAATTGCAGACAGAATACGCTCTCGTAGCCACGTGCCCAATGCTCTCGAACGTCGGTCTCTCATCCAGTCTCCATCTCCCAGTGGACAGCAAGCCTCTCGCAGTGAATTTTCTCTGATGGCAGCAGAAATTAGTCGAAACATCACTAGTACAGCCGGAAAACTTGAGAAACTTACTAAATGTAAGTAAGTTTCATATATGCACGCAAAATAGATAGGTAGATAGCTAGCCAATAATGAAAAAAAAAACAGAGAGAGGAAAATATGATGTGTACTAATAGGTTGTAGTGGCCAAACGAAAGACGTTGTTTGACGATAAGCCAGTGGAGATTGGCGTAAGTAATCTGGCCAATCCAGAAAACAGAAGGACTGATGGATAGGTTTAGGAATTGACGTTTATTATCAAACAAGACATTGCCAAACTTAATCGACAGATTGCAATGCTCCAAGACTATACCAAGCGTCAGAAGCAGTCATCGAAGCAGGCATCTGAGCATACTTCAAATGTAGTCATTACATTGCAAAGTAAGCTGGCAGACACTTCTATGAGTTTTAAGGATGTATTGGAGATTCGGACTGAAGTAAGTAGATGAGATTATGGATGGGGAATTGGGGGCTTCGTATAATTGTGGCAATTCTGATGAAGTTTTGTGGCTATTTCATATTTGTGTAAATAGAATATGAAGATGACAAAAGATAAGCGGGATCAGTTCCTGTTCTCTGCAGCAGAGCAGTCTGGGCCGCCTGCTCTGGGTAAAGGACAAAGGAGACAGACTGAAGCAGAAGTAGTGACTTATGCGGGTTCGACATCCTTTCTAGCCAATTCACCGCTCTTAAAATCACGTCGGCGCCCCAACAACGAACGAACGCAGACACCGGTAGCATCAATAGGAGGTAGTGGTATCGGCAACAACAATGGAGGATATGTTCCTCAGGATGAGCCAGAATCCACATTGTCGTTGGGCATTCCGATGCTCACGCCTCAACAACAGCAGGAACAAATGATGGTTCTGGAACAAGATCGATACATTGATCATCGGTCCACAGCTATCGAAAGTATTGAGAGTACGATTGCCGAGTTGGGAGGTATCTTCCAACAATTGGCCACAATGGTTGCAGAACAGCGAGAGACCGTACAACGGTAGGATTATTGATATGTTCCGCAATTACTGTTGTCTACTCAACACTTTATGTATATATGTGTGTGTGTCTTTCTCGGTTTTTATTCTTCTTCTTTTTTATAGCATTGATCAAAATACGGATGACATTGAAATGCATGTAATGGGTGCTCAGAGAGAATTGCTGAAGTATTACACAAACATCAGCTCAAATCGATGGCTAATTATCAAGATCTTTGTCACAATTGTCTGCTTCTTCTTACTCTTTACCCTTATCATGTAAAACCAAACGAGCAAACCCCACAAGGACCTTGATTTTTAGAGTCATGCTCGTTACGTCACGCTCGTACACTTGCCCCGCTTTTTTTTTTCTCTTTAGAAGAGCACTATACACTGTGCTTCTTTTTGCTTCTTTCTCTTCTTTTTTGATAGATAAAAACAAAACAAATCTTCTTTATTATTTAACTAAAAAAACGAGCTCAAAAAGAAAAAGTGTGAGATACCACTCTGTACCTTTGGATGCCTCATTTGCTGGATCATCTATAAGGAAAGGAAAGAAAAAAATAAACTGCGCGGTTCAACAGTAATTGCCATGGACTACTATACGATGAACCATGATGACCGCCCATCCTTTGACTCCTCCCCACACGACTACTTCTTGTTTGACTCGAATGATATCAACATAGGTCATTCCGACATTGATTCAGCAGGGGTAGACTATGAGTCATTGGTTAACACAAACCGAGAATTGGTGGTACAACCCTTTGACAGTACAGAGAATAATGAACACCAAGCAATTCTGCTTTCAGACCCTACTTATGTTCGCCAACAACAGCTTCTTCAAGGCAAAAAAGAAGTAGAGCTCAGAGATCAACAAGGATGTGGCGTAGAAGAAGAAAGGCACTATGACCCCTCGTTACGATCAAATTTGACCGCCAGGCTCGATTTTCAAGAGCAACATCAACATCAACATCAACATCAATACCAACATGAATACCAACCCCAACCACAACCACAACCATATAAGCATCAATACCAAAGTCAGTTTTTTTCTCACACTTCACCTTCGCTCTCACCCTCGCCTACTGTTGCTCCCTCTACAAGCACAAAACAGTGGAGGGAACCCAGTTCCTCCAGCCCTCGAAAGATAACACGCCCAATTTCACAAATAATTCCTGTTTCTTCTTCTTCTACTTCTTCTGTTGAGATTGATAAGGGTCTTTCGGCAAAAATTGATCATCAACGTAGATTCAATGAACTTCAGGCACGTTTCAGAGTGAGTTACGGTAATGGACGCAAACCATCTGGGGGCCAAAAGTCGGTGGCAGCAACAATATCGTCATCATCGTTGCCATCGTTGCCATCAACACTAGCTAGTACAAATTCTGTTTCCGGTAGTATTAGTACCATGCCGCAGATAGCAACATCAGAAATGGAGGAGAGAAGTCAATTAGAAACCCCTGAGCGAGGAAGATCTTTCTCGCCTCCCAAAGATGGGAGCGGGAATCCCCAGTCGCCTCACTTGGCTACTTCTTTTCCATCCCGCACAATGCCTATCCAGATTCAAAGAGTACAGCGTGCCAATACTGCTCAGCCGTTTGATGCTGAGCAGCATCAGCGTAGGCTGGATGACCAGCTCGTGAAAACTGACTTTGGAGACATTACTGTGTCAGAACTCAAAGAAATGCTACGGCAAAGAAGCAAGCCGGCTACGGGTAAAAAAGCCGTATTAATGCAAAGGTTGCAAGATGAGCGTGATATAATCAAGGCCGTTCGCCACTCAAAAACACAGCGCCACTCCCAGCCTCCGCCCGCGTCTAACCATCAGACCGACGTCTCCCGCCCACGCTCTTTCCAAGGCATCCCCTCTTCTCCTTCTTCTCCTTACATCGGTTCTCTCTCTATAGGACATGCATCATCTGTTGATGGTCCTTCATCTGTCCCAAACTCGACTAGCTTTGTACCAGGATCGCCTGCGGGATCAATTGGATCCACTGGCTCTTTGAATCGGTCTATCGACAATCTCCACATTGGATCTCCTCCGATGGCGCCACAACACATCCGCCGTTATTCGCCTTACTCACCTCGTCCTGCACCATCCCCAAAACAATTTACCGCTCAATCTTTACCCTCTGCTGACGAATTAACTATCCAGCCTTCATCCTCGTGTTCGTCTTCATCATTGCCGCGTTCTCGCCCTTATCATCCAGCCTGGAGCACTGGATTTATTGGTGGCTCTGGGAACGGGCGTGCGAAGACATACGCGCCTTTCACTTCATCCAATCTTGCGACTCCTGATAATGATGTTGATGTAAATCCTTTTGACACGCTATCTTTTGATACAACTGAGGTTAAAACAGAGACAATGGAATGGCTTGATCCTTCTATGGAAGATATCCTATTGCAAGGTTCCATGACTGCATCACCACAGCCAACTCATCTTCCCCTTCCTCTTACACTTCCTATCAATGACACTACAGAGGCACCTCTTGACTTACTCGGAACGCTCAGTCCAGAGGATTTTATGGCCCTTTTGGGTCATCAGGGCTGGGCTGCCTCATAATTCCTTCCAAGATATCATATTCCCTCCCGTTAGGTTTCTTCAAACATCATTAGTCTGACCAACCCTAAAAAAAATCCAAAAAAAAGAAGAGCCTAACTAACCCTCTTAAGTAAAGAAGCCCACCCTCCCCCTCTTTATTATTCAAATCTCGCTGTACATTTCCCCAACTTTTGTATCTTTCTTCTTCTTCTTCTTTGATTTCTTAGCTTTTATCCAAACCATATCCTTTTTATTTTTATATCCTTTTATATTTTATATTCTATATTTTATTTCATATGAATAGATAAACGGTTCCCATCCTCCTGGTGAACCTGTCCAAAGACCAAGGGTTACTTCATAGACACACCAAATATCTTACAATTAGACAACAATAATTTTATTTATTTTTTCAAATTAGCACAAGCCTTATAGATCACAGCTTATTATGAGATTATGGTCAAGACTCTCTTTTTTTCATTTTTATTTATTTCATTTCTCTTTATTAAGGATAAACAGAGTATTTTATTTAACCATATTGATAGTTCGTTACTATATACACTATGGTAATAATAACAGACTTGGGTGATGTCTAGACAAGATGAATTTCATGAAAGACTGATGATATACTCTTTTCTAGACTGAGATGGTTTTAAGTTTCGACTTCAATTTTACTTGATTGCAATTGAAGAGTATAGTGTAGCTATAATATTTATTGAATTATATCATGAATGAAATATGTATAAAGTGTTAATAAAGCCCAAATGTTTAACAGGATTGTATGATTCCAACACACACACAGGTAGATATATATGTGTGTGCATGGTTTACAAAGTTGTATTGTTTATATATATATATATATATACATCGCCAAGAAAGATCAAGAGAAACTAATGCTCGGACTAAACACCCTTTCCAGTAGTGTTGCGCCAAAAATTCATTGTGTTTTCACTCTGCCACTTGATAAATTCTTTGACACCAGGAGATGCTATGTGTCCAGTAGGACCATTGACTGCATCCTTGAAGGAGAGAGAATAAGAACCTTTTGAATAAAGGTCCTTTTGTGTTTCGGCATCAATGGTCGGTGATGTCAATTTCGGTACTCTACTGTCACTGTTTGAACCAGGAATAAACTTCTTTCCCATGCGAGGAAGAGCTTGATCCCAAGCAACATCTTCGGTAATCATACGAACAACATCATCAATACGTTTATCTAAGGTCTTAAGGTTGAAAAGCTCCTTGGTGACTTTGACTATCAACTCCTCTAGTCGAGCCTTGAATGTGGGAACTTGCATAAGTTTGTTGGTAAGCGGACGCAGATGGAAGCCAGGGAAATCCGAGTAATTTCCTGTAGTCATTGATATGGTACTAACAAATCCAGATCCCATAATCAAGTCGAGATCAGATGGCAGGTATATGTATCGCTTGGCTTTAGTCTCATAATAGAGATAGTAGTTGTTGGACATGGTAAGATACCCGTCTGAGTAGCCTACAAGAATCTCGAGTGCAATACTAAAGTAGAAATAAAGCCAAAAAAAAAAGGGAGCAGTTTGGAAGGAATAGGTTAAGCTTACTGTATGTGTGTATATTGATTTATTTTTTACCAGCGAAGAAAACTTTCGACATCAAGATTGGACTGCCATATTTGCACAGCATCCGGGGTAGTAGTTGGTGCATCCTTGATAAACTTTGTGAACTCCATTAATGGTCGGTAGTCACCGATGCTGTTTGCTGGATTAGCTTTGATATTGTAAGCTCCAAGGGCATAATTTGTAATGTTTGGGTAGTAAGATAGATCGGATATAACGCCTGCTAGTAGTGACTCAGTAGTTCGATATTTTCCTTGGTAGAGAATTCCCTGCTTATAGTTTATATCTCCATTGGCAAACTCATTTTGTATCCAAGGATTCTGATATGCCTCCAAGAATCCAAATAGGCCCAAAGGTTTGTCATTCAGAATAACTCTGTTTATAGCAGAATATATAGGATATATAAGTTAGGAGCTTTTCTTTTATTACCTATACTTTCTTTTGTTGTTGTTGTCGTTGGTACTTTACCTGACATAAGAGTATTCGGTAGAAGCAATACCGACTGACTTCATCACATCATATCCAATAATTTCACGGATATAAGACTGATCAGTAGCAAGAGCACGCAACTTAAGACGACGGTAACCATACAAATGGTTTTTGGCTTTTTTCTTCAATTTTAGGTTGTAGGAAACCTTTTCAAATAAGCGAGAACTATGACCAGACAGTCCGATCTCAATGTCAGAAAATGATTGGACATCATGTGGGCTATTCAAAAGTACGTGTGAGAACTTTATATATATATATATATATATATATAATTTATGGCTGGAATACTTCTTGAAAGAAAGTAAGAGTACCTTATGTAAGCCATATTTACAGACACGCTAATATCTTCCATTGAGTTTGTGTGCATATTATCCAATGCAGTCTGATTTCCAGAAAGGTAGATTGTAGGAATTTCACCATCAATGTGCAAGGGTGACTCAACTCGATTGATTGCCGGAAGAGGAGGAAGGATTGGCTCGACTTTAGATAGAGGAAATGTGTTCCACTGACGTCCAAAGGTCTCATTCGGAGTACTTTCGCTGGTCTGCTTACGAGAAAAAGGTTCGACCCGGGTGCCATTTGTACCGGCGTTTATTGCATAACTGTAACCCTTGGCTGCCTTTGGTGCTGTTCCGGTGTAAAGGATAGGTACTTTGGGAGATTGTGAAAGAGGATATGGTACATTGTCTACAACCACACTCATAGAATGTTTCCCGCCTGTAAGGGACACAACGCTATACGTTATCTGATCTCCTGTGCTTGAGGCCGAGACAACAACGGCAAGTGCGAAAACTAAACCAAAGAATATATACATTTATATTCATCATTTGTAAGTCATTCTTAATATATCTATATGTATAGCTTTACCAATAAAAGTTATTCGCATAGGTAATGGTGTCTAGTATAATAAGAGTGGGCAATGTGTTGTGGAAAGCTAATTATTTGGCTTTTTATAAAGCTTTAGACCTTACGTAGGCTAGATAAGTGATTGCAAGCACTTTTGCATTTTAAAATTAACCGAGTGCCGAGATGGTTTTGGTATACTTATCAAGCTAATTTAAATAGCTCATAAACCTTGGCTATCTTGCCAAATATCCTCTCATATTTTCTCCAGGTCCATTTATTTATTTTTACTTTACTTTGCTTTATGTACATGATATATATATATATATCTTTACAGCAAATAAACCTATAAACACAGGGAGAATCTTGAATCTGAGACTTCACCAAAGGGGGCTGTGGTTGACACCCCTAGGATGTTGTCCCGGTCATAGATATTTTATTTTATTTTAGGAAATTCTTCAAAGGATAACCTATCTTTTCGGTTAAGCCTATAATTTTAAGAAATTGTTATCCAATATACTACTAAGTATCTCGAATGTATAATGATATTCTGTATTCAATATGTTAAGATAACAATGATCATATTATATGATATATCGATTAAAGATATTTAGATAATGTATATTATTCGCTGAGTCGCATATGTTTGCATACTTTTCGAATAAAACTTAGCAAAAACACTCTTTGTAAATAAAAAAGATACATAAATAAATAGAAGGCGAGAGCCAAAAGCCCCCTTTGTTCAATAAGATCTTTTATATATATATCAAAGATGTATAAAATAATAAGTATTCTTGGTTAAATTATTATTTTTTGTATATGTATAATATCATTGATAAAGATATTTGTATGTGTATATCTATAAAATGGCTCTTCTTGGTATAATAGAATATATATATATATAATGTATTGTTCAAAAGAACTTGTATTTTATGGCGAGCCACCGTACTATTTGTATCAATTACAACTGTTATTAAGTATTATGCAACGGTGATACTACACTAAGCAGGGATTAAGGGGAGTAATCTATCACATGTAATTAATTACAGAAAAAATATCCTTAATGGTGAAATTATAATGATCTACTGATACAAAGCTGATCATTAATTTACACATTATCGAAATTGCTTTGCTTATGTATTATAGCCCAATAACTTTCTTTCTTTCCGGTAGATTTGTGTCAAGATTTAACCGTGGTTCTGTACTCTACCGGTTAGTAATAATAATAGTAAAATCCCTGGACTTCTTGCTTTCTTTATAGTATTGTTATTCTGAATATCCAGCTTAAAAGCAAAAATAGATAAATATACTTTCGCCTTGTGTCTCACAGATGGAAGTATTTATTCCGACGTAAAAGAATAATATGAAAGGGGACAATACGTATATATATATTCAGCTTTATAGTTTAATATCTCTGCCGACTCACGGTTTATTGTCGTTGAAGGTAGAATAAAGTGTATATAAAGTACGTGCTATGTATGTGTTATGTTACTGGGATGTGAGCCTGCCAGGTTCAGTAGCAATGATATGATCTATTCTGAGTCCTGGAGTTTGTATTTCACCCAATCTGCGGTGTGTATGCTATATATTCTCTGCATGTTTTAAAGTTGAAATTTACTTGTAAAAGTAAGATAAATGTATATACCTATTACCAAGTGTTTGCTGTAATTGTAACATTTTGATTACTTTGGAACCTCATTCAGGAAAATTTGTCTACAAGTTTTTTATAGCAGAGCTGTCATTATTCAATTTAGGCGCCTTCTAAATTAAAATTCGAATTGGCATATTTTATTGGCCAGGCATCGAAGCAAAAGAAAAAATATATTTCAGAAATATACCCTATATATTCTTTATACTCTATAAAATATTATTCAATACTTACTTGTTGTGTTTATACCGTTGGGTGTTGGCAGATAGCTTTTTGACATTAACAGATAATTCTACCATTTATAGACTATGAAATACTTTATAAAAAGGGTCTGAATATATCTGGTTTTGTGGGGTAACTTACAATAATAAAGTACATATTTATTTTTGGCTTGTTCAACCTCGGAAAATTTGGGTACTTTATACAATTTTTTTCTTATTCTTTTTATAAATTAAACATGAATTCCAGGGTCCCTCCTCTTTTTATTGTCTCACCTACCAAATGATAAGTAGCTGTCATTTGGAGTATATTATCGGATATTTACCATCGAATTTGCACTAGGCAGCAGTTAAAAGTTTATAAGCCGAACCAGATCAAATCAAATCAAATCAAATCAAATATATACATATCTCATGAAGATGTCTATGTACTACTTACTATAGACTATCAGTTTTGTTAGATTCTTTTTAAGAAAAAAAAAGATTATCTTTCTTTTTTTGATTGGTCATAGGAATACAAGTCACGCAATAGATATGATCTATTACTGATTGTTGGTATTCAATAATATTTATTACCTTTTAGTATTATTATTTTATTATGTTATTTATTCAGTGAGTGTATTGCACTACATATTAAAGGTTTAATCTCAAGCCACTTGTTTTTTTTTGTTTTTTTTTGCTTGGTTAAAGGTCGCTGTTTTATTTATTTATTTTTTTAATTGCTGTAAACGCAAGTCTAATTTATATATATATATATATATATATTATATATAATTCCATTCTTTTGGTTCTTTTTTTTTTTTTTACTTCTTCACTCTGTATTCTACTTTTCTTCATATTCAATTGAAACATGGATCAAAAGGCCTCGTCGTCTTTTCCTGATTCAGAGACTATCCCAAGTGGAACTCAGTTCGAAGCGTATGCGCCTCCGAATCCTCCAAACCTGTTCACGATCGTACGTGGACAGGTCCTGACTAAGGAAGGATGGTGGGGAGATTTTGACTGGAAGAACATGTGTATGCCATCTTTCCTAGTCAAAGGAAAGACCAATGCACCCTTTTGGGGTCTCAACAGTCGTCTCCCACTTGGTCTGGCTGCTATCATGGGATTCCAACACTCTCTTGCCATGGTAATATATATATATATATATATATTATTCTAGCTTGTATAAATAAGCATACGAAGAAGTTTTCTGTACAAGTCATTAAGCCTCCTTCTCCCCTTTTCCCCTTTGCAAATTTTAAGTTTAAATATTATATATATATATAAATTAATTGAATTGAATTGAATTGAATTGAGTTGAATTGAATTGAACTGAACTGAACTGAATTTAACTTTTAATTGAATTGACAGGTCAGTGGTGTTGTTACACCTATCTTGATTATGATTGGATCTGGATCGACTTCCCTCAACCTCACATTAGAAGATCAGCAATATCTTCTTTCAGCTGCACTCATTACTTCGGCTATCCTGTCACTTATCCAGATCACTCGCTTCAAAATATACGGCACAAACTATTACATCGGAACTGGTCTGCTCAGTGTGGTCGGTCCTAATTTTGCCAGTATCCCTGCGACGGCTGCCATCATCAAAAACATGTACTCAAACGGCTATTGTGAAACTTCTGTTCTCGAAGACGGTACAATCGATTATCTCCCTTGTCCCAAAGCATGGGGTGCCATTCTGGGAACCTGTAAGTTTCTTTGTTGCTTTGTTTTACTTAATAACAGTAACACCAACCAAGAAATTTAAAAAAAAAAGCATATCAGAAAAGTTTGAAAATTCATGAGATTCTTATTTTACATTTTTTTTTTCTTTTTAAAAAAAAATTAGCTATGGTTTGCTCTTTCTTTGAGATTGGCATGAGCTTCTTGCCTCCCAAGATGATCAAGCGTATTTTCCCTCCAATTGTCTCTGGTACAACAATCTTGCTTATTGGATGTAGTGTTATTTCTACTGCTTTATCTGATTGGGCTGGTGGATCTGGTAAGTTAAAAACTAAAAAGACAGCAACAATGAACTCTTATTAATATGGCGTATATGTTTTTTTAATATATATGTATATAGGTGGATGTTCATCTCGTCCTGAGACAGGGTACTATTCGCAATGTCCCAATACCGATGCTCCTCATCCTCTTCCCTGGGGCAGCCCTGAATTTATTGGCCTTGGATTTGTTGTATTTGCTACAATTCTATTGATCGAAAACTTGGGGTCTTCGTTTATGAAGAGTGCTCAGGTAAATATCATACTAGGTTATTTTTAGTGTACATATTCTGACTTGTGAATATTATCAGATTGTTCTTGGATTGATTGTCGGTACTATCGTTGCCGCTGCTTGTGGATACATTGATGATAGTTCTATTACCAGTGCCCCTGTAATTACATTTGTTTGGGTCAAGACATTCCCAATAACTGTGTATGGCCCAGCTGTCATTCCATTTTTGATTGTTTATCTGGATAATATGCTGGAGAGTATTGGTAAGTTTATCTTTTATATATATATATATAAATAAATGAGTAGAGTGGATAATGATGTTATGATACGTATATAATGCTAAAAAAACATACACATACAATTGTAGGTGATATTACTGCTTCGTGTGATGTTTCGGGTGTAGAGGTTGACGGACCAGCATTCCAAGCACGTATTCAAGGAGGTCTGTTGGCAGATGGTGTCAATTCATTTATTGCCGCCTGCATGACCATAAGTCCCCTTGTTACTTTTGCCCAGAACAACGGTGTGGTAGCTTTGACAAGGTAAGGGTTATATAAAAATAATATATGTATATAATACAGGGGGGGAGGGGATATTCTAGCTCTAGACTGAGAAAGAGAAATTGGCTAAACAGACGGCTGGTTTGTTAATTGATTGATTGATTTTTTTTTCTTTCTTTATAGATGTGCTAACCGTGTTGCTGGATACTTTTGCTGTTTCTTTATTTTGCTGTATGGAATCTTTGGCAAGATTTCGGCTGTATTCTTGGCCATCCCAAAGTGTGTATTGGGCGGTATGAATGCCTTTTTGTTTGCTTCTGTCACTGTGTCTGGAATTCGTATTTTGGCTTACCTGCCATGGACCCGTCGCGATCGTTTTATTACAACCGCATCACTTGCCCTTGGTATGGGTGTCACACTCTGTAAGTACATCTTGAATTTAAATGTCATTACTGTCAGAATTTCTGTCCCTGGTTGATCAGAATACTAAAACTAATCGATTCTGTAAATACATAACAGGTCCTGGCTGGTTCTCTCATGTGTTTAGCTATAGCGGTAACAACGACTCCCTCAAGGGTTTCTTGAGTGCTATTGAAACTATTGTGGATACTGGCTACTGTATTGGATCTCTGATGGCCATCTTCCTTAACCTGGTGGTCCCTGCTGAGTGGGGCCCCGAAACTATGCAGGAAATCGACGAACTTAACCAAAAAGAGCGCGATGAGATTCGTAATGGGTTCCTTACCAGCAGTACCTTGAATGAGGAGCACAATTTATCTGAATTGAACGAAAGAGCCAACCCTTAGAAATTTGGCTATCTTATCTTGCTTTATTTCATTTAGATATTACATATATAATTTCTCTTTTCAATCAATCAATCATTTATTTATTCTTTTATTTTATTCCTTCATATCTCTACATATCTGTCTCTGTTATATAAAGCCTTATTATTGCAACATTAGTAAAACATGTATTCTCTTTTAGAACAACAATAACAATAATAATATCTATTACACAACCGCATAAAAGTTTATTATTGTTCTGTTCATCCAAAGTGCACAAACAGTCAAAACCAATATATAGAAAATAGGGAATCTTTTTTAAAGAAAACCTTGTAAAACTTTAATAGACATACATGCGTATATACATCTACATACATTTGTATATATATATATATATGTATGTATGCCTGTGTGCCTGTGTGCTTGTATGCTTGTATGCTTGTATATACCAAGAAAGAAAGAAGAAAAGAAAAAGAAGGGTGGTTCTGGATGTAGGAGCTCCTTTATGTTATATATGAAACTCAAGCAAGATTCTACAATTTGTTCTTTCTGTGTCTTTATAGAAAAAGATAAAGCCATTATTATTACTATTACTGCTACTATTACTATTACTATTACTACTATTATATTATATTATATTACGCTATGTTGCGTTGTGTTGTGTTGTGTTATATTTTGTATTCTTTTTTTTTCCTATTTCTCTCTTATTCGCAAAGACAAATTTAAAGGGGGGGTGGGAATGAAAGGGAATATCTCAAAGACGTTTTCCTGGTACAGCACAAAAGACTATTAAGACAAGTGAGGTCAGAGCTATGAATAGGAGCAGGAGAGCAATGGAACGATTCCGTAAAATCAATTTGACTCGTGGTTCTTCTACAGGGTTGAAATGAAAAGTAGTTGTCTCACTGTATATGATTCATAAGATAAAAAAAATTAGTCCAAAATTAATGAACAAATAAATGTGTAAAAATGATATATAAGAGTAATTACATGCCTGATGTTTAGACACAAAACCCAAAATGGATCTAATCCCGCCAAACCAGTTATTAAGCAAAAGAGACCGGCTCCAATAGGCAATAGACCCTAAAGAAGTAGGGCAAAAATAAGGAATCACAAGGAGAAAGAAGAGTGCAAGGGTTTCCTTATTTTTTCCTTTCTTTCTTTCTTTCTTTATTTATTTAATTATTTATCTATCTATCTCTTTCTTTCTTGCTTAAGAAGTTTAAAAAAAGGGGGGTAGATAGTTAAAAGGAGGAGGGGTGAAGAAGAGTATGAAGAAGAAGAAGAAGAATAATAATGATAATGATAAAAGGAAGAAGAAGAAAAAGGCAAAGAATTTGTCGTGCCTTTTTTTTTTCTTCTTTTATTTTATTTTTGTTCTTTTGGTATACTTTGTATGTTTGGTATTTGATGTATTTACTTCTTCTTCCTCTTAATTTTCTTGTGTTTTCTACTGTTGCAAAGATAATAGACTAACAAATTCAAACACTTACCCAGATTCGTCTTTGCCAGGGATGAATGTTTAGAAATATCAGGGAGAACTCTAGTGAAAAGCCGATCATAAGGCCCAAGAGACCTGCGACAATTCTCCCGATCTGTTGTTTTAGGGTGAGGTTCATTAGAACCTTGTAGTGGACAAATGTCGGAAAAACCAATTGCAGTAGATGGTGTATGTGGATCTTGGCTGGTCCAAAGATGTGTGGATCGGTCGGTGTAGTGATCTGGCCAGCAAAGTGCTGGGCTATTTCGCTGCGGAGAGGAGTGGGCAGCTGCATGATCTCTTTCTCAGCATGCGGGACGATGTACCGCAAATAGATACGCTCCACCAGTTCCATCATGTCGGTTTGTGTCGGTGGTAAGGGTCGCTTTGATTTTGCTGAGTTGGTTTGGGACGAGGCAGTAGCAATCGAATGGCGTGCCTGGGTCAGAAGCATTTGAGTGACCACTTGGTCTGATTCCCGGCTGTTATTTGTAGACAAAGGTGTTTTGGGGTGAGGCTGAAGAGGTTGGGGAGGTATAACAGATGGTCGGTTACTTTTTCTCTCTTGGCGTAACAGATGTCTTTCATAGCGTCGATAGAGTATCTCGGCTTGCTGGACATCGAGCCAAAAGTCCAGCATTGTTTCAAGTTTGAGACGGTCTCGTAATACGATGTAGTAGTTGTAGAGACAGACAGGAGGTCTACTCTCTCTCTTGAGGACCTGGTCAAGAGTAGGTAGCCACTCGTCTTCTGGACTGGCAGAGAAGACTAACCAATGGTTGTGTGTCCTCCAGTTGGTTGGCTCAGCTTGCTTTTCCAGGACCATTAAAAGTAAGAAAAGAGAGAAAGAGCTGGTCAAGCCAGAAAAAATACATGAAATAACAAGAAAGAGAGATAAACAAAGAAAACCATCAGTGACATTTTGGAACAGAAATAATAATAATAATAATAATAATAATAATAATAGTTCAGATATATACAGAAATAAGCAAGAAAAAAAAAAGAACCCCTTCAAATAGACACACATGTGTATACATATATGTGTATATATGTGTATATCACAACACCAGGATGTCTCTTTATAATGAGTTATACAATTGACTGTTTACAATAAATATGTAGTTTATCAAACTGGCTCTACTGAGCTTTCAAATACAGGCCCTAGCTTTAACAGTCTTGTATATAGTGTACCCATACATTCTTTTGCTTTGTAAAATCACAAACAAACTTTCAAACTGTGACACAATAAAGGGTTGTGCATTAAGGATACATTCTGGCAGTAAAATACCCCATTAATTCTGATAAAATAAGAGAATCTTATATATATATATATATACTGTTTGTGTGTAGGTCTATGTACTGATGTCTAATAAATAATAGAATATATAAAAGTTTTAGGGGACAAGCTAATGCCAAACCCACGCACACTACGCACATGCATATATAAATACATTACACGCGCACATATAGCATGTTAAATACCAAAATCCGATAAAATAAAGGGGAAGGAGAGGGGAGGGGAGGGGAGAGGGGAAGAGAAAGAAACCAAACCAATCAATCATTTTTATTATCTTGTATTATATTATAATCATGCAAATTATGTACGTCTTTAACCTTTTTCACGTTTAAATTAAACTTTGAGGTTGTATATACAAAGAGGTGGTGTTCACACCAGTGAGTGTGCACGGGAAAAATAAAAAGAAGAAGAAAAACACTGCTAGGTGTAACCTACCTCCTCTATATATCCATTGACTTGTTCTGTGATGTCACTGTGAAGCAAAAGCCAAATGTCAAATTCTGTTTTCTATAACCAAAATAATATATATATATATAAAATAAAAAGCCGGCTAAATGGTGTAAAAGAGATATACCACTTATTATAATAATAAACCCACAACAACAAAACGACAACAGCAAGTATTGGGATGAGTACTGACTATCATACCATGGCACTTCCTTCAAGTGCAGAATACCCGAGTGGTAGCTTTCCTGACTTACTCCAGAGGTTTGGGTCAGGACAAGACCAAGATGTATTTGGCATTCCTGTCAATAGAAATTCTGTACCAATCCAGATGGGTAATTACATGCTTTTTTTTCTCTTGTATATAAATATTTAAATAAGTAACTAACTGTCTGACTGACTGACTGATATAATAATTAACATAACTAATCTCGAAGATCTTTTTTTTATTTAATTTTATTTTATTTTACAATGTAGGTTTTGTGCGAAAAGTGTACCTTATTACTATTTGCCAGATCATTACTGTTGCTGTCATGACAACGACCCTTGTAAATATTCCCCTTTTATTTAACTGGTTACAAGAAAGGTAGAGTATTGTTACTGTTACTGTTACTGTTATTATTATTATATATTTAGATAGATAGATAAATCTTTATAAAACGTAGCAAATATAGATAATTATCAATATCATTGATTAATAAAGAAAGAAAGAAGGAAAGAATATATTAAATTAAATTAAATTAAATATATTATATATATATATATATATAAAGTAAATATGCCTGGTGGATATTTATCTTTCCAGCATTCATAATATCTATTCTTGTTGCCTGGCAATTGTGGATGCAGTACTTTCGGCTTCCTCTTGAAACTCAAGCCACAATGCTTGCGATTACTTCATTTTTAATGTCCCTAATCTTTGCTGACTTGAGTAAGTTTAGCAAATTCGATAGTAAAATGCATATCCATCCCAACTTGTCACTTTCAATTTATCCCACTCAACTAATAATAATATTCTTATTCTTATTCTTATCCTTATCCTTATTTTTCTCCTTTATATATATTTATATAGTTTCCAAATTATGCTACCACGAAGGTTTTGTTGTGATATTTATGGTATTCTTTGGAGTCATCGGTCTATTGCTCTTTACTGCCCAGACACGTTTTCCTTTTAAAGGGCCATTACCAATGTAAGCCACATTAACAAAACAAAACAAAAAAGAGAAAGAGAAAGAGAAAGATTAATTAAATACCCAATCTTTAGTGTGTGTACAGTTGGATCTATCTGCTTGAGCTCTCCGTGGTTTAGACATGAATACCAGCTGGACCCTATTCAGATCCTTTGGCCCATTAGTTTGGCTAGCATTTTCTGTATTTATTTGGTGTTCGACCTCTACTATGCAATGAACGGACTAATGCCCAATGACTACATCCTGGCCAACCTCTGTTTCTACATCGATGTCGCATACCCTATTAGATGCCTTCACCATCTGTGTGAGTTATCAGACACCTTTGAGTTGTTCCCTGAGATCCTCACACCTCGACCAAGTTAAAAAAAGAAGAAAGAAAGATGTATTATAGAAAAGACATATTCATTTATAGAGTTCTAGCTCTTTGGTAGCTTTGATTTATTTTAGACTTTCTGTTTTTGTTTCTTTCTTATTCTTCTTCTTCTTCCTCCTCTTCTTTGTTATACCATAGTCCCCCTCCTTTCTTTGATATCTACAACCATATTATATGGATATTTGTATAATATAAATATAAATATAAATATTATTATCATCAATTTCAAATATACATTAAATATCTCTCTTGGTGTGTTCATATGTGGTATGTGTAATATTTATTCTTGGCAAATATCTCTATCAATAATAATAGTAATAGCAATAGCAATAATAGTAATAGTAATAATATATAGAGAAAATAAAAAAAGAGAGAGCCTTGAATGGGGCGGGTAATACAAAAATAAAAGAAAAAAAGTTACAGAAATAAAGAAGGGAATTAAAGCCAAAAAAATATATATAAAAATAATAATAAAGATGTTGGATGCTAAAAAGTCAAGGAAGAAAATATATATGTTGTGTGTGTGTTGTGTGTGTTTGTGGGTTGGTTCTTTTGGAATGAAAAGGATGAAATTATTGGTTTTGGATTTTTTGGAAAGATAGAATGGTAAAAAAAGAAAAAAGACTACTTGAACCGAAGATACAGATTGACAATGAGAGCACCAACCAAGAGAGCACACAGGACAGCAGGACCCCAAAGATCATCGTAACGACCAAGCACACGACGATTGATCATCCAAGCACGCTTTTCGAATCGATAGAGTGCATAAAAGGCCACAGCGATAGAAATACCGATGAAAATACCACCAGCAATGCGTGAAACATAATCACCCATGTTCAACAGGTTAAGAGCCACAGTCAGCAACAAGGCAGCAAACTGGAGCCAACTGATAAAGGTACGCTCGTTGGCAAAGAAAACCTTGGGTTCAATCTTGATCTTCTTTAGTGCGACATAGGCTCCCTTCTTGTTCGGATCGTCGACCAGATTGCCGCCCAGGCCCAGTGCTCGTCTCCAGGTTGTCGGCTTCTTTTCTTCAAACGACGAACCAGAGTCATCCATATTCAGACGGATATCTTTTTTATTCTTGCCAGAGACCACCACGGGTTCGCCAAGATTACGCATCTCCATGTTCTGACCGGACTGACGGTTCTTGCCAAATGGCCCATAATCAAGTGGAACATCAGATGACACAATCAAGGTAGGTTCGGTATTAACAGGAAGCTCGTTGGCCCAGACTTGTTCACCAAATTGAGGTTGATCGGTTTTCTTGTTCTTCTTGGTTGTAGGAGGAGAGTAAAAGGAGGTATGTTCTTGCTTTTCTTGAGGAGTGCCGACCAGAGTCTCGCTTGCAGAGGCCGACCGATCGTTGAGGGCATAGGGCTTGACTGGTGCATAGAGAGCATCTTCAAATGGACTGACAACAGAACGAGCAGAGTTGCGGCGTTTGATCTCAGAGCTCTTGGATGGATCGGCCACCATGCTCATGCGGCGTTCTTCGGTTTCCATGGCGCGTCTATACTGACCATCGATGAGAGGCTTGAATGATTTTGAACGGGTCAGGCCAAAGTTTGTGGAGCGCGGCTTGCGGATATCGATTTCCATTTCGGACAACCACCATGGCAGGAGGGGCATGCGCTCGCGGAAGAAGTAGGAGGCAGCATGGAGGTACTTTGAGAATCGAGGGACCTCATGGACCAGATGGGAGTCAACTAGCTTTGTGAGCCACTCTGGAGCCTTTTGGCCAAGATGGGTCTGTAGCTTGGTTTCGAGGACGGCATAAGGAAACCGGAGGCACTCTGAGTCATCGAGGTGGCCAAAAGGATAATCGATACCAACGTCAGGTCTACGCCATTCTCTTGAGCCGCGTCGACTGCGATCGAAATTGTCTTCTCTGATAAAAGACAGGTTTGTGTCCAGACTGACTCTGACCATTTGGTCTCCAGGCAACTGAAAGGCGGTGCGGTCATAAAAGGCGCGCAGGACGGGTGAGAGCTGTTTCTCCTGGATAGATGTCTGGATTCCCTGGGCGACAAAGTGGCTGTCCTCGACTACCTTGGGGTCGGTGCCCTTTGCACGCATTCGTTCGGCACACTCGTCCGCGGTCAGATCTCCGGCCACAAAGTTGGAGACATCATCGACATTGAGACGGAACCGGTCCTTTACAGATGCACCGTTGAGCCAGACGGCATGATGGGTCTTGCGCTCAAGGAAGATTGCTTTGCTGGACATGGGGCCGTACCATCTGAAACGGATGGCCTCTGCACCTTCGTCGCGCTGCAGACGGCCGGTGTAGAGATCGAAATCGGGATTGTCAAAGTAGACGCTTGAGATCGCACTGTCAGAGGATTCGAAGCGCTTTTCTTTGTTGAAGATGAGGACGGGTAAGTGGAGCATGATGATGGACTTGACTTCTGTGATATTGTCGGGGTGGATCCAATACTTTGCTGTTGCTCGCTCAAACGCACTCTGATCTCCACCGGCGGCTGAATTTCCTGTTCTTGGCTTGCCCTGAAGTCTGCAGATGTCGTGAAGTGCGGAGATGAATACGATGGCTACATCGAATCGCTGTCTGTCGAGAGGGCGGTTCCTGAGTTGAGGGACAAAGTCTTGTTGGAGGTTGAGGTCGGTCCATTTGTCGTGCTTCTTTATGATCTTCTTGAAGCCAATGTAGTTGAGACGTGTGAACTTTGCAAGGTCGTTGACATCAAAGAGAACCTCTGTGAGGGCATCATCCATGATACCCCAATTCTGGTCGGACGACCAGGTGGGGTTGTTCATGAAAGTCTGGATGGTGCGCTCACAGTAGCTGATTCGGGCCTCGACTTCGCTCAGTTTTGCAGTTACGAAATCATAGACCTTTTCAAGTTCGTTTTCCAAAAGTGACACGAATTCCTTTTCGTCTTGTGGATTCCAGGTGTGATCCATTTGTCTTGCTTTGAGTTCGTTTTTGAGGACATCGTATTGGATGTAAGAGAGTCGCCAGGGGGCGAAGATCTCTTGCTGAAGTTGGTCACCAAACTTCATGACTTTTTATTTATTTTATTTAAAGAAAAAAGAATAAAGGTGAAGATGAGTGAAAAGGATAGAAGAGGGAGAAAGTAGGAGTGAAAGTGAAAGAAGAAGTGAAAGAAGAAGAAGCAGGAAAATGAAGAGGGTACAAATAAGAGGTACAAATATAATTGAAAAAAAAAAATAGAAGTCTTAGTTTCCCCTCTAATACGGCAAATCAATGTATTTTTGGATTATCCACACAAAAAAATTATATTATTATTTGGTTTGACTTTTTTTGGATAAATTTATACAAATTATAATTTAAGATTATTAATTAATTTATACTGTTGGTATTTCGATTTATAATATCAGAAATACCAAAATGCTGAACAAATCTTCCCTTTTGTCGCTCAGCAATTGTGTATCAAACGATCAGTGCTTTCAATAATAATTCCCATTATAATTTATAATTCTTTTATCTATTTGCAGACATTGAATGGGCGACTCAGTTTTGGATTGAATCTCCATTGGTTGGACCACACAATCGGAACCCATTCGATAAAATATATATATAATACAAAATAGAATAATATGTTTCCCCTTCCCTCCCTTTTATAATTCCCTTTATGTGCCGATTTCTGCGGACCGTAATAAAAATAAAAATAAAAAGGATTATTATAGAGTTTTGTAAGCATTTATGTTAAGATACCAAAACTGACATCTTACCAATAAGACCTTTTCTCTCTTTACATTGACAATTGAGCCGAACAATGGGTAATTTTCTTTCAATTACTTATTTCCTTTGTGCACCTTTTACAATAGAACACTATGGCTTGGAACAAATTATACTAATAGAAATTGTGTACGGAAACAAATTCCCAGGGCCGCGGATAATCCCAAAAATAGTCCTATTGGTTTCTGTGTAAAGTTATCGACAATTTTTTATGTTTATTTTTATTTTTGATTTTGTTTTTGTTTTGTGTGGCCTGATGGCGACATGGAAAATCAGTAAGGAAACTAGCAATTACAACATTCACTGGATTTCCTACTTGCTTTTCGTGACTCGACTTGAAATCTTATACATTTTTTTTTATCTCTCTCTCTCACTATGTATCTTAACAAAGTTGGCATGGACAGACTAAAAGTTCAAAACGAAAAAAAAGGGTAGGTCAATTCTTGGAGCAATTCTGATTGGCTAGTCTTCTTCCATTACCACTTGGGATTGAGAAGATGTGCTATAGAACACAAGGCCTAGAAAGTCTCGTAATAAAATATTTTCAATTAATGACAGTGACGGCATTATAAGCACAACTTTACCTAATATGTACTTGAACTAGTTTTGAACGTTTAGTCTCTGCACATAATTTATTATCAATTATTAAGCATATAAAAGAATTAGAGAAAGCTATCAGCCAAGCGCAATAAAGGTTCCAACCCTAGTCTAAAAGACAGTGGAAAATCCAGTAAAAAACGAAATAAAAGAAAAATATTCTTAAAATAATTACAACTGTCCATACTTTGTGAATAGAGTTCTCTTTTTCTATATATGTACCGATAATATTTTCTCTGCTAATTTGATCCTGTCAAAAAGAAGAAATTGTTACCATTATTTGTGATTTTTGTTTGATAAAGAATATCTATATATTACGTTTATGTACAGATAGATAGATAGATCCGTATACTAAATTATAATAAAATAAACTTTCTGTCTACACTACATGGCTCAGCATTCAACGGCTCAGCATATTATGACTATCAAGATTATACACTATGTGTTTATTCTTTTCTTTTTTTTATTATTAAAAGAGTAAGAATTACGATCTTGTAATTCACAGAATTACACAATTCTGATCGTAATTTCATCTGCTAAAGAAGAAGTTTTTTTTTTTTTTTAAAAGAGAGAAAGTTATGGTTGTACAATGATTTTCCGCTTCTTCTTTTGAATTTGATTTTGTACTAGATATTCTACAGATGAGAAGAAGAAGGGGGGGTAGTGAAGGGCTTAATATTTATATGTATAATAGTTTATACTACACTATACACTATCATATACTACATTAGACGCACATCAGTATAAACAGTCGGGATTAATGTGCGTAGATAGGTAGGAAAATTCCAATACATAATGAGTCTGTATGCAATGCAGATATGATGATCCTAGGATTGCAAAGATGGTCTGTTTAGTAGGTAGGTGTCACATATCATTGCTCCCAAAGTAAGCTGAAGGCCTTTAATTTTTATTTTTGTATGTGTATTTATATATTTCAGTTTGGGTGTAACAGGTAACAAAGCGATATCGTGTGATGTCTTGTGCCGATACATTTAAAGGCTTACACACGCACACATACGTATATAGTATTTGGTGCATTGGTGCATTGGTGGCCAGGGAACCTTTTATAAATTGTTCGGTCTAGTTTTTTAATAGAAATGACCATGAATTAGACCATCTTTGTAAAAAAACAAAAAAAAACAAACATTTAATACAGTGAATTGAGTAACATATCTGGTGCTTTCAAATTTTTTTTATATATATAAAAATTAAGCATAAAAATTAAGAATCATCTCCCCACACAAGTATTACATTAAAAAAGATGTGTATAATTTCAATGGGTTTGTAGAATATGGTAATCTTTCTACAAATACATCAATATATCTTTGCTTGTCCTTGAATACATTGTGCACATTAAATAGATATTCACCAAATCATATGCATGTCTTGATCCACAAAGTACGACATCATTTTGTTTTGTTTTATAGACAACACGGCCAACCCCCCCTCTCCTCCTTGATAGCAAAATTCAAAGTGTGAACATCACTACTATGAGAGGTCTTCCTGCATATCAATTGCATAGAAAATGGTATTTAAAGGAGTACTGTGACACAAATTGGGTCTTTTAATATCCAAGACAACCCATCCCAGATTCTTTACATTGATGAAAACAGATGATACATATATATATATATAATAAAATAAAACAAAAAACAAAAGACAGAGAGCCAAAAATTTACACAATTAATATTGATATTGATATTAATAGCTAATTATTATTAATAAGAGTTAAGAATAGCAGTACCATTCATTCAAGGCAATCTTGTATATGTCTTGGAAATACAGGTTGATATTAAAGAGGGTGAAAAGTCAAGGAAATGTTCGCTCATTATATTCAGCAAGTTTACTTTGCTTATCTTGAAATAATTTATATTTCAGAATATATGTATATGTATATTTATCTTGACTGTATATTCGGCTCTCTACTTTAGTTTAATTTGCCTCATAATAGAATACGACATATTCTTTCTAGGTTATATCAATATGAGCTGAAATGACCCTTTTTCATGTTTATTTTTCTTTCCTTCTTTTCTTTCAGGCCATATTGCTACAACCGTATTTACTATTCAGTATCGGTATTTAAAATGGATGGTCTTGAGCAGTCTTAAAAGTCAGTATTACCTTATTTGGTCATTGAAGCATATTGCCTATCAGATTACCCAAGTCCATACTCTCTCTTTGTTGTTGTTAATTATTATTATTTTATGGGAGATGATCAAAGTCAAATAAAAGGCAAAGTATGGTGTAGTTACTATGGATTTACATTGGCAGTAAAGGAGAACAAGCTAATCTTAGAAATCTGACCATTTTACGATAGTAAAAGGATTCTCAACCTGTTCCTATTGAATTATATAGATCCTGAGGATGAAAACCTGGAGAATCTAATGGAGTTTGTTACCGCGAGGTTAGACAGCCTGTTAGTTGACGAAACACGCTATGAATAAAAACCAGTTCATAAATCAGATATCTGACGAGAAACCGTATAAGACAACCGACGAATATATTGATAGTTTGACCAAGACATTTCAAGGCTTTATTTTTACATTAATGCAGCCCTACAATATATACTTTATATTTATATTTATATATTAGATCTTGTCATGGATAACGCGCCTATTAATTCATACTTGCAAAAAGACTGATGATCTAATCAATAATAATGTTACAGATACAGATACCTCTCATTTCTATACCTGAATTGGACTACTAAACAAATTCTGGCCGATTGTTAAAAATAGAGTTGAGCGCAGCAGGTTCAGCGATAAAGAAGATGTATTTATGTATGTATATTGGATTACCGAGCCATGCAGCGGTTCGTTCATCTGGATATATATATATATGTATATATGTATATATGTATATTTCTTAAGAAACTTGATCGAGAATTATGTCATTTCAATGCCTATTTTCTTTTAAAAAAAATACATATAATGAATGACCACTTTAACTCTAAGAAAAGTATAGAGAGAAAAAAAAACTTGATCTGACAATTCGATCATAAAAATAATGCCATTAAGATTTCAAAGATCTGCTGATTGGATAATCTTTTGGTTTGCACATTTGATTTTCTTTTCTTTTTAAAAAAAAACTCTTATTTGTGGAAATTTTAATCCGCTATTTGAGATCGTACTGACTGTAAATAAAGTAAGAAACAAAAGAAGAAGAAGAAGAGGAGGAAGAAGAAGAAGGAGAAATATTAAGAGAATACTACGGCTACAGTCACAGCGGTATAGATAAATACATACATAATAAAAATAAAAACAAGGTAAAATAAGAAAGTAAAATTAAAAAAAAAAAAAAGGAATAATTTTAAACAGCAGTTGTGTTTGGCAACCCCAAATAAGTGCCAGTCGTTTCTGGGTGTGTATAACGCAAGATGAAATTGAGCTGCACATACATTACAAAAAAAATTAGAATTTCATTTATTACCAAAAAGCACACACTCCCATCATCTTACCAATAATGCACCAGTCAACAGGATTGTGAGACCAATGGGGCCGTACAGATCATCGTAACGCAGATGAGGTCTTGTTGTGATCTGGAAGGCACGGTATCTGTAGCGTCCAAAAGCATAGAAAGCAATAACAAACGAGATACCAAAAAACACTGCACCAGAAGTAACACTGATGTTATCTCCAAAGTTGATCAAGGTTAATGCAGCAGTCAACAGGATGGCAGCAAACTGGAGCCAGCTAATGAATGTACGCTCGTTTGCAAAGAACACCTTTGGTTCCAATCGAGTGGCCAACTCTAAATCTCGCTTGGCCTTCTTCTTCTCGTCCTTCTCCATGCCTCCAAATCCATTCAGCTCGTCCTCCTCTTCTTCTGCAGCCTTTCTTTCTTTCTTCTCCTTCTTGGCAGCCTTCTTGGCAGCCTTCCTAGCCTTTCTCTCTTCCTCGTCCATCGCTTCTTCAATAGTGTAATCCATGCCGCCTGTAAGCCGAGCCCGGCTATCGTTCATCATACTCTCAGCAGGGGTGGCAGCATAAGACGATCTTGGTGTGTTCTTTCCATAATAAGGATCCACGGAGGCTGTATCGAAACTTCCATCGAATGTCGACACTCGCTGCTCACCAGGTCCAGTCCTATTGCGCACTACTCCACCTACACCTAAACCTCCTACATTATTGGTAGTATTAGGAACCACAGGACTGCCGAGTGACTTTCTTGACAGCCCATCAAATCCAAGTTGAGCACTGGTGTCGCTATTCCAGAAAGGATCGGCAAAGGGGTTCATGCTCCTGTCCTGGCTCTCAGTTGCGCCGACGTCAATGACATAAGACTGGGGTGTACTTTGCGCATTTCCCTGCGCTCTCTGCTGGTGCTCTATCTGTGCAGGAGTGGCAATAAGCTTCTCGCGTCCCTTGACAGATCGGATTGAGGCACTGCGTGTTGGGTTTTCGGTCTTGCTTTCCTTGCGCTTCAGCGTTGCGCGCTTCTCAAGCTGTTTCTCCAGATAACCCATTCGATAGTGACCGTCGATTAGCGGCTTCAGACTCTTGGAGCGTGACAGGCCAGTAAAGTCTCCCTTTGGTTGCTTAGCATTTCGGATATCCAATGTGAGCTGGTCCAACCACCACGGCAGCAGGGGTAGGCGAGAGTTCCAAAAGTGGGCACAACCTTCCAAGAACTTTGAAAAGCGTGGGACTTCATACACAAGTTTGGAGTCCAGAAGACGGGTCAGCCACTCTGGAGGCTCTTGGCCCAAATGGGTCTGCAACTTGGTCTCCAGCACAGCATAAGGGAATCGGTAGACTTGGTCTCCAGGTAGATAGTCAAACGGGTGGTCGATGCCAACATCCATTCGGCGCCAGTTTCCATTTCTACGCTTGATGTCGTCTTCACGGATAAAGGTCAGGTCAGTGTCGAGAGATATGCGTAAGCGTTGGTCACCAGGGATCTGGAAGGCAGTGCGGTTGTAAAACACACGCATGACAGGATCGAGCTTCTTTTCTGCAAACGATTTTTGGACACCAGATGCAATAAAGTAATTTTGTTGAACGGAATCTTCAGACGCACCCTTGGCACGCTGCTCAGCTGCGTACTGCTCAGCAGTGTAGCGGCCGGAGACATAGTCGTTGACTTTGTTTTCGCTAAGACGGAAGCGATCCTTGACCGATGCACCGTCTAACCAGGGGGCGTGGTGGGTCTTGCGCTCAATGAATATAGACTTGCTAGACATGGGTCCATACCATCTGAAGCGAATGGCCTCTGCACTCTCGTCACGCTGAAGTCGGCCTGAATACAGATCAAATTCTGGGTTGTCGTAATAAACGCTGGATATGGCACTGTCTGAGGCTTCAAACGGCTTTGTAGAATCGAACACAAGTACCGGTAAATGAAAAAGAAGGATGGCTTTTAGTTCGGTAACATTGTCGGGATGAACCCAGTACTTTGCTGTTGCTCTTTCAAATGCGTTCTGATCTCCTCCAGCAGCAGCATTTCCTGTGCGCTCCTGGCCGTTCTGTCGACACATATCGTGGAGGGTCGAGACCTTGACAAGGACTACATCGAAACGCTGTCTGTCGAGGGCTTTTTTGCGGGAGATTTCGACTAGGAGTTGCTGTCTGTCGATGTGTGTGAGTTTTGTATGTGTGTCGATGAGGTGTTTAAAGGCGAGGAAGTTGTAGCGAGCGAATTTTCCTAGATCGTTGAGTTCGAGAAGGATCTCTGTGAGTGCGTCGTCCATGGAGTCAAAGAGTCCATTTGTTGTTGATTGTGCGAGTAAAGGACGTTGTTGGACAAGGATGCGTTCGCAGTAGGCAATACGAGAGTCGATCTCTCGTTGTTTGCGTGTGATGAATAGATCGATTTTGTCTGCTTCTAACCGAAGAGTAGATTCAAACTCGGCCTCGTCTTGGTTTGACCATCCACTTGCTGCCCGTCTTTGGATATGGGAATTAATAGAGTCGTAGGCGACGTATTCGAATCTCCAGGGTTCATAGATATTGCCGTTGAATTCCTGGTCAAAAGATGTGTTGGTGGTCATGATGAATATGAATATGAATTGGATTTCTTATGTAATGAATGGTTTTGATAATACAGAGGATGAGGAAGAAAAAATAATAATAATAAAACAAAGAGAGAGAGGGAGGGAGGGAGGGGGAAAAAGTGAGCCAGGGAAATAGAGAAGAAAGTAGGGAATGAATTTCGGGGTCTGACTGTTATAAACGGAAATCCAATTTAAAATAAGGGTTGTCATGGTAATGCAAAGCGTTGGACAGAGAAGCTGGACGGAAACAACCGAATATTCCAAGTGCCGCAAGAAATAGGAAATCGAGAGTATTTTTAGCCTTTACAGCAAAAATAACTTTTTTTTTTTTGTTTATTTATATATAATATATATAAAAGTAATATATAATATATATGGAAGCTGTAACTATGAACTGTTAGTTGTTGATCGTAATTGTGAATTGTTAATTGTAATTGTGGCTGTAATTCCTATTAGAATTAATATATTATTATAATTTTTTTTATTAATTTTTTTTATTACATGCGTTGAAACACTAAATAGATAGCATGTACAATTGTCAAATGTTCATCTACTATTTCTAATTCTTCCTCGACTTCGGTGTTGAGATTCTTCTGCTGACGATCCTTTGAGTGACCTTCTGGGACGGTGACTACCATCTCCTTGAGCTTCAATACACTTCTGTCGATCGCTCGCTCAATATCTTCCAACACTAGCATTGACATTGGCCACAGTTTCCCGTTGTCTTTTTGGCGAATATCTTTGGTTCCAATGATCAACATTCCGAGTGGGGCTAACTTCTTGACTGCTTCCAGTGCAATTTGTACAATCGTCTCTCGGTATAATCCAATTTGACGAGGCTCGATGGGCTGGTGGCCCACCATTACTAGCACAAGAGGTGCATTTTCTAGAGGTTTTTTACTCATCATAGATTCATAGTGAATCACATCATCAGAGTCTTCACTCATCTCTGAAATTAAGCCCTGTAATTTGTTTTAATTAAGTATTAAACATTAATATGATTGTCGTGATTTTCTTCTTGATTTGTTTGCTCGCATGTTTGCTTGTCTTTTAAACTATTTACCAGTTTCAAAAGGGTCTGGTTATTCTCCTCTATTCTCTTCAAGCGTAATTTTTCATAGTCTGACAGCTGGTTCTGACTATCTTCTTTGTTATTTTCTTGCTCCTGATCTTGATCTAGATCTAGATCCCGATCATGCTCTTGTTCTTCTGGCTTGTCTTTGTGCACATTTTCTAAAACAAAGCATTAAGGGAAAAAAATGGTTATGACAGTAGTTAATTTGACTTACGTGATGATGTTGATGATTGGTACTGTTGTTGAACATTATTTTGGATCATCATAGACTATAAATGATTTCTTATTAATAATCACCCGCGCATAAATTACTTGGAAGATGTGTAATGATATTTGCGTACCTCTGGGGACATGAAGTCAAGTAGGACTTGTTCCCAGTTACCATCGTCCTTTCCAAACCTTTCCAGCATTCGTGATATGCATAGCTGTTCAAAAGTGTGTGTGTCTGTTGGTTTGAAGATCCACACTGTTCCCATAACTACACTCTTTCTTGAAATGGCCGATTGAGGTACTGCTTTGGTGACATGTTCGACCCGGACATGATCGCGACAGTCGGAATCTAAACGCGAGCATACATATACATACAGATTTATTTATTTTAATTTAATTTTTTTTTTTTTGGTTTCAGTAAAATATACGTATATGAATCAAATCGAATTAAAAAAAAAGGCTGACAAATGCATATTTTTTTTTCTTTACACACACACACTTACTGTCTATTGGTAACATTTTGTCAGTGCATTCTAATGGGATTTTCCGAAATGTAGCAACAAATTCATGAGTGAATACCAAGAAATCAAACTGGACACACAAATAGGTTCCTAGTCCAAAGGCAGAACAATAACGTTGACGTTTGATGATCTATTGTGTTTCCATTGTGTTAGGACGGGGGTTCATAAGCTTTTTTTTATATAGAAAAAAAAAAACAAATGAAATCAACTTGCCAATTCTTCCAATTCAAATCCATGGTTAATGTATTCTCTCAATAGGTGGAATCCAACAGGAATATAGAAACAATGTTCACGGTTGTCTCCAATTCCCAAAGTGAGTCTACGGCCCATCTTGAGAAGTCTGTAGAGTATGTTAGTCGCTGCTTTCTAGTAAACAACTTTTACCTCCAGCTTTCTCGGACCACTCTTCCATATTCGGCCCTAAAGTCTTCCACGCTAGTAAATCTATCGAGAATAAAATATAAAAAAAAAAAGAATAAATGGTGTGTATAAGCAGGTTTCAATTCCGAGTATTATACTTGTAATGTCCTACCTTGAAAGATCTCCTTCTAAATGAGTTGAATAAGCGACACAGTCTTTGTAAGGTGGGTGAGATAAGACATGGTGAAATGACTCGTCCGCGAATAATGCTCCCGTTAGTTGCCTGGAATCGGCTTGTGCAATGATAGGTCGATATTCAGCCGATGTCAAACCAGGTGGGACCTCAAAACAACAATTCCGCTGAGATAATGCTACTGCAGCCTATTAATCCCGAATTAACGATGGATAATCAGCAAAGTAAATTCATTAGAAGAAAACGTAAAAAGAAAAAAAGAAAAAGAAAAGCACGGCCCAGAATGAATCTAGAGTTTTACCGGATTGATATCAACTCCACAACACCTATATGGAATATAAAACCCGAATTGGTTATTTTCATTATATATCATATTACGACAACCTCTTGGAAATTATAATTACCGTCTTTGCAATAAGAAACACTCAATAGCATCAGTTCCTACATACATACAAAAATACAATGTTTTATGGGTTTGTATCTGTATCAATTTAATACTAACCTCTTCCAAGGAAGTTTGATAGCACACGCTCATCTTTGTTTGTGTATTTCAATATTGCCCTAAATTAATATATACAGATATAGATATGGATATATTAGCCATTAGTAAAATACGTTATTCTTTGTCAGCCATCGACGTTGTATATGGATCGTGTACCTTCGGACTGTTTGTGGTAGCCAGGTACCTGTCAATATGGGCTATTAGTTTTACTTAAACTAAAAATAGTCGAATCGCTCTCTCAAAGAACGAACGATTACGACAATCACCAAAATAAATAACAAAAAAAAAATAGCCAAATAACAGCATACACACCATGGTAATCTGTTCCAGAATGCGTAGCCCATCTAGGGGCTCTCCCGGGTATATCGTAATAAGTCGAATCAAAAACCAAGGAGAACAATTGATTGGGTTGTGGCCCATAAGAAGCGAGGCGCGGACCGGTTCTATGGTCGCTGAATTTTGTGGCTGAAACTGCATCTCTGGTCAAATATGGCTTGTGTGTGTAATCTTCAATAGACATCACATATCGATGAGTCTCTTCGGAATCAATCACCAGCGATTCATTTGAAGCAGTATTTCCGTCGTTGTCGATAAAGAGTGCCAGCTCAAAACAGGGTGTACACATCAATACGCCACCATCATAACCTTTACGCCAGCTCTCGGCTTCTTCAGTCCCACAGTATGAACATGTGAGAGGAACTGAACCATCAGCAAGTCGGCGTTTTCGCTTAGGAAACAATGGCTTCTTTTTAGGATCTATGGAAAACAAACAAAATCTTTAAGGTTGAGAGACACAAACTTTTCCACCCCTTTTTTTTAAAAAAAAATAGTTATATACAAACAAAGTTTGAACCATAGGAACTTACTTGCTGCGCGTAATTCCTCTTTGGCTTTGGCTGCCTCTGTAGCCTTTTGTGCCTCTACCTCTTTTAGAATTGCAAATGCTGTATGGGATATATATATATATATATATATTAAGTTAAAAGAAACCAAAAAATTAAACTACGCATATTTCCAAAAATGCTTGTAGTACTATTGATAACCATACTTACATGTCTCTTCAAATTGATCTTCGTCGTGAGCATGGTCTTGAGGGAAATTATGAAAGCACTAAGTAATAAACATGTAAATTAGATAAAGCTTTATTTCTATTTCTATTTTGCATGTGCATGTACATGTGCATTACCTCTGCGCACAAATCAAATGAAGAAAAGTAGCTTGATGCGCAAGGAATACATGTAAACCAAGTCTCGTCTTCAAGGCGCTTACTACACCCGTCACAATTAAAGATGTTGACATATGTGTCTAATTTTTTGTTAAAGAAAAAAAAAATAGCCAAAATTATTAGTATTCTTTTTTTTTATGTTCTGTTTTAGGAATTGGCTGTCACACGACATTTACCTTTCTTCTTATAATATGCTTCGTGAGTATTGCACCAAAATATTACACCGCTTTGGAAATAACTGACTGGTTTTTGTGCACACGGAAGGTGGAAGCTCTTTGAACATTTTGATTCGAAACAGCCGATGGTTGCACCCTTCTCCTTGCAGCCATAACATTTCTTCCAAAACAGCGGTATACACCGTTAGACAAGAAGACCCCCAATACCGTTACAATCTCAGCATCCCCTTTTTCACTTACCATGCCGCGCCCACGTCTCAAGGCAATGGTTACATTGTACCATTTGCCTTCTGAAGTGCAGAAAACTTCGGGCGAGTATCTCGCACATGCATCATGAGCCCAGAACGACCGCTTCTTCTCGGTTCCATTTTTATTAAACGAAGTAATGACAAACGGTCCAATGAACTTGCCAAGCTCAGTAGAAGTGTCATCATCATCATTACAAAACGCACACACTTTCCGTCTCTGCCATCTTTTGAGAAACTTGTATCCCTGATCTTCATCTAAGGGTGCCACTCCAGAGAACACCTCACTAGCTTCCATCGTTCCGGAGAACATATCGTCCGGGTCGTTCAGGTCGTCTTGGGTATCATCTGGGATTTCCTCCAGGATATCTTCTTCCCATACGGTTACAAGCTCTCCTTTGATAGGCATAGGTCCCATATCAGCATCAATTACAGCCTGGACAGCAAAACTTGAACGAGGGTGCTCATGCCAAAATGGAAAGTTTTGGTCAAAGCAACTATTAAGAATAAAGTTAGATCAATTATCTCATCTCATCTCATCTGGCTTCTCATCAAATGTAATATGTAATATAAAATACAGTATAATAAAATTCTAGTTACCGAAGACATAGCTCAAAACTCTGGTAGTCGTGGCCTTCAGAAGGTGTTTCACAATATGTACAGTAGTAACGGAACTGCTTGATTATGATATTGCATTGGTTGCAATACACTTTCCAAGTGTCGTTTTCTGCAAAATAAATAAAATAAAATAAAATAGAAAATAATAGAAAATTAGATTTATCAGACATGCGTCACAGAGTTTATTGGTCTTGTGCTTTTGGGCTTTGAGTCTCTTACCTTCTACCTCCATTCCATCTACAGCCTCCATGTGGTACTCTACCATATCGTGGGTTCCATGAACCGGTTCCTCTGGAGCCGGCACCACTGTTGGTGCTACCTCCCGGCGCTTTGACGGCTTCACGACCTGTGCATCCTCTGGTTCCACCGCTTTCTTCTCTTTTTCTTCTTGCATCTTCTCAAGACGTTCTGAGTATGTTGGCTCTATACACACCACCTCATGATCATTTTCAATCACTTGGATTCTCCGGCTACCCACTGCAATATTTTCATCAAACTTGTCTAACCATCCACAGTAATGAACTCGAACACGGTTGCGCTCCATTGATACCAGTCTGCCTTCATACCATTTCTTGTCTAGGTGGAGAACCTGAACATGCTGAAGATAGTCATATCCGTACACATTGGCGACAAATCCATGGTTAGATTCATCAGATGGAATATGTCGCCGATAAGACGATGTCAAGGTAGAAGTATCGTGATCTGCTTCCGTTGCTGCCACTGATACTATCGATGTTGATATTGGTGTTGGTGTTTCTGTTTCTGTTTCTGTTGATAATTCTGTTGATAATTCTGTTTGTGCTTGTGTCTGCTGCAGTGATGTCGATGATGATACTGATGGCGAGGGTGAAGTTGCTTTTGCTGGTTTACGCTTACGCTGCTGCGTTTTGGCTTTTTGTTTCTTTCGCTTAACAGGCAGGTCGTTCTGGGTTCCTTCCGGCACAGTCATCGCACCATTTGGCTTTGTAAGATCACTTTCCGGCTCTGCCATCTCTTGATCTTCGTTTTGTACTATCGGTGCCTCCACTGATGGTTCTATTGGTTTGGGCTCTTCTTCAATAAGCACTGCTTTGTCTTTCATGGTTTCTGTTTCTTTGGGTGTCTCCACGTCACGGACCATTTTCTTCCTGCCTCGGCGCTCTATCTTCTCCACTTTCTCGCTTCCAGCCAGGAGTCCCAGTCGCTCATAATCTTCTGGTCCCAATACCCGATGTTGACGTTTCTTACGAGCTTCATCTTCTACTTCTGGATTGGCTTCTGTGACCAGTAAATCGTTTCTCGCTGCTTGTTTTGCGCGCTTTTTGGTACTTGCGCTGCCGCCATTTAATGTTGATGTCGGTGCTGTATTTTCAGTGCTAGCCATAGTTGATGATTTTTGATCTCCTGATGATTCAATTTGTGCTGCGGCAGGTCGGATACGTCGACTTCCCACCATAACCCATTCATCATAGACTTCGCCCCAGCCATCATATCGAACAAGAACTTTTCCGGGACACATGCCTATCAAGCGACCACGCTCCCAAAACTTGTTTTTACTGGACCTTGTATTGAGTATCTCGATTGGTTGGTCATAGACATAGCCGTAAGGGTTTGGTACAAATCCATGCTCGTCTTTGAGTTGGCGCATAGCACGGCGTGTGGCAAAAGCTCCGGTAGTTAGATAATCAAGTGCGTCTTCTGTATCCTTTGTACCCATTTCTACTACCATCGCTGCTGCTGCTGCTGCCTTTTTTGTCTCTTTTATTCCATTTTTAATTGAGTCATTTCTTTTTTTGAGGGCTGTCTTGGTAGGGGTTTTCGGAATAGTCACTATGTGTGGATTTGAAGGGTCAACAGGTAATGCTACTTTACGTGGTCTTCCTCTTCCACGTTTTATTGGCCCAGGTGCAGGCTCTGGTACAGGCGCTTCAACAGGCTCCTCAGCTATCCCTTCAACCTCCCCTTCGACAGTATCCTCAACAGTATCCTCGACAGTCTCTTCAACATGTTTTGGCACCGATTCTGACTGGGGTTCTGGTAGAGTTTCTGTTGTGCTTGGTGATGGTGTTTTAGTTTCAGTAGGTAATTTGGTAGATATTTCACTGTCTTTGGCTCTGGTATCCATTGTTCGGACTAATTCAGTGCCCAGGTTATCCAGTTCAGATGCTTCTTGGTCAGTAAGAACACGAAGTCTGCGACTGCCTATAATAAGCCAGTCAGATTGTCTGAGGCTTGGATACCAGACTCGAACCTGATTTCCACGCATCTCACGTAATAATCCATTATACTCCATTCTGTTACGCTTTCCCTTTTCAGCTCGCAAAGAAACAGCAACAGCGCGGTTGTATCGATAGCCAAACGAATTCGGCTTGAAACCATGTTCGTCTGTAAGTTGATGGGCCATTCGTCGTGTCATAAAGATTTCATTGTCATTAAATATCTGAGTTGGATCTGTATCGATAGGAGTTGTGTAATGTTTTTTAGGATTAAGTGCAGATACATTGTTTGATTGGGATTTTCTTGAATGAGATTTTGGAGATACAGATAGATGTTCGCCTTTCTTTACGGGTTGAGTAGTCTTGCTCTCCGCAGGTATTGACAATATATCATCCTCTTCTTCTTCTTCTTCCTCCTCTTTATCTTTATCTTCATCCTTCTCTTCATTTTCTTCGTCTATAACAACATTGTGAGGGTTCGGTTAATGTAATATGCCATCAAAGCAGTATATTATACTGATTGATAAATGCATTGATTGATTCATTGATTTATTGATGCTACCTTTGTTCTCATTCTCTATAGCCGCATCTTCGCCATCTTCTTCTTCATTGGCATCCTCATCTTCCTCCTCTTCGTCTTTTGTAAGACCACGTAATCGACGGCTACCCATAACAATCCATTCTTCTTGGTCATCCCAGTCAAGATAATGTACCTTGACTTTGCTCCCATACATCATTGTCAGTATACCACGGTACCAGTGACCATTGATGTTAAGAACTTTAACTTTTTGCATGTTGGTAAATCCGTGAGGATTGGGATGGAATCCAGCTTCGTCTACGAGTTGTTTGGCTGTATTTCGTGTTAGAAAAGCACCTGTTGTGTAATAGTTCTTGGCCTCTTGTATAGAAGATTTCTTTGAGTGTAGATGTACAGACTTTGCGGGAGGAAGACGCTTTGTGGTCTTCTTTGAGGTTTGTTTTGGTGTCTGTTTTTGTTTAGATTGGGGTTGGGATTGGGATTGGTTGTCCTGCTGATGTGGTTGTTTTTGTTGCTTAGATAATAATTTTGATGTTTGCTTTAGCGTCTGCTTTGAAGTTTGTTTTTGAGTTGGTTTGACGAAATCCTTTGAGTGTTTGCTAAGACGGTCCAGAAGGGATTTAGCATTAGGTAACCAAGTTTGTTTGCATGATTCACACAAGGCAACTTGATCCAAAGGACCTCTTTCCTGACTGTTCATTATATTGCAAGCATCACAATCTCCAGTAGCTAATGTATCACACAAATTTTCTGGCTCATAGTCGAGAGCTTTCGAAGTGTCGTCTAATTGGAGCGATGCAAAAGATTGAGTGCACTCCATATCTTCCGGGATGAGAATCGGACCAACATCCCAGCGAGTACGTTTCCCTTTTTTATGGTGATAGCGGGGATCACTTAAGGTTATGTCTTTGGGTTGATTTAGACCTATAGGAGAAATTGGCGATGGTGTGTTCTTCAAAACAACTTCTTCAATTGGTGTATTATTGGTAGATGCTTCTCCAATTGTCGTATTTACAGTCAAATTTTGTTTCAAAAGTGAATTGCTAGTAGGTAAATCTTCAATAGATTCTTCCTCGATAGACATATCATCCATTGTGTCATCCATTGTGTCATCCATTATTGTGTCCTCTGGAATCGAGTCTTTCAATTCGACCACTTTCTGGGTCGAACTCTCGGACCTTTCTTCCTGTCCAACAGCCCTGAGCACAACCTTGAGTCCATCACTGGAACGTCTTTTCCTCTCGATATTAAAATAGCCTGTATAGCTTGGCTCATTACTTTGCTGGGAATGCTCGTTGATTTTTGGTACTGGCTTTGTTCTATTGTTGGAACTCTGGAGCAGCATTTTTCCCATAAACTGGCCAAACTTTGAGGTCAATATAATAGGGTTAGTCTGCTTTGGTTTTTCTAACACTGGTATAGGTGTGCTACTGGATAGAGACGCGTCTGAAGCCTGGCTTTTGTGTGTGTCTGCAGTTCCAAAAGAGTGTTTCTGTGTAGACTGGAAAGGAGGGTAAAGTCAGCGAGAGGTCTAGGCGGGGAAAAGGCGGGGTCAAAACCGACTTTTAGCCATGAGGCTTCCTTACATTCTCGCAATTGCCATGGACAGCTCCCTTCCACCTGTCGAGTGGTGGCTTGATAGGTTTGGGGTGAACACCCTCTGCCTCTATCAGATAAAGGTTGAGCGTTCAGGACAAAGGGAACAAAAGGATACTGTTATATGTATTAATTTATACAGGTAAAATTTTGTGTATTACTTCTACCTGCGGTTGGCCGCACCAGCTGCCAGGAAAAGGGGTCGCTGGGCATAGTGTAGGAAAGCAGTAGAAAGAGAAGGGATGAATAGTCTAGGGCTGGTAATAAAAAAAGGACGTCTCCAGACTTGGTTGTCCCACGCACAGGGTTTGCTGTTTTTAAAAAAAAAAGGCTTGTTCCATTTTGACGCGACAGTATGTATGTATCTGTCTGTCTGTCGGATCGAATCACGTTATTTGTACTTCTACTGACTGAGTTTATATAGAGAAGGTCGTGCTTTGATAGTGGTTTATATATATATTGGTTTCCATAACAACATATCAGAAATAAATTAAAATAAACGGAGGATATTTGATATTTCTATGGAAACAGATTCAACGGATTGTTGACAGTCATCTCTTTAGAAGAGTGGGCTTTCCAAAAGGAATATATACGTATATATAAAATGATGACGGAGATTCGATTGATGTATGACGTGCAAAGGTGAAGAATAAAGAAATCATCAAGGTACTCCAAAGAACAAAAGCTATTGTTGTTATTGTTTTTTTTTGGTAGTATCAATAACAAACAATAGCGGAACCATTTGATTTTTTTCATATCTTATTTGATTTGAGTATCTTCTAACATACACTTCTTTTGGGACTTATAAGGGTTTCAAGCTTATTATCGAAAGTATTTGATTCTTGAATCAAGCAGTCATCTCTTCTATCCTTTCTTTGCCCACACCTTTTTCTATTTCTATTTCTATCTCTATCTCTATCTCTATCTCTTTCCCTTTCTCTCTTATTCTCCTTTTGTTACTCTTGTAAATTGAAGCATCAATGACAACCTGGCAACCCACTGAAAGAGGTCTATCTGACCTACTCCAACTCTTGCATCAGGCAATCAATCCAACTGATGGTCAGAATGTACAAGAGGTAGGTCAATAAGATATATATATAACAGAAGAAGCGAATTACTCACACCTCAATCCAATAGAGACTAGAATATTTCAACACCATCCCGGACTATAATTCCTACCTCGTATACATTCTCACGCAGATGCCACAGGAAGATCAGTACGTTCGCTCTGTGGCTGGTCTGACACTGAAGAACAACATTCGTACCCATTTTACTTCCATTCCTCAGGAAGTGATGGATTATGTAAAGGAAAGCTGTCTACAACACATGGGTGACCCGGACGTGGGCAAGTCCGTGAGCCTAGTAATGGCTGCCGTGATGGCGCGTGGGCAGGTGCAGAATTGGCCCCAGGCACTCCAGGTCATCCTTGACAATCTCAATGACCCTTCTCCGCTGGTGGTGGAGGTGTGTTGAGCAAGAGTGAAACATATATACGAGGCTGACGTGTGTTACTTTGAACCAGAATGCACTCAACACCCTGCACAGGATATGCGAAGATTGTGCAGAGGAACTCGATAACAATATTAGAGGAGTCAACCCACTTGAATTCATTATTCCTAAGCTCATTACCTTCTTCGATCATCCGAACTGTAAACTGCGCTCCCAGGCTATCATGTCTGTGAACCATTTTATTCTCTTGAGATCCGAGTCATTAATGCGTCGCATGACAGGCTTCCTCCATTCGCTCTTTCACAGGGCTACAGATGACGATGTGGGTGTCAGAAAGGCAGTCTGTCAATCACTCGTCTCCCTTTTGGAAGTATGTCATGATGCCCTCCTTCCTCAGCTAGACACCATTGTAGATTATATGATCTACTCTACTCAATCAGACGACTCCGAACTTGCTCTTGAAGCATGCGAGTTTTGGTTTGTGTTTGCTGAACAAGACGAACTTAGAGGCTATCTCCGTCCCTATTTATCTAAAATTATCCCGGTCCTTCTCGGAGGTATGATCTACTCAGAGATCGACCTGTTGATGCTTGGTGGAGATGAAGACGATGCCCATGTGGCTGACACAGATCAAGACATCAAACCTCGCTTCCACAAACCTAGTGTTACAGGAGAAAGCAGAAGCCAACCTAACAACAATCAAAGCAATACGTCTCTAGATGATAGCGAGGACGAAGATGAGGATGATTACGATATCGATGACGATAGTGATGAGGCGAGTGAATGGAGTCTGCGGAAGTGCAGTGCTGCTACTCTCGACATTCTCTGTACTTCTTTCAAGGCAGATGTGGTTGGCCTTTTGATGCCACTCTTAAAGACTGAGCTTGAGAGCTCTGATTGGTTGCACAGAGAGTGCGGTATTCTTGCTCTCGGTGCTGCTGCTGAAGGTAAGACTTGAATAAGGCAGGAATATGTTATTTAAAAAAATGTAGGTGGAATAAGCGACATTGCACTTCATCTTCCTGAACTTGTACCTTACTTGCTCACACATATGAATGATCCTAAGGTAAACCATTATCTGAAGTCTACTAGATAACTATTATATATAATAAAATTATATATTCTGGTAAATATATATATATGTACCATATTTATAAAAAAAACTACAGCCTCTTGTACGATCTATAACCTGCTGGACACTGGGAAGATACTGCCATTGGATCGTTCAAGTTAGTCGGCAGAGTCTTGAAGCACGTAAACTCTACTTTGAGCCCCTTGTGCAAGTGCTTCTTCAGAGAATTCTGGATAACAACAAGAGGGTTCAGGACGCTGCATGCTCGGCATTTTTGCGGTTGGAAGAGGAAGCTCTTGAGGATTTAGTCCCTTATCTCGAACCTATCCTTGGCACCCTCTCGTCTGCTTTCAGAAAATACCAAAAGCGTAACTTGTTACTTCTATATGATACCATTAGTACGCTTGCGGGCGCTGTAGACCATGCATTAAACACGCCTCAATTCATCAACATAATCATGCCACCCCTCATTCAGAAATGGCAAGAAATTTCGGACGAAAGCATAGATATTTTCCCACTCCTTGAAGTATGCTGTACCAACCACGCAAAAAAAAAGAGAAAAAGCAACCTTAACACTTTATGTTAGTGTATTTCATGCGTCACTTCTGCGCTTGCCAAGGGATTTACACCCTTTGCGGAACCTGTCTACTTTCGCTCCATTAGCATTGTCCTCAGAACCCTTCGAGATTGCCAGGCTGCCAATATGGACCCTTCAATGGAACCACCGAACAAGGACTTCATGGTCGTTGCTCTTGATTTGCTCTCTAACATTGTCCAAGCACTCAACACAGATGTAGAGCCTTTGGTAGCCAAAACGAGCCCTCCTATTGCCCACTTCTTGTCAGTGTGTCTTATGGTATGTAAATCTATACAATAACTAGATGTTTTCCAAATAATAATAATAATAACAATATCTCTATAACAATAGGACGATGTCGGAGAAGTGAGACAAGCTGCATTTGCTCTACTTGGTGATCTTGCTATCTCTTGTTTTGAACACATTCAAATAATCTTACCTGACTGTATGCCAAGTCTTCTCCAGCAAATTATTCCTCAAACAGAAGAGGTATCCGTATGCAATAACGCCACATGGGCTGCAGGTGAAATTGCTTTGAAATGGGGTAAGCACTTTGACAATATAATTAGACTCAAATTTATTAACTTTATTAACAAACATAAACACAAACAAAAAGGAGCCAACATACAACCCTATGTTGAACCTCTTCTGCAACGCCTCTTGCCTATTCTTGCTGATCCTACTACACAGCGCACATTGATGGAGAACTCGGCTATTACAATTGGTCGACTAGGTTTGGTGTTTCCTAATGTTGTAGCAGGACATTTGGATAGTTTTGTTCGCCCATGGCTTGTAGCATTGACTCCTATTCGCGACAATGATGAGAAATCTTCGGCATTCAAGGGACTTTGTGAAATGATTAATGTGAATCCACAAGGAGCTATTAATGTGAGTTCCATGTTTACCATGCTACTTAATGTACGAGATTACTTATAATGTTATAAAAAACATAGCACTTTCCTATACTATGCACGGCTATTGCGAAATATCAAAGACCACCAAAGGAGCTTTGTGAATCATTTGCTAGTGTAAGTATATAAAAAGAAAAGCTTGATGCTAGTAATGATATGACTTATAAAACATATTTCTTAGATTTTGGGGGGCTATAAAAATATGCTGGGTGATGAACAATGGCAACAGACTCTTGCATCTATGCCACAAGATGTCAGTGCTGCTCTTCATGGAAACTATGGTGTTTAAGGTGTATGTAATTTACGAAATGCACTTTAGATTGACACTATAATGTTCAAATGATGTAGAGTATAAATAAGCGCAATAAAGAAAACAACATCGTAATTCGGGAAGCACTGTTTTTTTTTAAAAGTGATAAGCGAAATTAACTACCGAAACATATCAGCTAATATAGTGCAGCATACTTAAAATTACTTGATTGTTTAACAAAGTTCGCATATGTATGTTTTTTAAAAGAAGAATACTTGTTCTTTTAAGTCACATTGCCCCTTAGTATATTTTCTGCTATTACTTTTAAAATAACCATATATATCTGTGCAACTTTATAGCTTTTATATATATATATACATTTTTTCTTAGTAATTAATTATGATAGATAGCCAACGAACAATAGTGACAATAACAAACATTAAAAAGAAGACAGATTATATACATAAATTATTTGATATTTATTATACTTTCTTACTCTATAATCAGGCATTTTCTATCTTAAATAATATAAGTCGTATAGACATATCGGTGTTAATATTATATGTATTACATTTATATGTATTACAAAAATGAATAGCGATATGTATATATTAATATCTATAGCTTATGTCTCGCTTTAAAGTTCTCTAAGAAGAGTAAAGGCTTTCAAGTTCTGGAAGATAAAATTTCTAAAGATAAAAAATAAAGATTTATTACTGCAAAAATACTTTGATTTCGTCTGGAATGTAGGGTAATATTATATGTAGAGTAGTAGACTAAGATTCTCTTCGTATTTTATTTTTATTTTCAGCCATAATGATATTACTTTGTTTAGTTTATTGGATAAAAGAATGAGCTTATTATTTTTTGTAAAATATTTTCATGATATTTATTTTTTAAGATTGTAGCTATATTGTAGAATCAATAACTGTAAAGCATCTAACACTATATATTTATTGCTTGTAATTACTTCTCTGATGATAAGGCTTACTATTATATATCAAGAGCTAGTTTCTTTAGAAAAACATTGATTTTATTAAAAGTATTGATTACATTTTCCAAAAAGCTAATCTTCTCAAAGATATTTTTATTGTTATAATCAAGAATTCGGTTTCATTAGCATTAGTAACCAACAAGAGAATAATATAATATATTAAACTGATAGTAATTTGAACATTGAGATTTATAAACATATTTACTTTGAAATCTGAGCTGTTAATATTGGCCCTGGTACCTGTCAATATATTATATTAGCAGTAAACAGATAAAGATGTTTTATTGTGAAAACTTTAGATTTTTTATAATAGAACATTTAAGTAATCATAAAAACTAAATATAAAAAAGAGAAAAAAAAGAGAAAAAATATATAAAAGTGTTTTATTGTAGATATTTCATATTTTGTACATTATAATTTTTAAATAATTAAATAAAAATAAAAAGCAAATATTTTATATATAAGAGAGAGAAAAGAATAGTTAAAAGCTGAATAAATATAAAATATAACAGAAAAAAACTTAAAGAACTAAGATACAATAACTTAAATACTTTTTGTTTATAAATAAATAAATGTAATTTATATATAGTCTTAAAGCATCTCTATATTTTTTTGTTGTTATTTATTTTATTATTCTTCTATTGTTTCATAGCTGAAATATTAGATATCTTCAAGACTTTAATATTGACTTTATTATTATTATTTGTAATCTTAATCAATAAATAAAAACATTATAAACTTTATCATATTTACTCTTTTTTCTTTTAATTTACTATACTTACTATTGTCAGAAACCAATCTGGACAGGAACAAGAACATAGAAAACAGACAGAGAAAGATAGATAGATTCTTTTATTAAAGAAGTTGTTTGCTTGATCTTTCTATGATCAAGCTTTATAAGTATTTATACAAATATTTATGTCTACTAATTATAAGAGATAATTATGTGATTTGTGCTATAAGTGTTCTTTCTAAGGAAATGAATGCAATAATTTGATTAGTTTAATAATAATACTATTGAAAAGGATTCGGATTGGTCTAATGACTGAGACCAATTAGATGTTTCTTATAGCTATATAGTAAGAAATAAACTTTTATTCTTATTTTTTTAAAAGTAAAAAATAAAAAAAATATAAATATAAATAATTATAGATAGATTTCTTAATTATAATATTTAAAATGTGATATTTCAGGTACGAAATAATAGAAAATAATAAATTTAATAAATAGAGACGTATAGAAATACTTTGAGACTGTATATAAGCTGTCATTTATTCATAAATAAAAAGTGTCCCTTTTTATAAGAAAACACAATCTGCTCTTGTCATTACGTCTTAGTTTCTTAAGGCTTTCTTCCTTTATTATATTTGGTTATTAGAGTGTATTTACTGCTTAACTAGTGTTAGTGTTACAATTATGACATCAAGTCATAAATTGTGCTTTTTTAGCTCTTAGCTATTCTTTTCTCTTTTACACTAGATGTTGTATCCAACATAATTGTAGATTCAAATAGAGCGCACAGATAATAAGACAAAGACATATTGAATAAGTGACCAGTATCAATTATACATTATTTCTCACACTATCATTAAATAAAGAATATACTAATAACAAGGTCACACACCTTAGTCAACATCACTAATCACTCAAACAAGAGTGTGGATTGTTGTAAATGAGTATTGACTACTGCTGTAATTGAGAATAAGTCTGAAGGAAATAATATAAGGCCTCAGCTATTCCAGTCAAAGGTGTCTACCAATTACTTTATTATTTAACACACAGGTTTAGCATGCATGATAGTGATTATATTTCATATGATGATATCACCATAATATGGGATACATCAGTGGATTATTATAAGCATAATTAGAACTCATAAACACATTTACTTTCAATGTTAATACTTCATTGGGACTACACACATTTATATAATTAATCATACATTAATTATCCCAAGATCACGTTGCTCTGATTAAGGCTCAGATAGGATCGATTACCTGACCCCAGTCATATAATTTTCCCAATCCAAAACAATATAAATAGCAGTAGTAGTTCAGTGTAGGAACCTGGTCAAACTTTGATACAAAATCTTTCTCAATAAACAAAACCTACACAAGTTCTCACGAATCTTCGTTCCTAATTTCAAATCTTCAATTCTTCCTCTTAAAAACTTCTTCAACTTCAACCACCACAACATATATAAACTCATATAGCAAATAGCAATAGAAGATTATCTCTCTTTTTATCAATAAACAAAGTCTCACCGTACTTCTCATCTGCACTTTGTTTTTCTTTCTTTTTTAAAAATATAACACTAGTGTGGTATTTCAGGTACGAAACAATAGAAAAATAAAATATTTGATAATAGAGACGTATAGAAATACTTTGAGACTGTATATAAGTTGTCTTTATTCATAAATAAAAAGTGTCCCTTTTTATAAGAAAACACAATCTGCTCTTGTCATTACATCTTAGTTTCTTAAGGCTTTCTTCCTTTATTATATTTGGTTATTAGAGTGTATTTACTGCTTAACTAGTGTCGGTGTTACAATTATGACATCAAGTCATAAATCGTACTTCTTTAGCTCTTAGCTATTCTTTTCTCTTTTATACTAGAGCTTTAGGACTTCCTACTAAATTAGCTCCATATCGATCTGACACAGTTTACCCGGCAGTATGATATAATTATCTTAACAATCTTTAAGATATTATCTACAGTACTAACTGTAATAATTATTGGGCTGATTACTTAATCGTTTATATATATTTTATACTGACAAGATGATAGCTACTACGCTATCCCAATATGAATATGTTCTTATATGTGATAAATCCAACATCCGAGTGTCTGGATCACCACAACTAGAGCTTTAGGACTTTCTACTAAATTAGCTCCATATTGCTCTGACACAGTTTATCCAGCAGTATGATATAATTATCTTAACAATCTTTAAGATATTATCCACAGTACTAACTGTAATAATTATTGGCCCGATTACTTCATCGTTTATATATATATTATACTGACAAAATGACAGCTACTACACTATCTCAATGTGAATATGTTCCTATATATGATAAATCTAATATCTGAGTGTTTGGATCACTATATAATATATAAATTAAATCAATTATTTAAAAATCTGATTAATAATTACCAAAACATACTTCTTTTCACTCTTTACTTTTAACTTTATATTTTACTCAGTTCACTATGTTTATTCTAAACATATTTCTAAAATCAAAACCAAAACATAATCATTAATGTATTAAAAAATATTAAATATAATGGGGGTATATTTGCTGTCTATTAGTACTATTATTTTTTATAACTTTCATCAAATGCGTTAATAGTTCAATGGTAGAATTTCAGCCTTCCAAGCTGAAGGTCGGGGTTCGATTCCCCGTTGACGCACAACTATTTTGTTTCGTTGGGTGGCGGAGTTTAAATAGTATTTACGGCCAATCGGAATGCCGTTTATATAAGAGTCTTTATGGCCAACGGCTGAAATAATTCTTTTATGCTCATTTATAATTCTCAGTAAGTTTGTTAAATATTGGCTGTGTCATAGTATTGAAAGACCAACAAATTTGATCAGTCTGTACACTCGGAATATGTGCTATGACAATCCTAATGGGGCGTATATTTATATTACTTTACTCAAGTCTGTGCTATTTAGATATGAAAAGGTTGGGATGATAAATATTTTGAGACACTTTTGTTATCCTTAAATAAAAGCCGAGTCAAATTACTATAAGTTTACGCCATCCCTACTATATTGAATTTTGGCTGCAATGCATTGGGCTACTGAAGCGGTTCAATAAACCATGTTAGAAGCTAGCCAATAAGTCGGGTTATTAACGGGTATCATTTTTTTTTGGTTGATCTTGCTGAACTTGCTTTACATCCCAGCTCATCCTCATATGAGTACTTTACAGGATTTTACACATAGTTTTAACTTCCATAATAACAATATTAGATGAAAAGACTTTTACCGATGTAGAGAAATTATACGCCCAAGAATATGATAAATAACAATCATTTTAATTCCTACAAGTTTAGTATATGTAAGACACAAGAGCTTATATCCCAAAAATTAAATATTCCAGTTTTGCTCGAAAGATAATACACTCTAATACGTCATTTAATTTCAGTTAGCTTTAACCAAATATTTGGTATATAAATAGTGTAATACATACTCAAATAACATAGCAACGAATCTGTAAGATTTTATCACAAAATAAAATAACAACAATAACAAAAGCTTCCTTAATAATTGCTATATATATTACACATGTCAATTATGATACAACACTTCTTTGTATATACACTAGAAATATTCAAGCTGTTAACTATTGTATCGTATCTCTTCTTTCCACGCGGGTGGAGCTGTTATTTTTTCTATTTTTTCTTTATCTTTTCCATTTTTATTTTTTATAGAGGTGGGAGATAGAGATATAGAATGGCCCAACTCAGACCTGAAACAAAAACAACTTTGACTCAAAAATTGGGTCCCCTTTGGTTTAACTGGAGAAGAATATAAAAAAACCAATTTCATTTTTTCATTGATTTCATAACATATTTTAAATACACATTATATTTCGGGTGGTGTTACTTGAGTTTATTATACGATACATACATTGGCTCTAATTTATTGACACGCAAGGTTAGAAAGAAAATCCAATGCAATTGTCCTTAGTATTTAGTTTGATATAATGCCATGGAAATCAGTTTACCTATCTTTTGATCTTGACATCCAATCCTTTTAGCGGACTAAGTAAAAACTGTGTTGGGTTCGGTTCATGTAATGGGGTTTAGGGGTGAAATGAATTAGTCTTTTTTTTTTTTTTTTTTTTTTTTTTTTTTTTTTTTTACAGATCTTTATATATGTGAGTGTGTGTGAGTGTGGACCATAGTCTTTAAGTAAAGGTTAGAAAAATGAAAATATGATATATATATATATGTATCGCTTTTATCATAGATTTTATATATGTTGATGGCTTTGAGCTTAGCACAGGCCAATTGAAAGAAATATTCGACAGGAGAGAAAGTGCGAACTTTGACAAGGTATCAAGCCCGCTTTCTCCGTTGGATAGCAAATAAAATAAAAGGCCAAGGTTTTGAATCACTTTATGTGCTTTTCTTTTATATACATATCTTTTTGACATGAATTCCACATCTTCATTGTTCAGCCCTATCACATTAGGAAATTCAAAGTTAAACCACCGTTTGGTTCTCTGTCCTCTCACCCGTTTCCGTGCTGATAAAGACCATGTCCCAACCCCTATGATGGCAGAATACTATGGCCAGCGTGCAAGCGAAGGAGGATTGATGATTTCTGAAGCTACTTATATAACTCCTGCAGATGGAGTTCTTCCTAACACTCCAGGAATCTACTCCGAAGCCCAAATAGAAGGATGGAAAGAGATATCAAAGTCTGTTCATACCAAAGGCGCCACAATGTTTCTACAACTTTGGCACACAGGCCGTGCTGCATGTTCACAATTGAACCCAAACAACGAGCAACCTATTGGCCCTTCTGCCATTTCAATCCAAGGGAAGGGCCTAACCGGTGTTCCTTACGAAATGCCACGCGCACTTGAGACGCACGAAATTCCAAAAGTTATAGAAACATTTGTTCAAGCAGCCAAAAATGCAATTGAAGCTGGATTCGACGGTGTTGAACTTCATGCTGCCAATGGTTACTTGGTCGACCAGTTCATTAATACGTCAAGTAACAAGCGTACTGACTTGTATGGTGGATCGATTGAAAACCGTGCTCGTTTTGCCATGGAGCTCGTGGGCGCAGTTGCTGAAGCGATTGGCGAAGAGCGCACAGCTATAAGGTTTTCCCCCTGGTCTGGGTTCCAAGACATGAAAGACGACACACCGTATGAGACTTGGGGATATTTGGTGAGCCAGTTCCAAGAAAAGCACCCCAAGTTGGGTTATGTTCACTTTATTGAGCCCCGCGATGATTTCCTTGGAAGACTTGATCAACCTGAAAGAGCCCATATCGCGGTGACCGAGACAGTAGAACCATTCCAGAACATTTGGAAGGGTCCTTTTATTGTGTCTGGTGGATACACAGCAAATCCTAAGCGTGCCTTTGAGACTGCTGATAAAAACAGTAATACGTTGGTTGCCATAGGACGAGCTTTCATTTCCAATCCTGACCTTCCTCTTCGTCTAAAGAATAACTGGCCATTAAGTCCCTATGATCGTTCTACGTTTTACACCAATGATGCTGTTGGATATACAGATTATGAATTTTATACGGAATGAACCAAAATTTAGAATATCTTATAAATAAAAAATACTTTAATGTGTGCAGTTTCCTTTATTTTTATATTTTTAATAGCTCTAAAATACCTGATGTATATTATTAATATTAAAGCGTAACAAGATATATAATATTGATCCAAATAGTATTATGCAGATATATATCTACTTTATAAATCAAGTAATGATGCCAAATGAAATATCATGGAGTACAAATATAAAATGTTCTTCTAAAAAACTAACATACGTGGATACAAAGTTGAGCAGCCTGAAAAGTTTAATGCTTTACTTATAGGCTCCCACTTTTAACCCTTCTTCTACTTTGAAAGTTATATGATAATAGCAATAACACGTTAGTAAGCACATTCTGGATATCAATTACATTTATACTTTACCGTCTTCTTCATCGGACTCATCTTCTACATCACTAAGACTGAGAGTTCTAAGTCGCTGTGCAATTGTTATAGCCTGTGCAATAGACTTAAATGATCTGTGGCTATTAAGACCCTTGCGGACAGTTGGTGCAATATCATGTTCATCACAATTATTGTGTGTAAGATTGTCGGATATCCATGGATGATCCAAGGCCTCATCTGCTGTGAGACGTTTTTCAGGCTTAAAGGTAAGAAGGCCATCAACAAAGTCCTTGGCTATTTTAATTCCGATATAAGAAGTGTTTAGTTAGGTGCTTAGTTATTTATATAAGACCAGAATAAAGAAACTTACCAGATTCAGAAATAGCACCCCAGTATTCTTCATCGAATTCGTATCTACCAGCCATAATAGATTCAAATAAGGCAGCCTGGTCTATATATATATACAGCTAGTAAGTAACATATTTATTCACTAGCTATACATGACATATATTACCTTCTCCCCAGAATGGTGTGTATCCACTCAACAAAGTAAACTGTAAATATATAATATGTTATTAGTTTGAGTAGTATTTGATTTAAGTATAGACTTACGGTGATTACGCCAACACTCCATAAATCAACGGGTTTTCCGTGGCCAATCTGCAGCAATACTTCAGGAGCAACATATCCGGGTGTACCGCATGCTGTCATGAGAACATCATCGTGCGTCTTGAGGATTTTTGATAACCCAAAGTCGGTAATCAGAAGGTTTGAATCCTTCTTTGAGCTTTTGAATAAAAGCTGATTTATCCAAAGCATTTCATTAGAGTCAAATTTGAGTATATATGTGTGTATTGTTGGTACTTACGTTCTCGGGTTTAATATCGCGATGAACAATCTATTGGTTGGCAAGAACGAAGGGACCTTAGAAGTTAACCCACCAGAGATCATCTCACATATTGTGACGTTTAAACTTACATCTTGGCTGTGGAGATATGAGAGACCTTCGAGTACCTGCTTGATGAGGTTGGATGCGTCCTTCTCAGTATAGCTTCCTCTGTCCAGCAGCTGAGTAAATAATTCTCCTCCGCTAGCAAGATCAGTGACAATGTAAACAGCATCTTTTGTCTCGTACAAATCATGCATGGATACAACATGGGGATGTCGTACTTGCTTGAGGATATCTATAATATACCAGTTTTTTTCTCTTTCTATGAGCCCCTAATTCATTGTACTACTCCACCTGTATACGTATATTTTATATTATCATTACCTAATTCGCTGTCCAGCATATGCTCCTTTCCTATGTTCCTTGAAGTTAGCACCATGCCTTTTATATTATTTTGCTTATATCCATCCGATTAACCGATCCAAATCCAAATAAAAAAGCAAGCTATAAGAAGAAAAGTAGGCATCTCCGCCTCAAAAGCAAACTTCTAATATTGTCTAGAGACGCGCAGTACTTGCCTGCAATAACCTTTTTGAGGATAATTTTAAGAGCGTATGCCTTTTGTGTGTCATGTGCTATACATTCCTTGACAACAGCAAATGACCCAACACCGAGAATCTTGTTAGTGATCTTATAAGAACGCTCAAGCGCAGCTGGGTATGGTGGCTCATCACTCTTTTCATGAGTCTTCTTGAAGAGAGCCAAGATTCGCTTGACAATAGGTTCTTTGCTCATTGTTGTGTGTTGGTTTAAAAAATAAAGAGTATTGATAGAGGTATGTTTTTATGTATTTGTGTATGCTGAAAATATTAAAATGGAAAGAGAACGACAGTAAAGAAAGAGTCTATTTTAAAGGTAGGACCCAGATCATACACGTGATTAGGATTACTACGCGTAAGAGACACACCAGAAAACGGGCGCGCCTTCTATACTGTACCAAGTGGCTAAGCACCCAAACGTGTCCTTTCAACCGAGGTACAACTCAGCCTTGAGTTACTTTGTCATTGTTTTGTTGTTACTGAAAATGCAATACAGTTGACACTTTTAATAACTTTATTTAATGCCCGGTTGATTTGGTTCAATAAATGGTACTGAATTTAATGCTGAAAATAAATAAAAGAATTGCTCTAATAAATGATTTCTTATCTTATTGATATGTTTTATTATAAAGAAGTTATTTATATAAAAGGAAGCTCTTTATTAAATAAAGAGAGAGAAAAAGAAAGAAATAAAAGGAAGATGCTTTTAATTATTAATAACTTTGTTACGTACAATATGAAACTAACCGAATATCCGAGAATCGAATGGCTTAAAAGTATCACACAGCCAAGGAAAGTGTTTTCGGATTTTGGTTAAATACATTAAGAGTGGTCAGGTAGAAAATATTCTATTGGTTAGCGTTTATGACCGGGTGCGCATATGACAGTGTTGGTTACCCAAGCAGGCTACAGAAAATGGAATCAAAGAAGAAGCATAAGAAGGAAACAGTCGGGAAACCTATTCATCCTCATCCCAGCACCCTTACGACGACACTTACTGGAAAACCCCAGATAAATAACTACTCCTTTTCTCAAGGTACCATTAAGTGTAGACAATTGGGTGCAATGCTTGGTTTGAGTAAATTTTATTAACCAATTATAATATAAATAGGTAAAAAGCAAAGTTATCTGTGTAGTTCATATTGTTTAGAAGCTAACACCTTTACAAGACAAAAGAATAAAAAGAAAAATATGCCGCATTAATGGCCTACTAGAATAAATTATATTTCTTAAGGAAAAAATGTACTTTTTTTTTTTCCGGTGATCAATTTTTTGATAAAAATATAAAATATATTATCCAATAAGGTTAACTTAATTCTTAACTTATTTATTTTTGCTCAAAACAAACATTGCATACAATTGTCTACCCTTTCAAAAAGCTATTTATTTTATTTGGATTCACGTTAATCTGAGAAAAACAGTTCATTTGATTTATACGTCCGACCAATACTTTCAACAAGAAAGAGAAAGTCCAATAAGAGTGTATACTCTGTACAACCCATATACTCCTTCCACCTTCATCTTGATTCAACTCCTACGTGCCTGGTGAGTTCTTTAGCCCAGTTTTATACAAGAAACCCACACAATCATGTCTCTTATCTTTCTTGGTTTATCAGCAGGTCCCATTCCAGATTACAAGATGATCACCGACAACCAACTCGCATTTATTGCCAATTCACTAGGTGTAATGACCATGCTCCTCATCGTTGTCTACCATTACGTCTCCATCAATGATGTCAAAAGAAAATAAAAACTCCTTGCTGTAAAGCATCAATAAACCCAAAACCAAAAAATAAAATAAGAATATAATTAACGTAAAAACGCGCCATCTATTCATTTTATGCACAGGCACAAAGTACCAGCACAATATAAAAATATAAAGTAACTCCAAGAAAAAAGATAAAAGAGAAAGAAAGCTAATAAAAAAAAACAAGATAGATAGTTTATTATATTATATCACTTTATGACGCCGAAGTATTATTAAGGGTACTATTTTGAGGGATAAGTAATGGTCGTAATATATACATATATATGCCACTGGCGCCCTACGCAGTTGATATGTTAGACTTATTATATTCAGTTATTTAATTACTTACTTTCAGCCGTGGTAATATCATACATAAAATAAGTAAAGCCTTGAAAAGAAAATACGGGGGAAAATGATACAGAATTATATCAGAAAACAATTCAAGTATTTGAAGAAAGCAAAAAATGATCCAGTAAGTAAGCCATTGTTTTCTTTCAAGATAATCTGGATTTTCGAGGCACTTGAGCTATAAAATCAATTTGTTATTTTGAATCTGAATAACACAATAGATAATAACCTACAGAAGCATATGCTACAAATGCATGCATGCATATATATATATGAGTATTAATATTATAAATCTAGATGAGAATATAACCATTACCAGGATATATCCACCCCAATGCACCTGTAATAAGAGTTCCGGTCAAGTTGAATTGTAATAGGTATATCAAGGTACACAGAACACATAATATCGCCAGTATTTTTGAATATCGCCATTCTCGAGCTAGATAGTAGTCAAGACCAGTGTTTTCAGGTTTAGTATAGTGTAGATCCATAATATTTTGCATATGTAAAGTGTAAAAGAAGAATAAACATCCTCTGAAAAGAATTGGGTAATAGATAAAATGTACTGATTTGACCACCGCATTGATCTGTCATTATAAAAAGAGTAATATACTATAATTATAAAATAATATCGTTCTATCAATATAACTGGCAGTGATATTTATCATTTCTTTTTCTTATTTATCCTTTTGAAAAATAAACTTTAATACAAGTAAGTGTAAAATAAAAGTAGACTTCAGAATTAATGTTGTTAATCTTTACTCTTAAGCAATGTTTAAAATATTTAAAGGGCTCAAATTTACTCAATGATACAAAATAAATCCTTCAAAAACACTGAATTATAAAAAAATACTATTTTTACCCTTTAAAATACACTCCATTAATATTTTAGAGCCTGATAATATTATTTAGCATATATCATATTTAACAGATTTGATAAAGGAGCAAAACAAGATATATATCATATTAGAAAGACAGGATGAAATTAGAGATCATGTGATTTAGCCCTTATAATCGGTCACGTGTTCTCTAATTTGCTATTTCTCACTAAAATAAAATGTAAAAACCTATACTACTTGGTAATTGTGTGCCGTACACTATTACCAGTAGGGAACAATTACATAGAACTTAACGTAGCCAAATGGTACCCCCCAAAGGGAGGGGGGAGCAAAGCTCCTAGTATTTTATATAAAAAATTAAAATTAACAGATACATATAGTAAAAAAAGAGGGAAAAAAAGAAACGGTCAAAGTCCATCGTCCCCGCCAAACTAGTAAAATAAACAAGTTCTACGTCACATTCCGGTGTATCTACCGCACTAGTCCGGCCCGAACTATGTAAAATACAACTTTGGAATAAAATATTATTTTCTTTTAAAGAAGCATCAAATGCTTCCGTGGCGCAATTGGCAGCGCGTCTGACTGTTAATCAGGAGGTTGGTGGTTCGAGCCCACCCGGGAGCGTATCATTTTCTATTTTTATTTTTCTGTCTTTCCCGATCTTGGTTGGTCTTCCTTGTCGTCCCCGAATTCTTGTCAGCCAATCAGGATGACGATTACACAGAATTCTCTTTTGAGAACAACGACCGAAGTGATTTCCTTTTGCTTACAAAAGAATTAGAAAGCACATAGCTTAACAAAAGTAGAATAGAAACCAAAACAGACATTTATAATGGCTGGGTAGGTTTAGAAAAGATATAAAAGAGGACGTTATTTCATTCAATAAAAGTTATCTATCTTTCTATCCTCTTTTTATTCTTTTATCTTCGTTTATGATTCCCAGTGGGTTTGACCAATTTTGGCTGTGTTATAGCATTGGAAGAACAACCCAGATCGAAAACGACATCCTTTTACTATAACAAAGTCAAAAGGTCAAACCCACTGGGGACCAAGGAGTATAAGTAAAATCAAAGTGTCAAGTCTCGACCGGGTGTATCTTTCTATTACTTTAACTTGTATAAGTTTTATAATAGATCACTACCAACTAGAACGTTGTGAATAAATAGGAACAGATAGGGATATAGAGAATTGAATGCTTTTTTATTGATACAAACCTTGGAGTATTTATGCAGATTTCTTAAAATGAAACTATCTAATCTAATTCTTTTACCCAAGACATATTTATTTTACATTTATAGAAGGCGACATAATATGTCTTGCTTAACAAAAAGGAGAACCAATTGGTATAATATTAAGGACACATGTTAAAAGGAATAACCAATTGGATACCTGACTTATGGATTTCTATCTACGATGCCAACTCTGACAAAAGAGAGGATAAAAGATGATTTTTATAGATATTTAGAGTAAGTAATACAGCCCCACCCCCGTTGTTTTTTTTTAAAAAAAAACACTAACTAAATTTCTTTACCATTAGATTATTCTATCATATCTATTTATTCACAAAATAAAAGCAGTTCTTATACAGAACGTTATGATATATTTTAATATCCTCAGCAAGTCATGAAGACACATTTGACAGAAATGTTCATTTTAAATATCTTCACCACAATCAAGACGTTTATTCAAAGTTGATACTACAGTGTTTCTACTTGAGATTGAGACAAACTAAAAAATGTTTTAGACGAATCAAGATGTAATTGTAGACAAAGAAAAAGTAGTTTTCAGACAAAGTAGATATTTATTCGTCTAAAACATTTTTTAGTTTGTCTCTGTTGTAAATGAGTATTGACTACTGCTGTAATTGAGAATAAGTTTGAAGGAAATAATATAAAGCCTCAGCTATTCCAGTCAAAGGTGTCTAACAATTACTTTATTATTTAACACACAGGTTTATCATGCATGATAGTGATTATATTTCATATGATGATATCACCATAATATGGGATACATCAGTAGATTATTATAAGTATAATTATAACTCATAAACACATTTACTTTCGATGTTAATACTTCATTGGGACTACACACATTTATATAATTAATCATACATTAATTATTCCAAGATCACGTTGCTCTGATTAAGGCTCAGATAGGATTGATTACCTGACCCCAGTTATATAATTTTCCCGATCCAAAATAACATAAATAGCAGTGGTAGTTCAGTATAGGAACCTCGTCAAATTTTGATACCAAATCTTTCTCAATGAACAAACCCTACACAAGTTTTCACGAATCTTCGTTCCTCATCTAAAATCTTCAATTCTTCCTCTTAAAACTTCATCAAACTTCAACCACCACAACACTTTCAATCGCAAGTAGAAACACTGTAGTATCATTATATATACGGGAACTGCTTTATCTTTGCCTTGTCCAGCTAGTAAATTACACGATAGCCAAGACTGAATCTACACGCATATTGTAAGCCCTAAAAAATAACCAAAGAACGCATTTTATAGTTTTGCATAACTTACATTATATATATAAATAAGTCAATTATTTCATATTTTGCGCCTTTGCCCATATCAATGACCAAATAAGAACACTCCTTTTATTTTATATATAAAAAAGGGAATATATAATTTCTCGAGTGAAAATGGGAAAAATGAAACATATTTATTTAAATTTGCTTCCTTAACGTACATGAGTTGCAGCCATGAACAAAACAGTAAACTAATAATTACGCGAGACTTATAGCCTACGCACACACATATATATATATATTTGATAATTCCAAAAAATGTTATTAGTTAATACAGAAATTGTTTTTATACAATATGAGTAGGTAAAATTAAGCAATCAAGAGTTTCAAGCGCTGATTGATTCAAAGTTCAGATTTAAAGCATATCGAATATACTTGATGGGATCTTGAAACAACATTCAGTAACTTAAGGGTCAATGTTCAAACCGTAAATAATTCCTGGGATATAGATAAAGTTTGAGAGAGTGGGCGCCGAGTTTATTCATATTTTGCGATGTTCATGTAGGGTAGACGCCAAATCGCAATTACCACCAAAAACTCTCACACTATATAGAAATACTTTTGAATATATCGATAGCCGTTTACGTACTTAAGAATTTCTTTTTAAAATGTAATAAAGTAGTATGTCTTATTACTAATGTGTTACTTGTTACTTTACACAATATCTTTACTCTAATAAATAATTTTTCTATGGTAGGCGTATGCTTATACGTATGTGTGTGCGTGTAAGAGTAATTTTGACTGCAGAGCATGTTTGTTGTGTAAACACCCGAGAAAGTTTGATACCGACTAATATGTATTAATTTTAAAAAATTATTCAAAAAATAATATTTTGAATGAATGCACTGCACTGCAGGATGCGTTACACACGTTGCTTTTCTTTTCACTTGCATTCACCCCTTGCTTATTCAGCAGTAACAAGACGCAAGCAAAATATTGGAACTGTCACGATGAATTTATTTATTTTTGGAGAATTTATGAGAGCATTTGAAGCAATTTTCAATACGTTCCTATAAAGTACAATGGAAGTATAAACACTAGCCCGAAAAAGAAAGGAAAAGAAATGATATGGTGTTTAGGCATTAACGACAGTACCACCATTGGGGTGGATAACCTGACCGGTAATAAAGGAAGCAGAATCAGAAGCAAGGAAGACAAACGCAGCAGCAATTTCAGCAGGCTGGGCAGGACGCTTGAAAGGAGGGAAGGAACCAAAGTTTTTAATCTCTTCCTGAGAAAACGTGTTTGCAATCAAAGGAGTCCAGACAGGTCCGGGAGCAACAGCATTGACACGAATGCGACGGGGAGCAAGCTGCTGGGAGAGTGCACGGGTGAAGGAGACAATAGCACCCTTTGTAGCAGAGTAGTCAACCAAGACATCCATTCCACGATAAGCAGCAATAGACGCAGTGTTAAGGACAACGCCACCAGCAACAAGATGGTTGCACACAAGCTTTGTCATAAAGATAGGACCAAACACTTTTTTTTAAAGAAAAAAACGCGTTTAAGACAAAATGCCAAATTAAACGCTTTCTATTATTTTACACCTTCTTACCATTAGTGCGGAAGGTTCTCTCAACAGTACTGGCTACCAAATCCTCAACACGAACAACCTTGTGCTGCTCTGCGGCATTGTTAACAAGAATATCAATACGGCCAAAAGCGGCCAAATGGGAGTCGAGAATCTCCTGGCAGTTTTTCTCATAACCAACATCGCGTGCAATAAGATTGATGACACATTTGGATTGAGCCTCGATGGTGTTCTTGGTGTACGTGGCATCTGCGTCTTCTTCTTCATCACGGTAGACAATAGTGATACCTGCAACACCTTCGAGGGCATATAGGGTGGCGATAGATCTACCGATACCACTGTCAGCACCTTTTAATGTATAAAAAGAGCCGTGAGTTGATGTCTTTATTACTCTGTGCCTTTTTTTTTTAAAAAAAAGAAAACTTACCAGTAATCAGCGCGTATTTTCCTTCAAGCTTTCCACTTCCAACATATGGCTTAAAGCAAGGCTTTCCCTCGGCATCAAAAGAGGGCAAGTTTTGGACAACTGGGGCAGGCTTGAGGATAGAAGCAATACCCGACTTCTGGTAGACCAAGTTTTGGCGAATCTCATTGAATTCGTAGACATCGGTGGGAAGTTCATCATCAAAGCCAAGAGTCATTTTTGTTATTGTGTTTACGTGGATTTGTGTTTGAAGAAGAAGAGATGTGTATCAATGATGTGTATTATTCAAAAATGCTTGTTTTTATATTTATATTTATATTTATATTCATATTCAATTGTTTGAGTTTGTTATTGTCAGAAGACAGTCCTGGGCTGAGTGGGCTGCAATGTGAAGACTTGCCCAAAGGATCAGATATTGATAAAGAGGATAAAAATAAATTATATGACACCCAATCTACAGTCATCTGTATTTCTCAATGTGTTCGGCATGTTTCCTTTCAAAGTTAGCAGCCAAGTATTGCTCAATATCTAACAGACAGCCATTTCACCGATTGGTCAGTAAGAGGTGTTTGTTGATGTATTAAAAAAAAATAAGGGGGAAATAACTAGGGATTTGTTTGTATTTTGTTTGCTCAGTACCTGCGCATTGCATGTCACTCGTGAGTATCAGCATTCCTTTAGTGAGTGTAACGGGAAGACTGGATTCGGGTGAGACGATCAGTACGGGTATCTTTCCCCACCAAATTTCAGGTTTAAGCTGAGGAAGAATTTCACACAATCGCTCAGCCATCTTATTTTTATCCACAGAGGGACCCATCATCAAAAGACGGTTCTCCAAGACTGTCTTTGGCGTCCATTCTCTACGGAAGGATGTATCATGTCCTTTGTAAAGTGCCTCTGCAAATTCTTGCTTCAATGACTTGTGCATACGTGCAGCCCTAGTTCCACTTGATTGTGACACCATGGATCTTACAGTATCCATATCAGAAGATTTTATAGGGATACCGAGTTCTTTGCATAGACTTAAAAACGATTGCAGAGTAGCCCACTCCGAAGTCGGCTGGTCAAAGGTCCCCTCAACCTGCTTTTGACTTGATTTGTCATAGAACGCAAGCCGAGTTTTTTCTTTAACCATAGGTGGACTCTTCTTGAGAAGAGGACCAAGCAGTGTGTAGAGTTGCTGTAAAGAGTCCTCATTACATCTTTTTCTTGAGAGATCATGCCCGAAGAAGTCTGGATGGGTTCGCAAAACGAATTTTTTCAGATAGGGCTTCACCAGAGAACTTGCCATAGTGAACAGTGAGTAAATAAAAACGCTGCTTCCAAAACCTGAAGAGACAGTCCCCAATCCGGAATCTCCTGTGACCGTCTCGCCGACAATATTTGGATGACCGTCAGAATACAGCCTTGTTTTTATTTTTCCTCTCTTTAAGAAGGCTGGCTAGATATTCTATTATAGATATATATGAGCTTATAATTACACACACATCATTATGGTTTCATAATATTCCACCCGGCTTTTGATAAATCAACGATTTTATTTGGTTAAATAAGAGTGTTAGTTTTGGTGATGAGGCTACAATAAGTTATAGTAAGCTACAATAGGCTGCTGTTACACCAATGTGCACGTCCCTATATATTCACTGTATAGATTTTTTTTTGGTTTTTTTTATGTAGAAGGATTGATCTGCTGTATATTAGAGGAATAGCTTAGTAATGGCTACAGTGCTTAGGACACCACACGGATACAACATTCTTCTTTTGAAGACAGATAATTATCAGCCTAATTTTACATGATTTCCACAGCCCCACCGAGTGTTTGTATCTATATATTTTTAGTCAAGTTAGGGTTTGAGAAGTTTTATTGATAGCTATTATTAATAAAGTAGGGTTTAGTCCAATTCTTTGATTCCTTATCATAAAATACCAAACAATTGCTTGCAAATTTTGCCTCACTAAAAATACATACAGCCCTAAATTATTATTAGTAAATCAGAAATATATACTGGTTTTTTGCAGTAGTATGAGAAACCAGAAAACAAAGCATATTATCTTTGAAATCTCAAATAAACATTTCTTGCCCGCTTCAATAGCAAAAATTCAGTAGCCTCTGTTTTGTTTTATTTTCACACCAGAAATAGCAGAGAGTAAAATATGGAATAAATTCTCGGGGATAAGATGTTCATTTCGGCCAAGAATATAATAACCATTGGGCAATGATAACAAGGGTAGTGTTTAGCTGTGATTTTATAGGTAAAATAACGCTTGAACATATGCGTCATCCACAGAAACATATAAAAACCACATAAAACCACCACAGAAACATGAAGCCATAGAAGCGGGCTTTATTAGCATATGACATCGTCTCATAGTAATATTTCACTTTGTCACTTTTCCTTTTGCTTTATCTCTCTCTTTTATCTCTGTTTGATATCTGCTCTTTGAAGATAATAGTAATAATAATCAATGGCACTGCTCAATTTTTTTGATCATGGGACACTCCGAATCCTTGTGTTATGCCTTGTATTACCATGCGTGTTGATGCAGAGCATTGAAAATCCCACATTTTGGCAGCAACCAATAGTTTACAACATCTCTGATGTCAATGACCCCGGGCAGATTATAGAAAAAGAATCCTTAGTTGCAAGATCCGATGACTTTCAAGTACTCTACCCTGGAAACGATCCCCGTGCTCCCGTAATGGTAATACAAGATCCAGTACGATCAATCAATTCTGACATTTACATTACAGGCTCAACGGATCTTATTCGATTTTTCGTATTCTTGTTTATCAACCAATATCTCATTCGATTCAATCCAGAAACTAAACAACAATACACTCACGAGCCTGCCGATCCGATCCGTACCAAAGATCGCTATGATTCAACGTGGTCATTGCGGCTGGAGTGAAAAAATCTCAGTCTTACAAAAGTTTTCTGAAGCAAGCGATCTAAATGTCAAAGCTATACTTATCTACGACAATATTACCTACGACGGAACACCGACGTATGCTCTCCACGGAAACGAACATCATGAACAAAATGACTCTTCAAAACCCTTGCCAGCCGAGCGCAATGTGTATAAAATGGCTGACAATAATATCCAAGAGGGAGAACTACGAATTCCCATCTATTTTGCTCCCAACAAATATGGAGTAGACATAAAGGCCCACCTCGAATTTCTTAATTCAAATAATACAAAAAACATCCGAAAGTTTATTCAGCTCACTCCTTTCTTTGGCCCAGTTCCTTGGACCATGGATCGCAATGCGTCTAATAATTTTGGAACAGCATTACTCAGTACCCACGGATACTTGGCCTATATTGTTGCATTGGCATCTGCGTTCTTTATAGGCAGGTTACGTTTGTTATATATATTCTTTATTTTGCTCTTAAATACATGTAATATGTAATACTGACTTATCGCCTTTTAGGTATTGTAATCTTACGCTGGTGGAGATTCAGAAAGCTTCGAACTTCCGACCAAAATATATCTCCAAATGATTCTGAAAACGAATACGCAAACCACACCCAGAACAGACAGGAAACACACCCGTTAGCTGTTGAAATCGTCAACGGACTACCTATCAAGCTATACACAGCCGGGATTGTCAAAAATACCAATTGTGCAATTTGCCTTGAAGACTTTGAAGAAGACAAACACGAGCTGCGTATATTGCCATGTCATCATGGATTTTGTGTGATGTGTATTGGTAAATGAATTATACGTTTATCTTCGGAATCCATAATATCATTGCTTGATAATGATAATAATCAACTACTCGATATCTTTTTGTTTTTGCTTTAGATCAATGGCTTACTCAAAAATCAACGTTTTGTCCAATTTGTAAATGGGACTGTGAACCATCTGATTGTAACAGTGACGATGACGATCAAGACGAGGAAGATCTAGGGACCGTAGAGGTTCTTGGGAATACCATGCCTCACGAAGCGATAGAAATGAGGGCCATTAATAATCGGGCATGACTTTCTAGATTGTCCTATCCACTCACGCCATCAACCGCTGCCCTGAGTATTAGTCGAAAAATAATAATATTGCATTCCCAACCACACACTCATAAGGTATAATAACGGTGATATTTCATTTTGAATCTATGCAGAGTGGTTTTTAATTAACATGTTTATTTATATATACTTTAAGTTTAATTTTTCTTTTTTAAAAGTCAAGACCTTTAGAATCTCGATTTGTAATATATAATATATAATTTTAAGGATATCTCGGTGATATTCACCTTTAATAAAGAACACAATAATGAATATGTATTCTTACATATTGAATATACATACACGAGGTCGTTAATTGAAGAATAAATCAGTTGGGTATCATAATATTCAAGCTAAGAAATAGACTCTCCCATAATAAGAAAGTATAAAGCTAATAAAATATAGCCATGACAGTAATCATCATGAAAAGAGAAACCAGTCTAGTAAAATGTGGGTCAGGTATACATAGCAAAATATTGATATAGTACAGTTCTATTTCCAAATAGTTTTCAATATTTTGTATTAAAAACTGCAAACCACCTCACTCATTTTTTTGTCTTGTGTTGTGTATATATTTATTGATAGTCTATTAAAAATATTATATATATATGGACTCTTTTAAGGCCACTTGAGGATCTCTGGAATAATCTTTTCATCCCAACCATCGCAAAGTTCTTTCTGTGCAGGACGAGTACACAGTTCAGAAATGTCTTCAACAAGCCAGTCCTCAGTGGCATTTCCAGCACCACTGATGAGCGTGTTAACATATGCCATGACGCTTGGGTCATTGGTCATTGATCCAGCACCATATTTAACCAGTGTATTGTGAACAGACTGTCTGTAAGTCTGAGCAATGGTACGGAACAACAAGCCCTGCTGGTATCTGGCGTAATCATGAAGTTGTTGACGAATACGACCCACAATACGTAATTTGATCTACAAAAACATATATTTTTTTTAAAAAAAAGCAATCCATATAATTTTGAATTTTTTCTTGGTACTTACATCGGGCAAGAAATGACAGATAGAAGGAGGGTTACCGCAGATATAGTCCATCTTCTCACCTATAATTTTTTATGATGATTATTTAATCGAGAGATGAAGGTAGTTAATAAGAATCGCATGGCTTATTTTATTTATATTTATTTTTTACTCACATTCTTCTCTTGTCCAGCTTTCTCCAGGAGGGGGCATCTTTCTGTCAATTCTCTTGGGATTGTTGCAATCGCCCTTGAAAGGGAGTTCCTCGGCAAACATCACTTTGAAGATGCCATCTTCAAGTTTCTTTCCTACAGCCTCTGCAACAAAGCCCTTCAATGCAGGGCCAATATTGGTACGGACATCTTCACGAATATTTTCTTCGTAAACGACAACAGATAGTTGTTCAGCAATTGTGATGGGTTTAGTGAGTTCTGCAGCAAGTTTCTCGTGGAGTTCGTCGATTGCCATTTGCAACACAGGACTGTAGAACTTTGAAAAATCATTGGCAAGACCATGTCTGCAATCGGGTTCGCATGCGAGTGTAAGACCTGCAAATAATGCGGTGAAAACCACAAGTGCAGAGCGAAGCATCTTTAGTCTCAAAACCAAAAATAAAATAAAATAAAGAAAGAAATAAAAGGAGAGAGAGAGAGAGCACGAACCACCAATAAGCTAGCTCCACCTGAATATCGCTCATGAAAGCTCGTTCTTTTTTTTTCTGAATAAGAAAAAAAAGAAGTCACTAATCGTTAAAACAAATACGGTAAAAGAAAAGACAGAAAGTGCTTCGGGTGTCACAAATATTCTGAGGCATCTCGTTTTTTTTTGTTGTTGTTGTTGTTGCTGTTCATCGATTATCCCGGATGAATTAATATCATCAATTTGCCACTCAAAGGATATGGTGTGCTTTATTCTTAGTGGTTGTTGAGTAAATAAATCAACTTTGTTTCACGTGCTTCTTTGTTTCATTTTTGCTAGATTATTTGACAGAACCACGAGAATTAATAATTCGGCATGGTCTTTTGGGTATCTTTTGTATTATCGATGTTACCATCAAAAAATATGCACAAAGAAGATCTTTCCGGGCGAGTCTTTCATTTTGTGACTAGGCTCCAGATAATAGTATATTATATTACTTTATATTTTGACGCCATAGCTTACTTAGGTAGATAAAATCATGTCAAGATTAGTTGGACACTAAAGGGAGGTGGGTTCTTTTTTTTGTGTACCTATATATTTATCTATTACAACCCAGCGTTATCTGGGAAAAAAGCAACAACTATTTTTTGCTCGGATCTTACTCAAACTACTGCGCTATAGATTGTCTAGACTAGTCCGGCCATGAACATACCTCATTTACCTTGGCAATTTTCTCTTCCGAAAACGAAACAACCGAGAAGAAAGCCACGATCGATCCCAGAGGGTGAATAGTACAAAGCATAATTCGATTCTGATAAAGTTCATTCGGCATCTAGCCATGCGATGTGCTTGTTTAACCCGAGATTCTATCATAATACGCATTAAATTATTTCGCCTGTCATGTAAAGTGCATTTCATCACACAATGCTCTTCTTGTCATACATCGACTGATAAGTTTTTTTTTCTGTTTGTTTGTTTTGGCAAAATTAAGTCTATATACTTTCAGGGTCTACAGTAGTTCTCAAGCGCATATTATTAAGCAGCCCTACCTGAAATATAGATCTTTCTCGAATATGCTATAGCTTACAAATGCACATAATTAAGACGTGGCGCATAATTGATAATTGATAATTGATAAGTGGTGATAGGATTATTGTTTAATAATGACTACATTAACTAAAAATATACTCAAAGAAAAGAATAGTATCATATATATTTGTATATTTAAAGGTCTAACTGACATCATGTAATATATAATTATTCTTACCTGTCAGATGTGTTAAAATATTAATAGTAGAAATGAAAATGAATGTTAATATTTTCAAGCGTACAGATATGCTGCGCCATGCCGACTAGTACTGTTTGTAATTCGCAGTTTTATTATATAAACCACAAAAATTATAGTTTTTTTCTATTTTCTTTTTCTTTAGAAAAAATAAAAATAACAAACTGTCTTTTTGTACAACAGGTACAATAATTTTACTCTAATACATATATAAATGTAAAAAAAAAGCCAGCAAACCATAATGTTTATCCATATAAGGAAATAATCCTGCTCTTTAACACAGAAGCTTTTAAAAGAATGAAGAGATATATATGTATAAAGAGCTTTTAGACTCTGAAACAATCGTACGATAAAAGAATAAACCAAGTGTTGTTAAAAAAAGAAAAAGAAAAAGAAAAAAAAGGAAACGTCAATGACATCGTTTCCTTTCAAGGCAAAATAATGTCAAGAATGGGTTGTATAATAGCAACAGCCTTCTATCTCTCAGTTGACTACATGGCTTGTAAAGTAAATAAATAAAGGCAAATATATAATACTAAGAGAGAAAGAGAGAGAAATAGAGGTAGAGATTAATAACCAATACGACGAGTTTGATCTCCATAATTTCACATTGAAAACTAAAAATAATTATAGGCTTGGAATTGTTTTTATCAAAGATCCAAAAAAAAAGGATAGGTTTGTAATCGCATTACATTGTGGGGTAATAGGTGTCTTTCTATATAAGTAAATGCATTTATTTGTTCAAATAGTCATCATGAAATAAACAAGAACAAACTAAGCAATTATATATATACACATATATTGTTTAATGTTAATGGATAAATATCATTCTGATTGGACCGATAATTTGTTACTTAGCAACGCAAATATCAATACATCAATTGATTTTATATATTTTATCTTTTTTTTTATTAAATTAAAAGTTGCACCTTTTATATATATATTATAGAAAGGAACTAAACATATATTGATTTTTGAAAGGGTGCAACCCTATTTTATATGTATATATGCATAATATTATACTTCTTTAAAAGTAAAGTAAATAGGATACAAAGAATTCTATAACCAGAGCCCACGCTTGTTCTTGTAATCATAGAGATAATATGGAGTAATCACACATGTATGTGTTACGGTAACCATATATCCCAGAGATTAGAAAATAAAAGAACAAAAGATTAGAATTGGAAAATCTAGATGATGTATAATAATAAAGCCATAATTGTACAATAGTCAAAATAGGTACAATATACTAGCCAGAGTTAATTTTAGGACCAGAGGAGTGTGTTCCGCAGCGTATATACATGAGGATCTGATTTCCCTTTTCTAAAAGAGCACAAGGTTGCTGAGTGGAAACAACCATTCCCCATAATTTGGATTTTCTTTACTATCATTTTATTTTGATAAAACGAACAATAGAATTTGTATAATGATACTAGAAATCATAAAACCAAAAAGTCAAAAAAACAATTGTTTGTGAAAAAGGGTCTTCTTTATTGTTTATATACACGTCGTGCACTTCTAGGATAATGATAGTTGGCATAGGCTTCATCAAATGTCTTTGAAGAGAAAGTTAAAGAATAGATCATAAGGGGCAAGTAAATACATAAAAAGAAAACCATATGTGAAATATATGTATAAAAAATAAAATAAAAGGTAATGGGCATACAATGTGAAGATAAATAATGTAAAGGGTCTAATCAATATACAGAAATGAAAAATAAAGTGTGTATGTGAGGTTCAATTGAAATTATATAAACGAAGGAGTATATTCATGAGTTGAAGAGGAGTGCATATGTACGCGTGTTTGTGGTTGTATTTGTATTTGTATGTAGATGTGTGTTGATGTGTGTTGATGTGTTTGTATTCGTGCGTGAAAATACGATTCTCCAGAGGATCTGATTCAATGATCAAAGGCAGCGTCTGGCAATAGGGAGATCGTTTCCAAGATAATGTACATAGAGTTCTGGGGCATTTACATATGCCTTGTCTCTAAAGGAGCCAACATAGATCCAAGTCGCCTCTGCACGCTTCCAGACGTCTTCAATGTTGCTCTGTGACTGCAAGTCAAATGGAACCCACACGGCTCCAGAAGCATAAACCCATTCGTAACTCATTTTTTTAGTTGTTTCGGTAGACTCGGTAGACTCGGTTGGTTTGGTAGATTCAGTTGATTTGGACGACTCAGTTTGAGTAGGCTTAGAAGAAGATCTTTTTTTTTTGTATTTGATAAAAAAGAAGAAGTTGAGAAGTTAATTTTTGGAGAAATTAACCTCAGGTATTTATACAAGATCTACCTGTCTTCCATGATTTTTTTTTAAATAATAATAATAATCCCAGATCAATGAGGCGCGCAGCAATTAATTTTTATTTTTATTTTTATTTTATTTTATTTTATTTTATGTGTGGATATTTAGGTCTCTATATATTTCTTATATATATATTTAATTTTCAATTTTTATTTTTACTTTTTACGCAGCATGTACTTTTTGTACACAAGAAGAGCCGTCATCAATGACCTAGAAGAGTCGATGATAATTTGAGAAGACCCATTATGTCAAATGTATATTTGGTATATAACATTACAGAATAATAGCCATAAAAAGAGGTTCAATATCTCAAACCGGCAGTTAGTTGACATGCATTGACGTTTGCATTATAATATCCTTTTTTTCTTTCTTTAAAAAATTATTTAATTATGGTTATAGGCTACTGATCAAAATTTGCGCTTCTATACACAGTGTACTAATATAAAAACAAAAATAAATCACAAAATCCGCAGTACAACATCTTTAGTAAATTCTGTTCATAAAGTTTAGTAGTCTGTAGCATAAACACTAACCAAACGTATAGTTATTTTATCTTGTTTATTTTTATTTTTTGTAAGAAAAAAAAAACACCCTTTACCCTCTCACCTGTGAGTCATTCTTGAGTCACTCGTATTAAACGTGGCAGGCATAAAAAGTGGCTGCTAAGCGTTTATCTTTACAATAATTTATGATCAAATACTGTAGGCCAATATTCTGATTTATTCTATCTAATACTCTATCTTTTACCCTTTAATTTTTGCTCTTTTGCTCTTTTCTCATTGCTCTCTGCTCTCTGCTCTATTTCCTTTTATCTTTCTCATAATTACACATATATATAAATAAATATAATATTTATTATATAAATAAATAAACAAACAAACAAGCAAGAACTAAAATTATAGCTAGAAGACTTTTCTGGAGTACAAGAAGAGCGATCATGACTATCTTACATTCATAGTACTATACCTCTAAAAATAAAGGATCATAATAATAGACTAGGCAAGTAACCAAGTAACCAAGTAATAAAGCAGTAAAGTAGTCAAAACCATATATTTTAGCTATGAGGTATGGTGCGATCGGAGATAACTATCTAAGTTTTTGGGTATTTTTTAAAAGTTTATAACTTTTGCAAAACTTAAGTTAATATAATTCTGGACTCTTAATTCGATAGATATGATCATTATCTATAGAATTAAGAGTTTACAATTGCTCTAACTACTCTGAATAAAAAGTCTTAGACTTTCAAAGTTGGGATGTATTGGCCTATTTACAACGGAGTTTACCCGGTTTTTACGATATTGAAACAAGTTAAATGGCTGTCACTGACGGACATTAAATATAATTTCTTAAAAAGGGAAATCACGTGCGTGTGACTTTGACTTTTATTGCGTACCTTTTATTATTTTGGTCTTCCTCAAGTGTTACTACTCAAGCTTAACACACTTATATTTAAAACACTCTAAAATGCCTCGTCCAAAAAAGAGATCAACAATGGCAAAGAAAATAAACAGATCGGCTAGTAGTGGAGCTTTTATTAAAAAAATACAATTGGAAAATGAAGATTATGTGGACTTGGAGTTTGACCATGAAGACGATATTGTTTTGGACGACAGAGAGCTCCAGGGAATGTCAGAAGAAGTTACTTCAGCTGCATATACAAACCAGCTGCTGAAATGGCATGAAGGTGCTGATAAGTCGCTTCGTAGAACTTATCAGAAAAATTCGCGAACAACTGAATGAAGAAAAAGAAAAGCAGATAATGATGCTTCAAATACGCAAGGAAGCTACCGTCTTACAGATAAAGGCTTCTTTATTAAAGTTCAAAAAGAGGCTCCAATTGAATTAAAAGAATCTATTGATAGTGAATTGGAGAACATACAGATTGACAAAATTGCTGTGCTTAAACTTGCACATGAAGATGTTAAGAAAGAGATTTTCCCTTATACTCGCGCAGGTCCTTCTTCTCAGTCAGTTGATGCTTTTGAACTCTGTAAGCTTAAATCAGTTGAATGCTACCTTCGATACAGAATATCAGGCGCCAAAACTATGGAAGCTTCAGAGAAAGCATCGATGGAAACATGGCTTCACAAAAACACTTATCGTCCAGCTGCTATAAGAAAGTATGCCAAAGAGTATGTTGATTTCCGTTCAATTGCCTTACATCAACAAGGAAAGCATTTGAGAAGACATTCTTTATTTTCGGATGAAGATATAAAGTCTACTATCTGTAAATGGATTCAAAACCAGAGACCAGAAAGTCGAAGTCTTATCGAAGTGAAGAAGTACATTGATGGAGAGATTTTGCCAAGAAAGCTTGGTATACCTGGAAATACTTCCACAAATACAATCTGGAAGTACCTTCATGAATGGGGTTATGTGTTTAGAAAGAACTCTAAAGACATTTATTACGACGGTCATGAAAGAGAGGATGTGATTGCATACCGTCAGAAATGGGCAAAAAGAATGATGGTGTACAAGAAGAAAATGGCAACTTTTTCTGAAAATGAAGAAACTGTAGTTTTGCCAGTACTTAGATCCGATGAAATAGAGCATGTTCTTGTTACTCCCGATGAATCGACATTCTACGCAAACGATGGGAAAGATACCATGTGGCTAATGGAAGATGAAAATCCTATCCGTAAGAAAGGTCCAGGAATGTCTCTCATGATCAGTGAGTTCAAGTGCGTATGCCACGGAACAATGGCTAGAGGGGCATGGTCGTCACGAGAGGTATTCCGCCCTGGGGCCGACAGAGATGGGTACTGAACGAGTGCGGATATGTTGAAGCAATTGAAAAACAATGTTATTCCTCTTTTTGAATTGATTCACCCAGGGTGCAAGGCCGTCTTTTCATTTGACCAAAGCACAAATCACAAAGCGTATGGTCAAAATGCTTTGATCTCAAGCAAAATGAATCTAAATGACAAAGAGATTGAAGACGACGATCCTTGTTCTTTGCGGGATACAGTATTTGTCCGGAATGGTGTAGAGGAAGTACAATCAATGTACTACGAGAAGGACGAATGGTTTGCAAAGAAAAGTGGACAATGGGTCCAAAATAAGGTTAAATATGTTAAAGGCGTCCGTCATATTCTGGAGGAGCGTGGTTTGTGGCTTGAGAAGGATCCGTATAATCCTATTAAGAAATGGCGACTAGACTGTAAGAGTAAAGACGCCTCTGAAGATAGCAAGTGCTGTGCACATCATTTTCTGGCTTCACAACCAGATTTTATGTCACAGAAAACTGCTCTTCATGAGGCTGTCGAAGACTCTGGTCATATATTTGAACTTTACCCTAAGTTCCATTGCGAATGCAATTGGATTGAGAGGTATTGGGGTGCCGCAAAGCGTGAAGCTCGCCTCCAGTGTGACTATACGTATAAGTCCCTGGATAAGAATATCCATACTTTCTTGGATCACGCTGGTAAGCTTCCAAATATCCGCCGGTATTACAACCGCTCGTGGCGCTACATTGAGGCATACAGCCAAGAGATGAACGTGAAAGAAGCCAATGATGTTGTAAAAAAATTTACAAAAAAAAAATATACTTCTCATCGCCGTGATGAAGGAAGAGAATAGAATTTTTATCTGTACTTTCTTTATTTTTTATTATTTTTGCTTATAAATTATCTTTATCTCTAATTATTATTTTATTAAATATATCAATTCTACTTTTGTGCTTAGTCTTTACGTTTTGAGTGCTAAATATCATTGAATTTTGATTTTTTTTAAAGGTTGTCGGACATTAAATCATAATTGGCTGGCGGAGTTTTACAGGAGAAAATTGAAACAAATCCAAAAACATTGATACTTATCTCCGATTGCACCATAGTCAAATATCCAAAAATATCCAAATTACCCAAATGGCCAAATCAGTTACTTAATAAAATAAAAAAAAAAAGACTATTTTAAATATTTAGTTTGATGTTACCTTTGAAGAAACCCTTCAAGATCCATTTTCTTTTTTACTCCGCTCGATACTAGGAAACACCTTTTCCCATGCCACCATCTCAACCAATCCCAGAAGACTCACCACACAAGGCTGAGGATGATGTTCATTCACTTGTAATTGCAAAACACGATACCTCGGATACGACTGAATGTCCTTCACCAGCAAGCGAGAAAAGTGATGATGACTCTTTAGAAGACAGCCCACGTCAGGAACTTGGGATGGTGATCAGTCAGCTTCAAGGAATATTGATCGAGAATGAAAAGACATTCTCTCGAGATCATCCGGAGGAAGCCTCTTCTGAAGCTTCTGGGAAAAAAGTTCTCGAGAATCCCTTTACAGAAAACACAAAGCTCAGCGACGGAACTGGCTTTATTGTACCTATGGACCACCAAGAAAATGGAGATATTTATGATAAACAAGGCACCCAGAGTGGATCAGCTGCTCAATATACCAACATAGTCAGTGAAGAAATAATGCCGCCATCCCCCGGTATCCCTCCTCCAGGACACCCACTCGAACACGAAAGATCAAGTGAAGATATGGAATTAGAAAGCTACAGCGACAATCATATAGCAATCAACAAAGCTGCTCTCAAAGAAGTCAAGCAGAATACCCTCTCACCAAGAGAACAAGAGAAGCAAGGTAAATCACAAGGTGTTACTTTAGATATGTACACATACACATGTTACATACACTGCATACATACACACCCACCCGCGCGCGCGTGCACAAAAAACAAGAACGAATTAGTTAATTTTTTTTTATAAAGACGAACCTATGTTACGCGCTATCCGCCATCTATTCAACAACAGATTTATGAAGGCAAAGCGACTCTTTGAAAAACAGGCGGACAGGTATGATTGTCATACTACATTGATTTATTTCATTTCAGTCTCACATTGCATATATCTCAAAGTGATCCCTTGTACGCCCTTGGACTAGGTTCCATGGCATTCCTGAAGGGTAAGGAACCAGAACACTTGACTACAATACTATGACTCTACTAAAATTTTCCAAAAAATAATAATAACCAAATCCTCTATAATATTTAAGCTGTCATGGTAAGAATTTACAAAATCACAAAATAACTAATCAAACATACTATTTACTAATACTAACAATATAACATAATTTTTAATAATAATCTCCATCTATACATTCTCAAGACCACAAACGAAGATACCACAAAAAATGCAATCCAAGTGTTAATGACAACATATAATATGGCAACAGCCCAAATTGATTTGGCTATGAAGAAGTCTGTAGGAGATTCAGTAGTCCAGTACTTTTCAACCTATTACAACTACATCAAGTACTCAAGAGGAAATGCCTTACCATCCAATATGAAGCCTGCATCCGAACGAGACATTGAAGCCAACAAAGTCACCTTTGTTCCCAACGGTGTTCTACGTGCGCATGTTGTCAAGGCTGAAAGTTGTCTTCAAATTGCAATTCTTCAGCTTTTACAAGAAAGTGTAGTTGGTTATATCAAATGTGGAATTAACTTGCGAAGAGGTAACCATCAAGCACCCTGTACTTTTTTTTATTAGAAATATAGATATATAATCAATTCTAACATTCGCTCCATTTATTTTTATTTCTGGTAATAATAATAATATATAAAAAGCCTACACAAGCTACAGTCTAGTTTGGCAAGAGTATAAACGAATGGGCCAAGGATACAATGAATTTATTGATCGCGATACAGTATCTGGTATTCAGTTTGGGTAATTTCTCTCTCTCTCTCTCTTCTTTTCACCTTTGAGGACCTAACACTATTTTCTTGTGCGTGTGTATAGTATCGGAGCAGTTCATTTAGTATTATCTGCCTTGCCCCAAAAGACTCTTCGAATGGTATCTGCCTTTGGGTGGAAAGCAGATAAACACCTTGGATTTGCCTTGTTAAAGATTTGTTTGGAAGACAGACGAGTTCGATCACCCATGGCCTCTCTAATGTAACACCGAGTTTCTTCTTCTTCTTTTTATTCTTCGTATTCGTAAGCTTATATATGTACGTATGTATGTATTGGGTAGGTTACTTGCTTATTATACCGTATTGACATCTCTTTGCCCTCAAATCTTGGCTTCTGAGTACACCCAGCCTGCAATCGAGGTACTTTTGAGCCTACAGAAATACCTTATTTCTCTAAACACTCTCGTTTATTTGATCAAAATAGACACTATTGGACGCCCAAAGATCTTCTCCTGATTCAGCATTTTTCCTTTACTTTGCTGGAAGAACATCCAGACTCGCTCGCAATCTCACCTTGTCAACACAATCCTTTATGTATGCTATTGAAATCAGTAAGAACGAGTGGGCAGAAGTAGAGGTCCTGCAATTGTGCAGTTATGAGATTGGTTTCAATTATATGATGCAACACGAGTGGGAAGAGGCAGCCAATATTTTCGACACTCTCTATAAGGAGAAATACTGGTCGCCTGTTATTCTCCGTTTCCTTCACGGTGCCTGTCTTGATATGATGGGATTGCGCACAGAAGCCATCTTGGCCTTTGCGGATGTGCCTGAATTGGAGGGTACCAAGTCTTCAAGTACCGCCCATGTGGAGAAGTACGTGCTACACAAAGTGGCTGCTTTACAAACCAGTGGCTATCAAGATATGGATATGACATTGTGTGCTCTTGAGTTTATCTGCTTGATGAATTCATTTGATTTTATGAGTCACGAGATGCTTGACAAGAGTATCGCACTCGTAGATCGTGCATTGGGAAGCATTGCAGAAGCCGAGAAGATTGAGTATGGTATCCGCACCCGTGAACTCTTGCCAGACACTCCCCCACCCCAATACTTTGATCAAAGGGGTACTCTCTTATTACTCAAGGCATCCATCTACAATGCCCTTGGACGCCATCAAGACTCAATCATTCACCTCAACTGGATTATTGACCACAAGGAGCAGATCACAACAGACAAATGGGTTGTACCATTCTCTTTCTGGTAAATTACATTTGATGATACTAATATAATAGTAAGCAATAATAGCACTCACTTTTTCAATTATATAATTATATATATATATATCAGGGAAGCGGGTGTTACATCTTGGGGAACTGACAACAGAGTACGCGCACGCGAGTTTTGGGATATGTCACTGAAATATAGCAAATATGATTTTGAATATCGCTTGGCAATGGTAAGCTGTCACAGTCTTGACTTTTTATTTAAGGTTTGTCAGTTGAATTTATCAATGCCTCTTCTTTATCGCCATAGCGCCTTAACCTGGCAATCACAAAAGCACAAGAACTCGGTGTTCCAGCCCCTGAGCAAGCCAAAAACAACGGAAAGACATCAGAGGATATGACCGAGAATTCTAGTACAACAAGCATGAGTAACAACAGTGCTACTGGAAGTTAAGCACCAAAAACCAATAATTATGAAACCAAAGAGAAAGATAAAACAGAAATATAATCTTGAGAGGTGAAAGTATTTAAGCATCCAATATTAATAATAAATAAAATAAAGTCATACCTACAATTAAAGAAGATAAAAGAGAAAGTTTGGAAGACATCCAAGGTCTAGAGGAAGATCCAGAGGGAGAGAGTTTTTGTTCTTCTTCTTCCTTCTTCCTTCTTCCTTCTGCTTGCCTGCCTGCCCGTCTACCTGCCTGCCTGCATACCATAAGAATAATTATATCTTCTCTATATGCACTGTAGTTTTTTTTGTATTGTTTATTAGAGGAGGGGTTATCTAGTGGAAAATTGAATATTCTATCCATTTTCAATTGACACGGCGATTTAATTTCCAATAATTGTTATACGTTTTTCTCAGTTGATGCGATTTAGTGGAAAATGTAAGTGGAAAATTTGGAAATCTGATAAGTTTCCACAACTGCTGCCGGAGTGCTTTGTTTTTTACTGGGTTTGTCCAATCTTTATTTTTAGCAGTCACACTTTTTCCGTTAGATAACGCCTCCTCTAATGTCTAAAAACTAATTTTGATTTGTCCAGAAAAAAACTAACATCGTCTGAATTTAAAGTAGAAACAGTGTATTAAAAAAAAAAGTAGGCAGCAAAGCAGATCTCAGTCAGGACACTTGAGATTAGATATCCATGAAGCGCATAGTCACATTCGAAGAAGAAGGCAAGGATGCCACTGAATGGCAATTCCACGATGCAGACGATTCCTCAAAGCAGCAGAAGAAAAAGCATAAGAAAAAGGGAGGACAGGATCGTGAAGAAAAGTTTAATCCACAAACTACACAGAAACTCGATCACAAGACATTTAAGCAACGGAAGCAGGAAATGCTTGATTTTCGCAAACAGTTGCCAATTTACTCGGGTATAATTATTGCTATTAATAAGAACAACAAAAAAGCACTATATAGAAAAGTAGACTGATAGCCGGGATTGTTTAGGACGTGAGGATATTATTAAGTCTATTCAAGATAATCCTGCTGTGATTATTATGGGTGAAACCGGTAGTGGAAAAACAACTCGTAAGTGTAAAATTGGAAAATTGAATAGTAAAATCTAAGATGAAGAGGGGGAATACTTTCAGAGATCCCGCAATTTATTCTTGAGGCTGGTTTGGCTTCTCGTGAGCTTGGCGGTGTAGCCGTCACCCAACCTAGACGAGTGGCCGCTGTAAATCTCGCCAAGCGTGTGGCCGAAGAAACAATGACAAAACTAGGAGGAAAAGTAATGTATAAAAATACAATCTTCTTTATCTTAGTTCCATAGATGTTAATTGGTAAATATTGAAAATCACTTAGGTCGGTTATACAGTTCGTTTTGATGATACCTCTAGCCCAGAAACAGTGATCAAGTACTTGACTGATGGTATGTTGCTCCGTGAAGTACTTTCAGATGAGCTGCTGCTCAGATACAGAGTAATTGTACTGGATGAGGCGCACGAACGCACATTGCGAACCGATATGCTGTTTGGTATGATAAAAAAGATCCAAAAGAAACGCGCAGAGATGTATCAGCGAGGTGAAGAAGGTATTGAGGAGCTCAAGATTGTTGTTATGAGTGCCACCTTGGATGCTGAAAAATTCAGCGAATTCTTTGATGGGTAAGTTTAGTCTCTAAAAGAAAAAAGTATGGTGTATCTTATACCCTATATCTTCAGTGCAAAGATTCTTTATGTATCTGGCAGACTGTATCCAGTCGATACCTTTTTCACAGATGAGCCTCAGTCTGATTTCTTGGATTCTGCACTGGTGACAATCTTCCAGATCCATGTAAAAAACCCACCAGGAGACATCCTGGTATTTTTACCCGGTCAAGATGCTATCGAAACCCTCACAACTCTTGTAACGGAGTATGCTTCTCAGTTAAGACCTACCCAGCGAAGTCTTTTATGCTGTCCTCTCTTTGCTGCTCTCCCACCAGCACAACAGCAAAAAGTATTTGATCCAGCTCCGCCAAATACCCGTAAGGTTATCCTCTCTACCAATATTGCTGAGACTAGTATTACAATTCCTGGAATCAAGTACGTTGTTGACTGTGGTCTGGCTAAATTGCGTGGATTCAATCCAAAAATTGGTGTCGAGTCCCTTTTGTTGCACCCAGTCTCCAAGAGTTCTGCATGGCAGAGAACAGGAAGAGCAGGAAGAGAGGTATGTGAATAGCCTGCTTATAAATTTAATTGAAGTGTAACTTATCCAAGTACGCAGGCTGCTGGTGTATGTTATCGTCTTTACACTGAGAGTGCATTTAGAGAACTCGAAGATGATACTGTACCTGAAATCAGACGATGTAATCTTGCCTCAGCTGTATTGATGCTCAAAGCATCTGGAATTGATAATGTATTAGACTTTGATTACATGGATAGACCTTCAAGGCAATCATGTGAGTACATACACACATTAAGAAGTACACAGGGCTTACTTTTGTATACGTTGGCGTGTTGTAGTAATCCGTGCATTGGAAGAACTGTATGCACTAGGTGCCATGGATGACAAGGGTAATCTTTCAGAGTTGGGCAAGAAGATGGCCGGTTTCCCCCTTGATCCCACATATTCCAAAGTTCTTATCCAGTCTCAGGAAGATGGCTGCACACTGGAGGCTATTGCCATTGTCTCGTTGCTTTCAGTTGACTCTATCTTTTTCATGCCTTCTGATAAGCGAGAAGAATCTTCTGAGGCTAGACGCAAATTCCTTCATCCAGATGGTGATCACCTTACTCTATTGAATGTTTTAAAAGCATACTGGGAAGTAAAGGGTGATATGGAATGGTGCAAGGAGAATTTTATCAATGTCCGAAATATGAAAATTGCTCTGGTAAGAAAGCTTGGTCTTAGAATCTACAGAAAATCCATAATTTATTCATATCTTTTAATCTCCTTTGTAGGAAGTAAGAGACCAGTTGATCCGGTTCTGTGAACGACTAGAGATCAATCCGTCAGCATCATGCGGGACAGACACAGATGCAGTTCTCAAGTGCTTCCTTTCAGGCTTCTTTCAGAACACCGCTCTACTACAACCTGATGGATCTTATAGAAGTGTTGCTGGTAGCCAGACAGTTAAGATCCATCCAGCATCTTCTATGTTTGGCAAACGCGTAGAAGGAATTATGTACAACGAACTTGTATTTACAACCAAACATTATGTTCGTGGTGTTTCTGCGATACAGTCTTCATGGCTGCCTCTGGCTGCACCAAAATACTTCAATAATGGCCATTAAATGCAACATATGTTCTCATTCTTTTTCTTTTATCATGTTTACCGCCCATACAATCCACTAGACTGAATAATAACAATAAACAACATTATTCTAAATCATTAATTCACTTATAATTTGTGATAAAAAGGCATCTGTCTCATTTATATCGAGTGTTCGTCGCATAGCCCTTGATCGATCTTCGGGACATTCCAGTGTAGACATTTGTATAGGGCGGTAATTGCTGAGTTTCATCGAGTGCTTAAAAGCTTCAACCAACGCTTGTTGTGTTCTCTGACGCTTATCACTATGTAAATGAACAATGGCCATTGTATTGTCTTCTTCATGTCTTCTTCGCTGCCCGCAGCCAAGAAAAGGATGAGGGTCTACAGTTAAAAGATGATCCGAATATATTGTGTCGAGTTCATTGATCATGGCTTCCCACATAGTCGAGCATGAAATCGATTGCCGCACCTTGAGTATGGGCTCCTCCTCCTCTTCCTCCTCAATCTCCATAGATTCATGATGGGATGAAGTAAAGTAATGAGTAATCGAATTGATCGTATTTTTGGATTGAGACTTAGTAGTATGCACAAGATCGGTCCTTGATTTAGTTGGATTAGATTGTGCTATCGACTTGCTAGGTTTTTCCGGACTGCTACAGTAGATGGCAGACAGGGTGGTCCCCTTCATCATGTCTGGCTTAACTGCCTGAGTATTCCTGTGAGGCTTGCGGTGAATGAAACCAAAAGCACTGAGAGTGGACATAATGAAGGGAGGGAGGTGTACAAAGACAGACCAAGCAAAAACAACTTGTCTTTCAAATTGAGCAAAAATAGAAAAAAAAACACGCTCCACAAGGTCGCGTCATAAGCGGGGACGGAGACATATCATTTAACTGGATGTCTCACTTGCCTCAACTTTTTTTTTAAATGTCAAAAAGGAAATGATAGTACTAGTGTCACATAATAATGTCACATAATTTGTCTCTTTGGCTAAGGATGATAATAATTCCAAACGTGATTTTTTATGCTTCCTAACAACGCTTGATTCATCTTTTAACTCGCGTAGGAAATTGGTCACATGTTTGACGCGTAAAGAGTAAACGCGGTTATTGCGTGTCAGTCTCATTGTCCAAATATAGACAAAGACGCGTCGTAGGCTGGATTGTATATTAACCATAGTTGATGATGTTAACTATATTGTTCACTGCCATTCATTTTTAATCACTACTATTAGTAGACTTCTTGGTTTTTATATTTAATAGTATTAAGAGAGTATTTTGTGTTTTTTTTATTTGCTGTTCAGAAGGTTTCCAAAGTTAACTTGTGTTCTTGCCACCTATGTATGTGTATATATAAGTATATACATATTCGACCCAATTCATTGGAGGCAATTTATCTAAGGCTTACCTCAAGAGCTTGTTCAACTTCCAAACGGTTTCTTGCGGCCTCAATCCAATCAGAGGCCAGCCTCTTGGGCCATCCCTTGAGCTGATTGAGTTCACGGGCTGTATTTTCAAGATCGCGGCGATCAAGATAATACTTTGCGCGTGAAAGAGTAGCTTCAACATCGTCGCCCTTAACAAGACCATTCTTCTTAAACAAGAGTTTCGAAATAACCATGCTAATTATGTGGGAGCCAAGTCCACCATCCTCTGGCACTAAAGCAACATGTCGCACCTCTTTTGCGACACGTTCAAATCGATCCGCAAGAGCTTCCAAATGCTCAACACCTTCATGGGCCACACTCATAGGTACAACTTCTAATGCATCGGACAATAGTTGAAATCCCTTGGCACTGTTGCGAAGTGCAGCAAGCTCTTGGTCGAAAGGTTGCTTAGGTCCGTAGATTACACTCTCAAGGGCATCGAGTACAACATGCATTTGATGAATTTGTCTTGATCTATCCAAGTGAGCTGCATTATCAAGTGCCTGGGGTGCAATAGCTACCAGTCGTGGGCGTATTTTCTCAAGTTTCATCAAACGTCTAGCACGTTCCTCTTCGAGCATTCGAGTAATTTGACTCTTGAACTGATGATCGAATACTTGGCTTTGCTCAGCAAGAGCACGCATTCGTTCAAGATCGAGAGTGGATTGTTGGGCATGCAATTCTGCTTTGAGGACTTCACTGAAGGAGCTTTGAGTGTCGGCAACAATTTTCTCGAAAAGTTCCTGAAGTTCTGCAGCCTTGGCTTTTGATCTTTCAAGTGTCTCTGCATAAACCATATCGATATCCCCCCTAGCATCTAGCTTCAATTGTGCTACATCTTTATCCATTTCATCCGCTTCTCTTCCTAGTTCTTTCAGACCCTTCAGGATGGAACGTTCATTATCAGATAGGATATTGCATTGATCATTAAGATTCTTTAAATGATGCTGGGCTTCCTCTACAACTTTTCGTCCCTTGTCTGCAAGCCCAGTTGCATTAAGAATCCTTGCCAGATCCGCCACCACACAAGACAAATCATTTACGATCTCTACTTCAGAAGCCACTTTTGTAATACGGATATCCTCAGGTCGAGTGGTTTGCTCTTGGTGTACGTCGTTGTCCAAAATGGGTCGGGTGCGAGTAGGGGTAGGTCCATTGTATGTCTTTGTGGCACTAGGGGTTCCTGAGACATTGTAGTAGGTGTGAAGAGAGTAGTCATACGCATCTTCTGCTATACCCTGGGCCTTAATAGTATACTCCCGGGCCAAAGCAGCGTATTCATCCGCTTGTTTTTTCAATTCCTTGGCTTTTTCAATCCTCGATTGTAATTCTTTGTTCTCTTCTAGCTCCTCGAGACTGTCAATTATCTGTTGTCCTCCAGGTACGTAGAGTGTATAACTGTCTCGTACTCTTTCGTTCTTCCATGCATAGTAGGCTGCCCCTCCATACACAGCCGCACTTAACAAGAGCCCTCCCGCCAACACAGTCCCGATTTTAGACGAAGATCTACTTGACGTACTTTGCATTCTCTGCATTTTTTTTTTTAGTTTTTTAGTTTTTTCATGAGTGAATTATACAATTCAATTGGGATCGCTTACCTTGGGAACCATGTGATGTTGCTTGAGCAGTGTTCTCATGGGTACAAGACCGCTGCTGGCTACCCGCGAGACTCGTAACATAGATTACTATTTCCTGTATAAGCTATGGTTAAATGAATCCATCGTCAGCTTACTCTCTTTACTTGGAAATCAAAAGGGACGTGTCAAGGCAACACAGTCGCAGCTTATTTTGATGATTTTTACGATGAAGGTAGGAGGAGGGGTGTTTAAAAGACCGCAGATCTGTATGCCTGTATGCCTGTCTATATGCCTGTATGCCTTTGCGTCTATTTATTATTATTATTAAACTTTTAGACTGCATACAAGCCTTTTAAGCGTTACAAACAGTAAATAAATCAACTTTTAATAGACTGTGTATGTGTATATTATTATATATGACTATTTGGAAGTAGGAGGAGAAGTCTATAGAAAATAAAGCCAAAGATACGAAAAAAATGGGTGGTTTTTGGGGATAATTGGAAAAGTAATTTCAAAAGTAGTTTACTTCGTGTTACAATGTAAGTCTTTAAAAGTTTAACCAAGTACCCAATTTTCCTCTTTATCACCTGTTTAAAACATCAAATGTAACCTGCCAGAGTATCCTAAATTATTACAGTAAGTCTTCGTTTTTCGATTCCTTTACTAATACATAATTCTATATGTGACAATCCAAACTATTTGGAGAACTTGCCCGAATTACAGTTTAAGCCTCATTTGAGAGAAATGACAGACAGCTCCCAAGCAAATCCCATTTGTGGAAAAGATAAATTCAATAAATAAGTTCTATAAACAGAAAGCTAAAGAAGTCTTTTTTTTTAAAAAAAAGTTATAGATTATTTAGCCAAAATAAATATGTAATGAACCGAATTCCTGGTGTGGAATTTAAATATATCAAAAAAAAAAGAAACTTATCAAATGAGAAACATGTAGATATACTACACCAAATCCAACAATATAAGTTGTCTACTTAAACTTCTTTTATTCAAGAGAGTATATTAAAAGTAAAATAAAATAGTTATGTTTTTGGTACCTTGTACTCCAACTTTGGCATGAGACAAAACCTATTATGGCATTGGTTTAATTATTATTAAATTAACATCTTCTATGTGCCTTTCTTCTTATATTCTTAATATTGTGGAGTAAATCACAAACAAACATTTCTACACACATACACAGGCAAAATAACCATATAGTGAATCATATAAGAAATGGTAACTATCAAATATTATAGCAAATTCATGGCCAAGAGAATGTCTCGTGTCTTTTGGAATACAGTTATTGCCTGTTAGACTGTGTGAAACAAATTAAAGCCAGTGAATGTGCGAACGGATGAAATTCACTCAATATTTAAACTTTGATCAATTAAAACAATACTTGGAAACAGGATCCATTGCAACCTTGGTGTCGTACGAATGCAGGTCAAAAGACAATAAGCTTGTTAATAAAGGGTATACTAAATTTGTCGTGGATTTAATGTTTATAAAACACAACTAATTTTGAGTGAGAATCAGATATATATATATATAGCTTTATAACTTGGATACAGATTGAACATGCCCGTGAAAATAAATAATTAAAGGTTTCTATTGGATGTTTAAAATTCAAATACTAGCAAACTAGAATACCTGTGCTTACTTATTAAAAGCAATTTGTTATATGTTTAGTCTTAGTTGATAGCTATATTTTGTAATCAAATTGAAGTCTTCATTTCGATAACAGGTTTTGTACTGAGTTGGACTATTTTACACCAGCTACATTTTGGGTATGTACACTTTTAATTTTTTTTATTGTAGAAGAGAAAGTACATTTCTTGTAAAACTCCAAGCCAGAGCTTCGACATATCATTATATTAAAGGCATTTGAGGACGTATAGACTGTATGTATTCTATAATACACATAATCTTTTCGCAATTAATTCATAAAATACTTATTGTTGAGTGCATATAAACGCGTAAAATGTATATTGAACACTCAGACTACTTGATTCTTAAACTTGCTTTGCCTTTATTTATTTCTACTCATATATAGTAAATTTATACTCATTTATACAGGGGGAATTTAGGATATTTTATGCTGAATGGATTATAACACACATATGTCAACATATTGTCATTTTTATAAGGGTCGTTCATCTAGTAATTTCCCTTACAATGGCTTTTGCAAACATGTATTTCTATACATTTTATGACGTGGCAAGCAATATGAAACAGCATACGTTGTAAGTCCTATCCAACCATTGAAAGCTTAAATCATATAAAGAAAAGGTCGGCCCTATGCAAGAGTGATCAACTAAACAAACAAATAAACAAACATTAAAGCATCCATAGCTTTGCTGAAACCATTGGTAATAAATACAAGTTCAATGTCAGCCCTCTGACTGTCAGTTATAAAAGGCGGAGTCGTGGCTTGCCATTACTTCATTTACTACTTCATTTACCATTTCACTTATTCACTTATTCAATCTTCAATCCCCATTACTCGTTCCTAATGTCTGAACAAGAGAAGATCAGAGCCTCAGTTGAAAGACAGTTTGTCGAGTCAGGAGAGAAGGACAGGTATGTATTAAACATATGGTTGTATCAAATACTTATTTCAAGGTTTAGACTACTCCAACTTCTTAAAGAACGTCTGACTGATTTTGGGTGGAACGACAGACTCTATGCACACTGCAGAGGTAAGCTCCAAATACCCGGGTATATAATAAATTGCTGACCCAGCTCTTATGGAACCATTACAACAGAAACAATTTTGAACAGAAAGCTCGAGAACGTTACTCTCGATAAGCTTGTCAACGAAGCTTCCGATTATGGTCGAAGTAAGATTGTTTTAAATAGCGTTTCTTTCTTTCTCTTCATGTGTTCGAATATTTATCAGATTCTAATAAATATTTACTTATAGACACTATTCACGATTCCATCAAGAAAGAAGTTTTGGCAAACATCAGAGAGTTCTTGGACGAGAATCTCGACTAAATTTTATACACATTTTTTATGAAACCTCCAGTTATCTAAGCAACAGTCACCTGGTTGACTTCCTCTACTACACCTCTAAGCTTCTTGACAGGCTCCTTAAGCTGTAGACGCATAGCATAAGCATCTTCTCCATCAGCATAATATTTCTTTTCAATATCATGTACACTATAGTAATATTATAGTAATTACAATCAATACACTGGGTGATATTTTCCCCATTTTTATTTTTATAAATAACACAACTTACGAGAATTTAAGAGTGTCTCTGTAGAGACCGATGGCAGCACGGTTAGTCTTGCGCACATGAAGAGAGACATAGTGTGCACCAAAAACTTCGACCATTTGGCGAGTGGATTGCTGCATCATCTTCTCAGCCAAACCAAGACGTCTGTATGTACGCATTACAGAGAGAGAAGTGATGTGCCCATGAGGAGAGCTGTTGTCTTCTTCATCCCTAAAACAACCCAAAAAACATCAGTAAAAAGAAAAAGAAGGAAACAGCCTAAATAATTTATTCTATCCTCTTATTTTCTGTCTTAAGCATTACATCTTTGCCAAAACATAACCGACAATCTTTCCCTGGTCATCTTCGGCAACGTAAGAAAGCTGGGGCCAGGACAGGGCGTGGTATAAATCTGATGAAGGGTGTCAATCAACAACATCAAATAACAAAGTTTCAAATAAAGAAGACTTGCAATACTTCATCTGGTAGTTCTCGGGCAAGTCAAGAAGATTGCAGTTCTGGACTGCCATCAAATCTTCCACCTGTGCCATTCATATGAGTATTTGACTAGTCCATGTTAAAATTCTTCTTACGGTAGCCTGTCTAATGTTCATTGCGATTGTTTGCCTTGCAAGGGGGACGGCGCGTTCGCAGGATTTTTGGGATTTCGCTTGACTCCGATAAGCCACCGTCTCACACTTCTTCCAGAACACCGAATTTTTCTTCTTCTTTTTGAGTGGTCTATGCTTCCCATCTGTATATATTACTATTTTGAATATATTTTATAACGTGTGTGTAATTGATAATTTAAGTTAGATGAATATTAATAATTGGTTCTAAAAAGCCAATATATATATGTATCTATATATCTATATATTAATAATATTTGCTATAATATTATTAATACTGAGTTTAGCTGGAAGACATTTCCATTCCCTCTTTTACTCTCCATATGTCTTTACTTCCTGACTCTCTTATCTCAATACCCATGAGAGCAAAGAAGATTGGGTAGTGTAAAGTTCGTTCTTACTCTTCTTCTTGTTCTTCTTCATTTATTGCTATAATGGCTCGCATCTCCGCCATCGAAAGACCAACGACTGACCAATAGTTGGGTCGTGTGTTGACTGCAAATGGGAACGCATGTCCTAAATGCAATTTGGGGAAGGTGGGACCACACACGGGAAAAGTAAATTTCTACAATTTATTACAATCTCACAACGACCAAAGACAGTTTTATTGTTATTATTACTATTGGGGATTTTTTTTAATAAGCCTTGACCCCTCTTCTTGTTCGCTTCTCTTTTTTCTCTCTTTTTTTTGTGGTATCTTTATTCTATAATATTCGTCCAAAATGCTGTCTGGCGAGGACAGCAGAACAGTCGCCACCACTCGCTCTGCTCTGTCCACACAAAAATCTATTCCTTTGCATAAACCTATTCAGCTAGCTGCCATCTCAAACTACAAGCTAGCTCAGCTTACATTTGCACCACCCGATCTTCATTCACTTCGCAAAACTGCCATCATTAAGAATGTCCTGGAGACAATCTACAAAGAAACACCCCCGCAGTGGCTGGACCAACTAACTCGCTGGACCTTTTTTACACCCGAGTAAGTCTATCATATATCACTTGTTTTATTGGCTTTTTTTTTCTTTATTAGTGACACCTTTGTTTTCATTGATGAATTTAGATCACTTCAAGATATGACACAAGATGGACTCGAAGAAATGTTTAGTGACTATTTGCGTATAATGGAAGCATTCAAGCCTAATCAGCAACAGCAAGAAGAATACGACGAAGAAGAAGACGAGGATTTGTGGAACGACGAAGATCAGAAAAAATCTTTCGGAATCACAGAATCATCGATATTTTCTCATCCAGGGGCATCGTTATCCGATGAATCCCTTAACAGACCTCAGCGACCCTCACTGGATGATAGGGCATCACTGGAAATCCCCGAGGACAAAAAGAGCCGCCGGCAGAGTGTAACACCTGTCAATAGAAATCGGCTGAGTTGGACAAGCGACACGGGTATCACCTCAAGTGTGGTGGCCCAGCACCTGGCAAACGAAATCATGAACCTTTTTGACATGGAATTCTCGGTTGATATACATGTAAACACTGCACCAAAGCTACCAGAACTTCCGTTTCATAATCATGCAAGCCGCCGCAAATCAAAGCGCATGTCTACAGATTCATTTATGGCACTCATACCAACTTTTGAGGCATTCACTGTCGATGAGAAAACCTATCCCCGCACACGGCCTCGTAATATGTCCAACCCAATAATTTCTGAAAATACTCCACCTCCTCGCCGCCGCTCTTCTAGTCTTCCTCTTACACCAGATCCCAAACCAAAGCAATCCCCAGTTTTGCCACAACGCTCTTCCTCTCTCAAATACCGTCAAAATACCCCTGCCAAAAAGAGTTCAACTTCTCTAAAGGTAGACCCTTATATTCAACCAATAGCCAAATCACAATCATCTCCATCTTCATCTTCATCCTTGGATGTAAATAATCGTGAAAGACAGTTTAAGAGCAGTGAGTTTCTCGCAGGACGGACACATGTTTTGGGTGACGAATCTTCGGACCCCTCAAGACAACCTTTGCGCCGACTGGCTTCTCTTGTACATTATGAGCACGGATATAATAATAATAGTAATACGAGTACTAGTAGTCTTCATCCTTCACTTTGTTCAACCTCTTCATTTTCTTCATCTGAAGCTGGCTCCTTGACAAGAGCGGTCCCAATGACATTGCATGAAAAATCATCAAATTCAGAGAGACTAGTAAAACAGCGCAGCCATCAACTAATTCGCCCTTCTATTGTTGACGCCAAAGAGATCAGACGTTCTCAATCTCTCGGGCGTTATAATTCCAAGAAAAACAAACAACCATCTTTAATGGAGCGGACCTCATCCAAACAAGGTAACGGCGTCCCTCCAGCCTTTTACAAGCATGATAAGAAGCAACCCGACTTGTCACGGTCTAGATCGGCCTTTATTAAGATCGGGAAAGGTTTGCGCACCAGGCGCACTCACAAAGAAGACACCAATGGATTTTCAGAAGCAAGCATGGCGCACGGTGAATCTCTTAAAGAGAATATGCCGCATGGTAACAGATTTGTTCAACGTATGGCTACACTTGGTAAACGGATGAGACTTCAAAGAGCTTAAATTGTTTCAAAGAAGCAAAATAATTATACATACATACACATACACTCTCGCACACTCAATTCATATATATATAATGAAAAATGAAAAAAAGCTAAAATTTTCATTTTGTTTTTGGACTCTGGAAAATCCCCTTTCTCACTTGATAGTAAAGATAGGAATACCAGTTTTTTTTGTTGATTTATATTTTATTAATTATTATAATTTTAAATGATTTTGCAAGTTTATAAAACATTAACAGACAATAGACTCGATGTTTGCACTAGGCATATCAATTGTATAATGAGCTGGGACAATGTAAAGAGAACCTTGACAGTTTCTCTCGGTCCAGAGTGCACAGTGTGTGCTGCCTTTGTTTTCGACCTTTTTGGTTGTAAAAGTGTTGGAAAATGTGGTGCATTTGTGGTCAGCACCCAATACGCCCGAACTCTTTGAGTCGTCACCGTGTAAAATCAATCCAGCGTCTGGATCTCCGAGTGCAGCCAATACAGGAGAAAAGAGAGTGAGAGTAACGACGAAGAAAATAAAGATGTCAGAGAGATGCATTGTTGTAGTTGTCTTTGTAATGTGTAAAGTAGATTAAGTAAGAAAGAAGAGGAATAAGTTTGATTTCATTTTTCTGATTTTATGCTTACATGTCTCACGGCTATTGGACTTGATCCAATAGCATCAAGCAACCTACACACATATTAAATAGATAATATCAAGACAAGGGTCATTACAAAATGGACTCTTAAAAAAACCAAGACTGTCTTCTAATACTTAAGCTCAGTCATTCATTCGTCATTCATTATAGTAATACGTCGGTTGTCTACAGTCTGCATTTTTTTTTTTAGTCTCAAAGCCATACAAAAACCATTTTTTTTAATTCTATTGACAACAGTGGCTTTGATATTAATAAATAGATATAACTGTGTGTAGGAGAGGGTACAATAAAGAGCCTCTTCGTCGGATACTGTATTGTCTGCTTCACAGTTTTTGACAATCCTCTTTTAGAACCACGTCAATAAAACTTGAATCTTGTCGCATCAAAGCGGGTGGACATCCATACTGTCTTTCTTGATCAGAAAGCGCCAGACCGGATCTTGCCCAGAACATCCCTAACCTTAACCAGACTGATTCTTCGAAAAGACTTTGGATAGGACGTGGTCCATGCAAACCCAGTCGTAAGTGGCGTACAAACACATAGAAATCACACACAGCCACCAAACGATCTCGGCACGCACGGTCCAACCACTGCCACTCTTGATCTTGGTCCCGCAACCGGAACCTAAATACATCTTTACTACTGCTACTACAACCAACAACACTGCCAGTCAATTTGATTTCCAATCCACATCCAAAGCAATGGAACATCTCTACTGATTGCCGAGAAACTGACTTTTTTCGGCCTAGAGTAGAAGTACCGTTACTAATGCTGAACGAAGTACGATGGTCGTTTTGTTGAGTTTGATACAAGAGCCTATCATGTCGTTCAATAAAACACGGTTGGTGTACAATTGTATCCAGTAGTCGACGTACAGACAAACGAGATTTAGGTCCTAGCCGAAGGCAAGGCTCAATATCTCGTTCCACACATTGTTTTATAAAATACAGACGGTTGATCTGATCCATGGGTGTAGTGGCCAACTGGCTCAAGAATGCTTCGAATACACTCAAGGCACGAGGAATTGGTATTAAGTGCCCTAAAGAAGGTTGGTTGATATCTGAGGATGGATGACTAGATTCATTTTCTAGTCGATGGCGCAGTTCACTTAGTTGCGTATGTTCATGGTCTAGTTGTTCGCGAACCAGCCCTAGCTCATGCGTCACCTGTCGTGTACGTTGTTCAGCTGCATCCCTTTCTCGCCTCTCACATGCAACCATGGCATTAGCTTGTTCAAACAAACATCGGGAAAGATCTTCTAATTCAGACTCAAGGTGCTGTTTAGCTTTACTAGCATTGTCAGCCTGTTGGGTCTCGATTTTGCATTGACTTTTGAGTGCAACTAACTTGGCTTGAAGGGCCTCGATTTCTCGTATCTTGTAGGACAACTGTTGCTCAAGTTCGCGAATCCGTATCTTGTCATTTTTGTGTGCGACAATACCAAAGTCATAACTAACACTAGAGGTGATACCATGATCAGGTGAAGACAGCAAAGATAACGACGATGAGCGAGTGTGAAGACCAGATGAAATAAGAGAAGACGCAGAGCGAGATAGATGAGCTGGGGCAAGTTTGAGAGTAGCTGGTACTTGAAGATAGTTTGAAGAAGACAGTTCGACAGCTTTGTCACCTAGCCATGGAGAATGTTTTACTGTTGTGGGTGGAGGTGTAGAGCTCTTGGGACCTGTTCGTTTGATGTCGGGGGTGCTGGAAGGCAAAAGGTTGAGACGCATAGAAGCTGTCCAGCCCATGAGAATTATAAGAATAGAAAGGGACTGCAGTTGAGCACCAAGTCAGTCTTGTTTTAAAATGTTATAAGCAGACTACATTTACTGATTCGACTGGTGAAGAATGGTGTAGCGTGGTGGTATGTATATCGGAAATTTCTTTTTATGTTTCCACATTTGAAATACTCAAAATAAAACATAGTGTGTATTGTCAGGATATATTATCAGGATACACCAACAAAGAACATCATTAAGTTGGAGTATAACTGTAAGCGCCTTTTCTTTCTAAATTGGACATGATGGTTAAGAAGCCTGGCGATCTTCTTTAAACTCCAATCATACTTTATGCAGCTTTACCGAATGCATAAACCAGAGTAAAAAATTCCCGGGCCGAGATGTGACATTTGTCCGGTGCCCGGTCTATAATTGCACACTCATTTGTTACAAAAAGAGTTTGTAAAAAATTGTACTGGACACAAATTACAAACAAATCAGAAAATAAGCAGAAAACTGAATATAAATTGAAACAAATAATAATAAATTTATATCACAAGGATATTTTGACAGCTTTCCAAAAAAAAATACTCTAATAGTCATTGAATTTGGCTCCAAGTGGATTTTTGCTTACTCAAATAAAATCTTTTAGAAATATAACTTTGACTATTAATAGCCAAAGCTGTCTATTTACGCTTTGTATATTAAGCAAAGAAAACGAAGACTCTAAAGATTATATTATAAATTATTTTATTACTGATGTAAAGAATACTAAGAAGAGTCGTTGGTTCTTATTATCGATTACTGAAGTGCATAAGCTTAATATAAACCATCTTTATTACTGCTATTGTTATCGTTAATATTTAGAAATAAAATACAGTGATAAAAAGGAAAGATGTTTGTCTTGTGAGAATGTGGGTGAGATAAATGTGCTAGGAAGGGAAGGGGGATCTATAAACAAGGTAACAGCATACAAAAAAGAAATAAAGAAAGGATGCCGAAATCTCAAATTAAAAAAGAAAAGGGGAAAGGAAAATACAATTTACAAGTTACGCTTGCTGGACAACCATGTCTTAAGCTTAGAGATCTGGCCCTGGACCGAGGAGCGGGAAGTACCACCGGGAGTGTTGCGGTTTTCGATACTGGTCTCGAAACTCCAGACACTGGTAACATCATCCTCAAACGAAGGGTGGAGGGTCTTGAGATCAGCAACAGTCAATTGATCCAAAGAACCCTTGCGGTCCTCGGCCATCTTAACAGCAGCGCCAGAGATGTGATGAGTCTCACGGAAAGGAACACCCTTACGAACAAGATACTCGGCAAGATCAGTAGCCAACATATCGGCACTCAAGCTGGCCTTCATTTTGGCAGGGAAGATCTATTTCACAAAAAGATTATGATAAGATGAGATGTTCTTTATTGACACACACACACACGGACATGCACACACACCCACATGCACATATGCGCATTTACATATTTATAGTTAACTTACGTCCAAAGTGCTCAAAACACCAGCGGTGATTTGAAGGGATCCAGACAAAGTATCAGCAGCATCGAACATGGGCTCCTTATCTTCCTGAAGATCTTTGTTGTAGGTGCTGGGAATACCCTTGTAGGACATCATGAAACCAGACATGCTTCCGAAGACACGACCACACTTTCCACGCAACAACTCAAGACTGTCAGGGTTCTTCTTCTGGGGCATCAAACTAGACCCAGTGCTGTAGGCATCAGCAAGTTTGACAAAGCCAAATTCGCCAGTGGAGTAGATGATAAGATCCTCTGCAATACGGGAAATATGGGTCATGGTCAAGCTGGACCAGAACAAAAATTCAGCAACGAAGTCACGGTCACTGACAGCGTAGAGAGAGTTGTGGATAACATCACGGAAACCGAGCTCCTTGGCGAGGAATTCACGGTCGATGTTGAAAGCATGACCGGCAAGAGCACCTGAGCCCAAGGGCAAGACGTTGAAGCGATCGATCAACTGCTCAAGACGATCGGCATCAGCCTGCCACAACCAGGCATGGGACAGCAAGAAATGAGACCAGCGGATGGGTTGGGCTCTCTGCAAAGGCGAGTAATAAATCAAAGACCTGATTAGCACAGAAGTCTACCAAGAACAAATATATTTCTAAAAAGACGGATTATGTTTTTACCTGCAGATGAGTATATCCAGGCATGATGACGTCTATTTCCTTCTCGGCTCTCGAGACAGTGATAGAGATCAACTCTTTAAGGTGAGCGAGGATCTTTGAAGCCTCGTCTCTGAGCCAGATACGCATATCGGTGGCAACCTGATCGTTACGGCTGCGACCGGTGTGGAGCTTACCAGCAACACCACCGATGATCTCACCGAGACGACGTTCGTTGGCAGTGTGGATATCTTCATCACCCTCCTTGAGAGCGAACACGCCAGATTCCCACTCACCCATAACCTTCTCAAGACCGCTCAACAAAAGATCACGTTCCTCCTCGGTGATGATCTTGTTCTTTGCAAGGGCTTTGCTGTAAGCCATTGAACCAACCAAATCAGCAGCATACATGCGTCTGTCAAAGTGAATCGATGCGTTGAATGCGTCCATAAGAGGGTCAACAGCGCCAGTGAAACGGCCTCCCCATAACTTCTTTGGTGCAGGTGCGCTCATGTTTAGGTTCTTAATAGAAAAAATAACCAAGTGGGAAGAAGGGAAAGAGAAAGGTGATATGTGTATAAAGAAGAAATAAAAAATAAATAAAAAGACTATCTTTTTTAAAATATATATATATTTATTTTTATTTTTATTTTTATTTTATTTTATAATATATTTATTTTTATTTTCTAAATTTCCCCGCAGATGACTCACAATGCGTGGAACTCAGTTCCGTATGCTATCTGTTTTGACCCAAAAGGGTTTCTTTGAATGTCATTTTTGTGTGTGTATTATATATATTTATATTGTTGTTGATGGTTTTTTTTAAGATTCCGATGATAGACTTTCTTAATCAAAAAGATTAACGTCTGTTGGCATTTCCAGGATAGGATTCTCAAGAGACTGCCAGTTTTCAGCGCGTTGGCGAGAGAATTGTGCCATATCCCGCACATAGTCCCGGTAGAGTGACGACACAAATGCCTGCTGTTTGTGCAGATAGATGAGCTCTCCATAAATACAGTGGCGAATAAACTGGCGACGACATTCCTGATCATGCACTTGAAGCTCATTCTACACAAATCACAAATTGATCGAATCTATAAATCACCCAGAATTACACACAGCTCAAACCTACATTGCGTATAGATTCTTCCAAACGTTCAACTTCTGCTTCAAGGCCTGGAACTCCCTTGTGCTGGTTGACTTTGGTACGGTCACCAGCTATCCGTTTGGAGAGGACTTCGATCTGATTTCCTGCAAGTCTCTCCTTACGCTCATCCAGTTCCTATCAAGGGCTATGAATACCTCTTTTTTTGTCTTCTTCCTATTCCATCCGACCATAACCATCTCTACTCACTCGAAATGAAACCAAGAGGTCTCTGAATCTTTTTAAGTTCTCGAGAACACCGTCTGCTGTCACATTAACCTGGTTATCCAGCAGACTACTTTCGCACTGCATGTGTTTGGCCACCAGCTCATATCCCTTGACCACACGCTGGCAATTTATACATTCAGATGCATGGTAGCGATGTTCACTCTCTGCCAATGAACTATTATACCACCAAAGCTAGTTATATACCTAGGCACCCGGTTTGGATAATAACATAACCTTACTTTAGTGCGATGCTGTACCGAACATAGTCTGTGGCCTGACCATGCATGCGTCGAACCATACGCTCCATAAGGTGACAAAGGTTAATATAGTGTTCAATAGACGCCCCTACTCGACGCTTGGCCTTTTGGATATGTTCATCCAGCTGTTCTGGAATAACAGTCAGATCAGTCTGTACAGAATCGCCCTTGCGCCTATATTCTTCATCTAGTTTTGGTGGATTTTGTTTACGCCATGCTGCTAACTCCTATATATACATATATACAATACATAGAGATAATAAATTAAATCATCATATAATAAATGTCTTCAAAAAAAAACTCCCCAAACACACACACGCACAGAAATAGAAAACTTACAGCTGGTTCAGTCAAAAACCGAGCAACAACCTCATCCGCACGTAACACAGGATGGCGAACAATAGCATTCATAAACCTTGATAATCCCTTACGCCTTCTTTCCAGGAATGCTCCATCCCCTTAATGAATGTTAGTTTAAATACAATATATATACATATACATCCACATGTATATAATATATCAATTATTCTACTTACGTCCACCCATCTTTTTTGGGGGAAGACTGGGTAAGGCTCTAAAAGGATAACGTCGTACCAGGACTTCCATCAGCCACCAGAAATCACTGAATCGTCTGAGGACAATAGATGACCGTTTCTGACTTTCGACAATATAGTTTACATGCTTGAAAATAAATCCCTCTCTTTCAGGAGCAATGGTAACCTTGACTTCTTCTAGTTGCTGGAACCAATTTGTTGTGTTTATTGGATTTGGATTTGGATTTGGATTTGGATTTGCTGCAGGTGGTTGAGATGTCTGGACGGGTAGAGGTGCTTGTTCAGCCGAGTGTAGAAGATTGGGAGTGTTTGATGCTAGGCCGAGTGGAGGTACTTTTGGCTCATCCAAACCAAGATCAAGTACAGCAACCGGGAGACCTAATTCGACACATATTGTGTTGGTCAAGTGTTGTATGGGTGATAGAGTCTAATGTTACCTTCTCTGTGACGATTGACATTTTCCAATGATAAATCTTTTTAATGAACAATAGAGCAACAGTCAGTAAATAACAGTAACAATACAGGTTTAAGGTTGAATTAATTACCCATATCATGCTGAGCGCAGCCTACTAGGACGAGAGCCAAGTTGAATTCTTGGCGAGAGACAAAAGACTGGCCAGAAGACACAATCTGAAGGATCTACACCAGAAAAAGAATATAACCACACCTTTTAGATACACAAACACCAATGAAGATCATATAAAGCTCAGCCAGACTAGATACACAACATACCTTTTCGGTCTCAATAGCCGACAAATGGCCAGCATTGATCAATTTGCCGAGAGACACCAAGGACACTCGACCAGACCGCTGACAGGAACTAAAAAGTTTATTGTAGACATCCGGCAATTTGATACCATCTTTAAAATTCGAATAAGTTTGATCAGTATCTATTAACAGCTCTTTTTTTTGTGGAAGTTCTTTATACCTACTGAGAAGGGTGGAAGGGTCGAGATGGTGTTCCATTGGTTGAATCGCAGGGGCAGTGAATGCACGGCTAAGGTTGGCAACATGGTTTGATTGTCCAAAACTTCCCCATGGGTCATTGTCGTAGTCGTATTGGGGTGCATAAAGTGAAGAGCTGACTGTCTGGCTTTCGTTCATTGATCCTAGATAAGACGACGTAGTATCAAAAAATGTGCTTGACAAAGGGTCGTCATGTTCACGGAGAGAATTCATCAAAAGTAAGAAAGAAGTATAAAATAAATGTGCAAGGAAATCGATGTATATATTATAATAAATATAAAGGAATAAAGAAAGAAAGAGAGGGAAAGGGAGGGAGGGAAGGAGGGAGAGAAAGCCAAAAAAAAAAAAAAAGACCAAAGTGAGATATCTTTTCGGAGAGAAGAAAAATATTTAATGTCCGATAACCCTCTCTGTGTTTTACGCGTGCATTCAGGTGACTGCGAAAAAGAATTGGAAATTACAACCCCTAAAACTCACTGTTCAGTAGACAATACTTTTTGTATTTTTTATTACAAAAGGGAAATGAAGGGCCTGCTTTATATGGTCAATTGAGAATTTCATTAGTTGATAAAGTAATTCAAAGCATTTAATCTCCCAAAAACTCTTTTTTGATATTTCGTTTAAATAACAAGGCATTTTAATCAAAGATATATATGTGTATCAAGTCTACAAATCGGATTTTTAATGTCCCAACCATTGCTTACTTGTGTATCTGTCTGTGTGCTCATGTGTGTGCGTGTGTGTGCGTGTGTGTGCGTGTGTGGACCCTTAACTAAAAGGTTGTGCTTGTTCATTCCCAATGAAACACCAACGGAAAAAAAAAGCTTACTTTAAGAAGCACTTTATAGAAACTAGTTTTTTTCTAACAGTTTATTCAATTCAATAAACATCAACTATAAACTACAAACTACTTCTAGAAGTTCTACTGTGACTATTGGGATTTCTTTTTTTATATACAAAACATTTCATAAAATAAAAATTAATAATAAAAATATATATAGTGTAAAGAAGTTTAACCCAGACTACTTCTTTCAAAACACGTCACAACTACTTCTTTTTGGGCATCCCATGCAACCATCAGTCTCGACGGACAGGCATCGAAGAAGTCGACCTGATAGATTCAATCTTTTATACCAAAAATATATTCATGCCATTATCAGATCCATCGAGTAATTGTCCTTAGTTTACATAAAAAAATCTCTCTTATGCATGTTTGGTAGTTATGATAAGATGCCAGAGTACCTTAAACACGTCGCTCAGACCCATGACGAGACAAAGGCAGCTCAGCAACAGATGCAAGACTATATACAAGATAATCTAGAAGTAAACCAAACAATTCAAGTCGATTACAAAATTATAAACAAAATTTATTCACAATAATGAGAATGAATAGGCTACATGTGAGCATCTTAAATTGAAATATCAATTACCAGAAAAGATTGCTGATCTTGAACGATTGATCAAGGATGCCAGAGAACAAGGAGACCAAGCTCAGGGACAAATGTATGAATACCCACCCACCCACACACGTACATTATTTTATTTACTTGACGTATATATATATTAGGATAATTCCACAATCGGAACGAGTAAGACGTGCATTGGCCATAGAGTTAAAGCGTCGTGAATTAAGTCGACTGCAGGCAGCGAAAGAACAAGTAATATAGGATTTTGATTGATCTTTTATTGCGAAAAATTGACAATTTTGTGTAGATTATTCAGGAGAGCAAAACGACTATGGAACGTATATCTGAAAAGAAAAGGAATGTCAGGGCACTTCACAATAGACTTGAACAGGATATGCGATGCTTTGACGAGGTAACTCTATCGAGGATTTATTCATAAAGATTAAATGATTAATCTTTTCATTCTTTTTTTGTCATAATATATCAGGCTATTAATATGGCAGGATCCATACAAGTCGACCGTCTAATAAGTACTATGGATTCCCTAGTTGTCAGTACTCCTTTTGGAGAAACAGTCTAACACATACATACACACTGGATTATTCAGGGTCTGGCCAATCTCTCCTGCTTTACACTCTATTACTTTTTTTTTTGGACTCTATTCCCTTTTTGTTTTTAATTCAGAGGTTTTATCTGGCCGAAATCCCTCTTATACACTCATAACATACTACTTTTATTATAACCATTTCATCCCATAATAAGCATCATTTTAAATATATATATATATAATATAAAGAAAATCACAACCAAATCACAGCTTTACTTTATTGTGTACAACCAAAAGAGGAAAGACAATAAAAAAAGAAGCAAAAAAAAATAGGATTTTGCTCTTATCATTGCAAGTCACACCAAGTGTGCACATCATCCAAACCCCCCTTCCTTTTTTCAATTTTTTAAAAGAGAAAATATTTATATATCTATATATCTATATATCTATATACATATATCTATAGTCTTCCTGCCTTTTTCTGTTCTTCTTCTTTTATTTTAAACGCGATTGATTATGGACGCACCAATTGACGTTTTACGAATTGAGCACAATACAATCTCAAAAGAGCTCAGTCGATTCCGTGCTTGTCACAGTGAATCCCGCTGCTTTTATTGTCGTGAATGGGCTCAATTCATTTACAAAAAGCGTTATGCTTGGAGCACAAAGCTCCCTGAAGAACCTCAATCAAATCCTTGCCAGCTGTTGGCAGCAGGTCGCTACAACATTGCCGTCCAACAATCTGGGCAACCATCTCTCGCCAAGAAAAAGACGCGCTCATCAACCATGTTTGAGAAGCTTCGTCATTTGCTTGATGTTGCCACAACAGAAACTACACCAAATGGAATGTCTACCAGTCTAACAAAAGAACTGATCAGCATCTGTAATACATGGTTGACAATGCCTAGTAGTCTTTCTAGTCTTCCTGAAATATTTGAACCTATTACAATCCACTTACTGCCAGAGAATTTTGATGAGATTTTCGAATACGACGAAGACGACGACGAAGACGAAGACGATTTCTCACTCGACTCTGAAAACTCAATGCCACCTGAAAAATTATTGGAATACCTTGTTGTTGAGCGCCAAGCAATACTTTTACCATCTGAAAGCTTTCCTGTGTTGGCAGATCTGACCGCAGATTTCTTGCCAATACACCAAAATCTCCCCTGCCCCCACTACCGCCCCGAGTACAGGTCTCCCGGCGATCTTGATGTGGAATTTGAGATATTTAACGAAAAAATGGCACAGGCTACTAGTAATGCCTTGATTGAGCTTGAACAGGCACTAGATGTGTCCTGGCGCCATCTCACAGAATTTATGGATCGCCTAACTGTACTTGAAAACGAACGCTGTGAACTCATGGGTCCCCAGTGTCAGGCCACAATAGAAGCTTTTGCAGCTTCCCAAAATTTGCTTCCCTTCCAAGACTATTGGGCAACCAAAAACCTCTCAAAGCGCAAAGACACCGTCGAACAGGTCGATGCTGCATTTATAAATTATTTGGACAATCTTAAGGATTGTGCTCATGCCTTCCACACTGACTTTGTGATCCCTCGTCTTGAGGCTGTTCGTCAGCTGGTCCGTCAGTTGTGGAGCATGGTTGTTCCCACTATCCAGCAGATGGCCGAGCGCATGGCCTCCCAAGAACTCAGCAACGAAACTCATCTACAGAAATGTCGTGCTGTGGCTGATTCATTGCGTGAATTACATCCTACTGTGGATGCTGCCTCTGCAGTGGAGGCAGTGCAAGAGGAAATGAGCGAACGTTTGGAGGATTATATCCAAGAAATAGATGCCCTCAAGAAAGTATACACAGAAGAAAGTAGACCTGTAACTTCATCTCGTCTCGATAAAATTAACAACAAAGAATTTAAGAAGCGTATCAAGAAGATAGAAAACTTTTATTATTCTACACGCCAACATTTCCGGTACCAGACCACCCAAAAGATTTTCCCTGAGAGTTTGTTTTGTAAGTTCGGCTTAGTGTGCATTGAGGCCCTGATGCAGGAAGGCGAGATGATGGAGGCCGTGACAATCGAAAGAGAAGTTAAACGTTTTCTTGAATCACATGACGAATTGGTGGAGCAACATGACAATTTGTTGTATGCATTTGAAAGTAGTGCCCAAGTCGGTAGACGGAAGTTTGTAGGAGTATTGGGAAGTATGTTCTTACAAGAGAGTATAAGAATAAAGGGCGAATATGTGGCCTTGAAGAGACAAAACAAACTGCTCAAGTCAATGGATTTGATTGTGGAAGAACCCGAAACAAGCAAGAAAAAGAAAAAGAATAAAAACAAGGGAAGTGCTACATCTTCTCCGTTGCCAACGCCTTCTATTTCTACTATTCCTGAGAAAAATAAACCAGCACAGAAAGACTCTGGAAAGGCTACAAAGGTAAAAACAAAACAAAAAATCTGCAACAAACCCTGTGTACAAAAAAAAAACTGGAAAATTTACACTCAAATGATTTATTTCTACAAAGGTCGCTTCTTCACCAAAGGTAACCGAAAAAACCGGGAATACCGCAAAAACTGCTGCTCCTAAAGCTGCCGTCTCTCCTAAAGTAATCAAGACATCTGCCTCAACCATATATAAAACTGCTGCGACTTCTAAAACCGCAGCTTTACCAAATTTAACTGATAAATCTGTACCATCTCCTCTCAAGACTGTCGCAGCAACTCCTGCTGCTGCTGCTGCCGTCACTACTGCTTCACCATCTACTACTAGTTCTACTTCTACTACTGCTACTGCGTCCACAAAGAATTCTGCGTCCAAAAACATTAAAAAAAAGCAAGATGCAGCTTCATCAAAGGCATATACCAAAGAGGCCATAAAGTCAGAAGCCCCCAAGGCAAAGGTCGAGACTAAACCAAAACTCACTCCTGAACAGGAAGCCAAGGAAGCTCAGGCAGCTAAGGAAGCCAAGGAAGCCAAGGAAACTCAAGAGGCAAAGGCGAAAGAAGCTGAAGCCCGTGCCAAAATCAAAGCAGAGGTCAAGGCTGCCCGAGAAGCCAAGATGGAATCACTTCGTCAAGCTAGAGCCAAGGTAGAGGCCGAGGCCCGTGCAAAGGTTGAAGCTGAGCTCAAGGCCAAAGAACAAGCCGAGGAAGAGGCCAGAGCCAAGGCCAAGGCCAAGGCTCAAGCAGCTCGTGAAGCTCGCGAAAAGGTTGAAGCCGAAAGGAAGGCAAAGGAGCAGGCCGAACAAGAGGCCAAGGCTGCTGCGGACAAAGCTTATCGTGAAGCTCGTGATGCCAAAAATAAAATCAAGGCAGAAGCAGAAGCAGAGGCCAAGGCCAAAGCAGAGGCTGCATCCAAGATATCCCGAGAAGAAGAACGACTAGCTTCCAAGGCACGCGAGGCTGCAGAGGCAGAAGCAAGAGATGCAGCTGCACGCGAAGCATCCGCAGCAAAACTCAGAGCTATTGCTGCAAAGGAGGAAGCCGAGGCCCAAGCACGCATTGCTATAGTTCGTGAGGCAGCAGAAAGCAAAGCAAAGGCTACAGCTAAGGCAGCTGCTCAACAAAAAGCCAAGTCGAGATCGGTCAAGGAAGCGTCGGAGACCAAACAAAAGCCAGTTGTGAACAAAGCAAAGTCAAAAGAGGCTGCCGAAGCTGCCAGAGCCAGATATGAGGAGGCTCAAGAGATAGAAGAAGCCAAGGCTAGAGAAGAGACTAGATTAAGGGAAGAAGCCAAGGCTCAAGAGGATGCTGAAGCTGCAGCACGAGCCCTAGCTGAAGCTGCTATTAAAGCTCAAGAAGAGGATGCAGAAATGAAAGAGAAGGCGGCTTGGGCAGCTCAATTGCTCGCAGAAGAAGCCGAAGCTGCTGAAGCCAGGGAATTGGCGGCAGCTGCTATCGAAGCTTCTGTCACTGTTGCCGCTACTTCCAAACTTGAACCTACTGACTCTACTGACTCTACAGCATCTGATGGATGGAACTCATTGGACCTTGGTGGATGGGGAAAGTCAGCCACTGAAGAAGTTTCCAACGACGGATGGGAACAGGTTTCTTCGACCAAGGTATCGGCGACAGAGGTACCCAAACACACAAACACGTGGTCCCAAAAAGCTAGCGTAAAGCCTGTGGAACCAAAGGTTGCCACTTTGGAAGACACTTGGACTCAAAAGCCAGCCTCTCCTGCCGTAGACTCGTGGAACTCTACTCCAGCTTCTCCTGTAGTGGAATCATGGAATGCCAAACCAGCCTCTCCTGTAGCTGACTCATGGAAAGCCAAACCAGCCTCTCCTGTATTAGACGAATGGAATAGCAAACATACCTCTTCTGTCGTAGATTCATGGAATGAAACCCCAGCTTCTCCTGCAGAGGGTGGATGGAACACCAAATCTAGTTCACCCGTTACAGATTCATGGAACAATAAGCCTGAATCCCCTGTAGTAGACGCATGGAAGGCCAAGTCACCCAAAGCTTCAGAGAGTTCGTGGAATCCAAAAGCAGCTGGTAGTAGCGGAGGTGGAAATGAGTCTGACAACTGGAGGAAGCCTTTGACAAGGGAGCCAGTGAAGGTAAGATCATAAACGTCTGTTGTAAGATTGACAACAACAGAAAAATATCAATTTTATTTAGTCTCAATCTTCATCTTTGTTGCCAAATCAGCCTGAACATAAGAGTGGACACGCCAAGCCTGCATGGAATAAGCGTGAAGCAAATAGTAGAGGGTGGAATCAGGGCTGGGAAGAGAATAAAGAAGATAACACTGGATCTAGAAATGCTTTGGGCGGATGGGGTAAAGACAATGCTAAAGAAAAGTCTATCGAAGTGCCCTGGGACGATAAGACGCCACTTACAACAATAAGCACGTTTACCTCTGAATCGTCAGTGAACAACACTAGCCAATCTACCTACAGCCCTCTGACTGAGACAACTTCTACAAAAACAACTAACATTGTTGCCGAGATTGTCAGTGCTCCTGAGCCTGATGTTGTTCATTTCTCATTAAAGGGGCTCTCGACGCCTAAACCCCCTGGATTAACCATGGATATTCCTATTCAGCAACAAGAACAACAACACTTGCAGTCATCATTCGTAGGACAAAGAAATAATACTATACTGTCGACGGATAATCTGTGGAGTATGGGACATGAGGGTTTGATTTCGGTGATTCAGACATTACAGCGAGATAATGCACAGCTTGTGCAGACCTTGATGACTACACAACAAGAGATGGCTATGATGACAGGAAGATACTCAGAACTATTGGCACTTTCACGTGAAAGAGAAACCCAGACGTTACAATTATTTGAGGCACGGAAACAGACTGAGATGGAGGAGGCTAGACGCTATATACATTCATTGGAAGCAAAGATTGGTACATTGGAAACACAACTTCAGACAGCTACATCGACAACTGGAGGAAGTACGGCCGGATTTGGTAATCAGGATTTGTTCGCAGGATACCGGGAAGAAATGAGGTCGAACAGAACAAAGCGACCATGGAGTAAGAATGTGGTGGTACGATGTGGTAATTGTGGTGGAGCAGGGCACGCGAGTACCGAATGCAATGTAAGTTTTTATATTCTTTGTTCTTTATTTGGTATTTGATTATGCTTTATTGACATAATCTACTGGGTACAGGATGTATGTCGGTATTGTGGAAATGGAGACCATTTATCGGAGAGCTGCACGACCGTAAATCATTAGAAAGCAACAAAATATTTTAGCAAAATGATAAAATATATATATATAAATAAATAATAAATAATAAAAATAAAAATGAAATATGATAAGGAGTCAGAAGGAAGGCAACATGTTTTTTCCACAGTGACCATTCCCCTTGCGAGGGAAGGCTTAGGACACTAGTCGTTAAAGACAGTAAGTTCATCATTCCCAAATCATAATTTTTTGGAGAAAAATTTCAGTGACATCAATACTCGATCTCTCAGTGTTAGCTATGTATAGCAGACACGTTAAGTCTGCATGTGGCACATGAATATTTTCTAGCTGTCACACAATAAAATCTAATATTTCCTTTTGTAAAAAGTGTTTATTTATATATAAGATGTGTTTATATATAAATATTTATTTAACAATTGAAAGAGTTGACTCATTTGATAAACCCACGCACACGCACATGAAGTATTTGTGCAAGAATAATGATAGTAGAATAGTAGTATAATAATAATAATAATAATATATTATATAAAATAATAATAAAAAGAAAATAAAAGAAAAAAAAAACAATAGAAAGGAAATAATATTTTGATTGCAAGGTGGATTTGTATGTAAGGGTTGAAAATAAGGGGAGAAAATAAAAGAGGGAAAAAAGGGGGTGAGAGGAAGAGTAGGAGAGGGGGAGGGGGGGCTGGAGGGCAAGGGAAAAAGGGTAGGGGGTGTGTGGGAGATTGAAACTAAAGCAGGTCAACTCGGATAGAGAATAAAAGGGTTGTAGGGGTTAAAAGAGGAAGGACTAAAGAAAACGAAGTGATAATGAAGAAAGAAGTAGATATTTGACTTATATACAGAGTTATGTTAAAAAGGGAGAATAGAGAAAAGACGTGTGTGTGTGTGTGTGTTTGATCGCTCTCTTTAAGCATGCTGGGGTTGTGCATCCCACCACCAAAAGGATTTATCTGTTACATTTGATCCACTTTGAACATTATCGATCAGGCCTGTCATGATTAAACCATCATAGACTTCTTCATAATATGATGGCATCTTAGTAATGGTTTGATCGAGTGGAATATGTGTCGCCATTTGGGCCACAAGTGCGATAAAGTGGCCTGCTGCTGCCTGCATACTAAGTGATGAGCTGTGTGTCGGTTGAACGGGAGTAGGTGTCTGAGAAAGAATGGCGTCGAGGTCCCAGTTGGGCATAATGGCGTTTGAAACAAGGATATAGTTGTCTTGACGATAATCCTGGGCCTTGGTACCAAGAATGCTGATATCTTTACGAAGATTAGGCTTCAGTCCACCAGGACGAGGTGAAGATGGTGTGCGGGTAAGCTCAACAGACGATGGAAGAATAGTAGCGCTTGAACTTGTAGCAGCTGCTTTTTGAAGCATCTGGTTCTGGCGTCTAAGTGTGTCAACTTCTGTCCGGAGTTGTCTGTTTTCATCTTCTACACTACCAAGACGGTCTTGTAGTCGCTCAGCATGCTTTTTGTGCTTATCTACCTGCCCCTCCAAAGTAGTAATATATTCTACGCCAATTATTAATACAATTTTTTTTTTAAAAAAAGCGCGTTTATCTATTTCACATTTTTTTTAAAATAATAATAATAATAATATCTTACCCTTTCTTCGGACGCGGAAGTTGCGGGCTGAAATCTTGTTGCGCAGTTGTCGTCGCTCTTTTGGGGTCAACTTTTTTATATCAATTCCATCAGCTTCAGCACATGCTTCTAAAGCCAGCACATCTTCACACGCTGATGCGCTAGAGTCTCTTCTGCTGCGCTTTGGTTCGGTCTTGATAAGGTCCTCTGGAGCGACGGTCTGTGGGGGCTGGATTGGCTCAGAGAACAATAGTGGCGCAGTGCTACTGGCCGGAAGTGCAGTGGTGGTAATGGTTGGAGTTGTGGGCGGTGCAGATTGTTCTTGTTCCCTCAAAGCCAATTGCCGCTTGGCCATGTCAATTAGTTGTCTAATCTGGTCTGTTGTGGGCATAATCAGAGGAGGTCCTTCGTCATCTGCCAATTCTGGCGACCCCGCTCCAGGTGACAGATAGGGAAGACCAGCCAAAGAACATTCTGGTTCCTCATAATAGTTTTGGAAGTTGTAATAAGAGTCCAGTGGCTCTTCCTTGATAGGCATGTCTTCAGTGTGGTTGTTCAACCACTCCATGTCCATAAGATCTTCAAAGTCCATGATGATGAGAAGTATAAAGTAGTGAGGAATAAAGAGAGAATTAAAATAAAATAAAATAGAATAAAATAAAGGGGGATACAGAGGGCAAGTTAAAGTAAAAGAGAAAGAAAGGATCCAGTCACGCTTTCTTTTTGAGCACGAAAATGCTCGAACATTTTATTTTGGTCATGATATTGCCCTATTTGAATTGCTTATTGAATTCCCGCCCAATCAACATCCGACGAATCTCACTCGTGCCTGCCCCAATCTCATAGAGTTTGGCATCACGGAGGATGCGGCCGGTTGGGTACTCATTTGTGTAGCCATTACCACCCAAACATTGAATTGCGTCTAAAGCTACTTCAGTAGCTCTCTCTGCACTGTACAGAATTGCACCGGCACAGTCCTTGTTTGATATATGGCCTGCATCACAAGCACGACCGACAGAATACACATAGGACCGAGAAGCATTGAGTTTAGTGTACATATCAGCGAGTTTGCCTTGGATAAGCTAAAGAAAAAAAGAAGGAAAGAAAGATTAGCCATGTTGTTTTGATTGTCAATCAATTATTGTTATTATTATTATTATTTTCATCAACTCCTTACTTGGAATTCGCCAATCGGTACATTAAATTGCTTGCGTTCATGGACATACGGTACAGTCACATCAAGTGCATTCTGCATTAAACTAGGTGTGTAAAAGAAGTTTGTTAATTATCAAGAGAGATTATGATGAGTAATCATTGTGTATATTTACCCTAATGGACCTCCAGAAAGAACCAGTCTTTCCAAGTCAAGTCCACTCATCAATACATATACGCCCTTTCCTTCTTGACCCAAGACATTCTCGACTGTTTTTATTTTATTGTTTGTGTTTTGTGTTTTGTGTATGTTTGTATATGTTTGTTAGTAATCAAGTGTGTCAATATTTACAGGAAATATAACATACCTGGTACTTTGCAGTTCTCAAAAATGAGTTCACAAGTATTCGACCCGCGCATGCCCATCTTATCTAATTTTGGTCCGGTAGAGAAACCCTCGAATGTCTGATGGATTAGAAACGGCCTTATATTTATTATTATATTACCTTTTCGATAAGAAATGCAGTTATACCCTTGGGTCCTGCTTCGGGGTTAGTTTTAGCATAGACTACAAGTACATTGGCATCAGGTCCATTGGTAATCCACATCTTGTTGCCATTGAGTACAAAGTGATCTCCTTTTTTCTCGGCACGCAACTTCATACTGACCACATCTGAGCCAGAACCAGGCTCAGACATAGCGAGGGCACCAACATGGTCACCAGATATAAGTTTAGGTAGATACTTGTCTTTCTGGGCCTTTGTTCCATTGCGAGTAATTTGGTTAACACAGAGATTTGAATGGGCTCCATAGCTCAGAGCTACTGATCCGCTTGCACGCGAGAGCTCTTCCATAACCAGAGTGTGTTCAAGGTAGCCTAGACCAAGACCACCGTACTCTTCTGGAGCAGTAACACCCAAAAGACCCATGTCGCCGAACTTCTTCCACATCTCCATAGGGAACTCATTGTTCTTGTCGAAATCTTGGGCTTTTGGGGCCAATTCTTGCTGAGCAAATGTGTAGACATTCTCCCGAAGCTCTTCTTGCTGGACTGTAAGATTTGCTACGGCCGCATTGTAGGTGTTGTAGGTACGGCACAGACCGGATCGGAGGGACTATATTGTGGTTGATATTTGGATCGACAATGAATACCGTTTAATTATTTATTCTTTAAGATTACACATACGCTTGGAGCACAACGGGATAATATTCGGAGCATGTGTAGGACGACTTGAGGTCTTTGCGTGTTGTTTGTTGACAGAGAACAAAGAAAGGAAAGATGAAAAAAATAAATAAATAGAAATTAAGCCGCTGCATTGTTTGTTTATATCCCTTTTTGCTGCCAATCTCCATATGCCCAGAGCCTTCTCTTCCATTATACAAATTCCCACGCTATTGTGTATCCTTGACAGGAGCCTCAGAGTCCGATCGAGTCTTCATCACACTCCTCTTAAGATGTAGGTAGATTTCAAATCCTGGTAAAGTAAAAGTAAAAGTACAATAAAGTAAAGCAAAAAAAAAGCGTAAAAAAGGCCAGAGAAACAGACTTTTAAAAAAATCGATAAAGTGGTCTTGTCTTTAGTATTTCCTTGTTACATACGGGTTACAGAACTCACAAAAACAACAACACGAATCTAACAATTATTTATGTTTTGTCTTTTAGAGTTCGCCCGTTCAAAACAGATTTTTCACTTTTCCCGTGACACCATGTATCACTTTCACTAAACATGCTGTAATATACAAACAAAACTTTATTTCATAACATTTATCGTACACGATGGCCAGAGCCGAAAAACTTTCGAACATTGCCTTTGTATTCAAACGGAAGCATGGGGGGATCCCGAACATCGAATGCCTTTGGATCCGCTCCATTTGGTAGCCACACCTTGAAGTCTGCTTCATCAAATCTGCCAGCCACAGCAACCCAGCCACCGCCTGCAAAGCTCAAGTCAACAGATGCCTGTAATGGATTGCCGTTGTTTACCACCCTGACTGTCCCATCCAGTGGTTTCATTCCCAGAGTAAATGCCATGCTTGAGTTTGGTTTAATTATAGGAGCAACACCAGTCTCTCCAGTAGGCGCAAATGGATCCAATGGAAGTTTGGCTGTTTTGGTGACATGTGGCTCAAGAGGGCTAAAAACAGTCATCATCACAGGCTCACTAGACGCTCTCAGGTCAATTCGCACCAAAGGTTTGAGAAGCAATGACTGGGAGGGTTGAAGACGAAAGGTAATAGGAATCAGCTCGGACTTGTTGAGTGCATTTTGATCCTCGGCTGACAGTTGATGCACTAATTGGTGATCATTAATAATACCAGGAGTGTCGATCAGGAACCGGTCTCGTGTAATAAATCGTCGCTTCATCCAATCCTCCCCCTCTTCGTTATGCCCTAAACCAAACGCATGCAACGGAACTTTGATTGTACCCATGGTTGTGCCAGGTATAGCCGAGCTTGTAATACTATATCGTTTCTTTACGCTTGCCTTGTACGCACGCGCAACTGCCGACTCTACACCCGTTGTTCCACGTCCTCCCTGAGACAACATCTGGTTGACTAATGCAGACTTGCCGACATTGGTACATCCAACCATATAAATATCATCAGTGGGCAGACGCGCCTCACCCAATCTGCGAACCAAGCCAGATATACCCCAGCCTTTTCGGGCACTGACCAATGATACCCATTGTATCTGCTGTGTAGGCAGCCCAGTCAACTTTGCTTGGTGTACAATCCAATCCCGCAATCGCTGTTCGTGCAAGCGTGCTCTTCCCGGTAGGAGATCAAATTTGTTCGCTGCCAAAACAATTCTTGCACTTGGATTTCCATTTAACATCTTTACCACAGGCGTTAACGACGAGGGAAGGTCAGTAAGGTCGATAACTACTACCAAAAGTGGATCCCGCTTTGTTTTTAAGAAATCCAACGATCCGTATTGTTGCGTTTCTCTTAAAAATTGTGGCGAGCTTTCGGTAGTCAATTTGTTATTGTGTTTAAGTTTGTGGCATCGCTGGCACACAGGACTTTCTTCTTCTGTTGAGTTTATTTCTGGTCCTGGACTTGGGTAAATATCCTCTCCTTCTAACAATGCAAGTGTTTCCGCATCAAGACCTTCCAGCGCTGCTTTATACTGAGCGTCACTCATTGATTTGTTGCTCTGCTTCTTTATTTTTTTTGTGACAGGAGAGGTTCGGTTGACCAGATAACCTGGTTTAGATTTATCTGTTGTTTGGAAAGGTGCTCCACATCCAGGGCAGTCTAATAAAGGTTGGGCTGTTGTACTTTGGTATCGCGCTTGTGTTGATACTGTTTTGCAAGGCGCAATGTAATGTGAACGTAAGCTAACATGGCATGGTTGGACGAGGAGACGAGTTAATAACGATGTGCGCACCGTTCTTGCCGGAAGTCCAATGCGTCTGATCAGCAATGACGCTCTTTGCATTGCAAGTATTAATAATAATAAACAATGACGAAAGTAGAATTAGGTAGCTACTGAGAAAATCATTGGTAATGGAAGCAGTCCTTTACCTGTCACCTATCTTTTTTTTTCCCTCTCTTTTTTTTTCACTTCTTAACAGTTAAACTATCTTCTCTTGAGGGGTTCCTTTTTCACGGCCAAAGACAATTTCTTCTATCTATTCTAAGTTGTACTAATTTTGTATCAATTAATAATATTTCATGTCAACCAACGAACAAACTCCAATTGCCTTAAAAGAGGAGATCGTCTTTACTACATGTGAAGATCTTGATAATGACAATGCCCTCAAAGTGATTCAACAACATGACACTATTCTCAACGGTCAAATAAAGGCAGATCTCACTCTTCAACCTTCTCCTATACTCAATCACTCTCCAGAGACAAGTAACTCAGAATTACCCGAGATTGACACTGCACCTACTACAACTATATGCGATTCTATCGTTTCAGAAGTAAGCATTTTCTTCTGAAAAAAAAAGAAGCTAAATACCAAAACCCCCAACTTTATTAAATTCAAACTTGTATTAATTAGTCTACTATTGAAACAAAGGAAAACTCTAATGATGCATTAATGGATACTGTACAAGTCCCACCTGTATCTGCAGAGAAACCTATCACCAGTGGCTCTATGGAAACAGATGTCGAAGATTTTGTAACGTCTATTATTGGTGGCAACGCGCCTACTGAGAATAAAAATGCAGAAGAAAATGCAACAAAAGATGTACTTGACACAGCTATTGCAGCCGCAGACGTTACGACTACAGGATACGAGAGCAGTGATCTGGAAATGTCATCCGATGAGGACAGCGATAGCTCGGACGAAAGGTAATTGATTGGTTATTGATTTGAATTTGTAATCTACATTATTTATTATCTGTCTTCTCGCATCGCATTGCATTGCATTGCATTACATGTAATTAAATTGTGCTTATCAATTGTCATTGAATCTTTTTGTATTTATACTTTAGTGACGAGGAAGTAAGTGGAGAGGCTAAAACAGAATTGTACGACGATGAGGACGAAGAACCGGCTGGCACCACTGAATTGAGAACTACAAATGAAATTGTCGAAGTAGTGATTGAGAAACCCAACTATATCTTGACCCCTCAGACAGAAATCATTGCGATTGGTACTATTCACAATGTGATTAACAATGTAATCGTCGTCCAAACCACCCCAGGATCTGTATTTGCTTTGGATATAGGCACTCTTTTTGTCTATGGTGATCGAGAGCTTATGGGAGAGGTGTTTGAAACCTTTGGTCCGGTACAAAGACCGTTCTATTCGGTTCGCTACAATAAAGCCGAAGAGATTGATAAGGAGAGAGCTGTAGTTGGAGCACGTGTTTTCTTTGTTCCATCCTATGAGCGTACCAATGTCATCCAAGTTGAGGCTTTGAAGAAGATTAAGGGCACTGATGCCAGTAATATTTATGATGAAGAGGCCGGTGAAGATGTAAAGTATCTAATATACAAACACAAAGATGTAGTTAACTCAACATCTTCATCGATTCTTTATTCTTTTGCTTACAGGAACTTGAGTTCTCTGACGATGAGAAAGAAATGGAACACAAGAAAAGCTTAAAAGCAAAGAGAAAGTCGTAAGTATAAAATATGTTTTGGTGAATAATATAAACTGGTACTAATTAATACATAAATTTCTCAATTTATATATATATAATCGTAGTCGTGCTTCGGAACGGAATGGAAAAGATCGTGCTCCTAAGCGGCCTGCTCATCAGAGTCTTCCAGCAACTGGAACGGATGATTTCTCCGCTGAAATGGCAGATTACCAAGGCTATTCTAATTATATAAACCAGGCAGTTGCGCCACCTCCAGGCCGTCAAGTTCAAAGCTATGCTGATATCAGCAACCCTAATAGCTCAAACACACACTATTAATAATAATAGACATACCAATCAAAAGAAATGAAGAAAAAAAAGTCATCAGCATTCCACTCATTTGCACATAAAGATACATTTACACAACCAATTTGACAAAAAGAAAGACCTACATTTTCTTTGATGACCCATAATTGTACTAATAGACAAAGCCAAATATCCTTAATACTAATAGAAAAAAAAGGCACGAAAATGATCTTTTTGTTCAAATAGTAAACGATACATTTAGTTTTTGTTAGAAATATATCTATATAAAAAGAGCTTCAAGTGGTAAATATTATTGCATATAAAAGGAACAAAATAATATTTATTAAAAGCCTATAGTAAAAGCTGGAATGAAGGTTCGTATATATATATATCAAATGAGCAATACAGCTACTTCCATTTAATATAGCAAATCATAAATACATATGCCATGCTTTACCAACAATCATCATTCTTAATTGAGATAGAGATAGAGATTTAAATCCAATAAAATTCCAAAGCTTAAATTCTTATCCAAAAGTTGGTAGAATTCAAAGTTTTTTTTTGTACATGAATATTTTATACTTTGTTATAGCCTTGGCTGATTTGGTACAGGTTTCAGTCCAACCAAAAAAATATGATAGATATTTACATTAATACTTTGATTATGATTGGTACTCAAAGAAGCATACTTAACTGTAAGAATAAAGTACATTATGTGTGTACTAGTATCAGTAATAATATATGTTATATTATCGTCAACATAATAAGTATATCATTATATCCATAACCACGTACTTAGGGTATGTTATAGAAATCTAAATGTTTGAGAGTAAATACATATCGAGTCAAGATATTTGGGTCGAGCAGAAAGCTTTTATAATATGAGCTTATTTAAAACTACAGCATATATATATCCTGAACAAGACTAAGACTGGTTCTAGAGACCACTCAATTTTTAATACATAAAAATACATGTGCACAAATGTATATGTATAATGTTAAAATCCTTATTTTATTCTAATAATGAGAAATGCTAGAATAGAAAAGACGGGAGAAAATATAGAAAGCATAAATCGACAGTACTTCAGTTTATTTATTATTTAATGAAAAGATTTAGAGCTAAAGAAAAAGTCAAAATAGTTTGTAAAGATAAATTGCTATACATGTATACATTTGGGGATTTTAACTAGAGGTTTTTTCAAGTTCATGAGAAGCAAAACTTGAAGTATAAGTAAACTTTTCACCCCTGATTAAAGTCTCAATCATAATCTCAGTTTTTCCAAAGTACATGTTTGTTGTAAAGAATATTTTATCCCCCAGTTTGACATTAGTAAATATAGAAAGTTCTTTAGAGAACTTAGCTACCTTACGAACACCTAAATCAGTAGTGTACCTTGGAGAACTTCCATCAAAATCGTAAGCAAACAAATCTAATAAAAGCCCCTTCTTTTGTTAGATTCCAATAGTGAAAGAGTCTCAAAAAGACATACCTGAATTAAAAGGGCCGGGATAAAATACAAAGTATTCGTTAGAAACGCATTTGTTAACGGCCATGGATTCTCCTTTGGTGGCGAATATACTAAAACGATCATGACAGCGTGTAACACCATCATAGTCTATATATTTTTTCTCTGGTGGATCCCTAAGGGCATCAAATATAGAACCACATCTGAGCCCATATGTACGCCGTAATATTCTGTGCGTAACTTTATTGGGATCCATTCCGAACATAACTGCACCGCGAACCACTGCCATTTCACCGCGACTCGGTACATATATTGATCCAACTTTGGGTTTAAAAATCTCTTTAACACGCCTGCCTAGATATCTGGATTGGCCAAACCCACCGACCAGAAATATAGCATCAATCTGTGTTCGAGACTGGTTTATTTGATCAGATATCAAATCCAAAACTTGTTTTACAACCGGCTCAAATACATCCTCGCGAAGTTCATCAACCGTGACTTGAAGTCTTCCGTCAGCTACTCCAATATTAGCCAAAATTTCCTCGTTTAGGCCCAATGAGATTGGAATAGTAAAAAATTCATCATCTTCATCATCAAATTGAGGCTATAATAGCGCCGCGCAGCTCTGTCAGTACACACATTTCTATTATGCTTTTCAGATACACTATACCTTGGTTGAAGCAACAAAATGATCAATTAAGTTATCAATAATCTCTTTGTTGCCGTCAGCATAAGTGCCAAACCGTTTTATGATCAGATCTCGCATATTCCTGTCCAAGAAAGTCGATCCACATGTACTTCCTGAGCCTTTTGTAACTTCGCGAAGAGATGCGTCACCAGAAGAGGTATCGATTTCAAATACAATCAAGTCTAAAGTGCCGCCACCAGCATCACAGATCATAAAACGTTGTCCATGTTTAAGGTTGAATTGGCCCGATTTTTTTTCGCAATATAAAGAAGCTGCTTCTGGCTCGCTAGTAAGTATAAGACGATCTGGATTATCGCTACGGTCAACAATTCCAGCAAGGACTGCTGCTTCCCGCATGATAGCTTTAGCTTGATCGTCCCATATAGCTGGAACTGTGAGACAATATTTGAAGTTTGAAGAATTGTAGATTACGCCGAGTTTATCTTTCAAGCAAGTATGTATGTATAGATTAAATTCACGAAGATAGTCGGTTATTACTATTAAACACAATAGTGAGAACAAACGTTTTTTTTTTTTTTTTTTTTTTTTTTTTTTAGAAAAAAGATATAATAATCTTAAACTTACCTTCAAGAACAGTTAACCCATTTGGAAGTGCGGGGTATGTCTGGCTATGATCTAAATGTAGCTTAAACTTGTCGATCAAAACACCCATAGTATCTGGGCGCTTTGCTCTCTGAATAGCATCATACCCCCACGCAATGAGATTTTTGCTGTTTTGTTCATAAAACAGCACAGTAGGAACCTTGGGATAAATGTATCCACTACGTTTCGGCCTACAACCATACATACATATATAAATAAAGAATCCATTTCTTTTAATGAGAATATAATGTTATACCAGTCAGTTATGTCAAATATTTCGTTGATACTGCTTTTAATGTATATGTAAGAGCATCCAGAGAATGTGGTTCCAAAATCTAGTAATATTGAGCTTTGAGCACATGCTTTCAAGTAATAAAAGTCTTTTTACCTATTCCAACTATGTAGGAATAATTGTCAAATTCATTATCCAGGATTCTGCCTGCCATCACAAAGGTAATACTTATAAAAGAGGATGAATATTATGTTTAATGACAAGTTTTCTTTTATATATATATCAAAAAAATATGATTAATATTCTTCCTACTATTTCTTTTTTGCTACAAAAAATTGTTGTTTATCATTCAAATGAAGATTGATTCTTTTTTAAAAAAATGATACTATAATTTATTATACAAAAAAAAGCTATAAATATTTATATTGAGCAAACCCGTTAATGAATCAATGTAAACCAGGTTTAGAGAAGGAGCCGATTAATTTTTACCATCATATTTAGCTTCCAGAATCCACATAACTTTTGATCCTAGAATATACTATTTCACCTCAATAAACCGAGAAGAAAAGAATTATAGACATAATGGTTTGCTGTTTTGGTGCATTTGTGCAATGTAGCAGAAAAGTGATTTTAACCGTCATTGTAATAAAATAATACAAAAGAGTATTGTCCTATTGATACCAAACTACAATACTATAATTATTGTATAGATAAATAAACCTTCATGCCAAACATCATTTCTAATAGTCAAATACTCTTACTTTGTGATTTATATAAAGAAAAAAGACAGCTAAAATATATATATAGAATTACCTATATTCCCGCTATTGTTTTATAAATCTCTTTTCAGTCAATTTTATCTATAGGTCTAGATAATGAGTTTTATAGAGTTAAATGTACTATTTTGCAAAATTCAATCTTATCTAATGCTAATTGACACATGATCAATGCACCGTAAATCAAAACAGGTATACATTAAATATTACTCACATATATGCTATCGGGATTTTTGAACAAGTACTTTTATCATTCAAAAATAATCAACCAAAAACCTAACTTAAAAGCTTGTTAGAACTTGGAGTATTTTTGAATATACAATGTAAATCAAGACTTACATTGAAAATCGTTCAATGTGTATTCTATTAATGCTCACCAGACACTACTTGTAATTTTATACATGTCAGGAACTTGTCCTTTGTGTGCCAGATTCATGTTAAATTAGTATGATTGATTCTTTAAATCATGGTTCGATCACTCATTCAATAAGTGATTGTTATATTAATATTAACAGAAGTACCCAAGTCAAATTTGATTAAATTTTAAATACATTTATTTAAGAACATGGGAGCATAAGAAAAATCTGGATTTTTTGTCAATTGATGAAGGGTTTTCAATACATAAGGAGTCTCACATTTGAAATGCAATCAAATCCAGGGTGTTATTACCAGTATCCCAAATCAAAAAGAGCTGTCAGTAAATAAACTATATTTTATTAATAATACTTTATTTAAAGTAAGTATAAATGTAGAAATCACAGTGAAAATCTAGAATTTTTATTCTTGCTTTTTCTTTTGCTTTACCACAAAAAAAACATATACATTTTATAATATATCATTGAAAGCAAGAACGCGGCTTACTGGTTTTTGGGAATCATTCAGGATATAAAATTAAAGCAACCCTAAGCTTATTGCTGGTTTTAATAGCGTAAAAGTAATATAGTTCTAAAATTCCAACTTTCCCTTTCACTGCTATATGTAAACCTTTTATTTTGTGGAAAATCCAATGAGTACTTTTAGTGCATAACACAATTTATGCTATTATTTTCTCATTATTTATTGGATAAAATATATACTACAGTAACAGTAAAAAAAAAGTCTTAGGCCGTACATACTGCACTAATAGTATTTATTAGAAATAAAAAATAAAATCTTGCTTTTAGTATAAAGGGCTATAGTTCATGGGAGTCAAAGTCGGAAGTAAAAATAAACTTGTTTCCTTTGATGTCAATTTCTACACGAAGCTCAGTTCTACCAAAATACATGCTTGTGGTGAAGTACACCTTTTGCTGGTATTTAATACCTGGTAGAACCGGCGTTTTTGTGGTAAAGGCAGCTACCTTACGAACTCCGGGATCAGTGGTATAGCGTGGAGGTTCACAATCTTCATCATATGCAAACAAATCTGGAAATAATAATATTATACATCTTTCCTTAAAAGATCTCATATATAGCAAATGTTTTGAAAGCACCATACCCGAAACAAAGTTGTCTGGATAGAATATAAAAAATTCTCTCTCGACACATGAATCTACAGCTATACATTCTCCTTTGGTTGCAAAAACATTAAAACGTCCCCAGCATCGTACGGCACCGTCTGATGTTACCATCTTATTCTCTATTGAATCTTCGGATTCATCAAATGGACAGTGAACTTCGAGCCCATATGTACGCCGTAAGACCCTGTGTGTAATCCTGTTTGGGTTTATTCCATACATTACAGCCCCACGAACTACTGCCAATTCACCACGGCTGGGTACGCATATAGATTCAACCTGGGTTTCAAACGTATCCTTGACGCGCTTGGCTAAATACTTCGACTGGCCAAATCCACCCACCAAGAAAATTGCATCAAGTCTTGTTTCAGATTGACTCAATTGACAAGATATTAAACTCAGGACTTGTTTTACAACTGGCTCAAATATATCTTCTCGAAGTTCATCAACCGTCACTTGAAATCTACCATCAACTACTCCAATTTCAGACATAGTCTTCTTATCTAGACTGTGTGCAGCCGGAATAACAAAAAATTCATCGTCTTCATCTTCAAACTCTGGCTAATAATCAGAACAGCATTCGCTTGTTATTTAAATATAAAATACCCTTTAGTTGGAACTGGTCATACCTTGGTCGCAATAACAAATTGGTTAATCAGCTGTTCAATAACTACTTTATTGCTTTCAGAATGTTCACCAAAGCGATTTATGAGGAACTCCCGCATACGATCATCCAAGAAACCTGATCCACATGAACTCCCGGAACCTTTGGTGACTTCGCGAAGAGATCGCAGACCAAACATTTCATCAATTTCAAAAACAATTAAATCAACTGTTCCACCCCCTGCGTCACAGATCATAAATCGATTTCCTTTGGTAAGATTAAATTGATTGAACTTGCTTTCACAGTACAATGCAGCGGCTTCCGGCTCGCTTGTCAAAATTAATCGATCAGGATGATCGCTGCGACGTACGATACCGGCAAGAATAGCTGCTTCTCGCATGACACGCTTGGCTTTATCATCCCACATGGCTGGAACAGTAAGGCAATATCTAAACTTCGAAGGGTTATATACTACACCCAGCGAGTTCTTAAACGAGCTGTGAATATAAGAATATAATTCACAGAGATAATCGCTAATCACTGTTAAAAGCACCGATTAGTTAAAAAAGAGTCTTCTATAAGAAGGCATACGAGACTACCTTTCAAAGATGTTAGACCTTCTGGAAGTGTCGTAGAGCTAGAGTTGCTAGGATCAAGAAGTAGCTTGAATTTCTTAACGTAAACACCTTTGTTGTTGAGCTTATTTGCTTTAAAAATGGCATCGTATCCCCATGCAATGAGTTCGTTACTCTCTGGGTCATAAAGAGATACCGTCGGAACTTTTGGATACACGGCGCAACCCTGCTTGGGCCTATATATACGTAAGCCGAAATAAGTATTTTAGCTCTATCATTGATATTCTATATTACCATTTAGTAATATCAACAATCTCGTCTAATCTGTCTTTATTATAAACATAGGAGCACCCAGAAAAGGTGGTGCCAAAATCTAATAATGAAATTAAGTATAGACGTGTTCAAAGCTTTAAAAATAATACCTATTCCTACAACGTAGGGATATTCGTCAAAGTCGAATTCATAAATTTTTGATGCCATTGAATCGTACAAAATTAAAGAAGCACAAGAGTATACTAACAAACTTAATTTATGTACAAGTTATATGTAATATCACCCAACTCTGTGATAAAACACAATTATTTATGATAAAGAAAAAAACCATTAAGCTATGATTAATACTCGAATACAAATGGAGATGTTTACCTTAACCACGCCTAACCCCACAATGTATATTTATATAAATCATTATTTGTATTTAAAACTTGTGAGTTTTTCAAATAAAATTCAATAAACTCATATATCAACTTAACAAAAAGCTAATAAAGTGTATCGGTATAATAACTGGACTGAGAGTTATATCAATAGACGAGGGTGAGCACATATTAAAGCATAAATATTATAATACATTGAAAACAGTAAATAAAAGATAATTTATTAATAAATGAAGTTTGTTTGAAATACAGAGATATGACGAAGTATATAACATATGCTTGAATTGGTTACTAATAAAGCTAAAATCTATACAATCGCCTTTTCAAGCTCATGTGAGTCAAAGGCTGAGGTACAGAGAAATTCATGTCCATTGATTATTTACTTCAATAAGAATCTCGGTTTTACCAAAATACATATTTACTGTAAAAAAAACCTTCTCATCTGGCTTAACGTCTTGAAAAACAGGAAGCTTAAGCTCGAATAAGGCAGCTCGACGAACACCTGGATCAGTGACGAAGCGTGGAGGTTTCCCATCCATATCATAAGCGTACAAGTCTTAAAGCAAATATCTTAATGGCTTTACACTTTAATGGAGATATGCCCGAAAACAAAACCTACCATTAACGAGTTTTCCACGAGGGTATAAAGACATTCTTTTTAATATACAATGGCTCATAGCTACGCATTCTCCCTTGGTGGCATATGCACTAAAGTGATCATCGCATGTTATTTCACCATTGCGTGTAGTATATTTTTTTTCAGGTGGATCTAACAAAGGATCGAATGGTAGAGAGACCATAAGCCCATATGTACGTCGTAATATTCGATGCGAAACTTTCCCAGGGTTGACTCCAAACATCACTGCGCCTCGCATTACAGATATCTCACCACGACTTGGTACACATATATTTCCAACCTTGTCTTTAAATGTGTCTTGGACACGTTTACCTAGGTACCGCGATTGGCCAAATCCACCGACCATAAATATGGCATCAATTTGCTTTTGAGATTGGTTTATCTGATCAGATATTAAATTTAAAACTTGTTTTGCAATTGGTTCGAATACATCCTCGCGAATTTCATCGACTGATACACATAGTCTTCCATCATCTACTCCAATGTCAGACATTTTACCCCCTTTGAGATTCAACACAGCGGGAACAGTAAAATACTCATCATCTTCGTTTTCAAATTCAGGCTAAAGTAGGGAAGAGAGGCGATGGTAAGTATGTATACGTATTGTTTATTGATGATATAATATACCTTGGTTGTAGTGACAAAATGGTCCATCAAGTATTGAATGGCTGCTTTATTGTTTTTAGCATGTGAACCAAAGCGTTTCTTAAGCAGTTTCCGCATATTTTTATCCAAGAAGGTTGATCCACAAGAGCCGCCTGAACCTTTTGTAACTTCACGCAGAGATTTTACACCTGAAGAGTCTTCGATTTCAAATACAATCAAATCTACAGTTCCACCTCCAGCATCACAAATCATAAAGCGCTGTTCATGACTAAGATTGAACTGGTTAGACTTCTTTTCACAATACAAAGCTGCTGCTTCTGGCTCGCTGGTTAGCATCAATCTGTCTGGATGATCGCTACGGCTGACAATGCCAGCAATAATAGCTGCTTCTCGCATGGTAGCTTTAGCTCGATCGTCCCATATAGCTGGAACTGTGAGACAGTATCTGAACTTTGACGTATCGTAGACTGCACCAAGCCTGGTCTGAAATTGCTCGTGAACATGCTTGTAAAATGCACGAAGATAGTCCGCAATAACTGTTGATCACAATGGTGAGACAAATATTCCTATTTTATAAAGTTCCAAGCCTTGATTATCTTGAAGAGTAGTCAATCCATTTGGAAGATTTTGTGAAGTTTGGATGCTAGTGTCGAGAAGTAATTTGAACTTTGTAATCAAGAAGCCTTTACTATTGGGCTGACTCGCTTTATTGATAGCTTCATATCCCCATGCAACAAGGGCTCTGTTATCTCGTTCATAGTATGACGCAGTTGGAACTTTGGGGTAGATAAAATTACTTTTTCTTGGCCTACACCAATGTGTCAGTATAAAGGCTTGTATTCATATTACGCATTAAACCTTACCATTCAGTTATATCAAATATTTCATCGATATTGTCATCAGCAAATACACACGAACACCCAGAAAATGTTGTTCCAAAATCTAACATGATTGTGCTTAGTACTTTATTCAATAAAACATTAAAAGGTATTACCTATTCCCACAACATAAGGGAAATCTTCAGGGTAAAATTCCAAATCGCTACTAGTCATTTAGAATATGAAAATAAAAATGAGAAGAAGAGCAGTGAAGAAGAAAGAGGTTGACAGGCAGTTTTTCTTGAATGATTAGAATTTATATAACAGATATTCTATACGCTAACTACTCAAAAGTTGTGTATATTGCTATTTATATCAAAGTGCTCATCACTTACATAAAAAAAACACTCTAACCTAACGTGTTGACCTAAAGTATTGACTAGTTACATAAACTTTATTCTATATGGTAATTATATAAAATTGATTCTGGATAGATCGATTCCGTTCGCAAAAAAAAACGTTATTGGTTATCAATAAAAAATCAATAATATTTCTTCTGACAAATTTCATTTTGCTGGAGAAAACCATAAAGAAATATCTATTTCAAAGGTGTGATGTGACCTTAAAAACATATTGATCTTTAGTTAAAACGAGAAGTTTGATCACAACAAACGCTTGCTAAGCAGTAATAGTTACATACTCACTTCATAAAAGCAATAATCAGAAATATAAAGCAAATTACCGGGAGTATAATTTAATAATTTAATAATAATAATAAAACGTAGTTTGAGTAATATTCGAACATTATACGCTTATGTAAAAGCTTGTACGATAGGCTTGTACGAAGTCTTAAAATTTATTTTAGATATGTAAAGAGTGCCGTTTTCTAGATGCTCAATGGCCAAAGTGTCAATTAAAAAAAATCAATTCCGCAGATTTGAAAAGGCTTTGTTCCCAAATATGATTTTTTCTTTTTATTGCTATCAGCATTATATATAAAGAGTAAATCCTTCCATTGGTTTGTCTTGTTCCTTTATTTTTTTGTTTGCTTTGTAAACTGGTCTTTCTTACTAAAAAAATGAAATTTAGAACGCTATAGTTTGTTGAAAAAAATTGCAGAAAACTGTATATAGTATGTTTCTTAGTCGTAAAAACAAAAACAGAAACTTTTTTATTACAGTTCCGAGCATGAATATACCTTTGGAATATAGCATTTGGTTCATAATAGAGCTTGAATATATAGTATATAAAGATATATATCTGTACTTTTGCACTATTTACAAGATGTTCAATCGTCAATTCACTTTATAAGCATAAACAGAATATGGAGAAGGAAAATTTCTACAATAGCTCGACTAAAAACCCTGCAAATTAATGAGGATGGTCTTATATAAAAGCATAAATATTACATTGGATAAAAATTTGCTTAAAAGAAAAGGCATTTATTAATAAATAAAGTTTATTCATGGCTCTTCCCGCTAAAGTACCGGACCCACCTATTGGGTCCACCACAACACTAGGTCAAGCCAATATAACCACTCCACAACCCTCTACTACTACCTCTACCACAACCAACACTAGGTCATATCTCGATGTCGCCACAGCCACTCCCGCCCCCGGTCAAGTGCCAGTCGTTCTTTTCTCTAACTTGCCGACATCTACGGATCGCGTCTGGCGCGAAAGTACATCTCGTCATTCGGTATTCTTCACCCCACCAACTGATTCCACCCTTACCTCTGAATTCTGGACTGCTCTCAGAGCAAGCGTTCCTACGGCATGCACCTTGGGAATATCATTCGCTCATCGTCAACCGCTCATCCACGAATTGCACCTGACCAATTCTACCATCTGCACCGAACTCTGTTCCAAAGGCTTCCTGGTTGGAGGCCAAACGTACTTCCCCTCTATGGGTATTGCCCCAGGCACAAAAATCTTGCGTATCTCCCTCTCCCAGCTTCCATACCTTCCTTCCCCTCTGCTTGAAGAGGCTATCAAAACAGCCTTGGCCGCATATGGCACCGTCCGCGAAGTCGGTTTGCATCTTCGTGCCAATTTTTTTGATGGCACTGGTTTTGCTTACCTTGAACGACCACCCAACCCCGATGCCACCCTTGCCAAACTCTCATACAAGATCCCGTATGATGGCGACTTGTACTTCTTAGGTACCTGGAAACAGATGGGTATTCACTGTAATTATTGTAAAGTTATGGGCCATGCTATCGAAAACTGTCCAGACCGCCCCAAAGATTCCCGACGCTGCTTCACTTGTGACCAGACTGGTCACTTGCAACATGCCTGCCCCAGAGCACCCCCACGGACGCCAGCTCTTCCAAGAGACCCCGCAAGGTTCCCACGACACATGAATCCCCTGATCGCTCACGCAAGACTACTCCCGGTGCGTCTCACAGACCTCCGGCCAAGAAATCGATCCCCCCTCGCGGTACACCTACGATGGCTGAGGGATCCCAGGCTACTATCACCACCTCCCGCACGAATTCCTCGACACCGCGACGACCCTCTGTCCCCGCTGTTCCTACTTCCCCCCGCCAGTCTGCCAACAGGTTTGCTGCACTTGACGGACTAACTGACAACAGCCGCACAGGCGCACTCTTCGACCCCACTCTGCCTCTTCCTCAGACACACAACACCCAGTATGATCCCGTCTTTCACCCCCTCCACAACGCTTTTCTTCCCTCCAACTACACTTCCGGCTCCACTAAAGACGAAGAAGAATTTCACCCCAGCGCTTTTGACGGCGACGACGACCAAGACTCCCAGAATATCCTAACTGATGACGAGATGGCAGACGGCGATCATTCTTAAATTTATGATTAATATAGCCTCCATGAACTGCCGCGGACTTGTCAAGTCCGGAAACACCAATAATCGCTCTCTCTTTATTAGATATCTTCGCTCCCTCTCTCTAGACATACTTGCCCTTCAAGAAACTCACGCCAACACAGACGCTCTTCAACAGACGTTTCATCTTCAATTTCAAGCATCCGACTCACTATGGTCTCCTCACTGTGGTTTGGTTTCCCTCTCTCCCCTCATTTCTTTTACTGATCCTCTTTTTTCTCTCTGTGGTCGTTGCATTACTGCCACCGTTGTTCACTCTTCCAATTTGTTTGCCCCATTTCGTATTTGCGTTTTATATGTCCCTGCTTCATATCGTCCTCGATATGATTTTCTCACCTCTCTCCTATCCTCCCCACATCTTCTCCCTTCCCTTACTTCTCGCTTTCTTATGCTAGGAGATTTTAATTATTCCTCATATGCAAATGCCTCTCGTGCTGGCCTCGCGCCACGTCTATGGCTGCATTTTGTCGCTAACCACTTTGTAGACTGTGTCACTTTGTCTGACGCTCAACCTATGCCTACCTTTCATCGCGACCTTTCCTCTTCGACTATCGACTACATATATGCCTCCAAGGATATAGCGTCTTGTCACTCTTCGTCCACCGTCACATTTGTTCAGCCCCTGTGGACCGATCATTGCCTTGTACGTACCTGTCTTAGTTTTCCTATGCTGTCTCACATTGGTCGAGGTTTGTGGCGTGCGAACCCTCGTTTGGCGAACATCCCTTCCTTCCGCTCCTCCCTGTCCGACTGTCTTTCATCCTTCATACCACTACTCTCGCCTTCAATTTCCCCCCAATCACAGTGGGATCTGACCAAAGTCGAAGTGGCTCGTTTCACACGTTCATATTCACGCACAACCCGCCCATCACTTGCCACTTTGGAGGTAAAGCTTCAGAGTAAACGTGACCATTTGATACATAGATTTCGACATCAGCCTGCTCAGAACTTCCAGCTGCCCATCGTCGAGCGTCAACTTCAGCAAGTCAACAGGAACGCACCGAGATACTAGCACTCCGCGCCGGAAAACACTGGAGAGAACAAGGCGAAACTTCCGCTGGGTTTTTGAAACGCACAGTTGCTTTTCGCCAAGCTCGAACCACAATAACCAGCCTCCGCCACCCCTTCACCGACACCTTATGCACTGATCCCGATGATCTTACGGAAGCTGCTGCTGCATTTTATGAAGATCTTTACACACCCGACCCTCCTGCTCAGACAGCTATCGACGACCTCCTCCTTCACTTGCCACCAGACCTCTTTCTTTCCGAAACTACCTCCACGACCCTCCTTAAACCCTTCACCTTGGATGACATCCGAGACGGCGCCACTCGCACTCCTAATGCCAGTAGCCCTGGGCCGGATGGCCTGCCTTATGAGATTCTGCGATTAATTATGGATCATCCGATGTGTGCTGTCTTACTTGTTCGAATATTTAACGATGGGCTTGCCCTCGGTGTGTTCCCTTCGTCCTGGCAATCAACCTGCGTCTCTCTTCTTCCCAAGAAAGGTGACCTCACCTCCCCCCGCAACTGGTGCCCGATCGCTCTCATCAATACCGATGCCAAAGTGTTCACTCGCCTCATCAATCGTCGCATGGTGCCTGCTGCTTCCTCCCTTGTTACGCCCTTCCAGACCGGGTTTGTCCAAGGACGCTTCATTGCTGACAATGGCATGCTGACCAAGTTAGTTATGGCACAGGCTAGACAGGACGGTTCATCTGGTATAGGCCTTCTTTTGGATCAGGAGAAAGCTTACGACAGAGTCCATCCCGACTACCTTCGCCAGGTCTTGCAGCATTTCAACTTTCCCCCTTCCCTCGTTACCTGTATATCTCAACTTTTCTTCTCTACACAGATTCGAATCAATGTCAATGGACACCTATCCCGATCATTCCTTCAGGCTCGTGGACTCCGGCAGGGTGATCCTCTTTCTCCTGTACTCTTTAACCTTGCATTCGAACCTTTGTTGCGTCGTGTGATTCATGATCCTTCCTTTGCCGGATTTTCTCCATCACCACGCACTGCTATTCCACCACCTCCGCCCATCAAGCTCTTGGCCTATGCCGACGATCTGCTAGTCTTTCTTCCTGATGCCGCCCACTTGTCCCGTCTTCATCATCATCTTCTCACATACTCTCATGCCTCCAATGCTCGCATCAATCTCCATAAAACTGAAGCTTTCTCCCTGTCCGGCCTTCCACTGCCAGAATGGCGCCCCGTCCTACAACAATTCGACATCACCGCCTGGTCTGACAGATCTTTCTCCACTCCCCTGCGATATCTCGGCTTTCCTCTTATTCAATCCTTACCTCAGCGCAATTCTTTCTGTGACAACATTCTTTCCAAGATTGAATCTACCTGTAATATCCACCACTCTCGCTCTCTCTCTATTCGTGGCCGTGCCACAGTGCTCAACTCTCTCATCCTCTCTAAGCTCTGGCACGTCCTCAGAGTTGTCACTGTACCTCTATCCTTTTTCCGTCGACTTCGCTCGATCATGAGTAAGTTTATACAATACCGCTCCTTTCCTCCCATTTCTCTCGGCACTTTCTGCCAGCCTATTCGGCTCGGCGGTCTAGGGGTCCTTGATCCTCAGGTTCAACAGGCTGCTCTTCAGTTGCGCTGGCTCCGGCCTCTCGTCCGCTCTCCGCTGTCCCCCTCTGGCCTGGTCCCGCCTTGGTTCTCTTACGTCCTCCGCCTCGACTCCTCATCTGCTGATCCACTCGTTCCTTTGATATTTCCATCTCTCCGATCCTCTCATCAGCGTGATTTCGACTCTCCTCTGGCCACCCTACTTGCTGCCATTGATCTTCTCCCTCACAACTTCTCTGACGTGGTAGTCAACCTCCCCACCTGTCTCTCTCTGCCTCTCTCCTATCTCACTACCGCACAACCAGACCACCCTCCCTTTCTATCTGCATGGCGCGATCTCCGGGTTTCCGACGCCTATGAAGTAGATCCTAGTTTCGGCGTGCTTGCCCAACGCCCCCTCCACCGCATACTCCGTCGTCCTATTGTCCTTCACCGGTTCTTCGAACGTCTCTACACTCGCTCTCTTGTCTTGCACCCTGTCTTGTATCGTGCCACCATTCCCCCCGCGATCTGTGCCATACAGTTTCCTTCGCTAGATATGCCTTCCGGTACAGCTGTCGATGTGCGTCCTTTCTTGACGGCTCTTGTCCCCGGCATCCCTTGGCATCGTTTGTCCACCCAGTCTTTCCGCCTACTCTGCAATTTCCACTCCAAATCCGCACGCCCCATAAGCCCCACACTCGTCCCTCGCCAGCTTCGTCGGTTTTGGTCCTTCCCCCTGCCGCATGGGGCCCGCAACGTTTGGTTTCGTGCCCTGCACAAGAACATTCCTTGCCGTTCTCGCCTCAATTCTAGGATCCCTACCGCTTTCCCAGACCCATCCTGTGCCCTCTGCTCTCACCCTCTGGACAATCAAACTCATTTTTTGTTCCAGTGTCCGGTCAAACTGTCCGTATGGTCGTCAATCTGGACGTTGTACTTTGCCCAGACCGCGACACCCACTGTCTTGCTTTCTGGTTTGCAATCCTTCACATTCCCTCCTTGCACCAATTCTTCTCTTTCTGCTGCCTCAATTTTTGGCTGCATGCTGCTGGCTATATGGCGCCATCATTGGCTGTTCATATTTGATCACGTTCCTTTTGTCTCCTCCGCTGCCTTTTCCACTGCTTCCTCTCTTCTCGACCGCCTCAAGAGCGAACTTGCTCTCGACTTTCCCCCCCTTTAGCTTCCTTCCATACCTCCACAATATATATAACCACAAACATATAAATAGAAAAACATTGTAAAAATATAAAAGCCAAAAACAAGTCGTGATTTTCCTCTTTTGCCTTGCAGCATAGAGGCTCACTAATAAATTAGAGCCTTCGGCTCCCTACAAAAAAATAAATAAATAAAGTTTATTTGAAATATAGAGATATGGAGAAATATATAACATATGGTAGAATTGGCTACTAATAAAGCTAAAAGCTATACAATCGCCTTTTCAAGCTCATGTGAGTCAAAGGCTGAGGTATAGAGAAAGGTATGTCCCTTCATTTTTACTTCAATAAGAATCTCGGTTTTACCAAAATACATATTTTGGGTAAAATAAACCTTCTCATCTATCTTGATGCCTTGTAAAACAGGAGTCTTACCATGGAAGTCTGTTACCTTACGAACACCTGGGTCAGTGACAAAGCGTGGAGATTTCTCGTCGATATCATAAGCGTACAAGTCTAAAGAAATCTGTTAATAACTTTACATCTGAATAGAACTAAGTTTAAAGATAACATACCAGGATTAAAGTTATTTGGGTAATATATAAACAGTTCTTTTGATACACACTGATTCATAGCTACACACTCTCCCTTGGTGGCATATATATAAAAGTGATCCTTGCATCTTATTTCACCATCAGCTGCAGTATATTTCTTTTCAGGTGGATCCAACAAAGAATCAAATGGTTTATTGACCTTGCTACCATATGTGCGTCGTAATATTCGGTGGGAGACTTTGGCAGGATCTACTCCAAACATTACTGCGCCTCGCATTACAGATATCTCACCACGACTTGGTACACATATATTTCCAACCTTGTCTTTAAATGTGTCTTGGACACGTTTACCTAGGTACCGCGATTGGCCAAATCCACCGACCAAAAAGATGGCATCAATCTGCTTTTGAGATTGGTTTATCTGACCCGATATCAAATTCAAAACTTGCTTTACAACTGGCTCGAATACATCTTCGCGAAGTTCATCGACTGATATACATAGTCTTCCATCATCAACTCCAATATCAGACATTTTACCCCCTCTGAGATTCAACACAGCGGGAACAGTAAAATACTCATCATCTTCGTTTTCAAATTCAGGCTAAAGTAGGGAAGAGAGGCGATGGTAAGTATGTATACGTATTGTTTATTGATGATATAATATACCTTGGTTGTAGTGACAAAATGGTCCATCAAGTATTGAATGGCTGCTTTATTGTTTTTAGCATGTGAACCAAAGCGTTTCTCAATCAGTTTTTGCATATTTTTATCCAAGAAGGTTGATCCACAAGAGCCGCCTGAACCTTTTGTAACTTCACGCAGAGATTTTACACCTGAAGAGTCTTCGATTTCAAATACAATCAAATCTACAGTTCCACCTCCAGCATCACAAATCATGAAGCGCTGTTCATGACTAAGATTGAACTGGTTAGACTTCTTTTCACAATACAAAGCTGCTGCTTCTGGCTCGCTGGTTAGCATCAATCTGTCTGGATGATCGCTACGGCTGACGATGCCAGCAATAATAGCTGCTTCTCGCATGGTAGCTTTAGCTCGATCGTCCCATATAGCTGGAACTGTGAGACAGTATCTGAACTTTGAATTATCGTAGACTGCACCAAGCTTAGTCTGGAATTGCTCATGAACATGTTTGTAAAATGCACGAAGATAGTCCGCAATAACTGTTGATCACAATGGTGAGACAAATATTCCTATTTTATAAAGTTCCAAGCCTTGGTTACCTTGAAGAGTAGTCAATCCATTTGGAAGATTTTGTGAAGTTTGGATGCTAGTGTCGAGAAGTAATTTGAACTTTGTAATCAAGGATCCTTTACTATTAGGTAAATTTGCTTTACGGATGGCTTCATATCCCCACGCAACAAGGGTTTTGGTATCTTGCTCATAGAATGATGCGGTTGGAACCTTGGGGTATATGGATCCGCCTCTCCGTGACCTACAGCTATGTGTCAATATATTCTATGGGCATATATTATGTACTAAGAACTTACCATTCGGTTATATCAAACATTTCATCGATATCGTCATCAGCAAATACACACGAACACCCAGAAAATGTTGTTCCAAAATCTAACATGATTGTGCTTAGTACTTTATTCGATAAAACGTTAAAAGGCATTACCTATTCCCACGACATAAGGGAAATCTTTAGGGTAAAATTCCAAAGTGCTACTAGTCATTTAGAATATGGAAATAAAAATGAGAAGAAGAGCAGTGAAGAAGAAAGAGGTTGACAGGCAGTTTTTCCTGAATGATTAGAATTTATGTACTAGTCATTTTACGATAGAACTACTCAAAAGGTGTGAATACTGCTATTTCTGTAAATGAGGCTTGTTGGTTGAAGCTTATTATTCTATTCTGGAAAAGGTTGTACAAGAGAAGCTTACTGCGCCATGGAAACAGCATAGACAAGTGCTTCATCGCCAATTAGACTTCTCTTTATTTTTATTGTTTTGAAAATAGTATTCAGACTTTACAAAAAAAAAAGTGATTATTTTCTTCCAAAGTTTACTCCAAAAACAGAAATCTTTTTGCTCACTTGCTTAAAAATAAATTGGCCATTAATATAGCCTTTTTATTCGGTTATTTCGCAGGTTTAATGTTTCTTATATTCTTCATTTGAGCCCATTGGTTTTTAAGCATACAGGTTTTTTATAGGACAAGAATAAATAGGCAAGAGTCTTTAATTAAAGGTTTACCATTTTACTAAAACATTCAAGCAATAAAAAATGAGACTTCAGTTTTAGATAAACCGATATGGATGGTCTTATATGCATATGTAAAAACCTGTACGAAAACTTAGACCCCATTTTCTATTTATCTAATATAAATCAAAACTAGCAGCATATATATGTAAAATGTGTCGTTTTTTATGTGTATACTGATTAAAGTGCCAATTCAAAAAAATCAATTAGGCAGGTTTGAAAGTTCCATATGTCCAAATATAATATTCGCTTTTAGTGTTATCCATACTACAAGGCTCTTTCGCACATACCTCAATTTGGTCGGGGGAGATAGTGTGAAAAGTTAGTCGATGTGTAACGGCCCCCCTATATGTCCCCACCCATCTTCTCAATCACTCTTTCAACCCACCCTCTCGGTCATTCTTTACACTTTCTCTTCTCGTTTTTGCTGCGCTCTAGCATGGTCTTCCATCTGTCTCCTCAATTTTTGCTGTTTAACCTTAGGTCACTCCCCTCCCCTTGGTAGAACCAAGAACCCTTCAGATATTCCCTATTTCTTTGCGAAGACATAGATACGGGGTGTGCTTTCTTGAGTTCTCACCATCTCTCACTTTAGAAAAATACAAAACAAAAGCCGTAATGTCCTCTTTTTCTTCGCAGCAATAGAGGCTCACCAACCCTTTTGACCACAAGGCTCTTTACAAACAAACAAAGATGCTATATGTACTATATCTGAAGAATATACGGTACAATACATTTGTAAGGCGCATTTCTGGGATAAGTTTTTTCAAAGTTTTTTTTTATATCTAAGCAAAAAATCGAGCATGTATTGTATATAAGAAATAGTTCTAGGATGCTTATTATGATCCTTAATAGTCTAAGAATACTTTTCTGTACTGTTTATTTGAAAAGAAGATTCATTTATAAAGGCTAGTAACTCTTAAAAATGCGCCTTGCATATTGTGTTTTGCTGTAAGACAATTCGAAGGCACCAAAAATTTAGAATGGGCAACGGCATGTCATCTCTGTAAAATATCCCTCTAGAATTTCCTCACCTCTCTGCAGTATCTTCCAGGGGTTCATCGAGACTCAAGAGCATTTTCTTCTTTCTTATCCGTTGAAATCCGCGGTGTGGCTAGGTATTTGCTTGGAATTCTTTGTCACTGTCCCTCCGCCTTCTACACTCTCTGTATTCACGTCTTTTTCTCTTGCCTCCTACGCTGGACCACATTATTCCAGCCGCTTCGGTTTTTGGATGGCCCATATTTGGTATCTGAGACCACCACTGGACATCCCACTTCAATTTCGCCTCATTTCTACCTTCTTTGGTTCTTGCAACTTCTCGCAAATTAATCTCTTGCCTCTGCGCTGAGCTCGAGCTTAACTCTGCTGATTCTTCCCCCGCACAAAAGCACATTAAAATTTTAACAACTAACAAAAATCACACAAAAACAAGTCAAAAACCAAAAAGCCAAAAACATCAAATAACCCCCATAAACCTTCAAAAAAAATGTTGTAATTTTTTCTTTTTTTTTGTATTTATTGGTCGGCTACAGTGCAAAGCACTGAGCGATCGGCTGAATATGCCTAAATTTTTGTATTACAATATTGATATGAGAGGAAAAAGGTAAAAAAAGAGACTAAGAGAGAAAACTACTCCAGGAAGCGCCTTATCACCACTAGTGCCTTGGCCGCTATCACACCCGGAAGGAAGGGCTGTTCGTCCATGACAGAGGCCCAGTGAGCTCGCCAGATGGTGTAATTTTCTCTTTTGCCCTACTCAGTCAGAAAACTTTACTAAGTCTGATCCTGTCACAGCTCCATACAAACAAACAAAAAATGTAAAATTTAGTTAAAACATATGTTCCTCAATCAAAGTGAAATTTAAAGCAGAGTTCTCATATATAAGTACCAATAAGAAGATGATTATAAGTTACAAAAACGCTTATTGGTAAATGAATAAAACTTAATATCTGTTAATAAGAGGAATTATATAATAATCCGTAACTGGCAGGCGGCTCATGAGGGAGTGGACAATGATCCCCCCTGAGCAGCCCTTAAGGAAAACCCCAGAGGAACTTCTTTTTTTCCCGTCGTGTTATAGAATGATGCAGTTGAAATTTTGGGGTAGATGGATCCGCCTCTCTTTGGCCTACAGTTGTGTGTCAGTATAAAATATTTAGTTTATCTTATGCAGTATGTTCTTACCATTCAGCTATATCAAGTCTTTCATCGATATTGTCATTAGCAAATACATACGAACACCCAGAGAAGGTTGTTCCAAAATCCAACATGATTGTGCTTAGTACTTTATTCAATAAAACGTTAAAAAGTGTTACCTATTCCCACAACACAAGGAAAATCTTTAGGTTAAATTCCAAATTGCTATTTGTCATTTGTAATATAGAAATAAAACAAAGAAAAAGAGCAGTGAAGAAGAAAGAGGTTGAAAGGGATTTTTTTCGGCATGATTCGAATTTATATAGTAGTCATTTTACGCGATAACCACTCAAAAGATATGCACATTATTTCAGTAAAGGTGCTCATCGCGACTCCAAACCTTACACACAGATAAATAATATATATAGCAATTATGTAACATAAAATTTCCAAAACGATAAAAGTCTTGTACATGTCAGTGCATTTTCACTTTTGACATTTAAGTAAAATAGGAAATAACGTCCCATATACAGTATACTAAACACCTGTATTTAAATAGTTACTTTTCATAAGAATAATAACTATGTTAATGTGTTATTTTATTTCTTTACCTATATTTATTTATCCTTCACCAATACAAATATACACATTTATAAAACGAGCTATAAAACTCTCTTGACCCTTTCAATCGTGCAAGTTAAAAAGTAGACTAGTCTACCAATTGTAGTTGTTCTCATTTGGATATTGGTCATTAACTCGAACTTTCGTTAAGTTTACAGGGAAGCCTAAGAAAAAAAAAGATACTACAAATCCATATTAACATGTCAATTTTTTGAAAGTGCATGCTGGGCCTGAAAGTGAATGAATAAATATTGCAAAATGACAAATGCCCTTTTAAAGGGATGTGTCTGCTCTTATGAATCATTTGTCAATTAGGAAATCTAAGGGCAAGCATTAGGCAATGCTTAAAAAAAATTAACTCATCCTTTTCCAAGAGCAAAATCAATAAGTTAATTGTAGCTCAATGTTGTTTTGCTTTATTAAAAATGGTGTAGAATATAGAAAGCAAGACATAATATATAAAAAAATGCAAACACTATGATGGCATTTTACAGATCAAGTACTTAAGAAATACCTTGAGTAACATACAGCTCCAAGATTGTTTCGTCTAAGGTTTGGGGGCTGGGCCTGGTGTAACGTCAAGGTGTGAGGTCTGTGGTCGTAAAAAGTACCTTGTAATCTAGCGCCTTGACATAAGGTATTGCTTTTTTACATACAATTTATTTTATATGGTGATTATATAAAAGAGACTTCAAACATATTAATTGAAGTACTTCAGGCCATTTCTGCATTCACGTCAATACCTTTATGCACACTGTGATGGGCGATACAAGAAACGCCGGTGTATAAAATCCACCATATTACACGAAAGCTTAGATGTTATTTGAGATGCGTAAAGAGCACAATTTTTTAAGGTGTTCACAAATTAAAATATCAATTAAACAATAGTTTCATTACGCTTCCAAATAGTATTATACCTTTTGAATACAATTTTTTATAAGACAGGCTTACTATATGGTACTTACATGCATATATCTGTATTTATATACTGTTTCTGAGTTGATCGATCGAACATTTACCATATAAGCACGCACATAATGCGGAAGAAGTTGTATCTTTACAATAGCTCAATTTAAAGCTCTGAAAATTGATGATGATAGTTTCATATAAAACCATAAATATTACATTAAATCGAGAGCTTTTTAAAGACAGTTTATTGATAAATGAAGCTAATTTTAAATAAAGAGATGTAATAAAGAAATATATAACATATACTAGTATTTTCTACTAGTAAAGCTAAGAACTATACTATTGTTTTTTCAAGCTCATGTGAGCCAAAGGCAGAAGTATAGAGAAAGGTATGTCCCTTCATTATTACTTCAATAAGAAGCTCCATTTTACCAAAATACATGTTTGCTGTAAAAGGAACCTTTTCATTTGTCTTGACACCTTGTAAAAAAGGTGGTTTACACTCGAATATGGCCACTCGGCGAACACCTGGGTCAGTGACAAATCGCGGAGATCTCTCGCTGATATCGTAGACAAACAAATCTGAAAACATATACGTAAATGAGATTAGAATATAATAGCGATACGTTAATATATATCTATACATACATACCAAGATTGAAGTTATCAGGGTAGAATGTATACAATTGTTTTGATACACATTTGTTCATAGCTACACATTCTCCCTTAGTAGCATACACGTAAAAGTGATCCAGACATCTTATTTCACCATCAGCTGCAGTATATTTTTTTTCAGGTGGATCCAACAAAGAATCAAATGGTTTGGAGATATGTATTCCATATGTGCGTCGTAATATTCGGTGGGAGACTTTGGCAGGATCTACTCCAAACATCACTGCGCCTCGCATTACAGATATCTCACCACGACTTGGTACACATATATTTCCAACCTTGTCTTTAAATGTGTCTTGGACACGTTTACCTAGGTACCGCGATTGGCCAAATCCACCGACCAAAAAGATGGCATCAATCTGCTTTTGAGATTGGTTTATCTGACCCGATATCAAATTCAAAACTTGCTTTACAACTGGCTCGAATACATCTTCGCGAAGTTCATCGACTGATATACATAGTCTTCCATCATCAACTCCAATATCAGACATTTTACCCCCTCTGAGATTCAACACAGCGGGAACAGTAAAATACTCATCATCTTCGTTTTCAAATTCAGGCTAAAGTAGGGAAGAGAGGCGATGGTAAGTATGTATACGTATTGTTTATTGATGATATAATATACCTTGGTTGTAGTGACAAAATGGTCCATCAAGTATTGAATGGCTGCTTTATTGTTTTTAGCATGTGAACCAAAGCGTTTCTCAATCAGTTTTTGCATATTTTTATCCAAGAAGGTTGATCCACAAGAGCCGCCTGAACCTTTTGTAACTTCACGCAGAGATTTTACACCTGAAGAGTCTTCGATTTCAAATACAATCAAATCTACAGTTCCACCTCCAGCATCACAAATCATGAAGCGCTGTTCATGACTAAGATTGAACTGGTTAGACTTCTTTTCACAATACAAAGCTGCTGCTTCTGGCTCGCTGGTTAGCATCAATCTGTCTGGATGATCGCTACGGCTGACGATGCCAGCAATAATAGCTGCTTCTCGCATGGTAGCTTTAGCTCGATCGTCCCATATAGCTGGAACTGTGAGACAGTATCTGAACTTTGAATTATCGTAGACTGCACCAAGCTTAGTCTGGAATTGCTCATGAACATGTTTGTAAAATGCACGAAGATAGTCCGCAATAACTGTTGATCACAATGGTGAGACAAATATTCCTATTTTATAAAGTTCCAAGCCTTGGTTACCTTGAAGAGTAGTCAATCCATTTGGAAGATTTTGTGAAGTTTGGATGCTAGTGTCGAGAAGTAATTTGAACTTTGTAATCAAGGATCCTTTACTATTAGGTAAATTTGCTTTACGGATGGCTTCATATCCCCACGCAACAAGGGTTTTGGTATCTTGCTCATAGAATGATGCGGTTGGAACCTTGGGGTATATGGATCCGCCTCTCCGTGACCTACAGCTATGTGTCAATATATTCTATGGGCATATATTATGTACTAAGAACTTACCATTCGGTTATATCAAACATTTCATCGATATCGTCATCAGCAAATACACACGAACACCCAGAAAATGTTGTTCCAAAATCTAACATGATTGTGCTTAGTACTTTATTCGATAAAACGTTAAAAGGCATTACCTATTCCCACGACATAAGGGAAATCTTTAGGGTAAAATTCCAAAGTGCTACTAGTCATTTAGAATATGGAAATAAAAATGAGAAGAAGAGCAGTGAAGAAGAAAGAGGTTGACAGGCAGTTTTTCCTGAATGATTAGAATTTATGTACTAGTCATTTTACGATAGAACTACTCAAAAGGTGTGAGTACTGCTATTTCTGTAAATGAGGCTTGCTAGTTGAAGCTTATTTTTTCATACCAGAGAAGGTTGTACAAGAGAGCATCCCTGCATGGTGCTAATGTTCTAATATTTTCCCCATTTTTATTTTGCATCAATTCAGTAAACTTTACAAACTAAATACACTCAAAGCATATTTATTAAGTTAATAAGTCATTTACTTATAAAAGTTAGTTGATACACATTCCATTTTAATAATTTTCGGATATATTATTGAAATTATATAAAAGAATATATACATACATATGTCTAGCTACTATATGGATAGTTTTTAAAAATGGTATATTTTGTGTTAGCATAATCTGCAAGATTGGTACCGCACACACGCGTCCACTTCTTGTGAATAAAATATCGACATGCAAATAAAATTATAAAAAAATATATTATGGTCTGTATGTATACTAGCTTTACTAAAATATATATTTCATCTAAGATGTACTTTTGTGGTATTATTTCTATCTTATTATTGAAAAGTAAAAAAAAAAAGTCTAGATAGTTTCTATAATTTAGGATACCATTAATGTTATATGATTTTCTTATGATACTAATAGAATTATTATCGTCAAAAATTGCTTATTATAATTAGCTTTTAAATTTTCAAGTCATGGCACAGAGTATCATTAGAACAAATTTATGGAGATATTTAGTAACTCTGAATCTTAAGACAAATAATCGAATCTTAAATGCAAGTATACTTGTAAAAAGAATGGCAACTTTGGGAGACTTTCGGAAGCTTTTGTGTGTGTGTGTATTGAAAGGTTTAAAGGTTGTTTTAAGATCGAACTTTAAATAGCCACTCCGTTTCCTACTTTTTTTAAAATGTTTCATTTCAATTTTTCATTTTCTTTCTATCATTATAGTCTAAAAGTTTTTTTTTATTTTGAGGGAGCCTTAGTGTCTGATTTATTAGTGAGCCTCTATGGTAGTCTAAAACAAGAAGAATAGGAGGAAAATTACCTTTTTAATAATGCACTTTTGTCCTGTATTGTTTTTGAAATCAATGCAAAAAAAAAACCTTTACCGTGCCTCTCATGCAGTACAAAATAATAGTATAAAACAATTTACTAAAATATGTACGTAATGGCAGTAGACCAGTAAAAGTATTTTATTGATGAGTGTGCCAAGCCTATGATACACTCTAGGTATTTAGACAGTCCAATAATAGCTGAAGAATGATTTAGATAAAAAAAATAGCCTTTAAATTTGACAAAGAAAAAAAAAAGTCCCCAGTAAGTAAGGGGTATCGCATGCCCTAAGCGGAGCAGTTTAATGTCCTACTCAGGACATTTTTTTAGCCAATCACATTCTACGATAGAAATATGTGGCAAAGAGAAAGAAAGAGAGAAAAATGAAAGAGGTGGGAAAGCCCTCTTATTTATAGACATTTTTCTTGATGGCTTGTCTGTGACTGACATCCTGAGTATTCACATGATGGTAGAGTAATTTAGTATATAAAGGAACTACTATCCTGAAGGTATAAACAAAAAAAAGCAAAAAAAAGCTATATATTTATGCATTTGAGTGGGAAAAAGGGGGTCAAGATTATATTTGGTGTTTTAAAATACGCCAACCTCGAGACTTTTATGCATATCTTTGCACCAAAGAACCTCAAAAACAAAGAACACGCTGCTAAACTCACTTCTAAACGCAACTTTAATATAAGCGATAGTGTGTGCATATGTGTAGCTACATATGTACGCACTAAAGCAATTACTTTATGTTCATTTTTAAAGAAAAGTATGTCAAGATGGTATTTTTACACCACAGGATTGTAATATAAACTTCATATTGAGAATAGACAATAAACAAAGTTTAGAACTTTATTTTCAAGCTTATTTGGTGTCAATTAAGCAAATATTGAAAATAATAATAATAATTTAAATTCATGCTTTGAATTCTTTTTTTTTTTTTTGAAAGAAAAAGTATGAAGTCTAAACTCAAATTTTATATCTACAAATAAATTTATCGATCACATTTTTCACCATGGCTATATTCATAAAAGGGTCAACTCTGCTTGAATAATAAGTAAACAAAAAAAAAGCAAACAAGAGTAAATCATTTTATATAATAAAGAAGTGTAGATTAATTTTACGGTGCAATTATTATCGAATCAAAAAAAAAGAAGGTAGTGAATTGAAATTAATAGGGTCATATCTTTACAGAAAATTTAGAATGTATATAAACCCAAGAAACAATAATAGTAAAAGAAAAAATTTGCTTTAAGCTAATACTTCACAATTCTACACTTCCTTGCCAATTCAAATGATTTTTTTTTAAGTATTTAATATAAGTTACACTTTAGTTATAATATATTTATTTAAGAACTAAGCTTGGTTCTGAAATACACGCAAAAGATAAGAAATACAAAAAAAGAGGAAACGAGGAGATAATCAAAGACATAAAAGAAGCTTCTTCTGAGGATTGATTATTTTCCATAAATAAAAGAAAAAAAGTAACATTCCATGTATATGGATCTTAAGAAGCACCAGATACCGCAAGCCTTTTAAACACACACATACACACAAATATAAGTTTTGTTAGTAAAAAAACAGATTGGCCCCAAGTCATATGAAAACTTCAATATATACATCTATACATAATCATTATGTATAAAACACTTACTTTTTTAAATGCTCCATAAACTGTTGTAAGCTAACATCTTCGGTAAAGATAGCAGTTCCTTGAGGTGTGCCATAAGGTGTATTAGATTTGTGTGTTGTCGAAGGGTTGAGCTTGGAAAGCAAGAATCTGGCCTGAGAGCCACCCTGATCGCATACAATGTAGCGGGGTACTGGGAATCTGTCGATCAAAAGATCCTGGGCATCCAGGATAGGTGCCTCAAGCAACTGCTTAAAGTTTTCGTAGCCTTCTTGATCTTGGTATCCAGCCAGACGCCACTGGGCAATTGTTTCACCGTGGAAAATAAGGAGGTGGAAAAAGGTGTCGAGGAGGAGAATGCAATCAGGTTTGATAGAAACAGAATCCAAGAGTACAGGCTGAGGTGGGATGTCGAACCCATAAGAGGTTAATGTTGGCTGGATCATGATGAGTGAATTGTCGACGTTTTCTCGGTTGAGGGCATGTCTATCAACAGTAATCGCGAGTTAAGAATTAATATATATAACATACACTTTGGTATCACTAATTTTCTTTTTACCTATAGAATGCAGTCTCATCTGGCGAGTTGTTGAAAACTTGGAGGAATTGACTTCTTCTCAAATGGAACATAAACTGAGGATAGATTGATAAATTCTCGGACAATCTAAAGCTGTGGGGATCATCCTTGCGGTAATCTGCGAAGCGTTGGCAGAGTCGGATCAGCATACGATCCAACCATCTCAGGACATCTGGTCCATCGTCAATCTCGCCCTTGAAGACAGCAATACGCGACATGAGGACAGCTGCTGTTTCCTGGTCGAACGAATTTGCAGTCTCGGGGCTCTGGCCCTCGGCAAAGTTGCGTGCAATAGTGGTAACTCTGAGGCGGAATTGACCACTCGAGTGCTGGTAGTGAGTCGAGAACTGGATGAGGCCACGCGATCCAGGCTGGAACTGGGCATTTGGCTGGTTGACCACTTCAAAGTAGATACCGTGGGTAGTCTTGGGCGTAATGGAACAGATCTTCCAGGATGAGGTGTTACCAATACCAATTTCAGTTTCGCCAACATAGGTAGACTTTTTGTTTCCGGAAGTAGCGTGGCCAATAAGACCAGATACCTTGAGTTCACGCGATGTCTGATGAATGTACAAAGATATGGATGTGGATTAGATATCTAGGCGCTTGCATTTGAATTATAGTCGCTAAAATGTACCTGAACATCAAGAGTGGCATTGAAACCCATTTGCAAATGTCCTTGGCTATCCTTTTGAAACAAATGATGGAAACTCTGTTTGAAGATAGCCGCGTTGAATGAATCTGACAAGATCATAAAGCCACCTGTGGTGTTGACCATTGACTTCATCTCCAACAGACCGATCTGATCCAAACATCCAGCAAAGATATCGATGGTGTGACCATTGGCTGTTGCACGCTTGGACAGACTTTCATAAAACTTGTGTGTGGAAAGTTTTTTTTTTGTCAATAAGTGCCACAGGACATCAAAACACAGATACACATAACCCTTGTGTTTTCCTCACCTTGACAGCTCTCTTGTAATGCCTTGCAGTTTCTTTTTCAATCTCGTTGTGGGATCGAATGGGTTCTCTAAGTTCGGTGCTCACCACCATGCCAGGACCTTCAGTGGCAGGACCGCCACTGAATAGCATCACACGAGCACCTGTGTTAGGGAATGATGCCTAAGAGTATATACACACACACACATAGATACATAAATGCATACAGCCATGTGTTTAGGGTTTGGGTACATTTGATAATCAAACCAGCCACACTATACCTCTAACAAACCGATAGCAACGCTCAAAGCAACACCAGTGCATCTCTCAGGGCGTTTATTAAGGGTTACAGGCCAAGGATCCTTTTGTAAGTTCTCCAAGATTGAAGTCAAGACAAACTCACAATCCTTGATAGGTACAAAGAATCTACAGAAAATCAAATCAAAACCAGAAGAATAAAATCAAATAAAAAGTAGGATGATTTATTGATATGAGTAATGATTATTAAAAATCAAGAGATTTGTTTTTTAATATAGATAGATAGATATATTAACAGTAAATAAAATCAGGGTATATATCTTACCTGTTGGCTGGTGCAGTCATTGCAGGTGTTTTCCCGGGAGCACCATGAGGTAAACCAGGACGAACAGTTCCACCTGACAAGCCAAGCATATCCTGGATTTGTTTTCCAGTAAACTCTTTTGTTCCACGGAATACAAATGACTTTGGACAACTGGCGAATCCAAGTTCATGCACTTGAGTCTAATGAAGAACGTCGATTAATCAACCGAGTAATAAAATCCACATAAAAAATTAAAAAATAAATAAATAAATAGAGAAATTAGTGTAAAGCTTATCGCACAATATGTCTTTCTTATGCGTGTGTGTGTGCGTTTTGCCCTTACCATGGTACCGAATGTAATCAAACCAACCCAAGCATAAGGAGGCAAAAGGCTCAAGCTTGCGATAATGGTACTCTTGAGTGCATCAAGGTCCTCTTGCTCGAGACAAGTATCAACCACAAAAAAGAAAATCGGCGGGACCTGGGCAACTCTGTTTAAGTTGTATTCTATAGTTGTGTACTTTGGCAAGAGTTCTGCGGGAAGATTGGTATTAGAGAGGTCTTTGTAATGGTGAGGGAATGGGTTGCGCTGGAGACAGAAAGGGCAGACCCAAACCTTGCTGCGAAAATCGATTTGGCTACCAAGAAAATGATATATTTACATTGATAAATAGATAAGCTCCAGAGAAGAAGAAAAAATACTCGGACAATAATTATAGTATTGGTAACAATCAAAGTTACTTCTTCTTCCCTATCCTCCTCCTTATTTCAACTTACCAGTAGGGGTTCAATACTGCTCTACAGGGAGCTTTGCATGTAACTGGCTCATACCAGATTGGAGTTTCGACAAAGTCTTCGCGTTCTTTCAGCGGAGTGTAAAGACAAGCGATTGGAACTACTGCCTTTGTAGCTTCGATGCGGGATGATGGCCAGGCATTCCAGGAGAAACGAATTCCATCCTAAAATGTCGATCACATACACACATGCACAAGTATATAATGTACATGTATATACATTATATATATATTTTTATATATATATATATATATATATATATATTTAATAGTTTAATTTGCTTGTTAAAATAAATAAACAAGGCATTCGAGACCAAATTATTATTATTTGGCTGTAGACGCGTTGTGTCCGAGATCATACCTGTTCTTCGATTTCATCAAAGTTCATTGGGTAAATGTAGAGTTGGAGATTTGGGGATAAAGAAGGGATTTAAATAATAGAGAGAGTGCCTTTGAGCCTGAATCCCAAACGCTTGCAAATTTGTATTTTACGCGGCAAATCAAATTCCAATGTTTGTTTCGCAAATTTCATGGTAGAGGCCATTTAATAAGAGCATTTGAGCTTATTGTTCTCCCTCTCAAAACAAAACAAAAGATAGTCAAGTCTCTTCTTTACACTTGTTTAATAGAATAGGCTTCAGAAATCTATATTCTATCAAGGTCTATTCTCTTTACATCTTTCAGTGCTAATGTTTTTCATCAACTTATAAACCTTCCTAACTGTGCCTGACTTTTTTCTTTGTGTTTTTTGTTTTTATTTTTTATTTTTTATTGGGTTTTACAAATAATTTTTTTTTAGCCGTCTTGAGATTATCACTCAATAGAGAACCCGTTGTCGAGTGAAAATTCTAAATTTTCACTCACTTTTGCTTTACGCGGCGATTGAAATTCCAATGAAAAGATGTAAAATTTTACTGAGGGAGGCCATTTAGTGATGGAATGGAGTGAAAAATTGGGAGTTTTCTAGTTTTTCACTCCATTTCATCACCAAGTCTTTGTTAAGAATTGAGCTTGGTTTTCCACCTTCAAACATAAACATAATATAGTCAAGAGTCGTCTCTATATATCTACTTAAGAGAATAAGTCTTGGAAAGCCAAGTTTATTAAGATGTATCTCTCTTATATTTGTCACAGTACTTCTGTTTTCATCAACTATGGTTAAGTTTTTTTTCTTTTTTTTTTTTGACTGGGTTTCACTAATAATTCTTTTTTAGCAGTCTTTGAAAATATCACATCCCAACGGGTTCTCTAATACCCTCTCTCTAATAAAAATAAAATATATATAAGATAAAAAAAAAGATCACACTGGTGGGAAAGTGAAGATTGAAGAATTCGGTGTTTTAAAACAGGGCTCAGTGTGTAAAGTATAAGAGTTTGAATCCCAAGAATTGGATTGGAGTGGATTATTATTATTATTGTTATTATTATTATTATTTTTTTGGTTCATTAAGATTGAATTGTTTGAGTATTTGATCGTTTGATTGATTGGTTGATATTTGTTTGATTATATATATATATATATATATATATATTGTTTTAATGTGTGTGTGTGTGTGTGTGTGTGCGTGTGCGTATATATGGTTGACCACCCCTACTTCTTCTTTCCCTTTTGTCCACCCTTTTGACTACCAACACCACCGTATGGAAGCTTTTGTCTCTTTTCCGCGGGTTTGAGGATCTAAAAGAAAGATTGATTAATTGAGGAAAATTCTAGAGTTTTGTGATTGAAATAACCGCAAGGTTCTCATCTATTCTATTCTCCTCTCTTTTACGTATTTCGTATATATATATATATATATAAATAGAATACACACCTGGAATGAACACATCAAAGACTCGTCTACACTCATCATGGCACCAGCATTGTCGAATTCACCACAATAATTGGGGGCCGAGAACAAGGTAACCAATTGCCGCTTTGCAAAGAACTCATAACCATCCTCGACTACCTGATGGGCACGGCAGATTAGATCCATATCGTGTTTCTGCAAGAATCTGGTAACCGTGTCAGGGCCAAAGGTAAACGAGACACCTCTGTCATTTTCACTCCATCCAGAAATATCTTTATCAGGATCGGACCAAAGAAGATCGCAGAGCAAACCTTTTAAAATATATCAAAAAAATCAAGTAAATATATATAAAGTTTGTACGAGTCAACAAACAAAATAGAGTTAATTCTGATTATTTTAACTTTCTTTACCAGTGTCAGGGACATCTGTAGGTCTCATCACACGACGAATCTGCTCCATGTTCTGAAGATCTGGTGAAAGACCACCATGCATACAGAAGATCTTTTCATCGATAAGGGCGGCAATAGGAAGACAATTGAAACAGTCAGTGAAAATCTTCCAAAGTTTGATGTTGTATCGTCTCTTGCCTACATAACAAGAAATGAAAAGCAAAAGCAAAAGAAGAAAAAAAAATTATTCGGCCAAACCAAATCAAGTCAAATTAATAATCCAATGTTAAAGACAATGTTAATGTTAATTTAATATTGATTCCAATGCCAAAGTCAGACACAAAACACACAGAAAATAATGCCTAAAAAAAAGGATAACAATGCCTCACCACCCCACACACCCACACATCTCTACAATCCACAATTTACAGTCTACGGGTGCTTACATTCGTCGTAGAAGCCGTAGATTCGGTTGATACTTGCACACTCGTGGTTACCACGAAGAATGAAGAAGTTCTCTGGGTATTTGATCTTGTAGGCCAACAAGAGACAGATGGTTTCGAGAGACTGTTTTCCTCGATCGACATAATCTCCCAAGAAGAGATAGTTTGCCTCTGGAGGAAATCCACCATATTCAAACAGTCTCAAAAGATCGTAGTACTGACCGTGGATGTCACCTAAGCAACCCCGCTTAACAACCGTGTCACCTTCGCACAGACGTCCCAGCAACAATTACCACAAATTTTAATAGGGGCCTCCAGATCCAGCAAGATTGGCTGGCTCATGAAGATCTCGCGTGCCTTTGTACACAAGAATCTAATTTCGTTCTCGCTGAGCTGAACTTGCTTTCCCGGACGGCTCCCCCGAACTGTAGAAATGCATTTGTATACATATACATATATGTGTGTGTGTATGTATGTTTAGTACCAATTCATACAAACAAGTGGATATATAGGCATATAGGTAAAGAAAGAGAGAGAGAGAGAGAAATAGGTAGGTAGGTAGGTAGGTAGGTAGGTGTATTTGATTGTGTTTGCGTTGAGTATATATGTATTTATGAGTATGTGTGTGTGTTTGAATAGAATGATAATAATAATAAAGGTAGCGAATGGTTGTCGGTTGTTCCAACGGCAAATCTTACCTTCCAGGAGACGCTCTATGATAGAATCGACATTGATATCAGAGATGTCAGTCATGTCTAAGATATAGATATAATATACACACACACAAAAGCACAAGCACAAGCACAAATACAAATATATATTTAGAGAGAGAGATGAAGAGGTAACAAGGTTAGTTGATCAGTGAATAGAACCAAAAAGGAGAAGAAAAGGGGTTGATTGATGATCAACAGACAAAAGGGGGATTACGAATGGGTGCATCTATCATCCTCACTATGGTAATCCTTTTGTATATATTGAAAGTATAGAATAATCCACTATTGAATGACTATCAAGATTTTTTGTTGTTATTGTTCTTGAATTTGATCTTTTCACTTTTTGATGCCGTTCTTCTTGTCGCTTGTCGCTGCTATTGTTATTGCTGTTGTTGTCGTTGTTGTTGTTTATGCTTATTATTTATTTTTATATTTTTATATTTATATATATATATATATATTTCATATAAACATATATGTATATATTTGGTGATGCTGAGTCCATTGTTGGTTGTGTTGCCAATGATGATGTGCGACCGATTATCAATAGCTATTGTTGAGCTGCCTAACCTTCAGGGACTATGCTAAGCTATACTATACTATGCTATGCTATGCTATGCTATACTAGAGCTCATTCTTTTCTTTTCTTTTCCTTTAATATAAGCTTCATCAAACAAGAGATACATACGATCAAAACGGGGAGGTGGATTTAAAAAAAAAAAAAAAAAGGTACGTGAAAAGAGATTCAAGATGAGCGTGTAGAAAAAAAAAATACACACACTTTGATCACGTGTATTACGGAGTTTTTTTTTTTTTTTTGGAGTGTCCAAACAGCTTCAATAAATTCATTTTGGGAGGCAGCTTTTCTAGCTGACATGTTTTTTTTTCTGCATTATTAAAATTTGTATAAATAAATGAGTAAATCAAATTACAGGAATAAGAATGATATTAGTGGTAGTAGTTGTATTAGAAAGGTAGGGTCTATGTATTGTGACGTAAGCAGCTACAAGTATGTAAGTAGGTAAGTAATATAGCTTGAGTTAGGTTGACAGATTGTGAGATTGTGAGATAGACTAGCAAGATAGATTATTAATGATAATACAAAGTACTTGATTTTTCCGGTGGTTTAAACATCAATGATAGTGCAAGTAATGAAAATTAAAATTAAAATACAACAATGGATTTTATAAAGGGGGCGGTTAATATTCTATTTATTGTATATTTCTCTTGCAAAACAGGGCCTAATATGAAACATAATTTCTGGCATTGTCTCCTTGGTGGGACATTGTACTTTTTTTTTTGTTACTGTTATTATTAGTACAAGACACACCAGGGTGATATGTAGGTCTGTAGGCAGATTACATATCACAGATCACAGGTGTGTATTAGTTTGCTGTAGTACTGTATAGTAGACATTTATTCATATACATTTTACACACATGTATTTAAATTATACTCACTCACTCACTCACTCAATGACTGATGTAATGAAAAAAAACCAAAAAAAGAGGCTTGGCTGCCTTTTTGTCAAACACAAATTATCAATCTTCTCTATAGCCAATCGTATCTCTTTCTCTTTTTTTGAACTAATCAAAGAATCACCAAGCAATGAATAAAGAAGTATTATTTAGTATTGTTATTGCTATTATTATTCTTATTAAAAAAAAAAGTCATTCAGATAATACACATATTAACACACTATATAAATATATTTTACCTTCACTCAGCCTACAAATCCCGACATTGGCCCACTTCTTTATACAATAAAAAAAAAATTATTATTTTATTCTATTCTATTTTATTTTTTTGTGTTTGTATCTGTATTTTAGGACTGTGTTACTCCTTCTTGAGTGTTGCCTTGATTTCCTTTTTAGCGACCACCAAAAGCAAGAAAAGAGGCCTATATATTTGGAAGTGAAAAAATAAGAGAGAATAAAACCCAACCCTAAACTTTGGTCCTTTGAACCTTCTCTTCTTTTTCTCTTATTTCTCTCTCTTTATCTTATACGCCTTTATATCCTTATTCTTCTTTTTATATCTCTTAAAAACCCATAAACACATACATACATACACACAAATCAAATTTCTTCTTTGGGTATGGACATTCCAAACCGATTGTCGAGAGTTGTGTCCGATGGCGAGGATGTTCCTCGGATCCGCAATCTCCATCCCTCTCAAATGTCACCCAACGAGCACCCGTATAACTATGGAACAACCCCCCAGGACGACCACTTGCTGGTGGAGCGTATGCCATCCAACTCTATATCTGAACGGATCGGGTCATTTGTGGGCTCCTATTCTAGGACGTCAATGATGTACCTGGCAGAGAACCTGGCCGTTCCCTCGGCTGCTGCTCTTGTAAGTAAAAACACAAACACACATATATCTTTTTTGATATCACTACCAAAAGAGATAAAAACAAAAACAAAAAGGTTGTTTGATTTTAATTGCTTATTGTCATTATTATTATCTATCAGCTTGATGATGAAGATGACATGTTTTCAATCACATCTGGCCACATCTCAAGGTAACAAGCAAATATAAACACAGATCTTTGATTGTGAAAATGAACAATAGAATACACATAAAGAATGAAAGAAAGAAAAAAAAAGGTTCTTACTTGAATGTATTTTGTGTATCTATATAGACACCCATCAACAGATCCTGAAGGAAGATCTCTATTGAGAGTATCTCGCGTGGACTCTTCTGGTACTGCCAATGATAGATCATCTCTGATGTTTTCCCACCTCGACAAGGTCCTGACTTCCCAAAGTATTGCCACCATTGCTGATGACTATCGAATGGATCCCCACGGGTCACCCAGTCTCCACAAGTCGTCTTACACACAGTCGATATTTAATTCGATCAATATTCTGATTGGTATCGGTATTCTTGCACTTCCCCTTGGTTTCAAGGTAATGATGATAACCATTATAATTAACTAATTAAAATAAAATAATTTATTAACTGGATAATATAAATAATAAAAATTTAATTTTTTGGACAATGTTCTTATAGTGTGCAGGTTGGGGTATTGGTATCATGGTCTTTGCTTTCTGTTGTGGGCTCACCAACTACACTGCCAAACTGCTCGCCAAGTGCCTGGATGCTGACCCTGATTCACACACTTACGGTGACATGGGCGCCGCTGCATTTGGCATTCGGGGCAGAATCGGAGTCACGATGCTCTTTATCACTGAGCTGATAACAAGCAGGTAATTTGATATATATATATATCTTAAATGATACAAAGTAAAAATTTTATCAGACAAGATAAGCTTGTGCGCTCGGACGTCCAAGCAATACAGATATACTAATGATTTATAATACAATTTTTTTTTATATTGTTACTCTGATTTGTAGTGTGGCTCTTGTGGTTCTGCTTGGTGATGGACTCGATTCCCTATTCCCGGGCTACACCACCCTCGAGATCCGTATTTTTTCCTTCTTCCTTCTCACACCCATGCTCTTTTTACCCGTTCGTCACCTTTCCTACACAAGTCTTCTTGGTATCATCAGTGCGTTCAGTATCATTCTTGTCATCATTGTCGATGGTCTCTCAAAGCGAGACGCACCCGGAAGTTTACATGAATCAGCAGTAAGCTTTTTTTTTTATTATTATTCCCAACTTTTCGGTCAAGTTACACCAGAATCCCTTGTTTATTTCTTACTCTCGAATACAAACCAACTGATTAACTCACACCACTTCTAAAATCATTATTTATAGGACACCGAGGTCTGGCCGTCTGATTGGATGACAGTACCCCTGAGTTTTGGCCTCATCATGGCAGGGTTCGCAGGCCATGCTGTGTTTCCCACAGTCTACCGTGATATGGACAACCCAAAGAAATATACCACCATGGTCAATTGGACCTACGTAGCCACAACAATTGTCTACTTTGGTGTTGCTGCCTGTGGATACAGAATGTTTGGCTCCCAGACGATGCAAGAAGTAAGTTTCTTGTGTTCTGTACGTACATCTGATTTACTTGGATATTCTTAATAGATCACCCAAAATATTATGGCCGTACCAGAGTACAACCAGACCCTCAACCGCCTTGCTGTGTGGCTGATTGCAATGAACCCTATTGCAAAGTACGGCCTTACCTTAAACCCGGTCAACCTGAGCTGGCAGATCTTCCTCTTCCGAAACTCTCCTGTCGAGGGATGGTGTGCCAGGGGAGCTTGGCGTGAGCCGATCATAACCTTCTTAGGCAAGATTCTTGTCAGCATGTTTATCATTCTTCTGGCCTTCATTATCCCTGGTTTTGACAAGGTGATGTCTCTCCTTGGTGCCTTTTTCTCTTTCATGATCAGCGGCATCTTCCCGCTAATCTGTCACCTAAAACTCTTCGGAGCCTCCATTTCTCCCGCTGAAAGATCGCTCAACTATATCCTGATCGCCATTGCATCTTCCATGGCTCTCAGTGGTACTCTCTGGAGTTTCCTTTAGAATTGTGTCCAAACATTATATCTTTCTTTTTAATCATTTTTCTTACTCCCACTACAACTACAACTACAACTACTCTTGTTATTATTATTACACCTGTGCACATATCTCTCTCTCTCTCTCTCTCTCTTTATATATATACATATTTGGCTTTGGGGAAAAAAAAAAGTCAAAGTCAAAAAGTCAAAAAAAAAAAACAAACACATTCACTAAAATATAATAAAAGCATATTAGCATTTTGTACTAAATTCAACCAAACGCCTACAAGCCAATAATAATAATAATTGATCTGATTTAATATATATAAAAGTAAATAAATAAATAGATAAAAAGGTAAAGGGCACAGGTATACAATATATGAAAAACAAACAAACAAATAAATAAAGGATTCATAGAATAGATTTCCAGAATAGGTAAATAAAAAGGAGGTAAAAGATGCGAAGAAAAAAAGGGTTGAAAATAAGCGGGTTTCTCTTTCATTCAATAACGTGTAAACACATATACATACATGCATACACGTATAGATACATAAATATGCACTCACGCACTCACGCACGTATGCACATATGCACGCACGCACACACGCACACACGCACACAGACAGGCACAAATTTGCAGTGTTACAGTGTGTAGTATATGTTTTCTTTTTCTTCTCTTTTTTTTAATTTTTTTTTTGATTGATTGATTTTTTTTTGGAATTGAATTTTGATCAGGGGGAGTCATGAGAATTGAGGAAATCATTCGGTTCAAAAGTGGTGTTTGACAGTTCGTGTTCTTGGCGTTGGTTGTGAACAGCCTCGAGTTTCTCAAAAAGGACCTGTTGGAATCGTTCACAGAACATCGGAGAAAGGCTCATAAGGAGACTCTCCATAGTTTCATACAGTTGGTCTACATGCAGTTCCACCTGTTTTGCTGCTTTTTTACATGCAATATCATCAGATGCTGGCAGTACAGAAGTAACCTAGATCCAATACAGCAACGGATACATACATACATACATACATACATACATACATACATATTTCGTATTTATTTCTTATATGTATAGTAAAGAAAACAAAGAAAAAAGAAAGAGAATACTCTCAAGAATGAAAGAGAAATATATTTTATTTATGTATTTAAATAAATAAGAAAAGAAGTATAAATAAAGTAATCTCGTATACCTTGTAACCTTGGTTCGATACCTCGATAACAATCATCACATCTTCAAGCAAAGTTAGGTCCAATCGTCCTATACCATTCGTCTCATCTCTCATGAATACTGCGGCTGACTTTGGGACGATTCCATAATCATATTCATGTGAAATGGCAGAGAGTTCCTCGCTTAATGATGACTGTCTCATCTAGTATTCTTTGAGCCTTAATATTTTTGGTCTTGATTTTAAAAGAAATAAAAAGAGATAGAGAGAGATAGAGAGAGAGAGAGAAAGAGAGAGAAAGAGATTGATAGAAGAACAAGAAGTTCTTTGGGTTCAAACTTCACTTTCGAACATGATCACAGTCACACGATTTCGAGAATTAACCTTTTTTCTTTTCTTTTCTTTCTTTTATTCCCACATATTAAATCAGTATGTAATTCTATATTTTTGTTAAAAAAAAACAGTAATTCTAAACTTGGGCACAGATAATTTATTTATGAATTAGTCAAGTAAAATATACCAATACACCTCGTAGATTTAATTATTTTAATTATTAATTATTCAAGCAGTAATTTGACATAAATATGTATATTTTGTATTATAGACCTCCAAAAAAAATGTGTCTGAATAATAATAATAATAATACAAAAAAAAACAAAAGTTTGATATTTTGAACTATATTTCTTGAGGATAAGAATCTTTTGAAATGAATAGATAGATAAAAGAAATATCAACTATTTGGTATATATTTGTTTAAAGATTAATAAGCAAATAAAAGCAAAAGCAAGGTCGAGGTAAGTTGATCACAGGAAACAAATTTATTCCGTATTCAGATTAAAATTAACATTGTACAAACATAGGAAAAGCTTGTCAAATCTTGTCAAACTCAATTCAACTTAAAATCTTGTATATTGATACTGATACTGATATTGATATTGATATTGATATGAAGTATCTTTTACATTTACATTCTTTAACAACCCCCCCCCCCCCCACCTAAACCCCCTGGAAATCACACCATTCCACATTGGAAGAATTTTTTTATCTAACATTAATATCTCTAAAAAGTTAACAAACAAATACCTTGGTTCCGAAATAGATTGATAAATAAATAAGCCAGCCAGCCAGCTAAGAACTAAAAACTAAGGACAAATTGTTGACCGTCCAGAATATTATTGAAGTTTTAAAGTTTTTAGAAGAAGAAGAATAAGAAGAAAGGTGATCCAATTAATATT